ACATTCGAACGCAGTCTGCTGGTCTTCTCCCCACTGGAACTTAAGCCCTTTCTTGGTGAGACGGGTTAACGGTTCGGCAATTGTGGAGAAATTCGGGATAAACGTCCGGTAAAACGTTCCCATTCCAACGAATCGCTGGACGTCTTTCAGACATTTCGGTACTGGAAACTGGGCAATCGCGGAAATCTTTTCGGGTTTGGTCGAACACCGTCTGGAGACAGGATGTGGCCAAGAAACTCGACTTCTTGGAACGCAAACCGGCATTTGGAAGGCTTCACAGTAAGGTTATACTTTTCCAGGAGTTCCAAGATGCGGTCGAGGCGGGCGCACAGGTCTTCAAACGTCGCGGCGAAGATGAGGATGTCGTCGATGTAGACGATGCAGGTTATCCACAGTTCGCCGGCGAGCACGGTGTTCATCATCCTCTGGAATGTGGCTCCAGCGTTGCAGAGCCCAAAGGGCATCCGGACGAACTCGTACAGTCCGTCCTGGGTGCAGAAGGCGGTCTTGTGGCGGTCTTTTGGCAACCGAACTTGCCAATATCCGGACATGCAGTCGAGCGTGACGAACCAGGCGGCTGCTCCAATGGCGTCGATCGCGTCGGCAATCCGGGGCATCGGGTACGCGTCTTTAACTGTCTGGGCGTTCAGCCCTTTGTAGTTGACGCAGAAGCGTTTGGTCATCTTCTCGTTCTCGAATTTGTCGACGAGGACAACCGGTGCGGCATACGGTGAGGTGGAGTCGGCAATGATTCCATCCCTTTTCATTTCGGCGACCTTTTCGCGGATGAAGGCACGGTTCGTCCACGAGGTGCGGTACGGCTGTTGGTGGACTGGCGGTGAGTCGCCGGTTTCAATGGTGTGTTCGGTGGCAGTGGTGCAACCAACGGTCGGCCCGGTGACGGGAAAGCTCGGCATCGGCGGCGTAGCACTGCGAACAGTCGGTCGCGCTGGGTGGCCGTCAGCCGTGGATTGATAATCATGGAGCGGAGCTGTTCCTCCAAGGCCGGAGAAACGGGCTCGTAGGCAGAGTCTGCCGCCGCTGGGTTGCTGTCCACACTGAATGAAAGGACCGGTGCGTCAGGGTTTTCCGTGTACAACTCCAAAGTTCCAAGCGGTGTGGATCCACGGAGGGTTATGTCACGGTCCCAGTAGTTCTTTGCGAACGTGTACGCGGTTCCATTGTGGACGGTTACAATGGCGTGTTCGAGAAGGATATCACCGCGGGAGAGCGCATCGTTTGCTGCGGGTGGCCGGACGGCTCAAATGGCGTGCGGGAAGGAATGAACACGTAGTCACCATCATTGGCGGTGGTTGAAGGAATGCTAATCGGATCGCGAGTCCGGACATGGCTGGCACTGTGACTTCCTCGGCAAGGACCACCGGGATCGAGACTGCTTGGACGCTGCAGGGGCTTAGCACATCGTGTGCGGCTGGCGACCTTTGGGCGGATTCGGGTTCTGTAGGCACAGAATAATCCTGTTGGTCAGTCGCAGTGCGATAGCTGGATGAGCGTTCTCGCAGGTCAGCTTGGTAGTCGGTTGGGAGTGCAGCTTGTTCTGGGACAATGGTGCGGTCCTGGCAGCAAATTGGAAACGGTTTTCCCTCCATGACGTCCATGCCCAAAATGATTTCGGGCATCGCATTGTCGTCACGGAGGAAAATAGTGCGCTGGTACGGTTCACCGAAGAGATTAACAGATATGTCGGCACATGTGGTCCCAACTGTCCGGTATCTCCGTTGCAACCGGTTACGCTATACGACTGGTGAGGTTCGGGAAGAGGTTTCGGTATAGCGTGCAGATCGGAACAAATGGAGGCTGGCATGATGGAAGTACTGGCGGCAGTGTCGAAAACAACTGGGCGTGACACTCCGTTGATGGTGACAGACTGGCGCAACATCGTGAAATCTTCGGCTTGCCATCATGCACAAACGCTTCATGAGACATCATTGGGACTTCGAAGTTTAGGTCGGAAGGTGGTGGTTCCGGTGTGGGATCGTTAGGAGATACGGCGTTGACGTGACCCACTGGCGTCGCCGCTAGTGGTTTTGGCTGGTCACTCTTCAGGTACACTTTCTCCGTAACAGGTCCAAAATCCGCTGGTTTGGTTGGGCAGCGATCGCTGTGATGACCCGGAACACCGCAGAACCAGCACTTCGGTGGTTTTTGCTGATACGGACGTCGGTCTTGATCGCTGGTACGGGCTGGCTTTGGTGGCTGCGGTGGGCACGACGATGTGGGCTGCTCGGCCGGCTTGGGCTTCTCTGCCGGTGTCGGCACCGGTTCGCTGGTGCGGGCCGAAACGACGGTTTCGGTTTCCATGGCTGCTTCTCTGGCTTCGATTCCGAACTGGGTTTTGATCGCCGACTCAACGTTTCGTCAATGGCCACGGCTCGGCGCATGCGGGTCTGGAAATCGTGGATGGTGGCCGGTGCAAAGCTCACGATGCTGCGGTACAGCTCGGGTTGGCCGGCCAGGCCGTTGGTCAGAAACCCGACCACTTCCAACTCCGACATGTCCGGATTGACGGCAAAGGTCAACACTTGAATGGCCTCGATGTACTGGTCCGGCGTCTCTGAACCGGTGTACTGGCGTTCCTGTAGAGCCAAACGGGCTTTCCATGCACGGTCCTGGTCATGGAAACGGTCGATCAGGACTTTCTTCAACTCGGTGTACGTCCGGTCCGGCTTCTGGGCATCAATGCGCATGAACACTTTCAACGCTTGACCTCAAAATGGGATGGTATTGCTGCCAGCTTCGCAGTATCGGTCCACTGATTTGCCTTGGCAGCGCGTTCGAACAGCACGAACCAGTGCTGAATGTCCATGTCGGAGTCATCGAACGTCGGCGGCTTCACAAACTTCAGGTTAGACTTCGGTATGGGCTGATGCGGTGCTTCGGTGATGTAGACTGGACGCGTTTCAGCGGCAGCATGGCGCAACGGCGGTGTTGGACTCGGCGTCTGCGGCGACTTCTTGCGTCGTTCCTTCTCAAAAGCCTTGGCCAAGGTGTCCGCAAGTTGATCCGGATCCAGCACCATCAGATGCTGGTTAGCTGTTGGTGACCGCTCGGGGCGGTTGGCGCGGTATTCCGGAGACTGTCGGGAAACTACTGTTTCTGCCATCGGTGAGTTACTGCGGCTATCGGACAGACGGGAGTTCTCGGCCAGCTTCGCATTCTGGGCCTGGAGCTGGGCAATGTACGCGGACTGGTCCTGGAAAACACGTTCTTCCTTCGTGATGGACGAACGGCTCTGGGCGGTTGGCAACACCGCAGAAATGGCGCTGCCCGCGGCTTTGATGGCGGATGAAAGGAAATTTCGGACTGTGGCCAATGATTTGCCGCTCTGTATGGACACGATTGAAGAGTCGGATGATCGGCGGGATTGTTGAGAATGCGCTCGCGGAGGTTCGGCGTGAATGTCAGCCATGGTAACGATAGCTTCGGGGTTCATCCTAGGACTGGAGACTGCACTTACTTGCTGGCCCGGTGTGTTCCGTGCGTGCTGATCTTGACGGCGAAAAGACTGTGGTTCTTTATCGGCCATGGACATGATAGACGACGGACGCGGATGGCTGATCGGTGCAGGTTCGAAACCGTAGCGGACGGGTTCCTTCTTGTTACGCGTTGGCTTCGATGACATGGTTTCTGAACGCCGATGAATCGTGAATGTGATTGGTTCGAAACACTTCGAGCGGGGTAATTCTCAAATCCGATTGGTCGGTCACTGGCTCCGCCTCTTCTCGAGTCCGCGGTAGACGCTACGTGAATGTAGGGAAAAACTTCGGAAACCTTCGCGGTTTTGACTCGGTGGTTTCTTTCCGTTGGAGGAAATAAATGGCAAATGGCAAAATTAAATATCGGTTCCAGGATAAAATCGGAAGGGAAGATGCGGAAGATTGAGTGCTTCGTATAATGGTTCCTAGATTATTCCTCGTTGCGAGCTGGTAGGCTCAAGCAACGTGGTAACAACTAGAGGCTTGCGTTCCCCCATGCTACACGTGGTGGTGTGTATAACGGTCCCGTAATGGGAAGATCAGACGGAAAGACAAACGGGAATAAAACTGCGGTTTTATTCGTATACAAAAACATCATCGGAAGGCACAAATCTGCGCGAATGGTAATGCGCAGGAAAATCGTAAAAGTCAGGGAAAAAATCAGGAGAAAATCAGAATGATATCATAATCGAAAAAACACTCCAACTCGATCGGATATGCCGATGAGGAGAAACAGAACAGGGAATCACATCCTATGCGTCGTCTACTCTCACAAAAGTCAACTCGCAGTATTTCCGGCCACCGCTAGCAAGCTTCCCTGACGCCATTTCGCGCTTAATAAATCCCGGACCAGAAGTGTGGAGATTGTGCAGTGCTAACTTATTTCAGATAAGCGACTAGAGAAATGAGTGGCCCGTGAAAAATTTCTGTGTGTTTTTTCGCTTCCTAACCATTTTCTGCGCTCTGTGCATTTCCAAGAGGACCGGATAGATCCGTTCAAGCTGTGCTCATTGTTTACACTGGAGAGGTGTTCAATATTCTCGAGCCTCGCCCATGTTGTAGCCTACAAGATGCGTCGGTGTTCAGTGTACTCGAGTGTTGCAACTTGCAAGTCACAGGTTTTAACCCTAACCTGAAATCTGACCATTTCCGCCTCGTGCGCATCGAATTTTACGACAGCAATGTTTTTACGCAGATCATTTTCTGTGATAAGGGCATCATAAGGCAGTACTAGTACGGTAAAACTGCCGTCCACCAAACTCACAAACATAAAAAGCAAAAAACCTTAAAAACGACATGCACGATTACAGAAGTATGTACTTGTACTTATGTAAGTAATTCTCTTGAGAGAGGACTCAGAGGAGATGGGCATCCAGCCATCATTCTACGATAGTTGTTGTAGTTGCCGTCTTACACAAATCGCGCTCAGTACGAAAATCCAAATTATACTTTTACATTACAGTACGAGTGCAGCATTATCAAAGCGATCTCTTATTCTTCCGGTACAACAATTTCCGATTCTTCTGAGAATCCATAACATCCGTATTCATTACGCACAATTCTACAGTGATCTGTACAGAGTAAAATGGAGATCACTAAATAATTTCAATTCAAAAAAAGACAGCTGCGCAGCCTGCGCGATGAGCAAACGGCTAAGCAAACATGTCTGCGGTTTTTTTCGAATAAACTACTAGCTGAGGCAGATAACATCCAAACATCCGACAACAACTAACTGGAACATGCAAACTTAAAAGAAATTATACAAGCCTAATTATACAAACCTACATCCAAGTTTACAGGAATTATACAAGCTTTTGATGCTATTCCCCACTCTAAATGTCGTTATCGGAGGGATGGTCGTCATCAGCCGTTCGCGCTCCTTTCCGCAGTTTACTGCTAATTTTCAACTGCGGCTTGATAAACATCATCTGCTCACTGAAAGACCACACGCCGACAAACTGTCCATTTTTCGTATTCATCCGCACGTCTCTTCGGAACGATGACAGCAAACTGTCCCATTTTTTGTAGCAAAATGCAAAGGTCTTTTTCTTCCGTCCCCTCGATTCCGCTACCCGATTAACGGCTCTCATCACCTTCTCCCAAGCCAACCGCTTTTTCTGAGTACGTTCAGGGAGATTTGCGCGCTGTCTATCGCTTCTCCAAAGAATGGGATTCGCTCGGATGGATTCAATCAACGCGCGGGTCTCCTCCTCGGTAAACCTGGCTGCTTCCGGCTTAGTACTCCGCGGCCTTATCGGTCCCTTCCACTCTGTACATGATGACAAAGACATATCATTGGCAACTGCTCCATTACAAAGCAGCGAACAGCTTCACTATTCCACAAAGAAATCCTTTCATTTGGCTCATTTCGACCTAGTGCAAAGTACCCTGGTTTTAAATTTTTTACCGGCTTCAGGCTCAGAGTCCTCCGGCTCTTCCGCGTCTTCCTCCGTGTGGTCGTCTTCACCCTCTAGAAACATGTAAGTACTTCGTTAATAGAGTAACGTCGTATTACCTTAGGACCGTGTTATCTTTCATACTACAAGTACAAGTCATAGTTTTTGATTTCTTCTTACTGAAAGCAATTACGTACTGCACATGCACTTCGACGTTTTCGGATTCCGGACACTTTTATACTATCGATACTATCGATTCGCGTGCCGGACACCAGAGACAGGGCATTACTGCACATTAGAAAACTTGATAGTTTTTAATTATTCTCGTGCACAAGCTTGTATAAAACAATAATTACTGCGTAATCAATTTTTGAAAGTTTTGCCGTGTGGAACAGCGCGGATAATACTTTGTCTCTGGTGTCCGGCACGCGAATCCATATTGTGAAGATGTCCGGAATGCGAAAACGTCAAAGTATCTATTCTTCATGCTCTCCTATTAGGCTATAGGCACTATAAGGTATCGAAGGACAAAAAATCAAGACGAAGGTGCCGAATGACAAAATGCCCACCTGCTGGAAGTGCGTCGCATTCCACATCGGAGTCAGTGGCGACAGTACAGTCCGGAGCTAATTCCGGTGAGTATGGCGAAGCATCGGCTGTGAAATCAAACTGCTGGAGTTCGCCAGTGGCGTCTTCATAAGAGTTTTCCGAAGGCGCAGTGTACAGAGAACGTCTGTGAAAAAGAAAAACCATAAAAATTGTTTGTTTTTCAATATGGACAACAGTGAGCACCAATCAGTAAATACAATCGAATGAAGAATTTGTTAATCATACCATTAACTCCACGTGAGAGCGAATATTGTACAAATACATAGCTCTAGTAGAACGCCTACGTTCTCGGCACGATGGAACGAGCAGATTGAACATGCATACGCGTACCTTGTGGAAGCCTGGAGTCGTCTCGACGATCGCAGTCTCACGTTCTCCGGGGTTTTCATTCGCTTGCTTCGGGGTTGGGGTGGTGATGTTGCGTTCTCGATTTCATCCAAATGGTCTTCTCCATTTTCTTGTTCCTGACCAACTTCCTCAGTATCCGCTTGCAACGCTGCCACATACTCCAGCAGCTTCATCAGATCATCCGCATCCGCTAGATACCGTCGCTTCAACACCTCGATGACATGATCCACGCTGAGCAGCGTGTCGTACAGATACACACTGGGCACCAGCCGCCGCTCGCCCATACTGTGCTCCTGCGTGATGCGCACGCTCTTGCACATGCTGGGCACGCTGCTGTGCACGTCCACTTGGAAGAAGACCACCGTCTCGGCGGTGTGATCGATGGTTTTGCGCCACGAGGACGGACTGGTCTCGGGCTCGATGCCCACCGCGTTGATCAGGTCTTTGTACGACATGCCGGGGAGCGTTGGTTTGGTCGGGTGGAAGGCCGTGGAAGAGCGGAGTGGAGGTGCTCGGCTGCTGGATGTGGCAGCTGGTGTCGATCGGTTGGAGGAGATCCGCTGTCGTTTCATGGCGATGCGTACGAATTCCCACCACCAGAATTATAAAATTTACAAAGTTTTCTAAATTAAAAATTTCATTTAAAAAGAACAGAAGGCAAATAAAACAACGATCAACAATTGATTAACAAGTGAGCCGAAAGCCTGAAGCAGATCAAAACTGAAGAGCGGAAAGAATGGAAAGAATGAAAACAGAATAAATTTTGGTGCTGCCCGTGTGCGGACGGCGCGAATGGACACCTTGCAGTCGCAGCTGGTCAAAACTGGAAACTTAAAATAATTGTGCTTACAGATTACCTATCAGGGCCGTAGCGAGGTCCGTGGGATGGGGTAGGCGCAATTTGGCTGCGCCATTTGCGACCGCTTCGAAGGTCAGTCTGAGCCCAATGTGCCCATAAATTTCGAAGCCTGCGCCCGTTACGCCCGTATAAACAGGCCGGGCTAAGACTGGGCTTTAATACTTTAATTAATATAAATAGTTGAATTATTATAGTTCTTGATCGCCGTACGTCAGACCAAGGCACATCCGGCCAAAGTCCAATCTGCGCCGCGGGCGCACGGCCAGTGGCGCCCGCTGCGCCTTTTGAAAAATCCAGAAATTTTGCGCCCGTGCGCCTGTGCGCCAGTTTCGGGCGCAAATATTATTCAAAAGTTGGCCGAGGAGGGGTAGGCGCGCGCCAGTGCGCCTATACCCTCGCTACGGCCCTTCGGCTATCTGTAATTTTTGATTAAATAGTTTTTTACTTGAACGAGTGGAAGTTGTTGGACAGAATGGAAAAAAACAGATCGACCAAACTGCGCAGATTTTTTTTGTTATAGCATTTTTTGTTATAACTCCTCTTTGAAACCAATATTATTTCCGCAGTCACATTTACCGCTCTTTTCCGGCACCTGCGGAACCGCTGCAAAGCCATCATCAGCTGAGTAAGAATTCATCACAGTCATGGACGACCATTTTTCAAACAGTAAAACATAGTAACAAAACACATTAACAGGTAAGAGATTCTCTCTAGCATAATCAGATCCGCGTTTAGCAATTCGCTGCGCTTCCTCGTCATGGCTGCGCGCCCACTGCAACTGCTCCACCAAATCATCCAGATCTCTTCGAACCGGGATGTAGTGCGTCCAGGGCTGGAGATCATGATAAAAGTGCTCGTAATAGGCAGATTCTTGCTTGAACACCAGACTATCACCGGCCAGCAAATACGGGAATCGATAAGCTAAAAACACAGGATAAAATTGTAATTTATTGATGACTTCGCTTTCTGTTGCAGTTCTCGTCAATAATATTGAAAATTAAGGATTACCGGCAACGGTTCCGTCCAGGTTTAATTGGTATTTGTACTGGAAAAACTGGAAGAAATTCACACTCGGCACGGTTGGTCCGTAGAGGGGATTCCTGATCCCGAAAGAAGAAGAAATGTGTCAGCCCGGCATCGATCAAATCGGAGTTGTTGCGGCCAAGTTGCACCAGTTTCAAGCGCTCCTCTCGGGCGTCTCGGCCGCGCCAAAACGCTTTGGGAATTTTCTCTTGCCATACTGGAGTTTGTGTCGCTTGCACCGATAACATATCCAACGAAACACTATCGCACAAAATTTTTTGCAAATAAAACGGTCCATATTAGTGTATTCTTTTTTGAAAGTCAACGAATTCGTTTGATTAAAATTGTACAAATAAATACAGATAACAGCAAAATTTCCTTTTTCTGTTGATGATAACGCTTTTCTGTTGTAAAAACATAAGTAAAAATAAGAGCATTCATTACTCGACGGAGATATCGCAAAAATTCCTATAATTTACTGGATAAGTTTTGTATCTAAACTAATCAACTGACCGGTCCATAGCGTGAAGACTGGATTCGGTAACATCGTACGTCGGCATAACAATATCGTAATGATCATCCGCTCCACACCAAGAAAACACCGGCATTTTGTTGCCTTTCCTGTACTTGGCTGATAAAGGATAATCGCCCAAATTCACCACAAATTCCACATCCGGTAATTTGGTCCGTCGTAACAGCAACAAAATCAGCTGATCCATGAACATGGCAAACCCCACATGCTCACCGAAACATTTCTTATACAGACGCTGATTTTTTATCATGTAGTAACAGAAACATGCCGACTGCGGATGAAATCGTGAGGACAGCGCCTCAAAGACTTCCGACATGTTGTATTTTCCCGATGGTGCAAACTGCTCAAGATCGCGATCGATCTGCGAATACGTCAGAGGACACTGTGAAAGCTGCAAAAACAAACATTTGAGAAATGTCACTCATTGATAAAGCGTAAAGAAAACAAATTTACAAAAAAACTACAAAGTAATCATGAGAAATAACAGTAAAACAATTAATAAATTCATAACAGCCGTGATAATTCTAAAAGAACATAAAACAGGCAAAGACTACAGATACAGCATACATTACAAAAATATTCATCAGAAATAAATAAAATAGCTAACATAACAATAACAACCGTGACAATTATGAAAAAATAAATAAGTATTAATTGACAAATAAATTGCAGCATAAATAACAAATTAACAAACTGCAAATACAGCGAAGAAAACTCCAAAGAAATTAGAAACGTCAATAAAATTCGCACTACCTCTTTCCATTTTTCCGCAGCAACGGGACAATCACAATCTGCATGCATCACTTTCCCCTCGAACACAAACGGCGATCCCGCCACATGCTGCCCATTCTCCGTGGTGATCGCGATCTGCAGGCCATCGCACGGCTCGTACAGCCGATAGCGCGCAAGATACGTGCCGTCTTTGCGATCCAGCAGTTCCTGGAAGATGGGACAGCGACCGCGGAGACTGTCGATGCTCAGCTGCAAGGCACTGGCTCCAGGTGATGCGGTGTAATTCTGTCCGGACGAATCAACCGCTTGGATAAAAAAGTAGCGGGCTGGCAGTACTACGGAGGGATCGAGGCCGGGACCCCATGCGATGCTGTGCGGGGAGATATCAACAGGTGGGGATGATGTCGAAGCGGATGCGGAATTTAAAACTGGTACGGAGAGCAGCAGCCATATGGAGAGTAACAAACAGTTCGGGAAGTACGAAGAATCACGCATTATTTCAAATCCATCAACAAAACCAATTTTTTCCAATAACATTTAAACAGTAGAAATTTATTCATTTCAAAGATAAAAACATTAAAAAATGGTTGTGTTTTGAATTTTCATTCGCTTTTTGCGCTGTGACGTTGTCACACGGCACCAAATAGCTGCCGCCACACGCGGCTGCTGTTGCGATAAAGAAAATAAGCGTAACGAGCGCATTGCTTTAACCACATGGAATACAGGTTTTCAACAAAAAATTCGCAGACAGCAAATCTACCAATCCTAAAAACATGACAAACAAGATAAGCAGCAGTCTAAAAGACAGATTCCCCACATGTTGCACAAACTAGGTCACTGGTTAGCGGTCGAAACGCAAAGCGTTGAATTAATAACCCCAGATCACATCGTGCGCAACAAGCAGAAAATCCCGCTCCAAACTCCCACGTCCCATTCGCCAGTCCACAGAGCTCGGAAGATTCACCAGCCAGGAGGTTCGCGAAGATGACCACAGACAGTTGAATGAAATGAGCGACGAAATGACGAAAATGCCAGGGTCCTCCAGGGTTCCCGAGTCCAGATCCACGGTTCGCACCCTCACCAAACACGAGGGAAGCCCACACGGAACGCCAAAGCACTGCACTAGCTAGGTCACTGGTTAATGGTCGAAACGCAGAGCGTTGAATTACTAACCCCAGATCACATCGAGCACAGCGCCCAGAAATCCCCCGCAGTCCGCCCCCATGGCCTGCTAAATTCTCCCCGTGGCCCGAACTCCAGGCCCCGCATGGCTCCATAAAACAGGCAGGAAAACAGTACGACATCAGATCAACAGTCATGAGTAAGAGCAGTAAAGAGTATCAAGGAATGAGATATGTGCTGGAAGACAGTTAGTGAGGTGATCCAGTACGATGGGCTCGTGGCGAACGATTCCGCGATATGGTTTGTCCCTGCCAATCTGGTATGAACCAGAAATGGCAGGGCTTGTAATTTGTTCGAAAAAGCTTACCAAAAATAAAGTGAATCGTAAGGAAAAACAAGAACTCTAGACAAGGGGGGGGGGGATAGCCACATTTTGTCCACGTAAATTAACCATGCTGAATGCCTCGTTCTGCCACTAGCGTTGTGCGTTCGGTTCAATCCGGTTGCCATATTTGATATCAGCGCCCTGCGGAGTGCGGACTGGCACGCGTTGAAGAATGCTGTTTTTTTTGCTTGATTTAATCGTCATTTGAACTCATTTCGTTTCGGATTTGCAACTGTGGAGGAATATTTTGAATGGTTATGAAACTGCGGGAGTATTGTTGTGTAATTACATTATCTGATTAATTTTTATGTGAAGAGTGGGAATTTAAAGTGCCTGGTGCAGCAGCTCTCTGGAAAACTGTAATTGTCGATCTGCTGTCGGACTCAGTTCTTCATGATGCCATCGCAGTGTGTTGGCTGGAACTGTCCCACACGTCGCAAAGGCGACGAAACCGACGATCCCACCGTCACATTCCACTCTTTCCCGCTGACCAAACCCGACTTATTAGCCCAATGGCTGCAGAACATGGGGGAGGCCAATTGGAAGCCGCAGCGCAGCAGCGTCCTGTGCAGTCGCCACTTTGATCGCAACTGTTTCCTGCAGAACTACGCCGTGCCGCGGCTGAAGCAGGGCGCCATCCCCACCTTCTTCGAGAAGCGGCCCAACGCGCACCTCACCGTGGATCTGGACCAGCGGACGGCCCATGAGAACCTGATGGTGGGGGGCAGCGGGGGGCAGGGCGGGGTGCCGGTGGGGCGGCGCCGCAAGGTGCTCAAGCGCTACGATCCGCAGGAGGAGATCGACAATCTCAAGCAGATGCTGGACGATGAGCGGGTGAAACGGCGCGAGCTGGAGCAGGAGCTGTTTAAGTTGCGGCAGGAGCGATCGGAGATGGCCTCCAAAATGGTGAGTTAGTGCGGTTTTCCATGGTTTTTCCTTGCCATTTGTAAAAGTTTACAGTTAACTTTTTAACAATACTTCTGCAGTTAACACTGTTAACTGCAAGTGAAAAAGAACGTAGCGCTTCCTATCTGTGTAGCCGTTCCTACTTGAGTATTGTGATCTATGCCGATCCGGATCAATCCTCTTAAAATTCTACAATTTTACATTTGCAGCCTTTCTGCAAATAGATTTATTAAATCTTAAATGAATAGACAGAAAATTTTACAAAAATTACAAAATTTAATAGTTTAATTAGAAACATTAAAATGGGCTGAGTAAGAAAATTACGCGAATTGCCTACTCGTAATGAGTGGTGGAGCATCACGAGCCGTTTGCATCGGTTGAGTTTAGAAAGGTTTTTGATCTCTTCAGTGATGGACTGGCAGCGATGATGTGTGTGAAATTGTGAATTCGAAAAATTGTTCAAGTCGTTTGTGACATGCTGTGTTTAGATCTGTTTGGGCAAAGTGATTAACATCATATTAGTATTAGTCACTTTGGTATGGGTATCATTTATTTTTATGTTCTGATGTTGCAGAGTAAGCTGGAAGCAGCCAAATGTCGGCCGAATATTCCTCAGAGTCTGATTCCTATTCTGGTTGATGCAATGGTAAGTCAACTGTCAGTCAACTTTTACTCGATTTTTCGGATTGTGCATCAATTTTCTGAACTCTGTTTGTCCTGTAGTTATTACAAGTTCGAAACAGTAAAATGTTAAATATTGAGGAAATAGTCATAACCGTTAGATCGATTTTTTAAGCAAGACAGGAACATGAATGGAATTTTTAACAATATGGTGAATGACATTCGATGTTGCCGTACTTCGTGTACGGAAGATGTTTGTTAATGTGCGTAATTGCTCAACAGACACGCGGTGTCGATCCTCTGAAGAAGCCGGAACCGGCTCGCACGACGCCAGCCACCAAACGCACCGCTCCGCAGTCCGCTCCCGCCAGGGCTCCCGCGACGCGCACCGCCGCGGCGGCGCGTGCGGCTGCCGCCGCCAAGACAACCACACCCACCACGACGGCCGGCAGTCCCAGCAAGGTGGTCCTGCAGATCCCCGACAGCGCCAGCAAGTCCGTGCAGTTCACCGTGCCCGTCAGCGGAGCGGCCAGCGCCACTGCCAGTGAGGCAGCGAAAACGGGGGAAGCGGCGGCGGAACCGGATATCGTGGAGATTCCGGTGGAAAAGGAAACCGCCGCCACATAAACGCCGTGGATTATTGATTTCTGTCTGTTTTGTTGTGGTATATCCTGGTATTGTATTGTTACGAGACTTCTGCGGTTCCCTCTATTAATCATTTAAACTCGTTCTTTATTTTGAAATGCGTATCTTCTGTTGTTGTTGTGTACCGGATTAATGTTATCTGGTTTTCTTATGGATTAACATCTCGTGCCTACTGTTTTCTCACAATATATGTATATGATAAGACTTAATGGTTATTAAAGTTATCATGCCTTAGATTTTCCAATAACCGGCAAATTTAAGTCCCGATTGCCTAAATTAACGCCGAGTAAGTCGCAAAAGTTTTTTTTTCGAGAATACGAAATGTAATTTTACGCAGTAAGGGTGCAGGCTTAATTACTAAAGATGAATTTTATTGATGATGATGTCAGTATAACTCAAATACGAACTACGAAGTCACCGAAAATTGTAGTTTGTATATTCGAATATTTATATCCGTGCACTACGCAAAGGACAACAATACATAATCTGCAAAAGAGAAATCTGCAGAATTTAAAAATAATACTCCTCATGAAAGGAACATTAAAAAAGCCCAAACGCTATGGAAAAAAACGCCCCAAGTAACATACAAGCTTCAGCCAGATTCCACCACAGTAAAACGTCATCAAGCAGATCCCAAGGAAGCATATCGCCGCATTCACTCTTCCTTTAAACCCTTTTCCCAACCGAAATCTAGCTATCGGAAGAAAAACAATCCCCAAACAAACACAACAAATGCAACATGGAACAGATAAAATAATACGAAATCTGGCGACATCAATCCTGCCATCCGGTGGCCTTTGGACCGAATTTGTATACCAGGCGACGTCCGAGAACGGGGAGGATAAATTCGGTTTTGTAGTAATGCCTGCCAAGAATAAGAAAATTAATCACAACGCTGTGACAACTTTGACACATAAAAACTTATTTAAACCGGTTCAAAATCCAAGATAAAAATAAAAAGGAATGCTTATACGAGTATATTTAAGCCAAAGTGGATGCAAAAATATTCTATGGCATTTGAAAATGTTTTTGAAAATCAAGTAAACACTAAATAAAAACTCAGAAAACTAAAAAAAGAAACTAAGAAGAAACCTTAGACAAATAACGCAAATAAGATTCACGCGAGAGAATAAAAAACAATAATATTATGTAGATTTGATAATTTTTGCAGGATGCTTACTAACCTCATCGCGCGGCTCAGCTTCTCATAATTCATCCGCGGATTGCATTTCCTGGCGCCCCACTTGTCAGCCACCGCTTTCGACTTGACGATGCGAAAAATTCCCGCCTTTTTGTCGTCCCATCGAATAATGGTGGGATTGCATCGAGGATCTTTCAACAAGTCCCGAATAAATTCCCATAAATGGTTGCCTCCTGATTCTGCAAAAAAAGCATATTAAACCGAAAATCAGGTCCTAACGAGACCTTATCGGTACATACTGTTTCCTTTATGGAAGCCAGCCAGTTTATGATGCTGCCACTGCGCACTGTCGTCTTCCATTTCCTGATCCTCAAACAGACTATCGTCGAAACCATCTGAATCGCTATACTCACCTTCAAGGTCCGACATGCTCAAATCTGCAAAACGATTCGAAAAATGATAACATAATCATTATTGCTCGGGCTAAAATGGCAAATAATTCCAAAACAAAACCGAGATGAATATACAAAACTGTGCAAACAGTACAAAATTCTTTTCGAATATTATACTTTCAGTACTGCAATACAACAACGCGCTTTTAAAATTAATTACCAACACATACAAAAATTAAAATCACCAATGACAGTAACTGCAAAAAATGCCGCTGATAAATTGATTTGTGGTATTTACATAATCAGTTGGAAACTTCATTCTGCCTAATTACGAACGACAGCACGGATTCTGGCTAAAAATCAGTTTTCGTTAAACGCAAAAACCGCGTGCGATCGCAATGAAAACAGTAACCTGGAACCATTTGCGTAATTTGTGAAAAAAATGTCAGTATAAACAAAACACAATTTAATATTTTAACGATGAAAAATTCGTTGATTTCAGTTATGCAGTACCTGCTTCGTCTTCGACGTCCTCCGGGTATTCAGAGAAAAGGTTATTAAGCAGTTCGTGGGTTTTTCGGCCGGAAGACGTGCTACTGTTGCGATGGGAACCATTTCTCTCCGGAGATTTCGCCGGCTTCGTGCACTCATCACACGTACAGACCGACCCGGTCGCATGGGATAAAAAATGCATATCCAGACTGTCCTGCTTCGAGAGGCGTTTCTTTTTCGTAGGCGACGAGGAAGCGGCGGCTGCAGCTGTCAGAATCTGCAGTGAACTGGTGGCGATCTCTTCGCTTCCATGTTTCTTGAAATGCGCAGCCAACAGGCCATAATACGCGAATTTCTCTTCGCATACTCCACATCGGAATCCATCCCGACCCCCGTGCATAATCACGTGTATGTTTAACTTGCGCCTATCCTCGAAAGACGTGTTGCAAAATAGGCATTTATTCGCCCGCTCTCTGGTCTGCAACAATATACGGAAAACACAATCACAACCGGCGCATTATAAGAAATTAATTAATTATTATTAGCACTAATATATATTTTCATTAGAACATATTTATTTGATTATGGCTTTAATCGGCAGAACCATTAAATGACACACTACTCAACAGTAAAAAGTTAAACATTACAATTAATAATTAACAATTTACACAGTAATTTATTTTTTAATTTGAAGCAACTTATTTGAATTGAAATTTACGGACCTTCGCGGTGTTCTCAACATCAGCGCCCGAGGTGAGATTGCCACCTCCCCCGCTACCAATGTTAGATGGGCTGGGCTGGATCACAGCAGAACTATTTAGACGATTTTCTTTGGAAGATTCCTTCTGTGGAGACACCGAATTCTTCACTGCCGGTGCAGGATCCGGCCGGCCTCGCACCGGCTCCACCACCACTTCCTCCACATACCCGAAACCGTCTTCAATTCCCACCGGCACCGATGGACCGAATTCGGCGGAAATCACGGGTATGTATACATTCTGGGTGGTTATATCGTAGCCGTCCGCTTTTCTTTTGGCTGCGCTGGAGGGTTCCTCGGTATCTTCGTCAGTGGATGTCATTTTATCGGCTAAAGAATCGTGTGAAGTTAGTTGAAATTAGTGGTGCGTCGTAGTGAGATGGCATTAATTTTATTGACACAAACTGAAATTCATTCTCTCATTCGTTCTGTACGCGTTTCGTTAACAAAATATAACTCGGACTTTGCTCGGAAAAATTTACTGTGAATATTCTTTTAATAATTCGGCTCATGCTATTTTTAAATTTAAAAGTATCACACAATAGGTGCAACTAGTACTTAGTTTTGAGCGAATTACAATTTTGTTACGCATGCGATATTTTTGTCGTACTGGATTCATAATTCTTACGACTACAGTGCTTTGCTCACGGCTACAATGCTTTCCTTACAGCTTTGCTTTAAACTGGATTTTAAAACCGAAACCATTTTAACTTAACTGAAATCTTTGCAATGTATATGCCCTAAATTATGATAAATTATGATATATGCCCTAAATTATGAATTATGTGCAAAGTCCGCCAAAAGTATAACTTTATCATTCTTATCATTTTGTTACCAGCAAGGTAAACTGACACCGGTTTACCTTTCTTTCCGGGGTCAGAGCGGAGATTCAAAGCAGCAGATGCGGGCGCAGTCACCGCTTCGTTATACTGCTCGGAATACCACACTGTCAGTTCCTCCTTCGGTTGGATGGCCTTCTTCGTGACAAAGACAATCTCCGGTCCGCGCGCGAATACCAGCAGATTACTCTCCTCGGCACCCTTGGCAAATCGAACATGCTTCATCCAGTTGCATGTGTAATCCGACTGCAGCTCATAATGCTTCCGCAGTGCATCTATCACCGAGAAATACCGCGCTTGTCCATCATCTCCGGTCGTTAGTGGAGCAATCAACGGCCCAAACACGATATGCGCGGCGGGACAAGTTCCTTGGCAAAGACGGCCTTCCCTGAAAAACAGAACGCTAATTCAATACTAATGAAGAAACAGCGGTTTTTTCTGAATTTTTACCTGTTGGAGAATCATGGCACAAGTCGATGGAGAGATTCTTAGGGGAGACTGCTGATTGCCAGCGGTGTGGTCGGCTCGTCTGGAAAACTCACGGCATGCAGCCAACAGGGATTTCGCAGAGATATTTTGCACTTTTCACAATCTACGAACATATCGTGCGGAATTATTTTCGATTCATTCTGATAATCATGAAAGTCTGACATACAAAATGAAGCGCAATCAGTTGCAGATTTTTCGGAAGACACAGCAGATTTGCTGCACTGTTCTTCTACTGGCACCGGATGTGCCGCAACGGATGAAGAACCACCTGTACATGTAAAACACGCTCCACGTGAAAATCCACACAGAAACCATCAAATCGCAACGCAAATTTAAATTAACTAAAATTAAATTTTAATTAAACAAAACTATACTTGTAGCTTATTGGTACATATATAATGGTATATCGGTACATTTATAATATTAACATCTAAGATTAACAAAACTTATAACAACACTATAATCTTTATATTTTAATCCTCCAATCATATTTTAAAAACTGTACTGATTACGAACAGTCGCTGTTGACGTACTTGTACTGCTCAGTTCGTTATCAGCATTATTCTTCTCTTCCAACAGAGGGATCTCTTGTGTTGTAGCCGAGGCTTCAACCGTAGTTACATTATCATCAATCGGACGCAATCCTGGATCTTCTCGTGACACCCTTACATCCATATCGGTGAGCGGCGTCACTCGCTCCAGATTCTTCGCTACGAGATTCTGTCCATCTTCCAGTACGCCGTCCGTCCGCGCAGTGACATTTTGCGCACTTATAATCGGCGATTTGATAGATCTGATTTCTTCCGACTTACACATGGCAGTGCATCCTATTTCGGAATCAGATTTGACGGTGGGCGGCGGATACTGCAGTTGTATGCGCAGCGTCCACGACGGAACGGCCCGCGACTTAAGGACCCCGCTGGTCGGTCCGAGCGCGTAATCGTCGGGTGTGAAATGATTCTCGCACACCAGAGATCGATCTGTTACCACCTGCACGCGACCGTTCTGTTTGAGAAAGTTCATCCAGCCCCGCCGGGTGTTGGCGCCCGTCGGGAAAGGATAGAATTTCAGCCGCTCCGAGGGTTTGGTCTGGCCCGGTTTGCGACTGGCGTGGCATACCATACACTGCATAATTCCACTAACATCCTCGTGCCGAGTGTACACACCTGGAAAAATTTAGTTTTGCAAAATTAATAATTTGTTAAAACTAACCATTTAATTCTTTGTATACGAATACTGTTTTGCTGACTGACAATACATGCCCAAATTTCTCCAAATACTAAAATTAACCCAACATGTATAAAACAATTTTAGCTGCTCAATTGTAACACCGCGTTAAATGTTTTCTATATCTTTAAAATATTTGAGAGCACTAAATTGTCCATAATCTGAAAAACTTTCGCTCAAATTAGTGTACTGTAATTAATTTTATTTGTACGGATACCAATTTTCGTGGTTCCGTTGTAAGACCGTATTAGTTTTCTGCCGACTATAAACACAACTACCACGAATCTGAGTGCACGAATTATTCTAATTACTGAATAAATAAAACATATTAATGTTTTTACTTCACATGGATAGAAAAGTTTCCTTATACAACTGTAAGATCGTATTAATTTTTCGCCGACTGCAAATAAATTTCCCAACTTTTCAACGCAAGATATTTCGCAAATCTGCAAATACATAATTTAATTTTAAATGTATACGAGAGTTTGTCATTCTCAATTGTGAAAGCGTACGAAGCACGAACCCGAATAGTGGAAGTCAATAATGCCGGCCAGATGACTGGGCATGGCGTCGTCTTTCAGCTGGCGCTGCGCCAGCAGCTCCCCGGTGTTAACATCATGATGCAGAAAATCCCCCGGCTCAAAATGCTGGCTACAGATGACGTCGGTCGACTTGGGCGTCCAGGTGGCCGCACAGCGCAGGCGCTGTGTCCACGTCTCGTAAAAAGGATGCGTGGACGGCCGGAAGGCATGCAGCGTCACCGCCTGCGCCATGGCATTCGCCGAGCTGATCGTACATCCCGGCACACAACACGCCTCCACAGCGGTATCCCCACCGGATGTTGCCGGTTCATCGGCGGGGTTGGCGGGCACCATGGACAGCGGCGACGCGGGCAGGGAGGCGGAAGTGCTGGGCTGCCGTGCGGCCGATAGTCCCGGCTTCTTCGGAGCCAGTTTGGGGAGTTTCGGTGCAAGACCCAGCTGACAGGGGGATGGTTCCTGTACTGGTTGGATCGGAGGAGCCGGAGGGGGAAGAGCGCACTGAATTGTAGGAACGGGAGTGGGATTATTGATGGCGTCGACGGACTGGGTCGGAAGGACGGGAGGGAGACTATTGGTGTCTTCGATGGGTTTTTCTGGGATGCTTGGGTCCACGGCATCCACACGCTGCTTTTTCGCTATTTAATTCACCACATTAATTTCCCACTTGTTCGAATTTAATTTTTCAAATTTTATTTTATTTCTTATTTCTAAGATGATCGATCGGATACAGCAAGAGAATCATAAAATACTTTTCAAAAGGCTAATTTTAGCATTAAAGTACCAATCACAGGTTCACCGATTATAATAAAAGTCAGACAGAACTATCATCTTCGTACAAACGCTATCCTGTATGTATGCGGTAGGAGCAGGAAGTGAATGCTGATTTGACGATACATATTTGGATCGAGCCACTACACTACGCTGTAAGGAAGTTCTACATTATCGGTCATAATCAAAAAGACATACCAGGAGGTCCCGTTTCGCCATTATCCGATACCAAAACAGATGTCGATGCAGATGTTGATGGAGATGCTAATGGGTCTGATGTAGAAATTCTCGACTCAGCCACCATGACTTCAGCGTCAACCACATACGGACAGGCACCTTTTTTCAATCGCTTTCCTCGCTTCCCCGACTGATCCGCAGGCGTCGGCAGTACGGTGCCCGTACTGAAATGCCGACTGCACACTTTCGTGGACGGCGTAGGACTCCACTGACTGTCACGGCCTTTGGATAGGATCTCAATCCATCTGGAATATTTGGGATCCGTGACAGGAGGAACATCGAAGTACCACACGTCGCTGACGCCGTGTGATGGCTTCGATAAGGGACATTGCAGAACGGCACACACGTTACTCTCGCTGACTGCCATCACTGCTTCATACTAAAAGGTTAATAATTCCTTTTTAAAAGAGAACGCCGCAGATTACACAGTTTCCATCAGAAAAGCAACGAGGAAACCCAACACACCACCAGCGCACTGCGCTGATTTCCTGGTTCAGTATCTGCCCGTAGAAATGAGATCCTAGTGAATCTCTTCTTGCAAGACCTACTTCAGTAATACCTTGTTAAAAACTAGGTACAATCTGCAAGATTTGTTGATAACGTTGCAAATGCTATCAAGCACTTCAAGATAATTTTCGTGAGCTGCGATCAAACAATTTAACGGACCGTAAAAAAATTTTATTAACACTGGTTGCAGGTTACACAAAAACAAGACCGTCGACAAACTCGGCTATCGACACGATGATCTGTATCGTACTAAGTCTTAAAGTACTGTAGGATGCATTGCCCGCCACCCGTAGGCGGATGCGCGGCTTTAACCGTCCGCGTCGACGTCATGACAGACAACGAAGAAGCTGGCAAGTGGAAACTGGCAAGACAAAAATTACGGTTAGCAAAATTCTCTTTATTTTTATTTTTCAATATTGTATCCATAACGGAGATTGTGTCCATAAGGACCATAACGGCAAGGGACATAACCGGCGGCCGCATAACTGTTTCTCGTATCCGTTTAATGGGTCAAAATTAATTAGGCAGGTTGAAGATCGATTCAGAGAACAAAATTGCTAATTACATCACATTCACATGGACAGCACTAAGCTAATGAATAGTACTTTATACCGTCTAGTGCGGGTACTTCACTTTTAATATGAATCACATATACATACTCTAGGTAAATAATTATTAAGCATTATAGATTTTATGATGCGCGTGCGTTTTGCTGCGTTTGGTACAGATGTACAATATGTACAATACTTGCACTTGACCTGACCTGATTTGACCAATAGCTTTTAATGACCTGACTTGACTGACTAATTTTGAATGACCTGACCAATAGCTTTTAACACAAATTTACACACGGGAAGATTCTATATTTGAATGGTGAAATTAAATTATCTCGGCTCGCAGTTTTGTACACTGAATAGTGTTTACACTGTTACATTTAAATATATATATATATTCATTTTGAATTAATTACTGTAAAACAAGACTTCACCACCCAAAACAACGTACAAATAAAATAGTCCTGTACTTCTGCTTCTAATCGGTGGTACTTTCCTGATTTGGTATACTCCCCAGGAAGCCGGTTGCATGTCCTGTGGAAATCTCTAAGCGTTCTTGTTCGTGCATGTTTTAGCTTGCCCTATCCACCTGTTCGAACCAGTTCGGTTTTGTGAATATCCGTGTTATGTGGCGCATGCGATCTTGCAAATTAAAAGTTCTGATAGACCTTAATTCTTTAAAGCCGTTTTCCATTGCTTCATTAAACTTCTTCTGATATAGTACCTGATTTTTGGGCAAATTTACCCAAATTTAAAAGGGCAAGTATTTGTCACGGTTGTTCTTTCGGTTATATCGGCTCTAAATGTTAAAGCAATAATATTATACAGAAATAGCCACCAGTTCACAAATTACAAGTGCAAGAGCCAACATGACTTCCTCAACTTCCCAGCAGATCATCCAATCTCTGAAAACCTGTCTTTTGGATCGCGCTCCCGTTACTTTCGGCGTCTGCCCCATTCCAGCAAATGATTTTGGGCTTTTTTACGGCAAAGGCGACACCGCACGGTAAGAAGTGATGCAACAGCTTGAACACCTTTCTTCATACGGGTTTTGATTAGGGAAGCTTCCTCATAACCTTTTATGTTGGTATCCGATTCTCATGTAGGCAGCTGTATCTGCATACCGCATCCGAAGCTGAACTGGAGCTTCTGGCGCGTGCGTGCGTAGCGGCCACCTTTGGGATTAACCAGCAAGATGTCTTCGATGAGACGTACCGCAAAGCGGGCAAAATGGACGTTGACGCATTCGCCAGCAAACTCGACCTGGAGCGCTCGGGAATTTTGACGCGCATCAAGAATGATCTGCTGGATCGCACCAACTTTGGCAGGCCTGTCGAGTGTGAACTTTACAAGCTCAATGTCTATGGTAAGCAGCATACGTATACGTGGAAAGCGATCTCGATAATAATTACTTATATCGAATTTCATTATTAATTACGCAAACTTTGACTTTTGTCAAACTTAGCGTTGTAAGGTATTCCACAATATACTGTCATGATGTCATCGGGATGATATCATCCTCGATGCGAAGATGACATCATAACAATACTGTACACATTGTTCGCCCATTAAACTTTGACTTGTTTTTCATGAATATGATAATTAACAAAATAAAATGTAGCTTCGTTCGTTGTTATATCAAGAGTTTTCAAGAGAAGGTCAGAATTAAAAATTTCGCGCTCGTAGGTAGTTTCCCGCAATTAGTGTACTACTATAAAATGTAATGATGAAAATTGTTGTACAGTACTGTCATCGAATTAAAACTGATTTTCGATTGTCTTATAAATGTAGCTTCGTATGCCGGTATGCGGGATACGCTAGCGGTACATATCTATGCTTTGCCTTCAAAATTTTCTGCATGTCGTTACTGGCTTAGTTTGTATGCACGTATGCATTTGTATATTGCAGTATATACGAGGTACTTTTTCTCGGCATGACCTATAAAAGTTAATGCTATATTCGTGTAGGCGCCGGTGGCTTTTTCAAAGCGCACAAGGACACTCCACGAGGCGCTAACATGTTCGGATCGCTGGTGATCGTGTTCCCGACGAAGCATAGCGGTGGAGAATTGAAGCTGCGTCACGGCGAGAAAGAGTGGATTTTCGATTCAGCCAACGAACTGGCGGTGGTTGCGGAGCCGTCGATCGGGTACATCGCCTTCTTCAGCGATGTGGAGCACGAAGTGGCCGTTGTGCAGTCTGGATATCGTGTGACGCTGACCTACAACCTGTACTTTGGCGAAACTCCCGCTCCTCCGGAAGCCATGGTCAACATTGCCGTCAACCATGAACTCACCTTCAAGACCGGATTGGAGCAGTTGTTGGCTGATCCGACTTTTCTACCGCAAGGCGGATTGATTGGCTTCGGTTTGCAACATAAATACCCGGTCAATGCCCAGACCAAGTTGTGCACTTTAATGGAGCGCCTAAAGGGCAGCGATGCGCTGGTTAAAAAAGTTTGTGAGCAGTTGTCACTGCCAGTTCAGCCGAAAATGTTGACAAAGGGAAAGGATTACTGGGGCGGTGACGACGACGATATCGACGAGGAAATGCCTGGCGATTCCGATAAGACCTGCGTTGAAGACAATGGGAAGGGAGACTCGGAAAAAGATGCCGACAAGCGTCATCGAAACATCTTGGCCGTGTTAACCGACCATGTGGTTAATCTTTCGAAGATGGGTGAGGTGCAGAGTGCGGGTCATGAATTGATGGGTGTCAAAGGTAGCTTGGTTCTTCCTTATCCAAGTGGCAGAGCTCGTCAACGTTGGAACGCTAAGAAGACGGAGAAGGTCAAGTACTCCGTCGACATCCATTGGATAACCGAATTGACAGCTTACAACAACGTGAAAACCGAGTTCCTCGCTTATGGGAACGATGCCAGTCTTGGCTACCTGTATGGCACCCTTTGCCTGGTTGCCAAAATCGGTCCTGTCGGAAAGCGTATCGAGTAGAAAACATTCCGGATCCGGAGAGACTGGATGAAGCTTCCGTTTTGCAGTTTCTTTGAAATTGTTTGAATAGTTTCGTAGCAATGGTTTGAATAGTTTTGAAAGGAAAGGTTGCCGAATTGACTATGAAGCACTACATTAGCTTATATTTTTTGTACGCCTTTTTTAATAGCTGCGTACATAGGTGAACCGCGTGTTTGTCAGTTTGAAGTTGATTTATCTGAACGAACTAATGTTTTCTGTTGGACGGAGTGTTTAATGACTATCTGAGTAGTGTTTTGTTTCTCTGGCGCGAAGTTCTGAGTTCTGCTTTGTTGTTCCGCACTTTTATATATATAACACACTGCATTTTTAATTTTAACGTATCATGGTACTTTGGCTACTTCAACTTGTTACTGCATTTTGATTAAGGTATTGGGCCTATTGGCACTTCCATATTTTTATATGAAATCCAGTTGCAAATACCTACTTTACATGCCGAACACGATTGCGAAATTAAGTAATAAGAATCTGCGTCCCTTTTCCGTGATCGGGCGGCCTACAGCAGCGGAATATTTACGTTAGTTTATCACATACGAAATCCAAGGACCAAGGTGGCCCGATAATCAACGAAACTACATAATACTATTTGAATGTAAATTCGTTTTGTATTCGCAGTTTGTAACTATTTAATTTTTAAGCAAAACTGCAGTGTATGAGTAAAGTATATTGTGGATGTACAATGCAGTATTACCGTATTAGTGACGGTATTACTAATGTATTACTAGCACCACAACTAACAAAAAATTAAAACAACACAACGTGGAATTGCGGCGTCTGTAATCCGAGCATTTAACATTTGGTTTTAGCTGTCAAAACATTGACACCAATGTGGGAACAGGCGTAAGGTGCGGTTTTTAATTGCCAAATTCGTCTTATATGCTAACAAGTAAGTTGAAGCAACAAAAGTGAACTGGTAGATTCTTTTTGCATTAATGCATAAAACTCGTATGTTTATTATTATCTGAATGTTCTACCTTGCCCATGGAAAAACATCTACGGAATTTCACTTACTGGAGTGGTTAGCTAAATGTGCGGCACCTTTGAGGAAGTCGTTTAGTCCAAGGCTGTCCAACCACGTGTACCAGCTACGCTATCGAGGCTGGAGTGGTACAAGGTACTGTGCCTGGATTTACTTACAATTTCTCGTTTTAATTTGCAATACCATGTTCAAAAGTAAGTATAACATTACGCGCCTGAAATTTGTAATTATTTATCAGATGGATTTTTACCGAACAAAAACCTAATCTTCTTGATCATTACCATTCTTCAGATTTGCATGCACGAATACTACACGTCAACAACTAAACGCTTAGAAGCTGTTGATCACACTTACATTTGGGACACTACGGCATAGCGTACATAGTCCGGACAATAGGATCAGAGTACCAAAAAGTACGCCCGCGGAAAAGGCGAACATTTCCAATTGATACCAAATAAAGACAACGAGTGCAAAAAATAAAGCGGTATGTCCACATGATGGCTATATGCACATTCAATAGCGTATTAATTCATTATTACAGGTCAGCAAGTTAAATCGGCAAGCTTACGTACGAAATTATGAAAAGTACAAAACGGTTATCAAATCGTGCTGTTGTTCTGCTGCGAGCTCTACTCAGTACGCTTTCCGGCAGGACCCACTTCGGCAATCAGGCAAACGGTTCCATACAAGTAGCCCATACTGGCCTGATTCCCATACGCGATGTATTCGGTTTTCACATTATTGTACGAGGTCGCTTGAGTGATCCACTGAATGTCGATGGAGTACTTGATTTTCTCTCCCTTTTTCGCGTCCCAATATTCACGAGCTCTACCACTTGGATAAGGAAGCACCAAAATTCCCTTTTCCTCCACCAATTCACTACCAACATTTTCCACCTGATACGCTTCCGAAAGGTCAATCACATGGTCGGTTAACACTGTCAAGACTTCTGGGTTGTCGCGGCTTGCTCTGGGTTGTCCAGTGCTCTGGGCTTCTGTTCCCGAGTCACCCATTCCATTTTCTTCAACACCAGTCTCGTTTTCCTCGTAATCCTTCCACGCATCGTCACTGGCGCGATAGTAGTCGTCTGCCGTTGTCAGGATTTTTGGTTGGATGGGCAGTGACAACTGTTCGCAAACTTTTTTAACCAGCGCGTCGCTGCCCTTCAGATTTTTCACTACCGTGCATAACTCAGTCTTGGCACTGACCGGGTATTCGTGTGGCAAACCAAAGCCGATCCAACCGCCATTCGGCAAAAATGTCTGATCAGCTAACAACTGTGCCAGTCCGGTCTTGAAGGTATGTTCATGGTTGACGGCAATGTTGACCATGGCATCCGGAAGCGCGGGAGTTTCGCCGAAGTACAAGTTGTAGGTCAGCGTCACGCGATATCCGGACTGCACGACGGCCACTTCGTGCTCCACGTCGCTGAAGAAGGCGACGTACCCGATCGACGGCTCGGTAACCGCAGCCAACTCCTTGGCTGAATCGAACGTCCACTCTTTTCCGCCGTGACGCAGAATCAGTTCTCCGCCGATATGTTTCGTAGGGAAGACGATCACCAGCGATCCGAACACGTTAGCGCCTCGTGGAGTGTCTTTATGCGCTTTGAAAAAGCCACCGGCGCCTAAAAACGAGTAATACATTGCTATGATGTCATGGTCGCATCGAGGATGATATCATCGTGATGACATCATAACACTATATTATTGTGGAAATTAAATTGGACAAAAGTCAAAGTGTACTTCTTCAATGAAATCTGATATAATGAAATTTGATATTTGTAGGTAATTATCACCGAGATCGCTTTCAATGTATACCACTTACCGTATACATTCAGCTTGTAAAGTTCACATTTGACAGGCCTGCCATAGTTGCTGCGATCCAGCAGGTCATTCTTGATGCGCGTCAAAATTCCTGCGCTCTCCAAGTCGAGTTTGCTGGCGAATTGTTCGGTGTCCATTTTACCAGCTTTGCGGTAAGTCTCATCAAAAACGTCCTGATGGTTGATGCCAAAGGTGGCCGCTGCACAGGCACGCGCAAGAAGCTCCAGCTCAGCGTCGGTTGCAGTGTGCAGATACAGCTGCCTGAATCAGATACCAGCACAAAAGGTTACTTACAGTCCGCTGGAAGAAAACAGTGAAATTAAGGCTGGCATGCATTTTAACATTTCGCTGATCATAATTGCATTAATTAGAATTAGCCAATCTTAAATAAATATTGATAAAAAACTAATGAAAAAATAAACTGATAAAAAAGTAAAGCAAAATAATTTTGATGAGTCTGATAAACACTATGATCGAGTAGAGGAAACATTTTCAACCTGTTGCATACCGTGCAGTGTCGCCTTTGCCGTAGAAGAGCCCGAAATCTTTTGCGGGGATGGGGCACACACCGTAAGTGACGGGATCGCGATCCAAAAGGCAGGCTTGCAAAGACTGGATAATTTTCTGAGAAGATGAAGTCATGCTGGCTTTTTCTCTCAATATTGTACTTGAACCGGTCTAACCGATGGATCAAATCATCAACGTAATAACGGTTACAAATGCTCTTTTTCCTTTACGCTAGTAAAGACGTACGTTGGTAACAAATGAATAAAAAAAACGACCTCTTCTTTACTGATTCAAGAATCTGCAGACAGATCGCTAGTTTACTAATAAATTACTGTACTCTGTACATCAAAATTTATTTAATTTACTAGAATTTACAGAAGCATTCACAAAACCGTAAGCTGAAACAAGACAAGACAAGCTGAAACAAGCGCGAACACGATGGAAGTGCGGCGCTTTACGCTTAAATAAGCTTCCTCCTACGTAACCGGCTTCCGGATAAGTGTGATGTCGTGATGTCCCGCTAGCAAGCATGTCCTGTGGAAATAGCGCCAATACTTACGTCATGTTCGTTTATGTTTCAGCTTGCGCAACTTTCAGCATGTTTGAGCCAGTTTGAGCCAGACTGTGCGTCTCTACGTATCTGCATACGTAGAGACGCACAGTCTGCAATCTGCATGCACTACTTATATCGGTCAGAGATAAGTAGTGCATGCTTGTTTTTCGATGCTTGATGAGGTTGTTTTTCGATGCTTGATGAGCAATTCGATGTTGTGACTTGTGGGTAGATGTGCAGCACCGCCGAAGAGACAAAAGCGCACTAGATCTAGAGTTAAATTTTGTTATCGATACTGTTAAAAGGGCATTCAGTTGCATCGGTTCCGGTACATTGTAATGACCATAGTGACTCTCTGACTGCTGACTGAATTGAGCAACTGCAAAAGCCAACATGGCTTTTTCGACTTCCAGGCACATCCTCAAGACTCTGAAAACCTGCCTTTTGGATCGCGATCCCGTAACTTACGGCGTCTGCCCCATCCCAGCAAAAGATTAATTTCGGGCTGTTTTACGGCAAAGGCGACACTGCACGGTAAGGAATGGTGCAACAGGTTGAACATGTTTCTTCATGTAGCTTTTATAAAGTGGAGTAGCCTTTTTCGCTTTTTGTGCTTGGTGTCTGATTCAGGCAGCTGTATCTGCACACTGGAACCGACGCTGAGCTGGAGCTTCTGGCGCGTGCCTGCGTAGCGGCCACCTTTGGCATCAACCAACAGGATGTCTTCGATGAGACCTACCGCAAAGCGGGCAAAATGGACGTTGACGCATTCGCCAGCAAACTCGACTTGGAGCGCTCGGGAATTTTGACGCGCATCAAGAACGATCTGCTGGATCGCAACAACTTTGGCAGGCCTGTCGAGTGTGAACTTTACAAGCTGAATGTCTACGGTAAGTGGCAATGTGGCATACGTAGACGTTGAAAGGGACCACGGTGACAATTACCTATACGGACAATAGGCTATATATAATTACTAGAGTAGTGCCTGTGATCCTGTTTCATGAAATAAATGAACTTGTGCCGAATCTATTCCACAGCATATACTGTAACGATATCATCCTACGTTTATTTATTGTCTTATGCAGCGGGACAGACGTCCCCTCTAGGCACTTGACAGTTTTTAACATAGTCTAAGATAACAACACATAACCACAAGTCCACAACTATGAAATTGCGAAAAGGTAGACATGCTATCGAGGTATCAGCTGACGACAAACAAGAAAGGTCATACTACAAGTATAAAAGTGTAAAACGCTGCAAGTGACTTTTGCCGAATCATTCCTTGAGTAACTTTATGTTACAAAAACTTTTGATAGAGTTCAGTCTCCTCCAGTTAACGGTATCCAACGCACTTGTAAACAAGCTGAGGGAGGCATAACTTTCCTTATCCAAAACAATTTCATTCCATAAGAGCGACAAGCGGCTTGGGAGAGAGTCCTGGGAAGGAGGTAGAGTCGTTCCACACAATGTTGTAGGTGCCGCCAGGATGGGGAAGGGATGTGCTGATAGCCGTCTTGCTATCCTCGATGCGACGAGGTATTTTGTGTGTATTTTTCTAAGTCGTTATGTATTACGGTACTACTTTTGCCAGCGCGAATGACCTTTGAATTTCTGTGTTGTAGGCACCGTTGTAGGTGTTGTTTTGCTGGAATGACCTTTAATAGTGTTTTGTTTTAGGCACCGGCGGCTTTTTCAAAGCGCACAAGGACACTCCACGGAGCGCTAACATGTTCGGATCGCTGGTGATCGTGTTCCCTACCAATCATGCCGGTGGAGAGCTGATCCTGCGTCACGGCGGAAAAGAGTGGACTTTTGATTCGGCCAACGAACTGGCGATGGCTGCCGAGCCGTCGATCGGGTACGTCGCCTTCTTCAGCGATGTGGAACACGAAGTGGCCGTCGTGCAGTCCGGGTATCGCGTCACACTGACTTACAACCTGTACTTTGGCGAAACTCCCGCCCCTCCGAATGCACTGATCAACCTGGACGTCAATCACGAATATATCTTCAAAAGCGGACTGGAACAGCTGTTAGCTGACCCAAAATTTCTACCGAAGGGTGGGCTGATCGGCTTTGGTTTGCAGCACGAATACCCAGTCAATGCCGCGACGAAGCTACGCGCTGTGCTGGAACGTCTAAAGGGCAGCGATGCGCTGGTTAAGAAAGTTTGCGATCAGCTGTCGCTCCCCATTCAACCAAAAATTCTGACCAAAACAGACGACTACTACGGCGATGACGATGTCTCGGAGGATTCGGACGAGAACGAGGAGACTGATGAAGCTAATGCCTGGAGCACAGATACCGACGATCCGAACGTGTTGGCCGTGTTAACCGACCATGTTGTTGATCTTTCGAAACTGGGTGAGGTGCAAAATGCCAGTAGTGAATTGACGGATGTAAAAGGCGTCTTGATTCTTCCCTATCCCAGTGGCCGAGCGCGTTGGTCTTTGGACATTGGGACGCATGAGAAGGTCAAAGACTCCGTCGACATTCAGTGGATCACCGAAGTGACAACGTACACCAATGTGAAAACCGAATACATCGCCTTTGGAAATGAGGCCTCTCTGGGTTACTTGTATGGCACTGTTTGTCTTGTGGCCAAAATCGGTCCTGCTGGAAAACGTAGAGTAGAGCCGTTCCGGTCGCCTGAACTTTGGCATATATAAGCAAATGACGTATTGATAATTTATGTACGAAGGTGTGCCGAAATGCAACACTATTAATGTTGCAAGTTTATGTGCATCTGGCCATCAGATATTCTCGCTCTCCTTCTTCCTGTTAATCGCCAATGGTTGCTTTAATTAAGCCCTGAAGAAAAAGTAACTGACCAACACTCTCCGCGCTGAACAAGTCTTTACCTATCAGTTTCTCTGTTGTGTTTTTGTGCTCTGTTGTCGGTACTCTGGTGTACCATAGAATTGCACCAATGTTAGCATATCATTACTTTGTTATTCTCGGTATTAAATGCTACAATAGGTGATCGCGTAGATTAGAATGTTGAATGCTTTCTAACTGATTTATTGAATTTTGCAGCAAGACTGCACCATGCAAAACAGTGTACGAGACTACTACGAGTAAAAGTAGTACGGCTTTATGTTAAAAACAATTTCTTATTTTATTTATGATTTGAACTTTTAAATATTTATTGCTAGAGAAGCTTTTAGAATTGTAAATTTACTATTAGTATTAGTTTTGATCTGCTACACTCCTCATTCCTCACTGTCAGGACGGCGGTTTCATATCCAGCGAAATAGGCGCCATATCAACGACTTCACTTCGTGCTTATGCAGTCATCTGAGTCATGCATGCACAGTCATGTTTCAACTTGCTCAGTTTGCGCGCTGCACCAAATCCGAAACAAAACTTCCAAAAGAGGACGTTTTTCGTTGCAGAAGAAGCACTTTGATGCTTTAGGTTCGCCATCCATGCACATCAGTTCTGCAAAATCGGAGGTCCATTAATTTGTTATCGACATCGTTACCCATACGGGAATTTGTCACGGTGGATACCTAAGTCACTCGGTTTCAGTGCATTACAGTGAGCAAGTGCCAACATGACTTCCTCAACTTCCAAGCAGATCCTCCAGTCTCTGGAAACCTGCCTTTTGGACCGCGATCCCGTTACGTACGGCGTGTGTCCCATTTCAGCAGAAGATTTCGGGCTGTTCTACGGCAAAGGCGACACTGCACGGTAAGGAATGGTGCAACAGGTTGAACACGTTTCTTGCATCTTTTACTTATGGTAAGTGGAGTTCGTTGTCACCTTTTGTGCTTGGTGTGTGATGCAGGCAGCTGTATCTGCACACTGCAACCGATGCTGAATTGGAGCTTCTTGCGCGTGCCTGCGTAGCGGCCACGTTTGGGATCAACCAACAGGATGTCTTCGATGAGACTTATCGTAAAGCCGGTAAAATGGACGTCGACGCATTCGCCAGTAAATTCAACTTGGAGCGCTCGGGAATTTTGACGTGTATCAAGGATGATTTGTTGGATCGCACCAACTATGGCAGACCTATCCAATGTGAACTGTACAAGCTCAATGTTTACGGTAAGCGGTGCACCGTAATTTTAAGTTTAACGATAAGGCGATGCTAAAAAATACGATCAAAGCCATATGATACGAGTAGTGTATGTGGTAACAATATTTAAATATACTTCTTCTGCAAATCTTTCACATACATATATCAAGAAATCGTTGATAAAATCGTTTTTAAGATTTATGCGAAGGCTAGGGCAAAATAATATGCAAGTAATATTATAATTTTACTTTGTCATCAGTTAATTTTAAGATACAATGATTTATTGCTGGTAAAACTAGGAAAATTCTTTTTTAACAAATCTGCAAAAGTGGGCGCCGTATAATTTAACAGTTTCGTGGCTTCCAATCTGTATATGTACAGAGTACAGTATGTACTGTACCTAAAGATAGTATAGTTCATTTCGATATTTGACCTTTACCTTGCGACCTTTAAATGTGGTATTTGTGTAGGCACCGGTGGCTTTTTCAAAGCGCACAAAGATACCCCGAGGGGCGCTAACATGTTCGGAGCTCTGGTCATCGTTTTCCCTACGAAACACACCGGCGGAGAACTGAAGCTCCGTCACGGCGGAAAAGAGTGGACGTTCGATTCGGCCAAGGAGTTGGCTGATGTTACCGAGCCGTCGATAGGGTACGTCGCCTTCTTCAGCGATGTGGAGCACGAAGTGGCTGTCGTGCAGTCCGGATATCGCGTGACGTTGACCTACAACCTGTACTTTGGCGAAACTGTGTCTCGTCCAAACACAATGATTAACGCTGCCGGCAACCATGAACACACCTTCAAGACAGGACTGGAGCAGTTGTTGGCTGATCCAGCGTTTTTACCGAAGGGCGGACTGATCGGCTTCGGTTTGCAGCACGAATACCCGGTCAACGCTCAGACTGAGTTGCGTATTTTAATGGAAAACCTGAAGGGCAGTGATGCGCTTGTTTGGAGAATTTGCCAGCAGTTGTCACTGCCCATCCAGCCGAAATTCTTGACTGAGACAAAAGAGGAAGAGGAGGACGATGATGACGAGGAAATGCGTGAGGATCCCGATCCCGATGCAAAGGAGAACGCCGTTAACGAGGATGGGAAAGGTGACTCGGTAAAAGATGGCCAAAGCAATCGAGAGGGCCAAGCGAGCTGCTACAAACCGAACGTATATGCCGTCTTGACTGACCATGTGGTTGACCTTTCGACACTATGTCATGTGGACAGTGCTGCTTATGAGATGTCCAAGAAACCGGGGACTTTGGTTCTGCCACATTCAAGTGGCAAAGCTCGTCAACGTTGGAACGCTAAGAAGCAGGAGATGGTCAAGTACTCGGTCAACATTCAGTGGATCACCGCATCGACAACGTACAACAAAGTGAAAACCGAGTACATTGCATTTGGGAACGAGGCCAGCCTTGGTTACCTGTATGGTACCGTTTGCCTTGTTGCCAAAATCGGCCCGCCCGGTAAGCGTATTAAGCCTAGTGACGCTTCGGGATCTGGAAAGACTGGATGAATCCTCCGTTCTACAGTACTGCCGCAACTGTTTTGATACCGATGCACCATTAGTGATTAATGCATGTGCACGCATACTTGGCCATCAAAAGTATTCGCTCATTTTTGCTTGCCTTTTTTAAGCTAACCGCGAACGTTTGCTTTGCTAACGCGAGTGTTCCATCTTTTTTTCCTATATATAAATCTGTTCTTTCTGTGTTTTTGTTTTCGGATGTCGGCACTCTGCCAAGCCGGAGGTTGCACTGGACAGCCTGCACTGTAGAATCCACAATGCTGTTCAACCATAAAAAATAAATATGTTGATATTATTTTGTAATGTTTGTACATAGCTACATGCGTTCATCGCGTTAGTATACGTACTTGTAGACGGGATGTTGAACTGTGAGTCTTTTTAATAATCATGAATCTGAGGCGTGTAATTGTTTGAATTGCTAGCAGCTTTTTCTTTTTGTAAAATCTGTAACCGCAAACATACAAACAAACCTGGCGCTTCCACCTTGTACATCCTACAATAATTCGTATCAAAATTTTTAAATTGCACTGCATTGCAGTTATCCGGTTTTCAATGTTCAACTGAGCAAACTTTTAATCAATATAGCCAAGCAAATTCATATCAAGTTTTTTACTGTAACCAGCTATTGCAGAACATAATATGAATTCATCCTATTTCCAAAAACTGCCATGATCACAGGCGCCGGCATATGCACACTACCCACAAAAACAGTCAAACAATACGAAATACAAACAATACTTCTGTTGAGGCTCTACAAATACAGTCCGCGATCAAATCTCTCAGCGTTAAAATAAACCGAAACGTAAACTTTACTGGAGAAAATGTACGCATTCTTTCATTCTTTGGTCCACAATGGCAGCATGCAGCAACTTACGAGGACGCGGAACTGTCACTGGATGCATACCTCTCCGCAATATACAGGGACTCTTCGGAGCTGCTGGAACTGTCACTATCAGATTCGTCCACATCTGCAACATCAACCCGTGACTGACAAAACTCTTAGCATAGCGACCAACTGCAAAACGCTGCCGCAAAAAGCGTACTGCAAGGCGGATGCCAAGCTGACAGTCAATTTGAAGGTAATCCATTTTACGCCATATAATATATGCATAAACCATGTAAAATATAAGGGAATATGAAAACCGAAATTAAAAGATGAAAAGTATGTTGCCGGACTCTATTTATACGCTTGTAACCGCCATTTAATTTTACACATACGGCGTGAAACAAACAGAGTTCCATACTATTTCGATGGATCTTAACTGTGCCAGTACCTTTCTTGTCAACCGGCAGCTCGCTTCTTTCCGGCGAAATCGTAATGGACGGAGCCTCCACAACCTCCGGCGACGCTTCCGGAGAATCCCCTTCATCTTCCTCCTTGTCCGAATACAGTGCTCCGTCTTTGGTACAGTGTCCCGCCGTATGCAGCTTCAATAATTCATTAGTCAGAAAGATGGCCCCGCAGAAGCCACACAGAAATTCCTCGTGGATGGCGCTGTACTCATTGTCGGAAGGCTCCTCCACCCCGTCACTGTCCGATGACGAGGCCGCGCGATGCATCCGTTTGATATGATCGTAGAGCTGGCGGCGGTCAAACCATCCATCACAGTGCGGGCACTGCTTCGTAGCTGTCCCGTGTCCCATGTCGACGTGTCGCAGTAACTTCTTCAGATCTGTGAATGACTTGCTGCACTGCGGACATTGACGTGTGCTCTCTTCAGTGTCAGCAGTACCGGCGTCTCCATGTTGCAGTTTATGCAGCCGATACAATTCCTCCAATTCAAATGTCATACCGCATTTCTGGCAAGTCAGGCTATGGACGAGCACTGGTTTCCGGTGTTCCTAAACATGAACGTAACCTTACAAACCATCACCGAGATGTACGATATGCAGATACGTAGAAATACAGCTGAATGCAAGTTTCGAATGAAAAACAAATGTAAGTAGATTTTGTGCAGTTTTCCAAGCTTTTACCACCTACATGTATGTAACAGGCGTTTTAGCCATATGTTCAACGTACTTAACAAAGTCGAAATAATTTAGAAAATACAAATGCAATTTAAAAAAAAGTTCACAACTGTCTTGCAACGATATTTCCCATTGGAAACACCGGTCTGGTCTCACACCTTTCCGTCAGTTTTCGAAGATTCCGACTGGATATCAACTCCTCGATGTTCACGACGGATATGACTGCGCAGTTTGCTATACCACTTGCTACACACCGGACATTGCTTGGTGGGCCGCCCATGGTCACTCACGTGGTCCAACAGCTCCGTTACCTCCTCAAACGTATCATGACATTCCGGACAGGTCGTCGTCTCGCACGGCGGCGTCTCGTCGCCGGTGTGCAGTTTGTGTTTCAGTTTGTGCAGTTCGCAGCCGGCATCCGTCCCAAAGCGTAGACCACATTCCTGACAGGTCTGATTGTTCATCGGCAGGCTAGTCTTGTGATTCTGTAAAACACCGCACTCTGTCCATTAAATGCAAATAGAAAAAAGTTCATCCGAAAACTTCACAGGGAAAGTTACTGGAAAGTTACGGGATACTTTTTTCCGAAATATTTTCTTCACAGAAACAAATGTTTTAAATTATATTTCTTGCCCTTTCGGCCTTTCCTCTTGCATAATAACGTTGTTTTCATGAAAATTAAATATTTTCTTTATGGAAGAATAAACTGGTATCAAATTTCCGATTGAAATTTTATTTTTTTTTCTCTTCTGCCATATACGTTTATCTCGTGACTTTAATTTCGATGATGTGAGTGAACACACCAACCTTCAGGTGCGCTTGTAGACTAATCCGCAATGCAAACCGTTTCCCACACTGCGGGCAGGAAAATTTCTTCGTTCCCGGCTCAGCGGAATCACTGCCACCGTCTGCGTAGCGATTCCGTGTAACTTCCGGATGGTTTGCGTAGATATGTTGGCGCAGCGCACCGAACCATTTCCCGCACACCGGACACAGCTTCGTGGGCGTCCCGTGCGTGTCGACATGCTGCGCCAGTTGGCGACACTCGTCGAAGGTGCGCGGACAGGCGGGGCACGCTCGCTGCTGACTAGCGGCGGAATCGTCGTGCGTCTGATGGTTCATTTGGTGCAGCCGGCACAGCTCTTGCGTGGCGAACCGCAAACCGCACTCGGTACATGTCAGTTTCGTGTACCCTGTCGTCGCGGTATATCCCGGCTGATGACTCTACGATCAGCCATAACAAATCGACACGTTGCCGGTTTTTATAGGGAATATTGCCGGTTCGACATGATTGAAAATTCCTCACCTTCATGTGATTCCGCAAACCGTTCTGTGAGTCATACTGTTCATGGCACTCGGGGCAACGATACGCGTAATCCGAAAATTTTTGTTGTGTAGACGACATTTTGGGTTTTTGTTTAGCTGACGAAGATTTCCGAGACTTCGCACGCTGGCACAATTTGTCGGTCTGGATGGGATGTTCCGGATGAAAACTACGAAGGTGTGCCTCCAACCAAGCGAACCAAATTCCACACACGGGACACTTCTGTCTACGGGAGTGTCCCTTGACGTGTTTTATCAGATCATGTACGTCTATAAACGATTCACCACACAGGGAACACTTTCTGCTCCCTTCTAAACCGTTCAAGGACGCTTTGGCCCCGTCGGGAATTTCCGGGAATTCACATGCGGCATCTAAACCGACTCGTCCATCACTCGCGCCAATAAAACTGCCATTTTCGGCAAGGTTCTGAAATATAGAAAATATTTACGTAACTCAGTCCAGTATCAAAAGAAACTTTCATTTTGATGTGAGCCAGTTAACCACAAAACAGAACTCACCGTTTCCGGTTCCCACAAGTTCTCCTGAAATTCAAAAGCCTTTAACGGCATCGTGGAAGTATTTGTAGACCGGCTCGTCAAGGCTGTTTCTTTGTCCAAAGGAACATCATCCGACATTTCCTCATCGGAAACCTGTTCTTCCTGACAATCATCGCTTACCATTCCACTCTCTTCCTCTGCGCCTGCCACTGGTAAAAAACAACGTTGGATTGCTTTGGATTGCCATTGGTCAAAAACAACCATCCAAGAATTTTATCACTTACCCGGTGTTTCTCCATCAAAGCAAAGATCGACAGTGGCAGCAGGAGTAACGAGATCCAGATACTGTCTGGAATACCACACTCGTAGTTCTTCGTGCGGAGAGATAACTCTGTTTGTGACGAAGACGATCTCGCCTCCGCGCGCGAACACCAGCAAATTGCTCGCTTCCTCGCTGTCCGCCAGTCGCACGTGCTTCATCCAGTTGCAGGCGTAATCCGAATCCAGCTGATACTGCTTACGCTTGACGTCCTCACCCAATTCGGAAACATCCATGTAACGGGGTTTATCTTCGTCGCTCGACACCGTCGGAGCGACTAACGGACCGAACACCGTGTGCCGCTCCAGCGTTTCTTTGACAAAAACTGTCTTTCCTAAACACGACATGTTTCTAATAATTATGCAAGCACAAAGAGATTGATCTTTATATATCACTAATTATGTATTTGTAAATCTGAAAATAATTGCTTACCGGTCGGCGATTCATCACAGACGTCCATATACAAAACTCTGGGCAAGCTACCGACTGCCAATGGAATGACCGGTTCGTCCGGGATACTGTCCGAATGTATCCAGCACGGCGTTTGCATCACCTTGGAACATGATTCGCAGTCTGCCGGTTTCAAAAACAATTAAGGAACTCGTGAATACAGTTAACGAGAAACAAAAATCGCCAATTTCCACGTACATAAGAAGGAGTTACTGGGTGAAGTCATCGAGGGCGGAGCCGTAACTGCGTTTCCGGTGCGCGTCCGAGGCTGAACCACAGCTGGTGGTATCGCCCGTGGGGCAAACGCTACAACAACAAATTTTAAACAACTTTTTACAGCCAGCTAGTTCAATAGCACAAGCAAACTTACAAGCAGCCACAGATTCTTCATCGCCTGGTAGACCGTTGTGGGACACAACCTGTTGATTCGACGTGACAGATGAGGTACGGGTGGAATACACCGGTGCTGAGCTACTTTCCAAAGAGACACTCTCTTTCATTGGCAAATCACTGTCTCCATTCACTGCTTCCGTTTCTTCTTCACTTTCTATATCACTGGATTCAAAGGGAAGCCCTGCGTCTGGCGCCAAAGAATCACCAATGCTATCACCGACCGGTTGTACAGAAAGACCAGTGTCTTCGTTATTGTCGGTTGGGTAAATGTCGAAGGATTTCAATGACGGGACAGCCGTGTCCTTTAGCATGATTATGGATTCGCTTCCGGCGCGTGGTACAACCACCATCAAGTCATCTGGTGTAAAGTGATTTTCGCACACCAGCGATCCATCAGAGAGGACGAAATCCCGATTTAGCTTCCGGCAGGCCGCGATCCATGCGTTGCACAGGGCAGAGTCGGTCGGGAAATTGAAAAATACCAATCTCTCGGACGGTTTACAAGGCGCAGTCGACCGGTACCAGCCACAAACAGAACAAACCTGTACTGTTCCATCCGACACACCGGAATTTCCTGGCGTGCGAAACTTTTCAACGCACTCCATCCGAGAAGGAATGACACCCGGCTTTAGCCTTAAAGTCACAACACCTCCACGGCAAATAAAATTCTGTGCTGTAAAATGCTGACTGCACACCTTATGGTGACGCTCACGCGGCTGCCAGGAAACGGCACACCGCATGCTGTTAATCCATTGGTTCCGCCGCTTTCTGTCTGTGGGGAACGCACAATAGCTCAACCCTTCCGCAGAGGATGATGCACCGGGAATAAGCCGACATCCCGGTACACAACACAAATAACCGTCATCCTGTGGCATTGTTAATAACTCCCTGATCCCCACTGCAACTTCCGCATCACGGACACTGCTGAATAAGGGCAAGGCTTTTCGCGACGGAATGGCTCCGTTGTGAAGCAACAGTGTCCACAGTTTCTTCGGTCTATTACGATCCCGAGTGAAGAATAAATCCTCCGGCCGGAAATGGTTCTCACAGACCAGCGCCCCATCGCTCACGACAAACTCCGGCTTCCATTGGCGGCACGCGGCGACCCACTGGCTGCGCAAAGTGACCTCGGCGGGAAAAGGGAAAAAGGTCAATCGTTCAGATCGTGTCGTGCATCTGTAGTCCAACAGCAGTGGTCGCCACCAACCGCACACACAGCATATCTTCTTCGACTTCAGATCAACCAGTGCCTCCGGATTAAGTGATGTGCGGAAGTCCTGCATGCACTCTAATCGGGACGGTACAGCGGTGGCTTTGGGATGCTTGCGTCCGTTGTAGTCGAAATCCTCAGGATGGAAATGCTGGCTGCAAATTCTATCGTGGAGCCAGGGTTGCCACGACACAGCGCAGCGGATACGGTCCAGCCACTGACTGTACCGCAGCGCGCTGGTGGTTATTACGCAGTGATATGTCACGGTCTTCCCGACAGCGGATGTTTTCCAAACTCGGCATCCCGGTACACAACACGTGGTGTGACTGGTACGCAGAGGGTCCTTGGGAATCACCGCTAACCGCGGGGTAACGGTACAGCTTGGCGGAGCAATTTGCGGTGCCGGCAAAACTATTTCCGGCCCGGCGCTAGAGGCTGCTGCAGGTTCGGCTCGGCGCTGGCCTTTCGATCTAGCTGATGCCTTAGTTTTACCCCGCAAGAGTGGCGTTGCCCCGAGAGCTGTTGGCGGCACACAGGAAACTGCTATTATTTCTGATCCGGCGCTGAATGGCACTGCAGGTGTGACGGGGCGCTCGCTTTCCGTGGAAACTGTAAGATTATCCTTCGGCTGCGAAGTCGGGATCGCAACAGCCGTTTGTGGCGACGGTAGCGGTGGACCGGCGACCTGGTGTTCCTCTGGCACGTGATCAGTCCACAGAGGGAACATTAGCGACGGAACAGCATCGCTCTTCAGCTCTCCACCGCGTCGGTTCGCTACAAAGTCATCCGCTGCAAAATGATTCTGACACATCAGCGACTGTCTGGTTACTTCTCTGCGGCAGTTCTTTTCCACGAGAAATTTCATCCATAACGTGTCCAGGTGGCTGTTGGTGGGGTAAGGATAGAACACCAGCGTTTCGGAGGGTTTCGTCCACCCCGGCTTCCGTTTGGCACCGCATGCGAGGCAGGTCTGCATTCCCGCGACATTTGTTTCTGCCGCGCCCTCCCGCATCCCCGAGTAATGAAAGGCACTGATGCAGGTCAATCGACTGGGCACAGCAAGCGGGTTCAACGTTCGGTTGAACGGAGCGGATGACACACTGCTAAGCGGAACGTCGGAGGCGTCAAAATGCTGATTGCAGATGAACAAGGGCGGCTGCGGCTCCCATGATGTTGTACAACGCAGCCGAGTGACCCAGATGTCGTACTGGAGAGGCTGTGTGGGCGACACGAAGGGGAACAGCGTGGCCAAATTGCGCGAGGCATTCCAGGAGGTGATGGGACAACCGGGGACACAGCAGATCTGCATGGGATCGGCCACTTCGGTTACGCTCTCCAGTTGATTCGGGACATCAACGGCCGTCACCGTCGGGGCAGGAGGAAACACCCTTACAGCAGGAGTATTTTTTCTCGGACCCCGTCGAATAAAGTGTAGCTGTCTACCAGAATTATGTTCATTCTGATGTTCAACTGGTGTTACCGAAGGAATAACGGTACTCGTCGCAGAAGAAATGCTCACAGCTGGAGTAAAATTATTCGCGCGCGATAGAACGGAGTACAAGTGACCATCAGAATTAAGCTGATTCTGGGAATTAAACAGCGCTACCGAAGGGGTGATCGTCACAAAAGGAACATCTGGTGGACGCGGCATGATAGAACGCAGCTGACTCCCAGAGACCGATTGATTAACAGATTTCATTGGCGATGCCCCAGAAGAAATCCCCACAGCATCAGCCATACTTGACGGACGCGGTAGAACAGGGCACAGTTGGGGAGCGATGGCGCTGTCAGTCTGGTCTGGATGGAAGAGGACATCCGGCGATGGGAAGGGGAATGCTGGTGCAGGAGGGACAACCGCCGCGACTGGAAGCTCCGGAATTTTCTCAGCGCTCGGTTTGGTGTTCTGGCTGTTCGGTTTGGCTAATTTTATGATTTTGGCGACAGGAGCTGGAGTCGTAGGAGTGCGTCGAGGAGGCAGGGATTTCCGCTTTAAAGAAGAGGCGAGCCTATCTGCATCATCCGCACTGCGCTTCCTCGCATCTGCAGAGTTAGGGGTATGTAAGTACTTGTTCAGAAATCACAAGAAAAACACAAAAACAAAAGCAATATGCGGCAACTGTTAAAACAAAATAATAAATCACGAACTGAAACATGCCCATTCTGGTCGGAATATAACCATTCCGTAAATTAAACATAACATTAAACTTACAATACAGTGAAAATTCAGCAAAAGTTACTAAAATTAGTGAAGTAAGAAGCCCATTTTGAAGACATGAAACCAAGGCGTTGCCGTTTGTTAAAAGCATACTGAATAAAGTTATCAATCTAAAAATTAAAAATAATAGTACCCAGTGGCACCTAGTAAGAGTGGTAATTAATTATTGAACTTTTTTTACCATTATTTAAAATTATGGAAAGTATGGTTTAAAATTAATGCCGTCGTCGTAAAAGACGACGAATCTGTCTTGTAGTTGGTGTGAGCCGACAAAACCAACTGCTGGGCTCATGTCATATTTCAAATATTTCAACGGCTAATTACTGTTCATTCCTAAAACGGCGATTATTAATTTGTTACAGCCGCAATACTCACTGGAAGATCCGATGATCGAACCGCCTGGACGAGAGCGAGACTCCCGCGGGGGATCCACACGCGCTGGCAGACCTTTGAAGAAACACGGCGACGTCAGAACAGATGCCTCGCGTACACTGCACTGCGTGAAATTTCACTACTCACTGTTTGAGCCGATTTCCGGGCTGTCTGGTCGCGGAACAGACTCCACGGGCGGTTGCAGGCTGCGCGGGATGCCTTCGAAGAGACTCGGCAGCGCATCGTGTTTGAGACGCTTCTCCGTCTTCTCGCAGTCCTCGGCTGACGGCACGGAGAGGATATCCGTAGAGCAAAAGTGTCGACTGCAGATCTTGCTGGCTGCGGATGGAGTCCAGTCTTTTGCACGCCGAGTGCGCTCAATCCAGACGGGATAGCGCGGGTCGCTCGGATGCGGGAAAGCGAAGAAACACACGCTGCGCATCGAACGGGATGGCTCTGACAAGGGACACTGCAACACGCAGCACACGTCGCCGTTTGCCATTCTGCAATGGATCTGCGAAATGCAGGCTATTTATAATATAAAGTCAAACAGCGAAAGAGACGGAAGTTTCGTCATGGAAAAGAGATCCAGTTGAGCTACCAAAACACGATCACGAGTGACGAGTACGGCGTCTTTCGCACGACTTTCCACTACGAACAACTTTAGTCGATGCGTCAAGAAAAAATGGCTCTTTCAAAAGCCTGCACGAAGATTAATGACTTAATTCTCAACCGAACAAATGAAGCACCATCCAAGTATGGCAGACAAATAAAAATTGCTGGAGCCATGAGCATAAATGGCAAACGGATCACAAAACTTGAATCAAAAATCAAAATTCAAAAGCAACGACTGCAACGTGCACCAGTTTGCAGATTCATTTACGACCATAAGTGACGTACGCGCGGAAGACGTTGCTGCCACCCGTCGGGTGGTCATGGCGACCCACGAACATTTTCTGCGAAGTGGAACGAATCTTGTTTTTCACAGTTCCGTTCGAAGTTTCGATTTTTCTACAATTTGCGTTTGAGAATATGTGACCGTTGGTTTTCAACCAAAAGAAATTATTACAACGATAACTTTGAAGAAACGAGCTATGTTTATTTCACAGATCCCTGGTGTTTTACATCTAAATTTTGGTTAAGTACAGTAATAGAGATATACGTAGATTGAAAAAGTTTTTGCCGTTTCAGATACCAGGGTCAGTCCGCATTTTGTTGTACGCATGTCAGTACGCTTTCAGTTGCAGCAGCGCGTACTCCACACTGCCGCTTCCGAAAGTGCGACCTCCATGCGTCAGCCAGTCAGGTACAGTTCTGATCATTAACAGCTGTTTTGTAATGCGTGCCACTGCACTGCATTATTACTCTTCGCTTGTGCTTCGATTTCGCTAATAACCTGTTGCACCCTAATCTCTATCGTGGCTATTCTCTTTTTCGCTTTAAAAATGTACAGAGTAATGAGAGTGTATATTTCGTACTATCAACTGACTGACCACGGGTTGAAATTATACAAGTTTGATGTGGATTATTCCTCGGTCCGATGTAATCCACGCATCAATGATGCTAATAAGTTATCACATCCCGAAGCAGTAAACAAAAGATTCTTAACAATCAACAAATCTTGTGGAAAAAAATTCTTTGTCACAAGATGCAGCAGCCATCGACATGAAATGAGCAAAACCGGCACCAGATTATAGTATTTCAATATTATACGTATTAATCCAAAATTTGTACTAGCTCATCTTTTTGCGTCATCAAACACCCGATTTGTGTCGTGACGGAGCCTCCAGTATTTCCGGCGAAGATTCCCGGTAGACTGTTACATTATTCTCCATTGCGTAGCGGAGATTCGTACAAATTTACATGCCGCTGTTATGCTCTTTCGCATGCACCACCAACAATGCTTTCGCCAAAAAGATGGCACCACAGACGCCGCACACACATTTCGCGCTGACATTGCTGTTCTGGCCCGACTGATGCCGCCCATCCACACTGTTGGACAGTGCGGCCGCATGACTGCGTCCTATGTGGCCCGGCAAGTGGCCAAACCAGCGATTGCAGTGCGAACATTTATCCGTCGTCCTCCCATGTTGGTCCACGTGAACCACCAGCTCCCTAACGTTTTTGAACGATTTGTTACAATGGGGACATCGCCGTTCACGGGGATGCTGAATTGCGATGTTCCCGTGTTGTAAAACATGCAACTGGCGCAGCGCTTCCGCTGTGAACCGCATTCCGCATTCGTCGCAAGTGAAGCTCTTAATGAACGTCAGATTCAAGTGCTTCTGCAGTAATACAGAAGATTATTAAAAACAGTGTACTACTTCAGTTTTTAAATTACCAGTCAGGGTCAATATGGGCAAACGCTAACATTCACTTCACACTTGTGTTATGCCAATAATTACATACTTTCTGATGATCGGACAGGTTAGACTGCTGCTCAAACTCTTTTCCGCAATCCTGACAACTGTGTCGACATGCAGTAGTGGTATTAGATGATCCCCGCAACCCCATGAAGCGAACTGCAGACCGCAATGGCTGCAGGTGACACCGTCAACGAATGCCTGCCGCACTGAGCGTGCGGCTTCCACCACTGACTTCTATAAAAATTAAATAAATCTGCCCAATAATATCACAAGTATAATCGCATATGCTGCCAAACCCAATTTATACGCCTGTAGCCGCGATTTAATTCGCTGCATACGGCATAAGCAAAGGTCCGGACAAAGTTCGATACCATTTGGTTGGAAGCAACTATACCAGTTACCTTTCTTGTCAACCGGCAGCTCGCTTCTGTCCGGCGAAATTGTAATGGGTGGAGCCTCTACAACCTCCGGCGACGCTTCCAGAGAATCCCCTTCATCTTCCTCCTTGTCCGAAGGCAGAGCGCCGTCATTGGTACAGTGTCCCGCTATATGCAGCTTCAATAATTCATTAGTCAGAAAGATGGCCCCGCAGAAGCCACACAGAAATTCCTCGTGGATGGCGCTGTTCTCATTGTCGGAAGGCTCCTCCACCCCGTCACAGTCCTTTCCCTCAGTTTTCCAGGATTCCGACTGGATATCCACTCCTCGATGTTCACGCCTGATATGACGGCGCAGGTGCCCGGTGTCTAGCCACTGGCTACACACAGGGCATTGCTTGGTGGGCCGTCCATGGTGTCCCAAGTGGTCCAGCAGCTCCGCCACATCCTTAAACGTGTGCTGGCATTCCGGACAGGTCGTCGTCTCGCACGGCGGCTTTTCGTCGCCGGTGTGCAGTTGGTGTTTCAGCTTGTGTAGTTCGCACCCGGCATCCGTCCCAAACCGTAGACCACATTCCTGACAGGTCTGATTGTACGTCGTCCCGTTAGTCGTATGGCTCTGTAAAACACCGCATACACCGTCCACTAGTTCAATAAAAATGAAAAACTGTCATCCGAAAAATGCACATGAAAAGTTAATGAAAATGTCCAAAAAAACTTTTATACGAAATTTTCTCTTTACAGAAACAAATGACTTAAATTTTTGTATTTCTTGCCCTTTACTCGTGATCTTTTTTTGCTTGAAAACGCTGTTTTTATGAAAATTAAGTACTTTCTTTCGGAAGAAAAAACTGATACCAAATTTCCGGTTGAAATCTTATTTTCATTTTCTTCTGCTATATACATTTATCTCGTGACTTTTATTTGGATGGTGTGACCGAACGCACAAACCTTGAGATGCGCCTGTAAGCTAATCCGCAGTGCAAATCGTTTCCCACACTGCCGGCAGGAAAATTTCTTCGTCCCCGGCTCAGCAGAACCACTGCCACCGTCTGCGTAGCGATTCCGTGTAACTTCCGGATGGTTTGCGTAGATATGTTGGCGCAGCGCACCGAACCATTTCCCGCACACCGGACACAGCTTCGTGGGCGTCCCGTGCGTGTCGACATGCTGCGCCAGTTGGCGACACTCGTCGAAGGTGCGCGGACAGGCGGGGCACGCTCGCTGCTGACTAGCGGCGGAATCGTCGCGCGTCTGATGATTCATCTGGTGCAGCCGGCACAGCTCTTGCGTGGCGAACCGTAAACCGCACTCGGTACATGTCAGTTTCGTGTACCCTGTCGTCCTCGTAAATTCCGGCCGATGACTCTACGACAAGCCATAACAAATCGACATGTTGCCGGTTCGACATCACTGAAAATTCCTCACCTGCATGTGTGTTTGTAAACCGTTCTGTGACTCATACTGTTCATGGCCCTCCGGGCAACGATACGCATAATCCGAAAATTTTTGTTTAGTAGACGACATTTTGGGTTTTTGTTTGGTTGATGATGATTTCTGAGACTTCGCACGTTGGCACAGTTTACCGGTCTGGATAGGATGTTCCGGATGAAAACTACGAATATGTGCCTCCAACCATGCGAACCATTTTCCACAGACGGGACACTTCTCACTACGGGAGTGTCCCTTCACGTGTTTTATCAGATCCTGCACGTCTATAAACGATTTACCACACAGGGAACACCTTCTGCGCCCTTCTAAACCGTTCAAAGACGCTTTGGCCCCGTCGGGAATTTCCGGGAATTCACATGCGGCATCTAAACCGACTCGTCCATCACTCTCGCCAATAAAACAGCCATTTTCGCCGAGGCTCTGGAATACAGAAAATATTCACGTAACTCTCATTTCCATGTGAGCCAATTAACCGCAGAACAAGGAACTCACCGTTTCCGGTTCCCATAAGCTATCCTGCAGTTCAAATGCCTTCAACGGCATCGTGGAATGATTTGTAGACCGCTTCATCAAAGCTGTTTCTTTGTCCACAGGACCATCATCCGACATTTCCTCGTCGGAAGCCTGCTCTTCCTGACAATCATCGCTTACCATTCCACTCTCTTCCTCTGCGCCTGCCAATGGTCAGAAACCACACTGGATGCTTCATTAACCTTCCAGGAAATTTTTCACTTACCAAGTGTTTCTCCATCAAAGCAAAGATCGGCAGTGGTTGCAGGAGTAACGAGATCCAAATACTGTCTGGAGTACCACACTCGCAGTTCTTCGTGCGAGGAGATGGTTCTGCTTGTGACGAAGACGATCTCGCATCCGCGCGCGAACACCAGCAAATTGCTCGCTTCCTCGCTGTCCGCCAGTCGCACGTGCTTCATCCAGTTGCAGGCGTAATCCGAATCCAGCTGGTACTGCTTGCGCTTGGCATCCTCACCCAAATCGGAAACATCCATGTAACGGGGTTTATCTTCGTCGCTCCACACCGTTGGAGCGATTAACGGGCCAAACACTGTCTGCCGCTCCATCGTTTCTTTGACAAATACAGTCTTTCCTAAACACAGCATGTTTCTAACACAGCATTTTAACACAACACACCATTTTTATGCAATCACAAAGAGATTGATCTTCATATAATTTATTATTAATTATGTATTTGTAAATCTGAAAATAATTGCTTACCGGTCGGCGATTCATCACAGACGTCCATATATAAAACTCTGGGCAAGCTAGCGACTGCCAATGGAATGACCGGTTCGTCCAGGATACTGTCCGAATGTATCCAACAAGGCGTTTGCATCACCTTGGAACATGATTCGCAGTCTACGTGTTTCAAGAAACAAAGACAATAAAGTTAATGCGAAACGCAATCGGAGTATGCATCCAAAAGTCAGATTAATTTTACATACACAAGAAGGAATTACTGGATGCAGTTAGCGTGGGCGGGCCGTTGACTGCGTTTCCGGGGCGCCTGTGAGGCTGAACCACAACCGCTGGTATCGCCGATGGGACAAACGCTACAACAACACATTTAAAACAATTTCTAAAGCCATCTAATTCATTAGCGCAAGGAGCTTACAAGCAGCCGCAGAATCCTCATCGCCTGGAAGACCGTTGTGGGACACAACCTGTTGATTCGACGGGACAGACGGAGTACGGGAGGAAGACGCCGGTGTTGAGCAACCTTCCAGAGAGACACTATCTTTCATCTGCAACTCACTGCTTCCATTCACAGCTGTCGTTTCTTCGTCGCTTTCCATATCACTGGATTCAAACGGAAGCCCTGCGTCTGGTGCCAAAGAATCATCAATGCTATGATCACCAACTGGGTGTACACGGAGACCAGTGCGTGCATTATTACCGGTAGGGTAAATGTCGAAGGATTTCACTGACGGGACGGCCGTGCCCTTTAGCATGATCGTGGATTCGCTTCCGGCGCGTGGTGTGACCACCATCAAGTCATCTGGTGTAAAGTGATTTTCGCACACCGACGATCCAGCAGAGAGGACAAAATCCCGATTCAGCTTCCGGCACGCCACGATCCATGCGTTGCATAGGGCGCCGTCGGTCGGGAATTCGAAAAAGTTCAATCTTTCCGACCGTTTACAAGGGTCTGTTGAGCGCCACCAGCGACATACCGAGCAACTGCGGACTGCGTCATTCAACAGCTGGGCATTTGCTGGCGTGCGGAACTTTTCCACGCATTCCATTCGCGAGGGAACAGCATCGGGCTTTATCCGAACGCCTGGGACGGCACTGGAAAAAAAATCCTGGGCCGTGAAATGTTGACTGCACACCAAATCGTGGCCATCACGGGGCTGCCAAGAAGCGGCGCAACGCATGCTGCTGATCCATTTGTTGCGCAGCTTTCCTTTACAGGGGAAGAAAAAATACGCCGACTTTCCGGCCGAGAATGGGTCGGAAACAGTCTGGCATCCCGGCACACAGCACACATGACGGTAACTCTGGAGCGCTGATGTTTCCTCTGGGACATTACTACATAAGGGCAAGGCTTTTTGTGAAGGAATCGCGCCGCTTTTAAGAATAACCGTCCAGGGCTTACCGTCCAGGACGAAACTTGTCGTGAGTGCTGGACAAATCATCCGGCCGGAAATGGTTCTCACACAAAAGCGTAGCATCTGTAAGGACAAAATCCGTTTTCCATTGGCAACAGATGGCTGTCCACAGGCTGCGCAGAGTAACATCGGTGGGAAAAGGGAAAAAAGTCAATCGCTCAGATCGTGTCGTGTTGGCCACCAAACACGGTCGCCACCAGCCGCAAACACAGCATATGTTCGCATTATTTAGGCCAACGGATTCTGCCGGATTCCAGGGTGTGCGAAACTTCTGCATGCAATCTAACCGAGATGGCACAGCGGTGGCTTTTAGACGCCTGTATGGCGGGCCGTCGAAATCTTCGAGATTGAAGTGCTGGCTGCAAACTCTATCGCTTAGCAAGGGCTCCCATGAGACCGCACAGCGGATACGGTTCAGCCACTCATTGCGCCGCGGACCGATGGTGGTTGGTATAGAGTGACACCCCACAGCCTTCCAGTTTTGTCCAGGGGCACTTTTCCAATCCCGGCATCCTGGCACAGAACAGGGGATGTAACCTGCGCACAGAGGATTACTGGGAATCACAGCTAACCGTGGAGTATCGCCACAGCTTGGTGGAATGTATGGCGCCAAGGAACCAATATTAGCTGGTGGAATATTTCTCGGTTGCGATTTTCGGATCGCAATTCCTTGCGGCGTAGAGGAAACTGTTTGCGGTGCAGCGACAGAGACTGCTGATGCAGTTCGGTCCTGGCCTCTTGATCGAGCTGGTGTCTCAGTCTCGCGCTGCAAAATTGGACTCGTCGTAGCAACGGTTCGCGGAGCACAGGAAACTACTATTTCTGATCCGGCGTTGAATGGTACTTCTGGTATGGCTCGCCGCTCGCTTTCAATTGGAACCGAAAGACTGTTCTCCGGATGCGAAGATGGGATCAGAACAGCAGCCGTCTGAAGCGACGGTAGCGGTGGACAGGCGGCCTGTTGTCCGTCGGGCACGTAATCTGTCCGTAGAGCGAACATCAGCGACGGAACAGCATCGCACTTCAGCTCCCCACCACGCCGGTTCGCTACAAAGTCATCCGCTGCAAAATGATTCTGACAGATCAGCGACTGTCTGGTTACTTCTGAGAAGCAGTTCTTCCCCGCGAGAAATGTCTTCCATAACGCGTCCAGGTGGCTGTCGGTCGGAAAAGGATAGAACACCAAAGTCTCCGAAGGTTTCGTCCACCCCGGCTTCCGTTTGGCACCGCACACGAGGCAGGTCTGCATCCCCGCGACATTTAATTCTGCCGCTCCCTCCCGCAATCCCGAGTAATGAAAGGAACTAATGCAGGTCAGTCGACTGGGCACAGCAAGAGGGTTCAACGTTCGGTTGAACGGAGCGGATGACACACCGCTGAGCGGAACGTCGGAGGCGTCAAAATGCTGACTGCAGATGAACAAGGGCGGCTGCGGTTCCCATGATGTTGTACAACGCAGTCGAGTCACCCAGACGTCGTACTGGAGAGACCGTGTAGGCGACACGAAGGGGAACAGCGTGGCTGAATTCCGTGCGGCATTCCACGATGTGATCGGACAACCGGGAACGCAGCAGATCTTCATGGGATCAGCCACTTCGGTTACGCTCTCCAGTTGAATCGGGACATCAACGGGCGTTACCGTCGGGGCAGAAGGAAACGTCCTGACAGCAGGAGTAACAATTTCCGGAGGTCGTTGAATGGAGCGCAACTGGCTATCTGAATTGTGCAGATCCTGATGATCAACTGGTGTTACGGCTGGAGTTAACGAGACGACAGGAGTACTCGTCGCAGGAATGCCCACAACTGGAGTAAAATGATTCGCACGCGATAGAACGGAGTACAAGTGACCATCAGAGTTAAGCTGATTCTGGGAATTAAAAAGCGCCACCGAAGGAGTGATCGTCACAAAAGGAGCATTTGGTGGACGCGGCATGATAGAACGCAGCTGCCTCACAGAGACGGATTCATTATGGGATTTAACTGGCGCTGCCGCAGAAGACATCATCACCGAAGAAATCCCCACAGCGTCAGTCGCATTAGACGGACACGGTGGAATAAGGCACAGCTTCGGGGCGATGGCGCTGTCATTCCGGTCTGGACAGAAGAGGACATCCGGTGATGGGAAGGGAAATGCTGGTGCAGGAGGAACAACCGTAACGCTGGGTAGCTGCGGAGCTTTGTCGGCGCTCGGTTCGGTGTTTTGGCTGTTCGGTTTGGCTAATTTTATGATCTTGGCGACAGGAGCTGGAGTCGCAGGAGTGCGTCGAGGAGGCAGGGATTTCCGTTTAAAAGAACAGGCGAGTGCATCCGCGTCATCCGCACCGCGCTTCCTCGCATCTGCAGAGTTAGATGTATGTACGTACGTCAAGTACTTGTACCGAAATCAGAAGAAAACCACGAAAACAGTATGCGGCAACTATTAAAATGAAATAACAAACCACGAATTGAAACATGCCCATTGAGGTGGGAACACAAACAATCCGTAAATTAAACATCAGTTTACTTACAATACAGTGAAAATTCAGCAAAACGTTACCAAAATGAGTGAAGTAAGAAGTTCATTTAGAACACGTGAAACCAAAGCGTTGCCGTTTGTTAAAAGCATACTGAATTAAGTTATCAATCTAAAAATTAAAAATAATAGTAGTGGTACCTAGTAAGAGTGGTAATTAATTATTAAACTGATTTTACAATTTATTTAAAACTATGGAAAGTGTGGTTGGAAATTATGGTTCAAAATAATTAATAATGTCGTCGTAAACGATGCGATATGGCCGACAAAGCCAACTGCTGGGCTCATGTCATATTTCACCAGGTAATTACTGTTCATCCCTATAACGGTGATTGTTAATTTGTTAAAGTGGATAAAGTGGACCACACCCGGGCTAGGAACATAAAACGCCATAACTGCGTTGGGCATTTCCATTGCGGGCGGTGTCCAAGCGGGCGGCGAGATCGACATCTTAGCGAACGAGGGCTGTATTGGACGGAGTGACAGGGATTTCGCAGGTTGACATGGACGCTTGGCAGGGACATCGGGCGTTGTGCCTGCAATTCTCTGCTCTCTGGAGCGTCGATTCTTGAACCACACCTGTATGCGCTTGTCGTCCTCGCCCGCGTCAATGATGTCGGCCAACTCCAGACGTTGTGTGTGGCTAGGATAGCGGCATTTCTGGAAGAACGCCTCCAACTGCTGAAGCTGGACTTTGCGGAAGTGATTACGGTGAGCAGTTTTACGGCGCGTTGCAGAATTGGCGGTTGGACGCGGATGCAGATTAGGTGTGGTAGAATCCGTGGTGGTCGGCGTATTCACGGCATGATGAAAATTGTCCTTCTGCAGCGCTGAAGTCCTTGTGCTGGGTTCACTACTAGTAGTTGATGCTGATCCAGAGCTTTCACTGGAATCGTCGCTTTCACACAACATGACGCCGTAGCCATTCGAGTAAACTGAAACGGATCCAGGCGAATCGGCCGAGGGATTTTCTTCCGTTCCATCTTGAATAGGAACGATTCCCCCGCTAACTAACATTTTTAAGCTCAAAACCGAGTTTACTGAAAAACAGAGGCAAGAAACCAAGTACTTTTAAAATACAGCCGCAATACTCACTGGAAGATCCGATGATCGAACCACCTGGACGAGAGCGAGACTCCCGCGGGGGATCCACACGCGCTGGCAGACCTTTGAAGAAACACGGCGACGTCAGAACAGATGCCTCGCGTACACTGCACTGAGTGAAATTTCACTACTCACTGTTTGAGCCGATTTCCGGGCTGTCTGGTCGCGGAACAGACTCCACGGGCGGTTGCAGGCTGCGCGGGATGCCTTCGAAGAGACACGGCAGCGCATCGTGTTTGAGACGCTTCTCCGTCTTCTCGCAATCCACGGCTGACGGCACGGTTAGAATATCCGAGGAGCGAAAGTGTCGGCTGCAGATCTTGCTGGCTGCGGAAGGAGTCCAGTCTTTGGCACGCTGAGTGCGCTCAATCCAGACGGGGTACCGTGGATCACTCGCATGCGGGAAATTAAAGAAACACACGCTGCGCATCGAACGCGAGGGTGCTGACAACGGACACTGCAACACACAGCACACGTCGCCATCCGCCATTCTTGAAATAATCTGTGGAATGCAGGCTATTTAGAAGACAAAGTCAAACAACGAAAGGTTTCCCGTTTCCCCATGAACAGATCCAGTTGAGCTGCCAAAATACGATTACGGCGTGCAGCGCTTTCAGACGACTTTCCACTCCGAACAACTGTAGCCTGTAGTCGATGGGTCAAGAAATAATGAATATTTCAAAAACGACAGAATGACAGAATTCTCAACCAAAAAAATGAAGCACCATAAAAATAAGCTGCTGGAGCCATGACCATAAATATGTAACAAACGGATCACAAAACTGAAAAAGGCACAAAAATCAAAAACACCTTGCAGCAGTTTGCAGATGCATTTACGACCGCAAGTGACGTAGGCGCGGAAGATGTTGCGCCACCCGTTGGGTGGTCATCGCAGCGTAGGTACATCAGAAAAGCCGTGGTCATTGTGACCTACGAACATACCGCAATATGGTTTTTGTTTTTCAGAGTCCGTTCGAATTCTACTTTTTCTGACCTGTGAGAAGTTACGGTAGTTCAACTATTTTGTATTAATTTTCATTGGAATGTGAGGAAACCTTCGTCTTCTTCCGCTGGTTGATAGATCCTCGGAAATGGCAGGACAGCGACGGACGTCTGCTGTGTGCTGCAGTGCCCTTGTCTGAACCATCGCGTTCGATGTACGCCACTTAGCCTTTAGGCACTTACTTTATGCCAGGAGGTGATTTTGAAAAGCGCATTGGGCAAACCCGCAGCAGTAAGTGGCGTTCTTTCGATTCGCAGTGTGTGACACACTTTCGATTTAGACACCGCGGCGTACGCAGCGGTGTCCCCATTGCAATAAACCGTTCGACAGAAAAATACAATCTGACTAAATGAGGAGGCTACGGTCTATGTTAAAAAGCCAGCGAACAGCCTTTTATGCCCGCTGAGGCTGGTTGATCAATGCAGCCTCTCTGTTGTGACTATAAATAGACTGAAGACAGCGCATTCCGGTGCTGCCAAAAAGCGCAAGCGGAGTGCTGCCTTGCTGTAACGATCGATCGCGCACATGTGTGTGTGAGTGGGTAAATCCGCTCGCATTCACTTACACACGTATGAGTGTGGCTGTCTGTGCGCGTACTAGCTGAACAAACCGGTTTTCGCTGTCTTCGCTACAACGCATACCCTAAACCCGTAGCTTCCTTTCTTGCTCGCATTGTATCTCTCTGACCAAGGCAGATCTCAATACAGGCAACCCCACTGAGGGCGGGATTTGCAATGACGAAAGCGCTAGAGTAACCCAAATTGCCGAAGAACACCGTAAAAGCCTGAGTTTTTTAAGCTTTTCAAAGCTTATTTGTGTTTCTTTACTCGTTTTCACTCTTTTATTGCAGTTGGGATTTTATTTCTAATATAAAATAAGCAATAGGAAGAGGCAACATGATTAAGTACGGTGCGGCAAGTTGCAAAGCGGCTGTTGGCAACTTGGTTTCTACCGGTATACGGCAAAATTATTACTGCACGAGTTGGTTTTGTTGATTTATTCCAACAAAACTTTTCAAAATCTAAGAAAAAAATGAAGCAGATACTGAACTGAACAATTTGCAAAATTAAAGAACTAATTGGGACTAATTTACATGGAGAGTACCGAGATTGTATAATCACGCATCGGTGATTTAATATGAACAGTTGCACACAGTACCGCACAGTGCACAACTGCACATTGCATTCGTATGGGGAAAATTATTAAAAAATAGTGAGAAATTGATTTTAAGTCATGCACGTTGCATATTTAAAGGTTTTTTATTTATAAAAATAGAGGAAGTTAATACGCATATTTTGCAGTTCGAATCCCATTCAACCGAAACAGAAAAAGGGGAGCAAACCGATTTTTCCCAGCATTTTACTATAGCCGCGCTAATATGCGAGCTACTGTACTGATGACGTAACGAGTCAGTGGTATTGCCTGTATTGAGATCTGCCCTGCTCTGACGAACGAATTGTTGGCGGTGCATACTATGTATGTCAACGCGGGAACTATTATATTTTTGTGATAACTTGGAAGAAGCCATCCGTTTTTATTTCACAGCGTATTGATGTATCTACATCTGAATGTTAGTAATGCAAAAATAAGTAGAATGAAAAAGTTTTAGCCGTTTCAGACGTCAGGGTCAGTCCGCATTTCGCTGTACGCATGTCGGTGCACTTTCAGTTGCGGCAGCGCGTACTCCACGCTGCCACCCCCGCAGTGCGCGCTCCATGCGTCAGTCAGTCAGGTGCATTTCTGATCATTAACAGCTTTTTCGTAATGCGTGCCACTGCACTGCATTATCACTCTTCGCTTGTGTTGAGTTCAGTAGTAACCTGTTGCACTCTATCGCGGCAAATTCACTGGCAATTCTTTTTTTCGCTTTAAAAATGTGCTTTTCGTATTATAAACTGATTGACTATGAGCCTAAAATTAACAAAGATCAAAGATGTCTATAAAATTGGCTGCAGTATGGGAATTGCAGGACGATAAGTAAAAATTAAATTGGATGCATGGGCGATAGTACAGTCAGGCTCAGTCAGCGTACCAGTAGTACTCAAAATCTATTATTTCAGTAAAAGAACCCTGACAATCACATAACGATGATTTATTACTGTAAAAATAATAAGCACGGTTTTATCGCGAACATTGACAATCACAAAATTGCCTTTTGCATTCTGCAAGCTAAACCGATGTCACAGTAACGCGGTCATTCAATATCTCTGAGGCTGCTGTGATAAAAGACATCAACAAAATACTGTACAGTTACGAAACAGTAAACAGAAAAATCCCCATTCTAAATAAACCTGTGCAACAGATTCTTTGGTCACAATGTAATTACAGCAATAGCCGACACGAAATGAGTAAAAACGACGCCAGCACACCGACTCAAGAAGGCGCGGAAGTTCCGCTGAATGCATCACAGTCCGGAATGTACAACAACTCTGTGCAGCTACTCTGGTCCGATCCAGTCAAACCTACAAAAGATTGCCTCGTCAAATACGCATCGTGTGAAAACAACATATACGAGGTAAAATAACGACCAAAGCAATAAAACACCGGTTAACCAAAATCATTCTCGCTGAACATTTTAATACTGCAAGCTGAACATTTTAATAAGCAAGCTGTGGTACTTCGTATAATTAATTACCCTTGACGTCATGAGGCGCCGCAGTTTTCTTGTGTCCTACAGCGATGACTCCAATATCTCTGGCGAGGATTCCCGACAATCTTCAACATGCTTCTCCATATCGCAGCCAACAGTCGCAGTCATTCCGACGTAGCCGGTGTGTTCTCTGGCATGCACCGCCAACAAGTTCCTGTCACAAACACAGCCCCGCAAATGCCACACAGACACTTGTTGCTGATCTCGCCGTTGCTTTGATCCGACTGCTTCTGCGCATTCACACTGTCGGACACGACGGACAGTAATCCTGTGTGATGGCGTCGCATGTGGCCGGGTAGGTGGCCGAACCAACGATTACACGGCGAACATTTATCCGTCGTCCTCCCATGCTTGTCCACATGATCCACCAGCTTTTGCAACTTATCGAACGGTTTGTTACAATGGGGACATCGCTGCGTGCCCTGTTCGCGGCGCTTCCGTGATCCACTACTATCGGCGTTTCTGTGTTTCAATACATGCAAGCCATGGAGCGCTTCCGTTGTGAATCGCATTCCGCATTCGTCGCAAGTGAAGCTGTTAATGAACGTCAGATTCAGGTGTTTCTGCAACAATATAAACTAAATACACTGCATTGTTGCAAAAAAAACTGAAAAAACAGGAAAAAATTTTCAGTCTGCAAAAAAATAATTTTTTATTAAACTTTCTTTAAAATTTAAAGCAATTTATATACATCAGTAAAACAGGTGTTCATTTGCTGTACCGACTGATGCTCGGACAGCGCCGAGGGATGTTCAAACTCCTGCCCGCAGTCCTGACACCGACAGTGTCTGCTGCCGTTTGAATTCACCCTGCTAGATGATCCCAACAAAGCAGTGTCGCCATTATCGCTACTGAAACATTCCAGCTGCAAAGATGATCCGCACTGTCCACGCCGCAGATGTTCAGCCAGATTGTCGAACCACTGACAACAAACGCGGCATTTCTCCGTCGGTCGCCCATGTTCTTCCACGTGATCGAGCAGTCCTGCACAATTGTCAAAGGTGTCACCGCATTTCGGACAGGTTACGTCATTGCCCATAGCCGCGTCATTCGGGTCCGGAGTGTGCTTCAGGCGGTGCAGGCGGCTGACCATATACGATCGAAATCGCAGACCACATTCGTCGCAGGTTAGACTGTCGTACACCGGCGTTCTTGGCTGATGGGTCTGACAAAAATAGCAGATCGTGTCAACCGAATCGCGCACTAACGTTGTGGTGTTACAAGTTACAACTAACGAACCTGTTCGTGTGCTTGCAAACCCGTCGGCGATGGAAATTTTTTATTGCAAGCTGAACAGTGAAAGTTGTTCGTTTCCTGATCACCCGCACAAATGTCGGCGGTGGAAGGACGCCGCGGTAATGTCGTTTCGCGCACAGGCACCACCGTTTGTGCTAGTGTTTGACTAGAGCGATTGCGCCTTATTCCATGGACTTGGCGGATGTGCGCCTCCACATCCCGTGGCGCAAAGCGTTTACCGCACATTGGGCACTTCTCCGTCGCAACTCCATGGACCTCGATGTGAACCATCAATTCTTCTAGTTCCGCAAACTTTTCGCCACACTGCACACAGGCTCGACTGTTCCGGAAGTAGTCGAGTGATTTACTGTCTCCGTGTTGCATCTTATGCAATCGGCACAACACAGCTAAACTGAAGCGTCGGCCACACTGATCACACGTCAAGGCCTCCTTATTATGGATCTACAAATTAACATTTAGTCTTTAAAAGAAAACCAGTCGCATACCCGCCGAATCGAACAGCACCTTGATTTTATGGATTTTCAGATGATCGGATATCCGAAATCTCTTCTCACACTGGCGACAGTGAAACGCCGCATCGGAAGTGACCGCAGCCTGGTTTCGCGGTTGATCATCGTAATCCCTGAGAGAAAGCCCAGGGTGATCGCGGCTGAAATGCTCCTCCAAGGACACAAACCACTGCTGACAGGCCGGACATTTTTGCGTCAATTTCCCGTGCTCCGCGACATGCTTCACCAGCTGCTCGAATTCAGCGAATGTCTTCCCGCAAGGTGGGCATTTTCGTAGAATGCACAGGTTGGGAAAGGCGCAAGAGGGATCCCCCTCATAGTAGGGGATCGCATCGCTGTTGTGTTTCATTTTATGAACAGCGCACAACAGAGTCGAAGCGAATTGCAGACCGCATTCGCTGCAAGTGACACTGTCAGTGAATGCCTGCCGCATTGATTGAGTGGCTTCAGTCCCATTCTCCTTCTAAAAGGAGAAAAAATCCCAAATAACATAAGATTTTTTTGAATAAATCAAATCCTTATTGGCACCTTTTTTTCGGCGGCGTAGAATTTCGCATGATATCGCCGGATGTGATCCTTCAGTACAGTACATCGCTGATCACACAGTGGACACCGGCGTGTTAATTCCCCGTGTAAATCAACATGCTGTATCAGATCACGTAAATAATCGAATCTGGCGTCGCATCCAGGACATTCGTGCACACTGGGCTGAGTGTCGGCTGCAGTGGCCGGTTGATAACTGAGTTTGTGAATTTCCAGGACGGCCTTATTCGAAAACCGGAGACCGCACTCGTGGCAAGTGTATAAGTTGTACAGCACCTGGCCGGTCGACTGCGCCTAAGCGTAAAGAAAAAATTCCTACAAAGTACAAACCACTCAGAAATCATGTAAACCGTAACTACATACAGCAGGCATGCGAACGTGATCACGTTTCGAAACAGGCGGCCATTTCTTCCGAGCACGGCCGTGACCTTTTCTCGGAGGAGGTGGCCAGTTCTTGTGTGGTCTCACTTTCATCGACAGCGTAGTGGTATTCTTAGAAGAAGAGGAAATGCCATTCGGCAGAGCCGGTTCATTAACGATTTCTTCGTCTGAAGGGATACCGAACAGGTCTTCATAAATATCCCCGCAACCTTTAAGATCTCCTCCAGATGCGCCTAGAAGTCCTCACAAATTACACTAGCAAAATTACCTTCATCATATCCAAAATTTCTCCTTATTACCCGGTGTCACAAAATCACAATCAGGATCCGGAGTCGGTGTCAAAGTACCGATGTGTTCCTGTAAGGATGCATCATCCAGCATTTCTTCATCCCAGTGATCAGGCAACGATTCTTCCTTAATAGCGCCGTCTAGCATTCCTCCCATTGCATCAGTGCCTGAAATCCATCAACCCTAGTTCTTGTGGCATCCAATGTAATTTTCTATATCCCAAACTTAAAATGTGTTCCTACTGAACTGTACCGGTTGCTACGCCTTCCGAACCCATGTTATGAATGATTGCAGGAGTGATGAGATCCAGATACTGTCTGGAATACCACACCCGCAGTTCTTCGTGCGGGGAGATGGTTCTGTTTGAGACGAAGACGATCTCGCATCCGCGCGCGAACACCAGCAGATTGCTCGCTTCCACGCTGTCCGCCAGTCGCACGTGCTTCATCCAGTTGCAGGCGTAATCCGAATCCAGCTGGTACTGCTTCCGCTTGACGTCCTCGCCCAAATCGGAAACATCCACGTATCGAGCTTTCTCTTCGTCGCTCCACACGCTTGGAGCGATCAACGGGCCGAATACTGTGTGCCGCTCCAGCATTTCTTTCACAAACACAGTCTTTCCTAAACACAACATAGTGTGCCAAGTTTTATACGTTTTATTGCCTTAATTACAGTCAGAACGTCCTCTTTGTGCAACAAATGTAAATACAACTCCTTACCGGTCGGCGATTCATCACAAACGTCCATATACAGAACTTTCGGTAAACTACCGACAGCTAACGGTATGACCGGTTCATCAGGGATGCTCTCCGAATGTATCCAACAGGGCGTTTGCATCACTTTGAAACAGGATTCGCAATCTGAAAGTTTCAAAAATTAACGAATGAAATTGCCAATAACAGACAGGGACATTTATCTACAAGATATTATTTTTTCCGTACATAGTAAGGCGTCATCCGGCTCAGGTATCGCCAGTGCAGTCCTAACGGCATTTCCGGCGCGCGTTCGAGGGAGCGCCGCAACTTCTGGTAACGCCGATGTGACAAGCGCTGCAAGAACAATTCCAAGTAATACTAAGCACTCTGCCGACGCATTAGTGCAATCAATCCACTTACCGGTAGCCACAGAATCTTCATCTCCCGGAAGACCGTTGTGAGATGCAATGTCAGGATTGGACAGGAAAGATGAGATACGAGCAGTAGACACCGGTTCCGAACAACTTTCCAACGGGACATTTTCGTTTATACCCGCGTCCATATGCTCCTGGATCGTTCCAGCTGTTTTGGCAATCTCCATATACTCATCAGAAGATTCTAATGGAAGCCCGGCATCCGGTGCAGAACATTCATCAGCAGCATTATCATTGACAGACTGCTCCACCAATACAGTGCTCACATTATTGTCGATTCTATAAAGGTCAAAGGATTTCCTTGACGGCACCGCAGTGGCTTTTAACGTGATTACAGATTTTCCTCCCCTTCGAGGTACGACCACCATCAATTCCTCCGGATTAAAGTGATTTTCACACACCATCAATCTGTCAGAAAGGACAAAATCCGGATTCAGTTTTCGGCACACCGTCAACCACAGACTGTGCAGCGCAGTCGGTTTGGGGAAGGGAAAAAATGTCAGCTTTTCCGACCGCTTGCACGGCTCCGGCGATCGCCACCATCCGCATACACAGCAATACTGCACGCCTTTATGGGGAAGGTGTGGGTTGATCGGAGTTCGAAATTTCTCCACGCATTCCAGCCGTGAGGGCGTTGCATTCGGCCTAAGACTTGGTTGAGTCAGGCGCGGCTTCCTGACCGAGAAATCTTGTGCGCCAAAGTGTCGGCTGCACACCAAATCGTGTCCGGCACGGGGCGCCCAGGACACGGCACAGCGCATGCTGCGGATCCACTCATCCCGCCGCGTTTTGGCCACGGGGAAAGGGAAGTACCTGATCCTACCCGAGCCCAATTCCGCGGGAGGAACGTGACATCCCGGCACGCAGCACACCGGGCGACTCTCCATTAGCGGCTGTTTTTCCTGTTTTTCCGTTTGCTTTCGTTTGGAAGGAACCCCGAAAGGCATCATACGCGACGGAACAGCACTGGCCTTCAGTGTCGCGTCCGTCTCAAAGTCCTCCGGAGCAAAATGATTCTGACACAAGAGCGACTGCTCCGTCACCGGTTCATGTCGGCCCAGGTCCGAGAAAAATTTTGTCCACTTGGCCTTGAGATGGGTATCCGTCGGGAAAGGGTAAAACATCAGCATTTCCGAGGGCTTAGTCCAGCCTTTCCGTTTGGCACCGCACAACAAGCATGTCTGCATCCCGGCGACGTTCACCGCATTCTTAACCTCTCCGCCACGTAACCCTGAATAATGGAAAGCACTAGCACAAGCTAACCGACAGGGCAACGCATCAGCCTTCAACCGGATGATAAACGGCGCTTTTCCGCTTTCTGCACGGTAGCCAAGCAAATCAGCATGGCCGAAATGCTGGCTGCAGATGAAGGAGGGCGGCAGCGGGTGCCAGGACGTTGAGCAGCGGATTCGCTGGACCCAGGCCTCGTACAGTTTGTGCTCGGGCAGCAGGAAGGGAAACAGCGTGTCCCCGGTTTTGGATGCGTTCCGCGACGTAACTGAACAACCAGGAACGCAGCAAATCTGCAACGTATCCACGTTCCCGGCGGCAACATCAACAAGCAACGCAACTTTTCCAACGTTCTCAGCTTGATTCGGACAGTCAGAAAGAGGAGCAACAGCCGCAGCCATCTCGTAATCGACACGAGCTGCCTTCGGGAGGGGAGCTTCCAGGTTCGGAGAGCGACTTTCCGCGCTACGCTTTTTCGTGCCTGCAGACATACAGGAAGAAAAAGACTCTCAAGGCTACATGTAAAAGCAACAATTGAATAAACTATATCGTTCCGATTATGCACATGCAAAAAATGTTCATAAACATGCGACAGCATTGAAGAAATGTTTTTGTTATAAATCTCGTTTGTTCTAGTACTCAGTTTGTACTTACATGACGATACTTATTAAAGGCTATTATTAATCACAACATGCGATCCATCAAGATTTCGAAGTAATCCTACGTAATGCTGGTACAATTAACCGTCTGAATTATCTGAACCTTTACCGCTAAAATACTGAAAAACCGGGAAAAACGGATTCCATTTTTTGCTAAGATTTTTAAATGAATAAATTCAGCAATGTCTGCAAAGCTAGCCGAACACTTACTGCCGACACCAATTTCCGGGCTGTCTGGACGAGAGACACATTCGATTGGGCGATGCAGTGGCAAGACACCTTGAAAAACAAAGACAACTAAGGAAAATTATTCACTTCACAGACAGTTTCTGACCGTGAGAGATGACGAGAGGAAAGAATTTCACGTGAAAATACCACATCGACTAAAGGATTTCAAAGATAATGCTACCACAATGGAAGAGTACAATAATGTTTACTTGAGAATCCGATTTCCGGGCTGTCTGGTCGCGGAACAGACTCCACGGGCGGTTGCACGCTGTACAGGATACACGGCAGCGCGTCGTGTTTAAGACGCTTCTCCGTCTTCTCGCAGTCCTCAGCTGACGGCACGGCGAGAATGTCAGACGAGCGAAAGTGCCTGCTGCAGATCTTGCTGGTGGTGGAAGGAATCCAGTCTTTTGGACGGAGGGTGCGCTCAATCCAGGCAGGATAGCGCGGATCGCTGGGATGCGGGAAAGAGAAGAAACACACGCTACGCATCGAACGCGATGGCTCTGACAACGGACACTGCAGAACGCAGCACACATAACCTTCGACCATTCTGCGATGGATCTGCAGAATGCAGGCTAATTATGCGCTGAAGAACAACTTAAGAGTTTGCCATGAAAAGGAGATCCAGTTAGGAGCAAAACAGAATTACGATGAACAGCGCAAATGATAAGAGCATAATATGTCGTTCGACTGTTTTCCACTCCAAACGACTGCTTTCGAAGCTTTGCGAAATCCTAAATCAAAATCGTCGCCAACACATGTCCGCAGAAAGAATGAATTTTGAATCATAGAGAAAATGAGTGATTTTCGTGGAGCCATGAACAGAAAGGGATCTCACAGAACTAGACATAAAAATTTTATGATAAAATTTAGAAACAGCCTATGTACGGTACGACCTGAGAAGTTGCAATTAATATCCATATCAACCACCCAACGAGCGACAGTATGCGCCCACCGCGCTTTCGTATTTCCGGTCAGTCCGAAAAGCGGTACTCTTTTGTATTACGAGCTTACTGGTACGAAACCAACTCAATTTTTCTGAAAGGATAAACCATTTGCGAAACCGAACAAATATAAACTACCAAGTACCAACCGAGCAAGAGACTGTACGACTTACGAGTAGGAGAAAGGGCACCGCTGTCATATTATGAAGGCACGAGTACTACATATAGTTCTCGCGTAGTAACTAAAAAAACCTGATTACCTGAAAACAAGGTTTTAATAATGCCATAAACTCAGTTTATCTAGAACATGAACAATTTAACAAAATTCTCGTAGCTCTGCGAGCAAATTTATTTCTCTACCGTTTTTATACAAGTTTGATGCTAATTGTTATTCCTATGATATGATGATCCTAACAACAGTAACATGTACTCGCATCGCGAAGCAGTAAACAAAAGATTCTCAATAATCAACAAATCTTATGGAAGATATCTTTGGTCACAAGGTGTAGCAGCCATCGACAGGAATGATCAGAAGCGGCACCATAATACCGACTTAAGAGGACACAGGAGTCCCCGCTGGATGCATCGTTGTTAGGAACGTACACTGTACGTTGGCTCTGGCCTGTACGTTGGCCTTTGGCAGCTGCTTTCATGGCCAGACTCACCGAAATCTACAAAGTTCTCTCATGAAATATGCGTCCTGAAAAACGGCAGGCAGAAATAACGGCCGAAGCGATTATTGTCAATCTACCACAACCAAAAAGTGCAGCAGTATGGAATACTAAATTGCGCACGACCACATATCATACGGTAACGCTAATTCAGGAAAAGTACTTATTTAGCTACTGCGAGTACAGAATAAGACTATATTACAATGCGAGCAAGAAAGGAAGCTACGGGTTTGGGGTATGCGTTGTAGCGAAGACAGCGAAAACCGGTTTGTACAGCTAATACGCGCACAGACAGCCACACTCATACGTGTAAGTGAATGCGAGCGGATTTACCCACTCACACACACATGTGCCGATCGATCGATACAGCAAGGCAGCACTCCGCTTGCGCTTTTTGGCAGCACTGGAATGCGCTGTCTTCGGTCTATTTATAGTCACAACAGAGAGGCTGCATTGATCAACCAGCCTCAGCGGGCAAAAAAGGCTGTTCGCTGGCTTTTTAACATAGACCGTAGCCTCCTCATTTAGTCAGATTGTATATCACTTGTGTTAGCGTGTTATCGAACGAAATTTCAAATACTACACGTCTCTATCCAACAATTTACTGTACTCCTTTTATTGGTCTTGCTATTACTTGCTTATCTTTTTGCGTCACCAAACGCCCGATTTGTGTCGTGACGGAGCCTCCAGTATTTCCGGCGAAGATTCCCGGTAGAGCCTTCCATTATTCTCCAGAGTGGAGCGGGGAGTCTTACAAATTCCCATGCCGCTGTCATGCTCTTTCGCATGCGCCACCAACAGTTCTTTCGTCCAAAAGATGCCACCACATATGCCACACAAACATTTGTCGTCGATGTCGTTGTTCTGGCCCAACTGATTCCATGCATCCTCACTGTATGACAGTGAGGCTGGGTGACTGCGTCGCATGTGTCCCGGCAAGTGGCCAAACCAGCGATTACAGTGCGAACACTTATCCGTCGTCCTCCCGTGTTCGTCCACGTGTTCTGCCAGCTCCCGCAGGGTTTTGAACGATTTGTTACAATGGGGACATCGCCGTTCACGGGAATGCGGAATTCCGGCGCTTACGACCTTCCCGTGTTGTAAAGTATGCAACTGACGCAACGCTTCCGTTGTGAACCGCATTCCGCATTCCTCGCAAGTGAGGCTCTGAATGAACGTCAGATTCAAGTGCTTCTGCAATAATATAAAAGGCTTTTTTAAAATGGTTTACTGCATCTTTTTAGGTAAACAGTCAGGGTTAAAATGGGAAAGCATTGATATACGTACATTTTACACTAGTGTTATTATTGTTCCAATAATTATGCACCTTCTCATGATCGGACAGGCGAGACAGCTGCCCAAACTCTTTTCCGCAATCTTGACAATTACTGTAATGACTTGCAGTGTTGATACTATACGATTCCCGCAATCCAGCACCGCCAGTATTAGCGCTAATCGAACACTCCAGCTGCGAAGACGATCCGCACTGTCCCTGGCGCAGGTGTGCATCCAGACTGTCAAACCACTGACCACAAACGCGGCACTTTTCCGTTGGTCGGCCATGTTCCTCCACGTGATCCATCAGCTCCTTCCACTTGTCGAATGCATCACCGCATTTCGGACAGGTGAGCTCCTTATCCCCAATACTGCCACTAGGATTCCCCTGGTGTTTCAGACGGTGCAACCGACTCAACACGTGCGATCGAAAGCGTAGACCGCAGTCTTTGCAGGTTAGACTTTCGTGTGTGGCTGGCTGGTGAAGCTAGAACATCAGTCAGGTTTGTGAACTTTCATTGTAGTTTAGAATCAGTTTTAATCAAGAGCAACTGAACCTTTTCGTGAGCTTGCAAAGCACTCCGGAATGAAAAGCTTTTCTCGCACAGTGTACACGGAAGAGGTTTCTTTCCCTGACCACGGGAGGACGCATCGGCAGTGAAAGAGGGACGTCCCGGTGACGTCATTCTGCACACTTTTAACAACGTTCCGGCTAGAGGTTTTCCCGTGGGGCTGCTATCGTGTTGAAGGTCATGTCGCATAACCACCGGCAGTTCCGGTACAGCGACGTTTTTACCGCACAGCCTGGTGTTCTGCGTTGGGACAGCGTGAACATCGATGTGCACCAGCAGTTTCTGCAAATCTGCAAACATTTCGCCGCATTGCACACAGGTTCGGCTATTCTGTAACCACTCTGCAGGATTATTGTCCCCGTGCTGCAGCTGGTGCAGCCGACACAAAGCAGCCAAACTGAATCGTCGGCAACACTGAGCACATGTCAAGGCCTCCGGATTATGAACCTATAGAAAACACTTAACAATGAATTCTGAAAACAAGTAGCTGCCATCGGATGCACCTGTATCTTGTGGATTCTCAGAAAACCCGACGTTGAGAAGCCCTTCACACACTGACGACACTGAACTTGCGTATCGAATCCAACAGAATCTTCTTTACGCGCTGGCTTGTCACATTCCATAAAAGCAAACTGATTGATACTCTCAGACATTGCCTGTGGACATGATGCGCAGCAACTGCGTAGGTTGGGAGAAGCGCCCGAGGGATTCCTTTCCAAGTCGCGATCGGCGCTACCGTGTTTCGTCTTGTGGACACTGCACAGCAGTGCGGACGGAAACTGCAGACCACATTCACTGCAGGTGACACTGCGAACTGAGCGCGCGTTTTCGACCACCGACCCCGTCTAAAAAATCAAATAAATCTAACCAATGACATCATATGTATAATCGAAGCATCCTTCACCTTTTCGGCGGCGTAGAACTGAGGGTGACACCGCGCGATATGCTGCTTCAGATCAGGTACAGGACACCGCAGATCACACACCGGACACCGGTGCGTTATTTCCCCGTGTAAATCAACGTGCTGGATCAGATCTCCGAGATGGTGGAATGCAACGCCGCATTCCGGGCAATTCTGCACACTGTCTTGATTGCCGGCGGCACCGGCCGGTTGATAACCAAACCGGTGCACTTCCAAGACGGATTTATTCGTAAATCGTAGGCCACAGTCGCTGCAAGAGTAAAACTGCGCAACTGCGGGTCGATGTCTCTAAAATCACAGAGTCGACAATCAGTTTACATTCTACAATCGACAGACAAGTCAGTTAACTTTGTTAGTGTTTCAGATGTATATTGCCGCTTCGTTTGGTACTTAGTTTGTACTCGCATTGTGACATTTATTATTGTTAAAGTCCAGTTAACTTTGAATCATAGTACGAGTACGAACGCGAAAATAAACTTTTTTTCGAGCAGGCGCATTCTTCCGTGGTTTCACTTTCGGCGACAGCAGCGACGAGTCAATGTTATTCGGCACAGGCGCATTGTCAACGATTTCGCCGTCCGAAATCGAACAGATACGAAACAATTCTTCACCAATTTCACCATCCAATGTACTATTCTTTCCATCTGCAACTGAAATTCATTATACACATTACCGGTAAAAGTAGCATGAATTTTATTTTCTTAATGATCTCATAATAAAAAAACTCTTATTACCGGGTGTTTCAGTATCATCATCAGGATCTGAAGATGCTGCAGAAGTAACAAGGTCTCTTTTCAAGGATAAATGATACACTATTTCCTCATCCCAATGGTCAGGACACGACTCTTCCTTAATAACATTGTCCGACATTCTCTCTGCCTCGACACCTGAAATTCATAAAATCCTGTGTTCAACGTGATACTTTCTAAAACGAAATGTTGTTATTTGCCGACGACGTGATGGTGTACAAGATTACTGACTCGGATGTAGATGCGATAGGTGTTCAACAAGAACTGGATGCCGTCAACGAATGGACGTACAACCATAACTTGATTTGCAATGCATGTATTCAGTTCTCGTTCAGAAAGAAAATGTCTCAGCCCTAACAAATAAACGGGGAAAGTGTTCCCACAGTTTATTCGGCTAAGTATTTAGGAATCAATGTAGAGCGCAGTTACAAATGGAAATTGCAGTCCGAAAATGTTTTGGGCAAAATTTTAAAGCGGTTGCGGTACCTTAGCACTTTATTTCGTTCCCGAGATTTGTCGGGACGGTGTACACCGTTTACGAGTTTGTTCTGTCTGTCTCCGATTACTGTGCGCCTGTCACCTTTTCTACTCAAAAAGGGCTGATCGATAATGTGGAAAACGTTCAAGAAAGATTAGTTCAGTCGAAAGTGACCGAAAAGTCTATATCGGCAAACTGAAAGAGCTAGGGTGGGAACCAATCGTACGGCGCAGTCTGAAGTGCAGCCTTACAACTTAATCCCATATGATGAAAAGTTATTTCGTAAGGGTGCTGTGTGTTCTGGTGTTGCAGAATGCAGATGCTACGCGTCGTCAATCGATGATGGCTGCACATCCGCGCCCGATTCCCCTATTGGATCTACGTTGTCCGCCACATACTCCCACCATCGGAACGATCATTTGCATATAGGATTTGGAATGATTTACGGATTCCGGCATAATCTTAGCAGAGCCTTGGTAGATTTACTGCAGCTTTCAATTACGTTGACTGAAAGTGTGCAGTGTCTCCGAAGCAGTTTTACCACGCTGAGCACGTGTTAGAAACTTTGAAATGTAAATATTTAAAAATTTGTTTAATTACGATGGGAGCGATTAGCGGGCCAAATACCGTGTGCCGCATTTGTGTTTCCCTCACGTAAATAGTCCTTCCTAAACACTACATAATTTGCCACGTTTTCTTGCCTTAAATACAGTTAGAGCGTTCTGGCCGTGCAACAACTGCGTTTGTAAATGTGAAAACAACTGCTTAATTACCGGTCGGCGACTCATCACATACGTCCATATACAAAACTCTGGGCAAACTACCGACTGCCAATGGAATGACCGGTTCGTCCGGGATACTGTCCGAATGCATCCAACACGGCGTCTGCATCACTTTGGAACATGACTCGCAGTCTGAAAGCTCAAAAATTAGCGACTAAAATGGCCAATAAGAGATAGGAAAACTTATCTACAAGATATTTTTCTTTCCGCGTACATAATAAGGCGTTGTCGGGGTCAGTTATCGCCAGTGCACTGAGTGCAGTCTTAACGGCATTTCCGGAGCGCGTCCGAGGGTCCACCGCCACTTCCGGTAACGCCGATTTGGCAAGCGCTGCAAGTTTCAAGTATTACAGTACAAGCATTCTGCTGACGCATTAGGGCAATCAACTTACCGGTAACCACAGAATCTCCATCACCGGGAAGACCGTTGTGAGACGCATTGTCAGGATTAGACAGGAATGATGAGATACGAGCAGCAGACACCGGTTTCCTTCTCTTGTCCGTTTCCTTCCCTTTGGACATCGGCCCAAAAGTCCACATGCGGGACGGAACTGCAGTGACCTTCAATGTCCCGCCGGTCTCAAACTCCTCCGGAGCAAAATGATTCTGGCACACCAGCGACTTCTCCGTAACCGGCTTCCGTCGTCCCTGGTCCGTCAGAAATTGCATCCACAACGACTTGAGACGGGTATCCGTCGGGAAAGCGTAGAACATGAGCCTTTCCGAGGGTTTGGTCCATCTTTTCCGTTTTGCACCACACACTTGACAAGCTCGCATCTCCAGTATACTCCGTGCGTCCTCCATCTCTCCGCCACGCAATCCTGAATGGTGGAAAACCCTGACACAGGCCAACCGACTGGGCGACGCGTCCGCCTTCAAAACCATCGCTTTGCCGCTTTGCGAACGGTAACCGACCATATCGGCGTGCTCGAAATGCTGGCTGCAGATGAAGGAGGCCGGCTGCGGTTGCCAGGAAGTGGTGCAGCGAATTCGTTCGACCCAGGTATCGTAGAGTTCGTGCTCCGGCAGCAAAAAGGGAAAGATAGTGTCCCCGGTTTGGGATGCGTTCCGCGAAGTAATGGAACAGCCAGGAACGCAGCATATTCGCAGAGTATCGGCGTCCCCGGCGACGCTTACCAGCGAACGATGAGAAAAATCAACAAGTAGTGTGTTGCTTCCGACGTTCTCAGCATGGTTCAGGGAGTCAGATGAAGGAATAACCAACGGCGCAGCCACCTCGCAACCGACACGAGAGGTCTTCGTGGGTGGAGTTTCGGGACGCGGAGAGCAGCTGTCCGCGCTGCGCTTTCTCGTGCCTGTAACGATGCCGGAAAGCGATAAATAAAGCAAACCACCGAAAACATGGTATCGTTCCAAATGTAAACATAATTTTATCCATTTCTAATCAGCAACAGGTGTTTAAACAACACCGAGCGCTTACTGCTAACACCTATTTCCGAGAAGTCTGGACGAGGGAGACATTCGATTGGGCAAGGCACTGTCCAGACACCTTGAAAACAAAAAGCAACAACAAAATTACTGACTGCCGTTACAGTTTCTGGCAAAGAATTCCACGTGAAAATACACGGATTCCAAAGATGAAAATGCTGCCATAATCGCAGATGACAAAGTTTACCTGAACATCCGATTTCTGGGCTGTCCGGTCGCGCAGCAGACTCCACGGATGGTTGCATGCTGCGTGGAATGCCTTGGGCAAAACATGGCAGTGCACCGTATTTGATACGCTTGTCCATTTTCTCGCAATCCTCGGCTGATGGAAGGTGAGTAATCCGAGAAGCGACAGTGTCGGCTGCAGATCTTGCTGGAAGCGGAAAGAGCCCAGTCTGTGGCACGCCGAGTGCGCTCAGTCCAGACGGGATTGCGCGGATCGCTCGCATACGGGAAATTAAAAGAAACACACGCTACCAATCGAACGCGATGGCTCTGACAACGGACACTGCAACAGCACACTTATTCCGAGATAGATCAGCAGAATGCCGGCCAGTTATGCGCCGAAGATTAAGTAACTTCAACTGCAAAAGATTTTGTCATGAAAAAGAAGTCCGGTTTAGCCACACTCCGTGTAGCTAATGAATAGGCCTTCGGGCTTTGAAAGATAGCCTACATCGAGCGTGGTTTGGACTTAGAAGGGTGACTACTGGGTTCAGCTGCGAGTCCACGGCTCGTCAGGCCTGTGCGCGAAGGTCAGCACCAGCGCTGACCTGAGTAGCGTGTACGTTCTTCGATGCCTGTGGTTCATACGGATTCCATTTGGGACAACTTCTATTCGGACCAGATTAACTACGAGTCTACGACGGATTGTACGCCAACCGGCCAGCGGCGGGCCGCCGCTGGCGGCCAACGGTGTGATAGACCCGGTGGACGTACGAAGAGTGGACGTACGGACCTCTGACTCACCTTTGATACGGATGCGATTTAGAGTGATACTGCTTGTTGTTCTATAGCTTTGTGCATCAGCATGACGCACTTTATGCCCGTTTATCTGTAGTGAAAGACTATACTAAAGATGGCCGAAAGCCGGCTTAGCCGGCGATTAGCCAGCCGGCTGAAGATTTTTAGAAGCCACAGCCGATCCTAGGCCGGCTGCTTAAGCCGGTTGAGAGCTTCAGCCAGCTGCGGCTAAGCGGGCGGCCGACTCGGCTGAGCGGCTTAAGCGGCGGCATTGTCGTACCACTTTGGCGGCAATAACAGCGCCACCGAGTCACTTGGTGCTTCAGGTTTGCGCCTATTTCAGTCGCCTTCGTGCGTTCGTGTGCAGAACAGTTTTTAAACACGGCGATCAGGATAAAATCTCCGTTCTCTTCGCTTGACACTGTGGCCCACTGCAGCGCTGCTACACATTTAGACAGGAATTCCCGGATAACGACTGATTATTCAGTTATTGGTGCATCGAAATCGCTTACAAAATAGTTTCTGGAAGTGGCAAAAAAACTTCTTTTTAATTTTTTTGCCAACCTACGATGCTGCCTGTTAGCAGTTCAAACTTTTTTCAAAAAAATTCGTTTTTTTTGCCGAAATTGTTTGTAACCGGCTTACCCGGCGGCCAGCCGGCTGGGAAATTTTGTTAGCCGCTTTGGCCGTAGAGATGTCAACGGTTCGACCGGTTCGGTTCGGTTCCATAAGCGGTTCGACTCGACGTCGAAGTCACTTTGTTCCTAACGGTTCCAAGCACGAGTCACTTAAACCGGTTCGGTTACAGCGCCAAGTCACTTGTAACCGAACCGAACCGGTTGGAACCGAAACCAAGAAATTATATTAGAGTGCCGGCTGTACAACTGTGCGACTGCGCACGCATGCGCTCAGAGTTTGAGCGTAGCGTGTACGAACCGATTTTACTTAAAGACAAGTACTGTACGCCGGTGCGCGTCTCCTTTATATTTATCAATTTATGGATTACGATTTGAGACAGCAGAAATTCGTCATACCACATCGTCATTCTCTCTAGTAACAAAGAACCGAAAACAACCGCGGTTAACCGGTTATTTTCGGTTCGACTTAACCTCTAACCGACTCAAGCGGTTCGGTTACAAGAAAAGTCGTGGTTTCAAAAACGCCCAACCGAACCGAACCGAACCGGTTGAACCGCGGTTCCAAACGGCTCGGTTCGGTTTTTGACATCTCTATTTGGCCGGCTGAGACTTCCAGCCGCAATACTTTAGCCGGCTAAGGAATTCAGCCGGCCGTCAACCGAAAGGTCAGCCGTTTAGCCGGCCGCTGCCATCTCTAGACTGTACGTATTAACGTACTGTTGTTTAGCGGAGTCTAGTGACTTGATCTCCGATGTTCTTCGTGAATATAATTTTTGCCCGGCTAGGCTACTCATAAAGAATCAAGCAGTCCAGTTAGCAGCCAAACACCGCCGTCAGACTACTTTCCACTCCGAACGACTGCTTTCGATGCTTTGCAAAATCATAATCAAAATCGTTGCAAACACTGAATTTTTCGAAAATCTTTTTACAGGAAGATTGAAACACAATTTTTAACCACAGAAAAAGAGTAATTTCGTGGAGCCATGAACCGAAAAAGAAGGCTCTGTATCCGATACAACTTTCAAGTAAGGAGTGAGGATTTAAATCTGCAATCGTAAGGATCCCTATCAGCAATCCCACGGACGACAGTATGCATCTCCGCGATTACGTATTTCCGGTCATCCGAAAAGCGGGACAACTTTGCATCTTGTACTTTGTTGTACGAATACAGGCAACCGCTTCCAGCTTTTTGAAAAAGAGCATGAATTTTGCCGCTAACCTTGTTGGAGTCTTGGAGATCTTTGAGTCAATAAAATATTACCGGTACGAAATATTTCTACACCAGTCAGCCTCAACTCAGTTTCTTCAGGAAAGATAAACGATTTGCGAAACAGAAGAAATGCAAGCTACCAACCGAGCGAGCGACTTTACGAGTAGGAGATTTATGAACACCGTTGTCATACAGATACGAAGGAACAATGTAACAAGATACCCTACACGTAAAAGCTATTGGCGGTATATAAAAGTAAATGTCGCACAGAACACACGCACAAGGGGCGAAACAAAGATACAGACTTAATAAGATCATGATAATCAATTATTAGAGTACAGCCTTTTTCTTCTCACAATCAGTACGAGTATATGACTGTTGAGACGAGCGTTGCTCACAAAAGCACATTCATTTATTATTACGAACATGGACATTTAAAAAAATTTTTTCTGATACTTCTGCGAGCAAAATTAATAACAAGTTGCTGTGATCTAAACAAGTTACCACATCTCGAAGCAGGAAACAAAAGATTCTTAGCAATCCACAAATCTTGTGGAAAAAATTTTTGGTCACAAGTTGCAGCAGCCATCGACAGGAAATGATCGGAAGCGGTGCCAGAATACCGACTCAAGAGGACACAGAAGTCTCGCTGGATGCATCGCTGTCAGAAACGTACAATGACCTTTCGCAAGCTGCTTTCGTAGCCAGACTCCCCAAAGCCTGCAAAATTAGCTCATTAAATAATCGTATTGTAAAAACGGCAGGTGAAAATAACGGCCGAAGCCGATTACTACCAATCTACCATCAACCAAAAAGTGCAACAGTTGTGGAATATCAAACTGTGCACAACCGCATATTATACGGTAACGCTAGCGGTACAAACACTTATTAAATTTTAGCTATTCCGAGTACGGGATACGACTATATCAGTTGGTGGCGTGTTAACGATAGCAGTTCCAAATATTGTACGTTTTCGTCCAACAATTTGCTAATACAAAGTATTATTGTTCAGGCTACTAAATGCTTACTTTTTGCGTCATCAAGCGCCAGACTTTTGTCGTGACGGAGCCTCCGGTATTTCCGGCGAAGATTCCCGGCAGACTGTTACATTATTCTCCAGGGTGGAATGGAGAGTCTTACAAATGTCCCTGTCGCTGTTATGCTCTTTCGCATGCGCCATCAACAATTCTTTAGTCAAAAAGATGCCATCACAGACGTCGCAGAAACATTTCGCGCTGATGTCGCCGTTCTGGCCCGACTGATTCCGTCCATCCACACTGTTGGACAGTGAGGCTGGGTGATTGAGTCGCATGTGGCCCGGCAAGTGGCCAAACCAGCGATTACAGTGCGAACATTTATCCGTCGTCCTTCCATGTTCGTCCACGTGAACCACCAGCTCTCTCAGGTTTTTGAACGATTTATTGCAATGTGGACATCGCCGTTCGCGGGGATGCTGATTTCCGATACTAACGATGTTCCCGTGTTGTAAAATATGCACCTGGCGCAGCGATTCCGTTGCAAACCGCATTCCGCATCCGTCGCAAGTGAAACTTTTATTGAACGTCAGATTGAGGTGCTTCTGTAACAGCACAAGAAGACAAACCTCCTTTAAATTAGCACTGTGACTTTTTTGGATTAACGGTCTGGGTTGTAATGAGCAACTGCAATGCTATAAGTATAGGCCGGCCCATAAAACATTCTGGTTGTATCATGTATGTAACTTCACATATAAGCAAAACCACTTATAAGTATGTAGCTAGTTTACGCTAGTTTTATGCCCTATAAAAACGATACTATTTAATGTACCTTCTGATGCTCGGCCAGACCGGACTGATGTTCAAACTCTTTTCCACAATCCTGGCAAAGATAGTGTTCGCTTGAGCTCTTATGGTTAGTGCTGGAAGATCTCATCAATCCAGCACGCCCAGCATCAAGGTCACTCGAACACTCCAGCTGTGAAAACGGTCCGCAATTTCCAAGCCGCAGGTGTGCATCCAGATTCTCAAACCGCTGATCACAAATGCGGCATTTTTCCGTCGGTCGCCCATGTTCCTCCACGTGGTCCATCAGCTCCTCCCACTTGTCAAACATGTCACCGCATTTCGGACAGGTCAGCTCTCTCTCTACATTGTTGCCACTGGGCTTCCAGCGGTGTCTCAGACCGTGTAGCTGGCTCAACATGTGCGATCGAAATCGCAGACCACACTTTTCGCATGTCAGACTATCGCTCACCCACGCCGCTGGCTGATGAAGCTGAAACAGCCCTCGTAAATAAATAAAACGCGCACTAAGTGGTCGAAAACTTTGATCGTCAAACGAGCGAACCTTTTCGTGAGCTCGCAAAGTACTCTGTAGGGAAAAGCTTTTATCGCATAGCGTGCACTGAAAAGGTTCCTTTCCCTGACCACGAGTAGACGCGGCGGCGGTGAAGGTATGTCTCGGTAACGTCATTCTGCATACTTTTACCAACGCTCCGGCTAGTGGTTTTTCCGGCTGACTTGTACCGTGTCGAACTTTTTTCCGAGCAGGCGCATTCTTTGGTGGTTTTACTTGCGGCGTCAGCTGCGAAGAGCCACTGTTATTCGGCACAGGCGTATTATCAACGATTTCGCCATCCGAAATTGAATAGATACGAAACAATTCTTCACAAATATCACCGTCAACTATGTCATTCTGTCCATCTGCAACTTAAATTCGCCACACATTATGCCAAAAGTAAAAGCAACGTTAATTATAACTTTTAAACTTATAACCGAAACACCCATTCTTATTACCGTTTGCTTCACTATTGCTATCCTGATCCGAAGATGCTGTAGAAGTAACAAAGTCTCTTTGCAAGGATAAATGCTCCAGTATTTTCTCATCCCAATAGTCAGGACAAGGCTCTTCCATAATAATATTCTCCAACTTTCGCCTCTCGTCCTCGACACCTGAAATTTATGAAATCCGGTATCCAACGTAATACTTTTTAAAATGGTACGCAAAAAATTCAAGTACTGTACCAGGTATTTCGCCATCCGAATCAACATTCTGAGATGCTGCGGGATTAAGAAGATCCAAATACTGTCTGGAATACCACACCCGCAGTTCTTCGTGCGGGGAGATGGTTCTGTTTGTGACGAAGACGATCTCGCATCCGCGCGCGAACACCAGCAGATTGCTCGCTTCCACGCTGTCCGCCAGTCGCACGTGCTTCATCCAGTTGCAGAGGTAATCCGAATCCAGCTGGTACTGCTTACGCTTGGCGTCCTCGCCAACATCGGAAACATCCACGTATCGGGCTTTCTCGTCGTCGCTTGACACTGTCGGAGCGATCAACGGGCCAAATACCGTGTGGCGCACTAGTGTTTCCCTCGCAAAAACAGCCTTTCCTAAACAAAAATCCCATCGTTAGTATATCATCGTTACTCAGTTAAATAATAAGAAAAATAATTTCTTACCAGTCGGCGATTCATCACAAACGTCCATATTCAAGACTTTGGGCAGGCTACCAACAGCGAGTGGTATGACCGGTTCATCAGGGACATTAACCGCATGTATCCAACACGGTGCTTGCATCAACTTGCAGCAAGGTTCGCAATCTGCAACGGCATAGAATAGTGAGTAAATTATTTAAAAAAGCAATTTCGTACAGATGGTTTTTCGTACAGATGGAGGTATCACTGGGCGCAGATGCGGTAATAATTGTCGGCGTCTCGATCAAGACCCGGCCCCTGATCGTAGACGGAACCTGAATATCCGGTAGCGGAGATGTCACGAGCACTACAACAGACAATCATTACATATATCATGACATAAATCTTACAAGGAATCTTACAATGATCGAAAGAATTTTCCTCGCCCTTATCTTCTGGAAGACCGTTCCGTGACGCTGCCGGCAAACACAACTGAAGAGATGCACTGGGGTCCTTATTTGCTGAAGGTGCGTCAGTTTCCATTGGGATATGATCGTTCTCATGTGACTGTACACGCAAATCACCCACGGTTTCCAAATTGTTCGTTTTGTCACCGACAGCGACAGGAAGTCCGGCATCTGTTGCAGCTACGTCACCGTTCGTAAACGCATGTTGTTCTTCGAAAATACCACTTTCAAGAACCGGGCTGGACAACTCGTTTGGCGTCCTAACGGAGGGCACCGCAGTGGGCTTTAAAATCAGCTTAGACTTGCCCCATGTCACGTCATCTGGTTTAAAGTGGTTTTCACATACTAGCGACCCAACCGTGAAGACAAATTCCGGACTCAATTCACGGCACGCCGTTATCCACAGTTGCCTCTGCGCCACAAGTTTCGGGAAGGAGAAAAATGCCAACCTTTCCGACCGTTTAACTGGTTCCGGCAACCGCCACCAACGGCATAAACAGCAACACTGAACTCCTTTATGGAGAATTTTCGGATGTATTAGAGGAATTTTCGTACTGATTGGGGTTCGAAATTGTCCTACGCAATCCAACTTAGATGGAACAGCACTCTGCTTCAGGCGGGATGAAGTGATGCCCGTGATTTTGTTGACAACACTGTGCGAGAAATCCTGAGCGGTGAAGTGCCGGCTGCACACCATATCGAATCCACGCCGTGGCGCCCAAGATACGGCACAACGGATGCAGCGTATCCATTCATCGCGACGCGCGGGATCCAGGGGAAAATGCATGTAGGTTATCCTGCCCGAGCCCAATTCCTCGGCAGGTATGCGGCATCCCGGCACACAGCAAACCGTACCCTCCTTTGGCGCTTTGCTGTCCGCTTCCTTTCGCACCTTTCTGTCTGTCAACTTGTACCTGTCTTTAGCGCGAAAGATAAGCATGTGTGCTGGAACTGCATTGGACTTCAATACTCCGCTTGTCTCGAAGTCCTCCGGGGCAAAATGATTTTGGCACACCACCGCCGGTTCGGTAGTCAGTTCCCGTCGGCCTTGGTCCGGCAGAAATCCCGTCCACAAAGAATTCAGATGCCTAGCGCTCGGAAAAGGATAGAACACGAGCATTTCCGCGGGCTTGGTCCAGCCGTTCCGTTTGGCGCCGCACGCTCGACAGGACTGCACTTCCGCTACACTCTGCGCATTTTCCGTCTCTCCGTCACGTACTCCGGAAAAGTGGAAAGCTGCAATACACGCTGACCGACAGGGCACGGCATTGTCCCTTAGGACGGTGGGAAACGGCGCTTTTTTGGCATTTGTACTGATTCTGCAGGTTTTTATATCGGAACGGAGGAAATGCCGGCTGCAGATGAAGGAGGGCGGCTGCGGCTGCCAGGACGTCGTGCAGCGGATTCGCTTGACCCAGACATCGTACAGCTTGTGCTCGGGCAGCAGGAAGGGAAACAAAGTGTCCCCGGTTTGAGCTGCATTCTGCGATGTAATGGAGCAACCAGGAACGCAGCACATTTGCAGAGTGTCCGCATCATCGGCGGCGCTCACTGGTTGCGCCGGGGAACGATCAGGAAGATCAACAAGCGAGCCAACCTCCCCGCGGCTTTCAGGTTGCTTCGGTGAGTTCCGCGAAGGAAGAGCAGCCACAGCAGATTGAGGGAGAAGCGGAAGGGGTTCGGCAGCAACCGGTTTGTCGCTCGAATGTGGTCGAAAGAGGATATCGGGAGACGGAAAGTGCAACATCTGTGCAGTCGATGCAAGTGCAGCTGCACACGCTTCGGCCGCGCTCGGTGTAGCCTTTGGGCAGGCTGTGCGGCGTTCAGTCGTCTCCTCGTCAACACGTGCTACCTTCGTGGGCGGAGGTTGCAGAGTCGACAGACAGCTGTCTTTGCTGCGCTTTTTCGTACCTGCAATGACACCAAAAAGTAAATAACCCAAGCTAAAATATAAAGTAATAACGAACAGCTAATAAACGAACAGAAGTAAGAGAACAACCGACGATATTGAAGTCAACTATTTGATTTTAAAAAAGAATACACGCAATTGAAATAAATCAGCAAATGCAACCCAACGCAAACTGACGCAACCCAGTTAGTGAAATGAATCGTCTCAATTACCCGACTTTGCTAACAAACTTTATCTGTCATTTCATTTATATTTTAAATTACAAATTATTAACAATTTACGTTATTTCTCAACGAACTCAATTAGTGTTCTCTGCTTTTCTACGCGAACACTTACTGAGAACAGCGATTTCCGGGCTGTCTGGACGAGGGGCAGATTCGATCGGGCGATGCGCTTCCAAGACACCTTGACGAAACAAAGCAATGCAGAGAAAAATTATTCACCACACTGACAACGAGAACTTTTGCTAGTGCCACATGATGAGCGATAAGTATTCTAAGCACCAGCTCGGCTTAAGTATTTCAAAGACAAAAGTACGGCTACAATGAGTACAATCGAAGATTACTGTGCTTACTTGAAACTGCGATATCCGGGCTGTGTGATCGCGGAACAGACTCCACGGGCGGTTGCATGCTGCGCGGGATGCCTTCGAAGAGACACGGCAGCGCGTCGTGTTTGAGACGCTTCTCCGGTTCCTCGCAATACTCGGCTGATGCCAGTATCACAATATCCGACGAGCGAAAGTGTCGACTGCAGATCCTGCTCGCTGCGGAAGGAGCCCGGTCTTTTGAATGGAGAGTGCGCTCAATCCAGACGGGATAGCGCGGATCGCTCGGATGCGGGAAAGCGAAGAAACACACGCTGCGCATCGAACGCGATGGCTCTGACAAGGGACACTGCAACACGCAGCACACATCGCTCTCTGCCATTCTGCGATCGATCGGTAGACTGCAGGTTAATCACGCGACTAAGATCAAGTTATGCAGCGAAAGAGGTGAATGTTTCCTCATGAAAATGAGATTTGGCAACCAAAACTGAAAAAATAATCAGGATTCAGGATGGACAGCGTTCTCAATATCATCCGATTGTTTTCCATGCGTTTTAAAATACTGACATGAAATAAAATCGTCGCGAATGCCGAGTCTGTCAAAAAAAAATCTACAGAAAGAATAAGAACAGAAACTGCACAAATGAAAACCCAAATCATCATCCATGCTGCCATGCACAAAAGTGAATTCGTGGAGCCATGAACAGAAACGGATCACAAAACCACGTCAACCACCCAGCGAACGATAGTGTCAACCACCCAGCGGGCGAGAGTGTTTCTTGTCTCCGCGCTCAAGTATTTCCGGTCAACCGGAAAAGCTGTATTCAAAAATTTAAATACAAAATTTACGCTGATTTTTTGCAATCTCTTATGAAGGCGTGAATTTTCGTCAAGGTCGTACTGCAATTATACTGTCATGTAGAGCAGAAATACGCAACAGCGTTCCACGACTTTTATCGTTAACATTTTTTTTATAAATTTACGGAAATCGATAATGTGCGAAGCAGCACTGGTTGCGCTTAAGTCGCTGCGCTTGTATATGTACTCGCCACGCAGTTTTGGCAATCAGGATAGTCTTCTCCCCCGGCTCGAGAATGCCATTTGTCATCAAAGCGCTTGTCCGAGACCTAAACATCACGGCTGATCTAATCCTCCTGGAGGGATTGGATGGGCGCTATTCACGCAATTCGGTTCAATTTATGGACTTAAGCGTCGTGCTCAGTGGCAGCGTTTACACATCCAATCTGCCACAAAATCCATTGGAAGTTGTTGCTTTTCAGTGCCTAAGCGCAAGCCCAAACACGAAAATAATTAATACTACTGTATTTGAAATTAGAAATTTTAGCTTTTATCAAAAGGAGGGCTTAAAAGCAAAGCGCAGAGCGTATCGACCCTGATAACAGGTACCCGATTTTCTGTTATTATGGTTAAGATTTTATTATTGTTAGAATCTGACTAGCGTGTGAAACATTTTGTGAATTGTAAAAGGTACCACATATCGACATATGCCTCGTTTAAGAAGAAGAATTGAAGATGAATTTCTCTCGCTCGTACTAACTTTTATTTTGACCAAATAACAAATGAACCTTTTTTCAGATACCTTTCCATATGTTACACTTTCAGACCAGCAATGGAAGCATTACAAAACTGTTTTTTGTTTAAAATGAAAAGTCAAGGACCGTTTTGTCCTACCGAAACATGCTTACAAAGAATTCTAAAATATCAATAAATTATCTCTTCCACTTAAGGAAAGCCTTTCGACAACACTAACATGAGCACTCGGGTTAAGACTATGGTTAAAACTAAGATCAACAATCAGGTTTTCACTTTGATCAGAACTAACGTTAGCACTCAGGTTATGGCTCCGGTCAAATTAAGAAGTGGGCCGGTACAAGGTACCAAATTCGTGTACATGCACGAAAAGTTAACTTTGCGCACTCCCAAACACATTTTAGTTTTATTTTATGACATTCTGTTGCCAGATGATTTGTATACACGTTATGGCTGTTTGAAAATTCCAAAAGTTTACCTGCATTCCGGTGTACCAAAGTCTCATTATGGACCGATCTACTTCAAATTTTGCACATAAATGCACACGGTCTTTCGTGTTTACAGCGATCTAGACTTTCATGATTTGCTTAAAATCTTAAAATGAATTTTAGAATTTTTGAAAGTCATTTTAAAATTCGAAAAACATGCTAGATCAGTGGATCGGTGTAAAAACGATATTCATAGCCAGGTGCTCCCGAACCGGATGTTGCGCGCGCGGTTTTCACGCCCGTGTATACAAGTCATCTGGCTACAGAATGTCATAAAATAAAACCAAAATGTGTTTGGGAGTGCGCAAAGTTAACTTTTCGTGCATGTACACGAATTTGGTACCTTGTACCGGCCCACTTCCTTAATTTGACCGGAGCGCAACCCGAGTGCTAACGTTAGTTCTGATCAAAGTAAACCTGATTGTTGATCTTAGTTTTAACCATAGTCTTAACCCGAGTGCTCATGTTAGTGTTGTCGAAGGCTTTCCTTAAGTGGAAGAGATAATTTATTGATATTTTAGAATTCTTTGTAAGCATGTTTCGGTAGGACAAAACGGTCCTTGACTTTTCATTTTAAACAAAAAACAGTTTTGTAATGCTTCCATTGCTGGTCTGAAAGTGTAACATATGGAAAGGTATCTGAAAAAGGTTCATTTGTTATTTGGTCAAAATAAAAGTTAGTACGAGCGAGAGAAATTCATCTTCAATTCTTCTTCTTAAACGAGGCATATGTCGATATGTGGTACCTTTACAATTCACAAAATGTTTCACACGCTAGTCAGATTCTAACAATAATGAAATCTTAACCATAATAACAGAAAATCGGGTACCTGTTATCAGGGTCGATACGCTCTTCGCTTTGCTGCCCTCCTTTGATAAAAACTAAAATTTCTAATTTCAAATACAGTAATATTAATTATTTTTGTGCTTGGGCTTGCGCTTAGGCACTGAAAAGCAACAACTTCCAATGGATTTTGTGGCAGATTGGATGTGTAAATGCTGCCACTGAGCACGACGCTAAAGTCCATAAAATGAACCGAATTGCGTGAATAGCGCCCATCCAATCCCTCCAGGAGGATTAGATCAGCCGTGATGTTTAGGTCTTGTCCGAGTTGCCTGACTTGCCTCCCAATGCCGGCAATCTTGTCTCCACATCTTTTGCCTTCAGACGACAGCGGTGCTCTCATGATTTCGTCGTTTATTGTGAGTGCTGTTGTAAACTTGAACTGCATTTCGCAATTGGATTATCCTTCTGATGGTGAGAAAAAGTGAGCGGTTTGCAGTGCATGTTAGGTGGAAGCGGAAATCGGCAATGATCGTGTGCAGGTTAAGACGCGTAACCACTGACCATGGTGAGAAACTAACCGGTAAGTACTGATAATGCAGTCACTTGCAGTGCAGTGGCACACACTGCGAATGAGCTGTTAATGATGACAGATACAATCTGACTACAGCATGCAACTGGAGGTACATACGAGTGCTTTTAAAACAGCCAAAATTTTTGCTTCTGGAAACGATATCGGTAGATTGAGAAAAGAAAGCATTTGTCACATTTTTTCACGTCGTGCCGCTCGCCGATGTTCCATAAAGTAAATTTTCGCACGAAGTCTGATCCATCAGCTAACAATTGTAAGAGTACTAAGACCGCCTGATGAGGCATCTGGAAACAATGATTTAATACTGCAGCAGACAACGTTTTATCACGAACATCGACAATGCAACAAAATTCTTTCTGCAATTCCGCAAGCAATATACCCGTAATTCAGTGCAACCGCATGTAGGCGTTTCTCGTGATGTGATCCATGCCGTATTGATAATACCTAATCTTCTAAAGCAGCAAACAAAACTGTTAACAATCCAAAAACTCCTATAAAACAAACTCTTTGGTCAGCCGTTGCAGCAGCAGTCGGCAGGAAGTGAGCATAAAACGAAACCACCACACTGGCTCAAGAGGACGCGGAAGTTTCGCTGGATGCGTCACTGTCAGGAGTGTACAGGGATTCGTCGCTGCTGCTTTCATGGCCAGACTCACCCACATCTACAAAATTCTCCCGTGAAATATAAGTCTGGTAAAACATAACGGAAAAGAGCGACCGAAATAATTAATAACAAATTAACAATTAATCAAGTAGTAGTGAACGTCAAACCGTTCACTGTCCCGTATAACATAATTATTTAACTTCAGTCGTAACTCGTACAGTAAACATGTTATCGATATGTTTCAGACTTATACATTGTGCAGTATTATGCCTCTTTGTCTGTTAATTTATTTACTTGTATTGCTCGTGACAAGCAAGCTGTGCTACAAAGCATAACCGACCTTTTGCTTCATCCAGTCCCCGATCTTTTTCGTGGGCAATGACGATGGACGGAGCCTGCAGTATTTCTGGCGAAGATTCCCGGTAGACTACTAAATTATCCTCCATAGCGGACGATGAGTGATTGCGTCGCACGTGGCCCGGCAGGTGACCAAACCAGCGATTACACTCTGAGCATTTATCCGTCGTCCTCCCGTGTTGGTCCACATGTTCCACCAGCTCCCTCAAGGTTTTGCACGATTTGTTACAATGTGGACATCTCCGTTCGCGGGGATGGCGCATTCCGACACCTACGATGCTCCCGTGTTGTAAAACGTGCAACTGATGCAGCGCTTCCGTTGTGAACCGCATTCCGCATTCGTGGCAAGTAAAGCTCTTAATGAACGTCAGATTGAGGTGCGTCTGTAACAGGACAAGATAACCTCTTTTAAAATTAGTATAGCAACTTTTTTGGATAAACAACCAGGGCTGTAATGTGCAAATTGCGGTGGTTCAAACATCCTGGTACTTTATGAAACTGTTTTTGCTTATAAGTACGAAGCTGATTTACGCCAGTTTTACGCCATATAAAAAAGCTACTATTTCATGTACCTTCTGGTGCTCGGACAGATCGGACTTATGTTCAAACTCTTTTCCACAATCCTGACAAGGATAGTGTTCACTTGAACTCTTGTTGTTAGTGCTGGAAGATCTCAACAATCCAGCATCGGTGGTATCAGGGCTACTCGAACACTCCAGCTGTGCCGATGACCGGCAATTTCCAAGTCGCAGGTGTGCATCCAGATTGTCAAACCACTCATCACAAGAGCGACATTTTTCCGTGGGTCGCCCATGTTCCTCCACGTGGTCCATTAGCTCCTGCCACTCGTCAAATACGTCCCCGCATTTCGGACAGGTCAACTCTTTTTCTACATTGTTGCCACTAGGATTCCCCTTGTGTTTCAGACGGTGCAGCTGGCTCAGCATGTGCGATCGAAATCGCAAACCACATTTTTCGCATGTCAGACTATCGTTCACCCGCGTCGCTGGCTGATGAAACTGAAATAGCCCTCGTGTAAACCAAATCCCACGCTAAGTGTTCAAATTTTTGAATGAAACTAACGAACCTTTTCGTGAGCCCGCAAAGCACTCTGTAGTGGAAAGCTGCTATCACATAGTGGAAAGCCATCTTGCTGATGGTCTTGGCGAAGATGCGCCTTTAGTGCCGCAAAACGTTGACCGCACAAGGGACATTTGCGCGCCGCGACACCATGGACTTCAATGTGCATCAACAATTTCTCCAGTTTGGCAAACTGTTCACCACACTGCAGACAGGTTCGGAAATTCTGCACCCATCTTGCGGAATAACTGTCCCCGTGCTGCATCTTTGGAAGGATAAAGGATCCAGCATTTTCTCGCCGCAGTGGTCAGCAAAGGACTCTTCCTTAATAACACTGTCAGGCATTCTTCTCTCAGCCTCGACACCTGAAATTTATAAAATCCTGTATCCAACGTAAAACTTACCAAAATGCAGTTAAGCAAAAAATTTATTCACACAACACTGTACCAGACATTTCGCCATCCGAATCGACATCCTGAGGTGTTACGGGATTAAGAAGATCCAAATACTGTCTGGAGTACCACACGCGCAGTTCTTCGTGCGGGGAGATGGTTCGGCTTGTGACGAAGACGATCTCGCATCCGCGCGCGAACACCAGCAAATTGCTCGCTTCCACGCTGTCCGCCAGTCGCACGTGCTTCATCCAGTTGCAGAGGTAATCCGAATCCAGCTGGTACTGCTTTCGCTTGGCTTCCTCGCCCAAATCGGAAACATCCACATATCGGGCTTTCTCGTCGTCACTGAACACGGTTGGAGCGATCAACGGGCCGAATACCGTGTGCCGCATTACTGCTTCCCTCACGTAAACAGTTTTACCTAAATACAGCCCATCGTTAGTTTATCACCAATGCATAAGAAATAATCCGTAAAGTAATCTCTTACCAGTCGGCGATTCATCACAGACGTCCATATACAAGACTTTCGGCAAGCTGCTTGTAGCCATTGGTATGACCGGTTCATCAGGAATACTGTCGGAATGTATCCAACATGGCGTTTGCATCAACTTGCAACATGGTTCACAGTCTGCAACGGCATAAAATAATGACAAAAATATTTACAAAAACAATAAGTTTGTCCATACAGATAAAGGTATCACAGGGCGGTGCAGATGCGGTACTAACTGTCGGCGTCTGGATGACGTCTCGGCTGCTGGCTGCGGGAAAAGTAACAGTCGGCAGCGAAGGTGTCACTAGCGCTACAAGAGAGAGAATATTCACCCGTAGCCCAATTCATTATAACATGTATCTTACGAGGATCGAAAGAGAATTCTCTTCGTTTTCCTCTCCTGGCAGACCGTTGCACGACGCGATCGGTAAACTTGGCAGATAGGATGCATTAGCGTCCGTAGATCCTGAAGGTGCGTTAGTGTCCAGTGGGACATTATCGCTCACATGCAAGTGCCACCGCAAATCATCCATTTCAGTAGCGTTGGGGGCGTCATTGGCGTCTAAAGGAAGTCCGGCGTCTGGTGCAGCCACGTCACCCTCCTTGCATGCACGTTGTTCCTCGGAAATTTCAGGAGTCGGGCTGGAGAAAAAGCTTGGCGTTTTAATGGAGGGGCACCGCAGTGGGCTTTAAAATCAGTTTAGACGTGTTCCATGTCTGCCACCTCCAATCCTCTGGTTTAAAGTGATTTTCACACACCAGCAACCCAAAAGAGAACACAAACTCGGGATTCAATTCTCGGCAAGCCGCAATCCAAAGCTTCCACTGCACAGTCAGTTTGGGGAAGGGAAAAAATGTCAGCCTTTCCGACCGTTTACATAGTTCTGTCGACCGCCACCAACCGCATATACAGCAGCACTGTATTTCATCAAGGGGAATTGTTGGATTAATTGGGGTTCGGAATTTTTCCACACATTCCAGCTGTGATGGAACGGCACTCTGCTTTAGACCGGATGAGGCGAGGCGCCTTATTTTCGCTACACTTTGTGGGAAATCTCGAGTGGTGAAGTGCCGGCTGCACACCATATCGTCTCCTCGACATGGCGCCCAGGAAACTGCACACTGCATGCAGCTTATCCATTTATCCCGACGCGCCTCATCCACGGGAAAACGCGTGTACGTTATCCTACCCGAGCCCAGCTCCTCGGGAGGTATGCGGCATCCCGGCACACAGCAAACCTCGCTCTTTTTTCCCACTTTCCCTTCCCCTTTTTTGCGTCTAGATCTGGTGCCAAAACGCGGCCTGCGCTTTGGAACTGCACTGGCCTTTAATATCCCACAACCCGAGCCCAGCTCAAAGTCCTCCGCATCAAAATGGTTCTGGCACACCAGCGACTGCTCCGTATCCATCTGGTGTCGGGTCAGATCCGGCAGACAGTTGATCCACTTCGACCTGAGATGGATATCCTTCGGGAAAGGGTAGAACATGAGTATTTCCGACGGCTTTGTCCAGCCATTCCGTTTAGCACCACACGCAAGACAGGTCCGCACGTCGCAGACCTTCGTCTGCGCTTTCGCAGCCTCTCCGTCGCGTACTCCGGAAAAGTGGAATGCAGCAATACAGGCGGATCGAAACGGCACAACACCATCCCTCAAGGTTGTTAACGGCGCTTTTCTGATATTTCCACTAATTCTGCAGACTTCCCAATCGGAGCGGTGGAAATGCTGGCTGCAGATGTAGGAGGGCGGCTGCGGCTGCCAGAACGCCGTGCAGCGGATTTGCTTGACCCAGGTGTCGTACAGCTCGTGATCAGGCAGCAGAAAGGGAAACAGGACGGTTCCGGAAGCGTTCCGCGATGTAATCAGGCAACCAGGAACGCAGCAAATTTGCACAGTATCCGCATCCACGACAGCGCTCGCCGGTTTCGCCGAGGAACATGGAGAAACCAAGGCAACCTTAACGCCGCGCTCAAGTTCGTTCGCGGAGTTAGAGGAAGGAGCAACCGCAGCAGATTGAGGCGGCAGCGGGAGAGGTTTGGCAGCAACCGCTTGGTCGCTCGATTGAGGTCGAAAAAGGATATCGGGAGACGGAAAGTACAACATCGGTGCAGGCGATGCAAGTGGAGCAACACACGCTTCAGCCATGCGCGGTGTAGCCTTTGGGCTGGCTGTGCAGCGTTCGATTGTTTCCTTATCAACACGAGCTGCCTTCGTGGGCGGAAGTTCCAAAGTCGACAAACAGCTGTCCGCGCTGCGCTTCTTCGAACCTGCAATGATATCCGAAAGTAAAAAATTTTCTCTGAAATCTGTATCACTGCCAATACACGAACAGAACAAACCATGCTAGTTATGCCAGCTAAAGTTGAATTCGAAGTAAAAAGCGCTCACTGACTAAGTTGTGCTGGCATCGCTGAGTAACAAACGGAGCAGCAGACAAACTGCATAAAAACTGGCCAGTGTCAAATATACGAGTACGCAATAAAAATAAATATTTAAAAAAATATACGAGTACGCAATAAAAATAAATCAGCATTTAGCAATGTTGCATACGAACTGAAGCATTATTTTAATTGTTTTAATTACCAAATTTTTGATTGATTAATAAACCAGAAAGACTTGATATTTTGAATCGCAATTTATTAAATCTAAAGCGATTAATCCAAATAGCGCCGTCTGCTGTATTACACGAGCACTTACTGGCAACAGCGATTTCTGGGCTGTCTGGACGAGGAACGGATTCGACTGGGCGATGCATCTTCAAGACACCTTGAGAGAAAAAGCAATACAGAAAAACTATTCACTAAACTGAGAGCTTTTAATGCAAATAATTCAAGCTAAAATTACTAAATCAACTAAATTTCAAGTACATTACTACATTTCAAAGATAAAGCACTAGATCGAAGATCACAAGGTAAAAGATTACTCGAAGCGCCGATTTCCGGGCTGTCTGGTCGCGGAACAGACCCCACGGGCGGTTGCAAGCTGCGCGGGATGCCTTCGAAGAGACTCGGCAGCGCATCGTGTTTGAGACGTCTCTCCGTCTTCTCGCAGTCCTCGGCTGACGGCACGGTGAGGATATCCGCGGAGCAAAAGTGTCGGCTGCAGATCGTACTAGCTGCGGAAGGAGTCCAGCCTTTTGGACGGAGAGTGCGTTCAATCCAGACGGGATAGCGCGGGTCGCTCGGATGCGGGAAAGCGAAGAAACACACGCTGCGCATCGAACGCGATGGCTCTGACAAGGGACACTGCAACACGCAACACACATCGCCGTCCGCCATTCTGCGATGTTATCGGTAGAATGCAGGGTTAACCATATAAATGATGCAATGGAATCAAACAGCGCGAGAGGACGGAAATTTCTTCGTTCCGCTCGAAAGCCAGTGCAAGGGAACAGTGGCAGTCAACACGATCCCGATAAACAAATGTGCCGCCAGACGCCAGTCGCCGTGCGTGATAAACGGAAAACTACTGTAAATCTCACACAATCGTGAGAAGAGAAAGATTGAAAGAGTGATGAGATCCAACTTCAAAATACATAATAATGCAGTGAATTTAAGTTTGCGATGAAACTTTTCAGAAAACCAGATCTGAGATTTCGAACGAACAACAAAATACGTTCGTTGCAGATCGCAGAATGTTCGTGGGTTATAGAAACCACCCAACGGGTGGCAGCAAACAACTTCCGCGCATACGTCACTGCGGCAGTGCTTGCGAGACTAGGGTAGTCAGCACAAAACAAACAGTTCAAGTGAAACCGATGTGTTTAAATAAATTTCAATTCTAGTAATTACCGAATAAACCATAACTGAATATGTAAGAATATGTTGATCATAAATACCAAAAATCAGACCTAATAACTACCTATGTGTATGGAAGCAGAAGTAGCAGCATCGGTACAGAAAATGTGCAGAGTGCCGGCATCAAACGGGGCAATTTTCGAGAAGGCACAATAATGACAATACTTTGATCGTGTCATTAGTCATGCTTCCCATCTGAGTATCTACAGTCTACAGATATATTTTTTTCTTTATAATTGTCTTTAGTCGATCATACCGTACACATAAAGCCTCAGCGCAGAATTCGGTATTCCGACTTGTGTGACGGTATAGTTGTACCGTATGCACTTGCAGACCGTTTTTTTGCTGATTCCTGTTTTCTCGACAGTTAGCTGTTAGTGTCAAAAACGAAAGTTGAAAGTTTATTAGAATCATACGCGTTATACTGACACATGAAGTGAAATACCGTGCATGCAGCATGCCTTGAAACGGCGTAATCTCGCGATCACTACACTGAAGCACATTCAACTCGTCCGAGAAAATCATCAAAGAGAGAGATTATTAGCTTCAGTTAACCGCTACCACCAGAAAAAGGTAGCGGCATTTCCGGATGAAATTTGTTTAAATGCCGCAGATACCGTCCCTCTCGCAGGAATCCCACTTGGCACTTGTCGCACTTCAGCGGGAATTCCTCCAGCAACATGCGTTTGCGCGGCGCCACATAGTTCACTTTTTTCAGGTATTTCGTCTGTGACTGCTGCATTCTCTGTCGTCCGCCGACCGTATGCGCAAAGGCCACGTGATTACGCATGGTCTCGCGCAGCCGGAACTTCTTCCCACACACCGTGCATTCGTGAGAGAAGTCCCGTCGGGTGTGCTGAATCTGCATATGCTGATACAGATCGATTTTATTTCTAAAAATTTTACCACACACAGTACAGGTGCAGATAGATCGGACGTCGTGATGGTTACGGTAATGCCCGGTTAGTCGGCGAAAGGTGGCGAAGGTGGCATCACAACTAGGACAGTGAAACCCGTCCGCCTGTTTGTGGGTTAACGCGTGCCGGCCCAGAGGTATCCAGCCCTCAAAGATTTCCGCACAAATCAGGCATTTGGGAACTTTATGGATCTGCAAAGGCGGGAATATAAGTTAGAATAGAATTGCTTGATGGATCTGCAAAGACCACAATTAGGTACGAAGGGGAAAAAAGGCAAAATGAATGTTACAAAATAAAACACCAAGAATGAAAAAGTAAAACTGTGTTGTCCTGTCATATCGCATCAGAATAATAACTACTCCGTCTACTCATACGAAAATACAGTAACAGCAAATTACATGATGGATCTGTGAAGACGAACAGTACCAGTACATATTATAAGTGAAATCGGTTAACCAGAAAAAACGGAAAAATAAAGAGAAACACATAAACTGAATAAACACAATACCAAAAATAAGGCGAATAAAAATAAGTATCGCAGCATACCGGAACTGGAAGTGTGATAATGCAATGAGCGTGTTGTGTCACAAGTTTACAATCCCATCTCGTATTAAACAAATCGAGGGCAAATTCTTCATTTGTATTTTACTGTGCGAAACTTTTTCACTATCTCGCATTCACGGCGCGAAAAATTCGTGGCATGAGGCATAAAATTGTTAATAGCGTGGTAAAATATTAAAAACAATAAGTACACCTTGCAAAGAGAAAACAGTACACTACCTGGATATGGGCTCGATGTTTAATTTCTGAGGGGAACACTTGCTGGCAAACATCACAAGTATATTCCGCAGCATCGTCCATGTCGCCACTCGGGTGATTGCCCTTCATGTGGCGGCTCAGCAGATGGGCAACAATGAACTTTTTACATACCGGACACTGTTCTTTCTTCGTATACGGCTTTCCGTGTCCCTCCACGTGCTTAAAGAGATCGGGAAGACTTTCGAACCGCTCTGAGCAATCAGGACAAACATTATCGCCAGTATCTTTATTTCCATCAGGTTCTGTCGCATCGTCATGAAAGCGCTGATGAAGCTGCATCAGAGCTTCCGTCTGGAAATGTTTGCGGCAAATTTCACAGGGATACTTCACCAGTGCGGTCGGATCTCGAAAGAACTTGCTGACGACTTTTCCGGTTTCCGCCGATACCGGCTTCGGTCGTATTCGTTTTAACGATTTTAGTTTCTCTAACGGTATGCCTAATTCCTTAGCTTGATCATTTAGATCAACGGCAGAGGGAGTCACTTTCATCCGTACAACTTTTACCAGCTTCGGTATTCCGAGTTCCGTTGTCGGATTAGGCTGATCAGCTGCGGAAGCAGTCGCTTCCGTACTGCAGTTTTGTGGTCTTTTTTCTTTGACCGCTTCCGCTCTGATTTCTTTCCGCTTACGCTTTCTGGAATTACCCTTTTCAGTCAAGTCAGTACAACAATCGTTTCCGCAAAATGTTTCCGCTTTAAAGAGGACCGCATCTGACGTCCAGTATGGAACCACATCCGAGGAGGCTTCCACGGATATTGCGTGTTCATCTTCAGTATCCCCAGGTTCATGCAGTGCACTATCGATTTCTGGACTGAGGGAACGATCAGGAATATCCGGTTCATCAGCACCGTCGCAAATGGGAACTGCATCCACAGCTACGCCACAAACCAAATTATTCTCGTGATCCACAACGGGAATGTTAGAATTCTGCTCCAACAGCGCGGTGGGGGCGTTCTCAAGAACTTCTTGACTTATGGGGATATTTTGATCGCTAGTAATGGCGGGTGCAACGTGGTGCACTAATTTTCCAAATAACGGATGCCTAGGCAGTGTACCAACAGTTTCTGCATATTTTTGCGAATAGCACAGCTTCAGCTCAGTTCCCGGCTTGATGTCCTTGGTTGTGACGAAGAAGATCTGATTGTCCCGGATAGCCACTGCCACATTCTGCTCCTTGGGATCGTCCGCAAAGTGAACGTATTTCATCCAGTTGCAGGCGTAGTCCGACTCCAGATGGTAGCACTGCCGGTAGTCTTTGCCGGGGACGATAAATTTACCGCCCATGCGACTGCAGAGCACACCGCGCATTGGTCCGAATACTGAGTGGGAATGAAGGAAGGAGCGCGCAGACACTCCAGTCGGTGCGTCTGTCGAATACACGAAATTAACGCACTTCACCTCCTTAATACGCCACATCGCCCATATCGATTAAATCAATCTGACATCTATCTGACAGATCTGACTACTGTCAGTTTTTGTCGTCCTATTTTTGCTGTTTTGATTTCCAGATCACAGTATATTCTCAATGCGAAATTTGCATGCAAATAATGACGTAATTCCGTTAAACTGAAACGCCCGCATAATTTTGTAGTTTCCGCAAATTGCAATCATTTTACTTCAACAAATCAGTGAAACAAGTATGCTGTGAGTAATGAAACTGTACCAGGATACTCATCCGCCGCAATGAATCGTAATACCGATGGAAGGCTAGCTTTTGCCAGCGGGACTGTTTGCCGGTCCTTATAGCGCTTCGTGTGCTGCCAACAAGGTTCCGGTCCAAAAATTTCACATTCTGGGCAGTCTACAAATAAACAATTCAAAAAATTTCCAACGCAGCTAAGCACCTTTAAATGTTTTGCACGTAAACAGTACGCCATAGACAGGCGACCGGAAAGAATAGTGTATCTCCGTAAGTACTACTTACATATGCTGCTACCGCAAAGGTTCTCCTTTTCTTCGGCGGAAGGCAACGTTTGACTAGGAATGACCAGACGCGAAGGTCCAAACGGGACATCAACTGCAATAATCGTAACACTAGAAAGCTATAAAATCACACTACACCGCAGAGAAGTATCGGAAAATTCAAAATTAATTTTCTTTAAATACTTAATTTCACATTGCAATAAGCCCAAATGGCATAATACAAATGCATCAAATAAAGCATGAGAGTTGTAGTGCAATGGTTATCTAACTTCATGGTATCCACGGACCACTTCTATAGATAAATACATAATAAGATTTAACATTCTACAGTCGAAGTTTACTATCTTATCTCAGTTTCTTTTTAAAAACATTTTCCGGTCTACAGGTAGTGCATAGAGACTAATTAAAATGTTACAAAATTTAAATTTATTTAAATTTAAAAGTTAAATCACACTGATAAGTCGACTAACCCGCATTCGGCAGTCCGTTACTGTAGACTCGCATCTGCGCGTTGAGACATTCCATATCCTCATCACCAGCTTCACATTCCGCATCCGCTCCATCCTTCTCTTCCGCCGTGGCCACCGTTAACGACGGCACCGCAAACCACGTCAGCCGTTTCCTCTCCTTTCCATTCCGCAGCAACGGCAGACGGAAATACTGAGCTGCAAAATGCTGCTGGCACACGAACGACGCGGAACGCAACTCAAAGTCCTCCTTTCCCTGGCGACACACATCCACCCATTTCTTCCGCCGCACAGCATCCTTAGGGAATTTGAAGACTGCGCGTTTTTTGTCCTTGGTGTCGGATAAGCGATACGTGCAGAGAACGCACTGATCATCCGCGGATGTTGAGGGTTGTGGGTTTTCACCAGTCAAATCCGTCACAAGACTCACAACTTGGGACGAAACTGGTTGGAGAAGTTCGAGGATATTGGAAACTTCTGCGGGTGGAGCGGGGACGCTGGCACCAGGTTTGGGTTTGATGGGAACGAACGAGGAGACTGGGGGTGGCGGGAGAGACGAAGGAGATGATGGATCCGAGGGTGCAGCTGAGCAGACGATAAAGTACTGCAGCTCTCCCGTCGGAGTCCGGTTGGCAATAACGCTTTGCAACATGCTGTGGTCTGGTCGCTGCGCGGATCGGGTGGCTGTACGAAATAAAGACAGACAATTATTCAGTGGACTTCTGCTATAAAAAACCAATCGAACGATTAAAGTGAAAGGCCAAGGGCGCTCAAAACGCTGAACTGAGAAGGAAATACTGTTGCTCCGTTTGAAACGATGGGCCGTAATGGCAGCCGCCTTCGAGCGCCTGTTTGTAAAGATTGTTGCGCGTTTGGTAGTTTTCCTGTTTCCAGTTTACTGTTTGCAGAACACTGAGAACACATTCTATTTTTTACTGCATCAGTTTCTCGTTTTTTCGTAAATTGAATGTTATAAATTTGTTATAAATTTCCGTTTTTTATGTGGATGGCTGTCTTAGCACCCTTTAACAGATTTATCCACCATTTCATGTTGAAGTGTTAATGATTAATCATGTCATCATCTGCAGAAGACCCTGAAAATTCCATCGATTTTGATGCACGACAACCCGAATCAACATCACCTTCGCGAAAACCACGGCATATTTGGTCACACGCGGAATCTTTGATTGCGTTGCGTTCTTATCAGTCTCATGGTGGATGCACTGCCAAGCCTCACGAGCGAGGGAACTTATGGCGCGATGTTTTCGCGGATCTGCGTAAACACAACAGACACGAGATCGTCTCGCCACGCGCTGTACGCGATCACATCACGCAGCTGTTGAAGGATTTCCGCGAGGGAACGTTGAAGCCGTCCGCTGATGAAGCTGCAGTGGAATTAAAAGCGAAATTAACTGAAGTATGCCAGCGGCAAACGGAGCACCTGAAGACTCGTAAAATAAAAGTAAACTTGAATGATGCGGAGAAAAAGCAGTGCAAGACGTTGCATCGGTGGTCGGAAGAAGAAACACTGATAGCGCTGCGATCCTTCCGCGCGCGGAACGGATACACCGCCGTGAACCAACAACGGGGGATTTTATGGGGCAGCATCCTGCAGGATTTGCGGGAGAAGGGAATGCCGATTGTGTCAGCCCGTGCGGTGCGCGATTACGTTACTAAATTGCTTAGAGATTTTCGGAAGGAAAATCCGGGTTTGGAACGGAACACTGGTTCTAGGTGGAATGCAACCATGGAAGTTCTGTTGGAAATCTGCCAATTGGAGGAAGGACGAGGGGATGTTGCAGATGACATATGCGGGGATTCGACGGCTGTGGGAACGGGGGGTCGAAAAAGAAATCATGGTATGGCTTCTTCTGACGGTTGGTTGAGCAGCTGAAGTTTTTTAATAGGGATTTTTTAATTCACCGTTTGCAATTAAGATACTTCTCGCAAATATTTGTGTATAGATAAGTATAAAGTGGATTTTTTTAGGGAAAATAATTCTTATGGCTAGGTTGTTGTTTGTAGACTATAAAGCTAGTGTCAGTCAAAATTTTAGACTGTTGTTTTGAAAACAATTAATTTCGCGCAACAACAGCAACATACAGGAAAAATGGCAAGAAATTGACGGCAGTTGTGTGTGCACGTAAGTAATCAAGTTGGAGTTGAGTGACTTTGGTTTGATCGGTAGATTGATAACTGTAGTTCTGTAAATAATGTAATAGGTTCCATTTCTCATTGTAGAAGCTCCTGTCCAACCGAAAACTATCGCTCGCGCTTTAAAAGAGCGAAATTTTTCCCGCTTATGTAAGTAAACATTATTTGTTTGTTTTCGGTAGTGATTTGGTGAAAAACTTCGCAGCGGAAACTTGTGTGAGTTACTATCGGGTATGGCAAACGATGCACTGTCTTCGGTACTCGCTTTCGTTGTTAAATTGCTAGAAAAGTAACTTTTTGCGCATAGTTTGCTGGGTAATATGCTGTACTTCATGTGCTTCGTAGATTGCCCCGACTGTGATGTGTTTTTGGATAAGGCATGTCCCGTGCATTCGCAGCGTGTCTGTGATGCGCCAGTGATTCCTCTCGCCATTGCTTCCTTGCCGAGCGTCTTGGAATTTATTTCTTTTGGTATTTCCGGTACGACGGCGTTTCTGTTACTTAATATCAGTGCATTACGTGTTTTGTTTTTTTCTCTGCTAAAATTTTACTTTGCGTCATAGCGATTAATGTGTAATTGTATTTTATTCTTAGGGCTTCCGACAGGTGTTCAAGCTAAATCGGCCATCCCGAAGTTGACTGTTTTTGGACCGCTTCGTGGCGTTATTGCTCATGATCTCGAGAAGAAAGACTCGCTGTCCACAACTTGGTCCGGCCAGGAAAATGAACCTGTATACGCTCTTCCTGATCTGAATGGAGACTGCGTCAGACGGATCAAGATGGACTCTGTTCACACGTGCAACTGGTTGAAATTTGTGCGGCGGGCTGCTGATGCACGGGAACATAACCTAGCGGTTTACGAAACCAATGGGGAAATTTATTTCCTTACCATTAGGCCCCTGGCTCCTGGCGAAGAATTAAAGTTTTGGTATTCGCAGAAATATGCACAGTCAATCGGGCTTTGTGATTCTGTTCCAGACCCACGTAAGTGTTTGAAATTTTTTTAACGGTGCTAGGTAAATTTTAATTTTTCTATCTAGTAGCTTGTTTTCTGTGTATCAGATGACAAAGCCAGAGTCGTTCCGCCGAAGTTCAAGAAAATATACAGTTTTGAATCGACATTACCGGCGAATCTGCCTGATGATGATGATAATTCTGGCGCGTTTGTGGAGGAATTTCTGGGAGATGGCGGTAGTGGAATCGAATCGTCCGATAGCGCGGATCTGGCGCCTACTACTTCACGAAATAGCGAATGGATCGATGAAAAAGACAAAGACGAAGATGTTTCCATGGGTATGTAAATTTATCCCTAAAATAACTAAATTATTAAATAAGAAAACAATTTGAATGAGTCATTTTTAAACTGCAAAATGGGTGATGTTTTGGCAGAGGCGGACCAAGAAGAGGAAAAGGATGTTCCCCACAACCCTCCGGGGGAGGGGGGTAGGCCGATCAAAAGCCGTCACAAGTGGTCAAGAGAGGAAACCACGGCTGCGCTGAGGCTGTATATCGCTTACGGAGGTTGTGGTCTCGAATCGCGGGACACGGCCAATCGCGATACCCTGTGGCAGAATATCTACAATGACCTCATTGCTGCGCGTTTCAAGATAACCTCCGTTCGAGCTGTTCGTGAGCGTATGCTCAATGTGATGAAAAAATTTCAAACGGACATGTCAAATGAAAAGGACATTGTGCTGGATTCCGTGGGTGAGTTGCTGCGGGAAATCTTCCAGTTGCGGAAAGAGAGTCGCCGACAACTGAAGATCAACAAAAATCCTGAAGCTGGGGAAGAAGCGGAAACTATAACTCAGCACTCTCCAGATCAGATTAACGTCAAGAAATGCCGGCATCGATGGTCGAAAGAGGAAACACTTGCAGCTTTGCAGTTGTATTGCACGCATGAAGGATATCGTGTGGGCGCGAACCGCGCAGGACTTTGGCAGAGAATTTATGATGGTCTGATCGGCGCGAATTTCAGAATAATTTCCCCGCGTGCTGTGCGCGAACATGTGTTTAAACTGATGGCCAGTTCCCAGACAGATGATGAAGGGACTGCGCTGGATGCAACAGGTGAGATGTTACGAAAAATCCGCCAGCTGGAAAAAGACAGTGAAAATGAAGCTGCAAACAAGAAACAGCAGCGGCTCGAAAAGATGAATGCATCGGCAGCTGCATCGACGAGTGGTCCAAAAAAGCGGCGGTTTTATCCAAAGCCACGGACGATGTTGCCACCGACGGAAACGGTGTACCCTTGCCTCGAGTGTCTGGTCAGTTTTACGTCGGAAAAACTGCTGGAGATCCATAATCTGGGCCACAACACGGCCGATACTGCAAAGTGGGACCAGTCCGATGGGATTGTTTGTCCAGAATGTCAGAAAACATTTGAAAGCATCGTCAGCTTGATTGCACACATCATGGAGCATAAGAAAGTGTACGCGCCGCGGGTGCAGTGCGCTCAGTGTCACCGCTATATTGCAGCACAATTTTTGGCCAGACATATGAGGGAAATGCATCCGAGCGAGGCTGGCACAACATCGAATGTCTGCGACGAATGCGGCGAAGAGTTTCCGACACCACGGAGACTTGCTTTCCACATTAAGGTAAACGATAACAAAAATTTAAAATGCCGTTTTTCATTTAGAAAAAAAATTATGTAAATTTCAGTTTGGTAACTTCTACTGATAATTATTGCGTAAATTTTCGCGTAGTGCTACCTACACAAATGTATGTGCTACCTACACAGATGCCGCTTGGTAGAGTTAGCTCAAACCTTAATTAATTCATGTAATATATTGATGGTTCTGCTATAATTGATTTCCATGATCCACAGTTAGACCACATGATGAGGAAACGCAAAAAGCAATCCATTAAAAATGTTCGGCATTACCTCTGCGTGCTTGTAGTGCAGAAATATTAATATTCTAGATTTCATCACGTAAATCAGATAAATTAATGGGTTACCATCTCGTGAAATAAATGAATTATTTCCGATCTCATCACTTTGAGATGCTTACTGTTTGCTCCTACAGGGAATGCATTCGGCGAAACCGTGTGCCATATGCGCCAAGATGTTTTACACCTGGGTAGAGTTGGGGCAACACGCCCTCTCCCACCAGCAGCCCGACGGCTACCACTGTCCGCAGTGCAGTTTTATCTGTCCCACCTACACCAAACTAGCGCGCCACGTCGCTAACTACCACGATGTGCGCAATCTGACCTGTTGTCCGGTGTGCAACATGATGTTCACGTCCAGGAACCGGCTGAACGGTCACATGCGCAACCACGCGGAAGGATTCCAGCATGACTGCGGATTGTGCGGTAAGAGCTTCCGGACGCGGAGCACACTGCAGTATCACAAGCGCTGGTCGCATGGCACGCAGCTCAAGGAGAAGTTCCGACGCCTGAAAGAAAAAGCCCCGGCCAGAGACTATACGGCTCCGCGGAAGCGCATGCGGTTCGAGGAGTTCACGTATAAATGCGAGGAGTGCCGGTTTGGGTTTATGACGGAAGGCCGTTGGCTCCGGCACAAAGAGAAGTTCCATTACGATGGGGCCGATGTTCCGTCTACGTAGAAAGTGTTTTGTTTTGTCGCTGTTGGCGGTCGTTAAATTGATTTTAGCCTTTCTGTTGACCTTCTGCCTTCCAGAAAATTTATATATGGAATGCAGTTTTTAGTTTTGTAATCTGTACGACTATGCCATTTTATGGTTGTTGAGGCTGCTGGCTAATTCAATTTCTGTTCTACTGACATGGTTTCCTGCATCTCCCTACGATCTCTTGATTTTGCGGTTTTCGTTGAGAAAATAGAGGAAAATACGTTGGTTACGTAATAATGGTAATATTAGCTTTCCACCTTCGCAGCCGGCATCGCATACCGTGCTGGTGAATCTGTCACAGTGTTTAATAAGTGTTTAGTGTAAGCAGCGACATAACCGAACTGCGAACTGCGAGCAAACTATTCATCACAGAGTAGCTGCTCAAAATTCCCGCCAAAGCCGGGACATACTCTGTATTTGTCGGTTCACGATGCTATCCCGTGATTAAGAGAATAAAAGTGGCTGTTGGTCACAAACAGTACACGTCGCATATACAGTGTATATCATCATAATATTGACATGCTATGCGGAAGTCGCACCGCGACAACCGCACTAGATGACCAAACCTACTCAATCGGTAGAGTGGGAATATGCTCTGGACTCCGTAAGTGGTACTACTGCCTACTTCCGCTAGGTACGAGCGGATTGCTGTGCCTAACGAAAGTTACCGAAACCCAAACACTCAGGAACTTCCCAAATGTTTAATCACCAAACCGAACGAACGAACAAACAGAACAGAACAGAACGAGATATGAACTTCCTTCTAACCTAGAGTCACACGACCTTTCAGCTAGAAACAAGCTCACAGATTTAGTTGAAGTTAGAAACTTCAGACTCATTAGTTAAACCAGAATCGTGAATCGCATTAGCGATCAAATCCGTTAGATAAGAACAGCAAATCGTACATAACGGAACAGACAACACGTACGTCATAACAGGGAAAGTACGTAATACGCGCAAACTACGCATAGCGCGTTACCCCCACTGCTACAGAATTAACGTCCGCGTTAATCAAAGCAAACAAGCAACAGAAAATCAAAGAAAACTCATAATCCAGGAAAGTACCGTGATCCTGGGGGATCCGTTTCATCATTCGCGTGTGGAATCCGCGGAGTGACGGGGTTCGAATGGAGGTCCAAGTTGATGAAGTTGGTGTTCCGTCCAAGTCCTCCGAAGTTCCTCGTTCCATGCGCGTCCAGTTTTATCGTCAGTCCATCCAAACGTTTCGTTTCCAGGTGAGGTTTTCATCCATCCTCTCCCTCCGAAGAGCTCGAGGATCCGCAAGCCGACAGGCCACAGCCAGTCAGTCAACAACACAGATTACAACGGATGGATACCGTTTATCCATCAGCATCTTCAGTGCACCAAAAAGTGGATACATAATTTCCACATTTCCACTAATAACTGCAATTACCCCCACTGCAAGTTTGCACTTGCAGTCAAACGATCAAACACGGTCAATCACAACCAGATCACAAGAACCGATACGATTGCATGGTTCTTCATAAAAATTAAACAAAACATAATCAGTATCATCCAAGAATAATTCCCGGATGATGGATTCAAATCTCAACTGGATTATAAACATCCAGTTATCAAAATCAAACGGTAATCGTAATTACTGCTCCAACTGCAGAATCAAAATGACTTTAAAATCATTTTTACAGAAATCAAACACTGCACCGCAGCACAGCGTTTCGAACACGTAACTACCACACCGGCGGCTACGGCACATAACACAGTACTCGATTAATGAGTACTTATGTTTCCCACACAACCAGTTTTTGTAACTTCCTGCGGTTATGAGTAAAAGCAAGTTGCACTGTCAGTACACCACTGACAATAAAACAGCGGACTCACAACGTAGCAGTGAGGATTTAAGCATGAGCAGAACATTGCTCACATTCTGATTCCATTTTCCACAATTCAGCATTCATTCCAGGCCAGTAATAGTTTCGCAAAACATACTTACGAACTGACCAATAATCATGTAAATTACCAGCATGGAAACTTTTATGGCAATCTCGTAACAAGTCCTGACGGCTAGCTTCCGGTACAACCACGCGGTGTCTACCGTACCTACCGCCCTTGCTACGGTACACGATACCACGATAAACATGAAATCCTTTCACGATCTCTCTTTCATCCCGACTCATCTCTGCCTCAGGATTCTCGATCAGAAACTTCAAGCGCTTTACATAAGCACTGCCACTTTGCTTCCGCCGCCAACCTACACGAGCTTGAGCACCCCACTGCAAAGCGAGTGCCCTGTCGGACGGCGTACCGAGCAGAACTGAACATGAGCGGCATCGCCCCCACTGCAAGTTTCCTTCCGTGCAGTAAACTCTTGTGCACGATTAAACTGCACAGTAAAAGAATTTACTTCCGGTTTGCGCATTAAAAACAATCCCAAACTATTACTTTCGGGATGCTTTCCCATCGACTTCTTCATCATGTAAGCTTTAGTCACCTGATCCGGTGGTTCAGCTGTCACGGGCTTACGAGGTTCCGTACTGGTGCATTTCTTTCCCACATGCGCACCATGGCATTTAAAACAAATCGGTTGTCCGTCTGGGAAATACCACTTCGCGTAATTAATGGTCACCTGCTTACCATTATCAACTGCACTTCCTTCGGACTTCTTCGCCTCATTACTAGCAGCCTTAACTGCACTGCTATCTGTCTCACTTGGCTTCCTGCCAACGAACTGTTTCGAATCAGAGTAACCAGAAATAGGGTTACTATTACGCAGTTTATACTGCAGCTTCAGTTCTGACAAAAATTCTTCAACATCAGCCACTCTTTTCTCCTCCATGTACTTGAACCAAAAGAAACGGTTCTTCTTTAAACCCTGCTTCAGATAATACACCCGTTCAGATTCATTCAGATCCAACTTCTTGAACGACGTAGTGAACCAATCAACATACGAGTTTGGTGTATCATCATTACTGAAATGACGATCAGCAATCTTATCACGAACTGCCATTAAATCTTGCTCATCCGAGAAATGTTCCCGGATCATCTTCTTCCATTCAGACCACTTCAACTTCTTACTTGAATCGTACTTATCTAAGTACCAGGTAAGCGCCGTACCAGTGAGGCAGCGCGACAAGCACTTACGGATGACGTCACTGTCCGACCAACTGTTGTGGTTTTTACAGTTATCCACACTCTGAATAAACTGTTCCACCTTATTCGTATCCGTTTTCCCATCAAACTTCTCAGGATACATTGTATCAGTCCTGAATGCACCTTTCATTGCATCAGTAAACTTATCCATATCAAACGGAGCGGAAACAGTACTACCGCCCTTGGCTTCCTGTTCTTTTAAACGACGATCAAGTTCAGCAACCTTTGCTTCCATCTTGGCCAAAGCAATTGTGCTAACTTCTGAAATCGTTGGTGAGGGACTACGCGACTCACCCAAACATTCCTGCATATTATGAGCACGCTCACGCAAATCCAGAAATTCTTCCAGTTTCTGGTTATCTTTAACCACAAAGACGGGCTTATGAACAGCACTGTACAGCTTTCGTACAGGTTCAGCCATATCCTGTACTACTACGCTGCGTCGACCTGTTTCAACATGCGGAACAAAAGTGACGTCATCATCGACTGCATGGCGTCTATTATTCCTATCAATTTTCCACTTATCAACAGCAACTTTAAATGCTGTTTGTTCGGCCAAAAAACTCGCATACTTTTTATTCAAGGCAGCTGTGCCTTCTTGAAAACTTTTCTGCGCCTTCTGCTTCTCCAGCTGGAACTTCTGCTTTTCCAGTTGCAACTTCTCGCTTTCTTTATTCACATGCTCGAACGCATCCTGCATTAGCTTTGCGTCTCGAGTACGCATAATGCCAAGCAACTTCACTTGATCAGCCAACTCATTACGACGATCAACCAAACAGTCGTATTTATCAACTAGATCATTATGCTTATCAACTAAACCATCATGCTTCAAAACCAATGCATGATATCGGAACTTTTCTGCATCCAGTTCTTTGCGTAACTGATCAACCACGGCAGCGGCTGATGACTCATCGCTTTCTTTGCCAACTTTCTGACTGTAGTGAACATCAGCGTCTTCAATACGCTGATTATCTACAGCAGCCAGTTCCGTATCGTTATCATCGTTATCTTGAGTAACAACAGCTGAATAATCTGGAGCATTATTAATTTGCTCCAAAACCTTATTCATTTCTGTCAAATCCAAATGTTGAGTTACCGCGGTATCCTTCGCAGTACCACTCAAACCACTAGCTGACAGTGCATTGCCCTCAGTGACGGCAGCTTGCACACCGCTTTGCTGCACATCCGACCCTGAACGAGCTTTACTGCTATCTGCTGCTGACTGAACAGGCTTTTTGTTGGCAAGATACTACATCCATTTTTCATGCAGTTCAGTGCCGTATTGCTGATCATAATCATGCAAGGTCAGATGGATCGTTCGACGGGCGGGAATCTTCCTTCCTGCCTGAATCCACTGATCATAACCTCCTGGTTTTTTACCACCATTAAGATCATATTCAACCCATTCTTGACTTAATTCTCCAGTACGTGGGAGAACAATTTCCCACTTCTTACAGAAATCACCAACCTTTTCGTCTTCAGGTAGAAACCACTGCACAGTAGGCGGGGATAAGTAATCCGCCTTCTTTAACATGGCTTCAAACTCATCAACATTTATCATCCCTTTTCGACGGGACGGTTTACTTTTGCCAGTTGACGGCTCTTCTACACCGTCCTCCTGTCCAGCGGTTAATGCTGATGGTTCAATCACTGTACCATCCATTGCACCTGCTTGACAAACAACAGACAAGTAATCCAGGTCACCGAACCCGGATGTAAGTCTGCTACACGAATAACAGGGCTTACGCCACCACTTCTCAGTACAGTCAGTACTATTTACCAGTACGAGTACAGTACGGACTCCCGTCCAGCACCTGGCTCGCACTTAGGAACCGTGCCTCGCGCAACCCTCTAAGGTCACTGCGGTACACACTGCGGTCTAGCACCTGGTTCTCACTTAGGAACCTTGCCTCACGGGATTCTCTGAGAATCCACGTGGTCAACCAACACAACCACAAAACGCCAAAACCAATACCACTTACCAGACGATCCAGATTCCCAGGGTTGTTAAAATCCGTTGCGCGCCATGACATGCTATGCGGAAGTCGCACCGCGACAACCGCACTAGATGACCAAACCTACTCAATCGGTAGAGTGGGAATATGCTCTGGACTCCGTAAGTGGTACTGCCTACTTCCGCTAGGTACGAGCGGATTGCTGTGCCTAACGAAAGTTACCGAAACCCAAACACTCAGGAACTTCCCAAATGTTTAATCGCCAAACCGAACGAACGAACAAACAGAACAGAACAGAACGAGATATGAACTTCCTTCTAACCTAGAGTCACACGACCTTTCAGCTAGAAACAAGCTCACAGATTTAGTTGAAGTTAGAAACTTCAGACTCATTAGTTAAACCAGAATCGTGAACGCATTAGCGATCAAATCCGTTAGATAAGAACAGCAAATCGTACATAACGGAACAGACAACACGTACGTCATAACAGGGAAAGTACGTAATACGCGCAAACTACGCATAGCGCGTTAATATTATGATATCGTCCGCTGATGCGATTCGAGACATCCATCTAAAACCGGCACAATTTTGCAGCAGAAAAATTGTCTGACAAACGGTCACACAGCTGCAAAGTATTCTATATGCCCATCTAGAGTAGCATTTTCATGCTGTTTGGGCAGTTTGGAAAAAAACTTGTAAAGCGTTTTGCACACGTTCAGAGTAGAAGAAACATTCCGCATGCTAGCGGGCGGCTACAGGTGCACGGTGACGGTGTACTCGTATGTATATACGTGTAAAATAAGAGGATTGATAATCTGGTTGAATAAATACGCCATTTTCATACAGCATGTCAAGCAATACGATGATGCCATTTTCAAGAAAAACTATGAAGACCATATCCACTGGTGATTTGCATTTTAGTTCTTACTGAACTAGACCAACAAAAACAGTAAACGAACGCAACTAATAACAGCATAACAAGGGACAAAATTACAGTCACAAAAAGAAATCCTGACAGTAAAAAATTTAAAAAGGCATTCAGAGCAGGAACGCAAATACAGATAATCACAGCATCGATTGTTTGTCGAAGATTTGTCCAAAGAAATTCATGCTTTCTTTCCCGCATTTTTACATTATGTGTACGAGAAATGTAGTGTGCAAAACTGGAAAAGCTATGTAACAATGTTTAAAACCCGATTATTTACGACAGCCAAGCAGTCGATTAAACTTCGGTTAAACGTTTCCACTGGAAGAGGACACCGGCTGACTCGTGCCGGTGTCTTCAGATGCGACACTCTGGGAATGTTTCTTCCGTTGATGCTGCTGCAGATTGCCCAGCAGCATCCAGCCGAGCCGGCATTCCTCACATTTATACGGGAACTCTTCGAAGCGCATTCTCTGCCGCGGGCATTTGTACTTGCTGACCACTCCCTTCCGACGCATTTCTTCCCGTTTAGCTTTGCGTTGTTTCCGCACTTTATCCGTGTGAACGATCATTTTATGCTGCCACAGGTTGCTTGATCGCTTAAATGTCTTGTCGCACAAATCACATTTAAAGGAATAATCGGACCGGTGAACGGGCTCATGCTGAACTAGATAATACTTAGAGCGGAATACCGCGCCACAGATGTTGCAAACATGGACCTCCTTGTGGGTTTTTGAGTGCTGTTGTAAATTAAGGTACTTTGAATAGCTTTTCTGGCAAATCATACATGTCAAACCCGTTGTGTGCTCCTTTTTTATATGTGCATGCAGCAGAAGGGACGACGGGAACTGTTGAGCACAAACCAGACATCCTAGCACTTCTAAACTTCGGTGTTCTGGTGCACACTAAAAACAGACAAAAATATATGTAAAAACCAAGTGCTGATAAACATGGTGTGAGCAGTTTTGCTCGAGAGATACATAAATGTGCTGCAAAAGTTAACTACGGTATCGCAATGATTAACTGCGGGAAAGACGGCCTGGATCTGCCCCAGCGTAGGGGCCTTTCCCATGCTTGTGTACAGCCACACTTCGACTACGGGTCGGATACGTGGTCACCGGCATCTTTGGCTTTGCGCGGCAAACTGGCTAAAGCACAGCGGAAAGCACTGCGGGCGATTTCTGATTACAAGGAGCGGGTAACCCCCGAGCTGTACTAGAAACTGCCCATCCTGCCGGTGTACGACTGTTGGAAGCAGTCCGAGGCAGTATGGTTGTACAAGATCTACAACCACGAAGCGTACCATCCTCCACAGTACCTGGTCGACATGATTGACTTCACGGATGTTACAGCGCGGTACAACCTCCGAAAGCCAAAGAGAATCGAAGCCAAAGCGAAGAAGAAGATCGTGGAAGGCCCGTTGGCCATGCGTTTAAGGGACATTTTCGAGCGCATACAAAACGTTAATATGCAGATACTCAGCGTTGATGGTGTTGGTTTTTTTCAAATTTGCTCTCCGAATGGTGGATCTGTCGTAATCTCAACGTTGTTTTTGTAGCGACCAGACGTTGAAGTCCCGTTAAACGGGTTGTCTGCTCTTGATGTAATAATAATAATAATAATAAATATTCAGCAACAACAAGCGAAAAGATTAGAAAGCATCTGGAAACACTTACTGCTTTATGGGTGGCGAGATGTATAGGTGTCCGAAATCGTTTCTCGCACTGGTCGCAAAAAAGAGTCAAACGCGCTTCGTACTGCAGATAGTGTTCCTTGTGCACGGATCGGACGTGTTCGACCATAAGCTCCACAAAATCCCCACACACACGACATAGTTTGCGATCGTTCGCCTTCGCTGCATGCCGACCGACATGCTTTAACAAGTCCCCCGCATTTGCAGCTACGTAGTTGCATCCGGCACAGACAGTATCGCCTTGATAATCATCCGGCAAGTTGTGACTCAGCTGGTGCAAATCAGCCATCGCCTCCGTGCAAAATCGGAGTCCGCAGTTATTCAATCCGCAGCTGTACATGAAACACAATTCATGCCCGTCATGACTCTGCGCCAGCACATCCATCGGAGCGGCCGATTTGGATGCGAAACACATGATGCTGGGATCAGCAGTTGGGATGAAATGCGTTATCTGCGCGGCTTTCACGCTGTGGTCCAGAACATGCATTAATAAATTTTGCAGTTTGCCAAATATTCGGTCACACACTGGACAATCGTGCGAGCCGGCAGCTTCACCGGATGTCTCAGCATGCTGCAATTTATGCAGTTTCAATAAATTTTCGTCCTTGAAATGCACAGAGCACTCCCAGCACACGAAGCGATACGTGTAACTGGGGAAAAATTTGTCATGTTGATAGCCCTTTTTATTTGGACGCGGTCTCGTAAGGGGAAGATTTTTGCGCGTTGCGCCGTTTGCAGCAATTGCCTCCCCATTTTTCTGCTCGGTTAAGATATCCAAATTACCACTGCCATCCTTCCCCGCCAATTTCGCAATCTCCTGCATGAGCCCCATATATTCGCGCTCATTATCATCGGCGGAATCGTGGTTGTAGCGATCCAGCAGTCTGGGATAACCATCCAAATGAATCTGCACATACTGCTGCAGGTGTACCGGTTTTGACCGGCTTTTCTGTTTTTTGCAGCAGCACGAGCCCTCCTCATCTAGATACGACTGCCGCGCCGCTTTCCAAGCGGCTTGACGTTCAGCAGGTGAACAAAACTGGAAGGGATTAGTTTGTATAACCGCTCTTAATTTTCGTATCTTTTTCTGGCCTCTCAAACCTCCGCGTCCGCTTTCTGGCGTTCTTTCGTCGCACGTACAATCTTGGCGTCCTCTGTCGCTTAAATCAGCTAGCTCCTTCATGAGGTCAAAGTGTTCTGGAGTCATCCTACTTAACCGATTATAGCTTTCGGCTATTTTGAACCGATGCAGTCGGCTTTCCGTGTTTTTTCGCAATGTCTGCCCGTCGACCGGCAGCTTTTCTTGGACAGCACGTCTGCCGACAGCAGGGCCGCAGCGGCAGAATAAGCTTCCCATCGTTGCTCTCCGCTAGGATACTGGAAGGGATTCACCGCAACCACGGCCCTCACCTGACGAATTCTGGCTTCCAGGAATTTGTCAGATCGACAGTAACCCGTTCGCCTCTTTGACAGTAACCCTGAATGGAAAAAGTATTTATTTGCTCCTTTGAACATCCGAATATTATCATATACATTTACATATATAAAGCCATAAATACCGGGCCCGTGTTCTTCGAGTATGCATGGTACAGGTGTATCAGCGCGCTTATGGCCATCTTGAGATTATTTTGCACGTAATGGACCGATCATTAACACACGAAGAACGTTTTACACCGATCCACTGCTATAACATTTTTTTCAAATTTCAAAATGAATTTCAAAAATTTTAAAATTCATTTTAAAATTTGAAAAAAAAATCATGGAAGTCTGGATCAGTGTAAAAACAATCTTCATGGCCATTTGCATTTACGTGCAAAATTTTAAGGAGATCGGTCCATAAGAGACTTTTGGTACACCGGAATGCTTTTAAACTTTTTGGAATTTTCTTACAGTCATAAGACTCATAACCCCCGAACCGGACGTTGCGCGCGCAAACGGTTTTCAGGCCAGTGTACACAAATCATCTGGCTACAGAATGTCATAAACCGAAACAAAAATGAGCGTGGGAGTGCGCGAAAGTGAAACTTTCCGTGCATGTACACGAATTTGGTACAATGTACCGGGCCACTTCCCTTAAGGGAAGTGACGCTAGGTGGGTATGCAGTAACATCATTTTGAAGTCTAGTGTATTTTGAGAACGAAAGGTTTCATTACTAGTATTACCCGATCTTCGACACCGAATCTACACCAAACTCAGATTCAATGATTTTCGAAAATTCTAAAATGCAATTGAAAAAAATAGTGGTGCAGCTGTCCGCGTACTAACTTTTTGGAATTTCATTGCTAGCATAACCACTCAACAAGAAGTTGCGCGCAAACATGTTTTGCACACCAGTGCAGACAAACCAATGTCTTCAGTCTTTACAAAATAGCAGATCCAGTGTTGCCGTATTGTCTGTAGTATTTCTAACCTGACTTCAGTTTTTGGTAATTTCAACTGGACGTTCTAATTACGTACGTCTGCGCACAGCGATTCTGATAATCGTAATCCAACATACTCGTAATCAAGCATAACAGTCGTCTGTTCCCTCGATGCATTGAATAAGCAATTCCAGCTGAAATGCTTTAAGACCGCCGTTACACGTATCTGACCTTTTGCTTTGTTTTCCGCCGTTCCGGCCAAACCTGCTTCAAATTCACTGCAACCATCAGATGCGGAAGAGGACAATGCTACAACACACAAGAGCGGTAGAATTAATTCTATACCACATGAAGCGCTTTGTGTCATCGTACAGTCATCCGAAGGCACATGAAAATCTTCATCGGCTTCACCATCGAAGGCATCCGCGCCGTTGGAGGCTATGCTGACGCGTTGCACATTGCGTGAGCGGAAGGAATAGACGCGTGGAGAAAACTCTTTCGACAGAACACGTTCCGCAACCTCATCAGTTTTCTTCTGCTGAAGGGCAACGTTTTCCTTGAAAGCATCTACAGGTGGAGCCCGTGGAGATAAAGCGGGAGGAAACGGATACTCGGGTGACTCTTCTCTCTGAAAAGGGCGCAACGACAACTGCGTTGCAGAGAGATTATGTTCATGCGATTCAAGGGGCAGCGGCTGGGACTGTGGAAGGAGAAGGAGTGGGTCATACGGTACAGGCTGCACGGAAGCTGAGAAGCAGGAAGCCGGCAAACTGAGCGGAATGTCCAGCGACGTTATTTCCGCAGTGCCCTCGCATTCTGCCGTGCAGATATCGTCACTATCGACAGCCCCGTCGATTACACAATCTGAACAGGCGAAATACCATCTAAGTGCAATATCGGCCTCGAAAATAAGTACATGTACGTAATAAATGACCCGGTAAGTGTCGAAATAACAAACTTCAATTATTACCCAATATTATTATAATTAGTTAGTTACCCATAGGTGCACATTGCACATTAGTGTCGTGAATTGTTCTCCAGTCACGCTGGGGCAGCGCCAGCTTAAGCTCTTCGCCGGGCAGGATGACCTTGACAGTGACAAAAAGGACCTTCCGTTCTCGGATGAAGACACAGAGGTTGTGCTGGCCGTGGTCCACAGCCCTGACGAACTTCATCCAGTTGCACCAACGATCGTTCTCCACATCGAACGTCACACATTGCCCGTCTGAAGACGAGAATGTCCGCGAATGAGCTCCGGTCGGACTGCCCAGCGGCGCAATCAACGGTCCGAACACTGTCTGCGTAAGGATGTTCGTTCTTGCAACGACCGACGGAACTATAAAAGACACATCAATGGAAGTGACTCGGTCCATGATACCACATTCTTGCACAGCCGGAATCCTTCGCTTTCGCGCAGTCCCAAACATTGTTGCACTGTTTTTTGACATTCTGTAGCCAAATGATTCGTAATAATCCTGTATACATATTGGCGTGAAACCTGTTTGTCCGCTCAACTTCCCGGCTATGGGTGGACTTACTGACTCACTTACATATACCAAAAATCTATTTAGATTTACCCGTAAACGCACATGAGTAAGAAGATAATTTTTACACCCAAACAAAAGATTCGAGCATTTTTTCAAATTTCGAAATGAATCTGAAAAATCGTTAATTCCATTTTAAAAATATTTGAAAAAACACTGTAATCGAATGCTGATCAGTAAAAATTACCTGGTCCCTGTTTAACAAATTCATAAGTTTTGTTAAGCTATGCATACTTGTGGCTTGTGTTCTGCTCTCCAAAGAGTGCCCGACGTTGTGCAGTGCGTTTTCGTTGTGGAACGACAAGACATCTGGCAAACTGGCGATGGCCAACGGACGACTGAATGCGTCCTCAACAACGACTGCGTGCTGCCAGCACGGATACCGTAGGAAACACTGACAGTTCTCGCAGTCTGCAAGTTCAACACATCGGAAATGGCATCAGTGGAAAGCGACACACGCAAGCATGCACCATGCAAGTTCGAGCATGCTGTATGTAAAGTCTTGTTCCATCGGATCAAATCTACTAGATGCATCGCATACTGAACAACGAACGATAATCTGCTGGAAGGTACGCCAACCACTGATTTAAGCCAGTAGTCCCAGTACCAAACACTGTTGCAATATGGCTACCAAAAAAGCATCATACACTCACACAGACTGTCGTGAAAGCTGTCCCCGTCGGGCAGGAATGGCACTGCTTGTGAACTGACTTCCATTATTCCATGGGTATACGTAGTCATCTGGAGATTCAGTGGAGCGCTAAACGGATATGGAACTGCTAATGAAAAAATAATCAAAACTTATTACACCATTAACTGCGCGGGAACTTTTATTTTTCTCATACGAGAAACTCGAAATTACAATGAACCTGAAATTCTTAAAAATATGTTTTGCAGAGTTGCAGACAAATGCAGTTGTTGTTTTCGCTATGCAACTTCCTTTTCGGGGAGGTGGCGTGCTAGATCGAATTTTCATGTGACAGTAAACAGTTTTCAAAACAGGAATAGGTGCATTGACATTCGCATTTCGCCGGGCACTATTTGCAAGTTGCAAAGTTATGCAAACGATTCAAATTTAAATGTCACAAAAAATAGACAAAACTCGTAATAAATGAAATGAACACTGTGGTGGCGTTGTTAAAAAACGTGAAAATAAATTGCTGCGTTTTTACTGGAAAATTATTCAACGAAGCGAAATAAATACAACATTGCCAGAGAGAAGAACTAAACAAGCAGGATAACGACAAAAACATCCAGTACTTCATATTCGAAAGACTTTTATTTGGCCAACGACGTTAAGCCACAGCCACTAACAATAAGTACATACATTTGTAAACAGAGATCAACGGAAGGAGTGAGCAAACCACCAGAAAAGCACCCATCATAAACTAGCGCATAACCACAAAAGATAAATGAAATCATATACAGCAACTACAAAAAAGAATTCACAGATCACGTTATAATAAGAGAAGTATTGCAACCACGCAACAGTCCAATTTCTACGGCAGGATTCCATTTCCTGATTTCCAGCTAGAAAACATGGAACAGATTCGATTCTCAATTGCTTCCAGCAGAAGTGTGGCGACTTTTGCATGCGTTAAAAAAGGGTAGCAGCCAACGTTTCCGTTGTCTTTAAATGGCAAGCATAATACACTACACGGTACGTTATTAAAAGATCACGTGATTATAATGCATCCTCATTCGGCAATTCAGACATAATTTCTCGCCAACATTTCCGGTTCATCTCCTCATCCGAACCGTTCACAATGGATGCTTCATGCGCGAGAGCAGTGTGAGTGTAAAGGTCAGCCACGTCCGTGAAGTGTTCGCCACACTGGTGACATTTAACGGTTAATTCCGCATCGTGTGTGAACACATGCAGCTGCAAATCCTCGTCAGTGGAAAACGTTGCACGGCAGATCCCGCACGTAAAATCCTTCCGTTCCGGCAGGTGCTGATGGGTGGTTACATGCTGCGACAGCAAACGATAAAACGGAAACGTAGCTGTACAACCAGGACACTCGAATCCACGACTGCCGTTGTGCGTTTTAACATGCTGCTGTAGTTCACTGGAGTCGGCGCAGCGCTGCCGGCAAATGACGCATTCGCTGGACGATGGCGCGTCTTGTGCAGACTCGCGATTTTCGTGTTCTTTGGCGTGCTGCGCTAACAGGCAATCCGACGGGAAGCGCTGTTGGCAGATCTTGCATTTGGAAATTTTATTAATGTGGGCCGTCTTCACGCCGTGCGTGCCAACATGCTCCACCAATTTCTCCCACTGTTCAAAAACTTCTCCACATTCTGGACAAATTTTCACAATGTCCATATCCGCCGATATCCCGTGTGTCACTTTATGCAAATCGCAGAGGATTTGGCTAGCAAACTGCAAACTGCACGTGTCGCAAGTTAAATTATCCGCTGCGCTGGAGACATTCACCTAAAAACCGGAAGAATTCTTGCCGTACAGACAACAGCGAATTTAACTTCCTACTCTGCAGACACTGGAAATAACGTCCTACCTTCATGTGAGACTGAAAATGAACAATACTTGCAAAACTCTTCGGACATTTTGTGCAAGAGTAACGTTTCGGCAGCTGCTTTCGCCGGGATTCATTGACTAACGTCTTATCCGGGTCCTTTGCGCTGGAATGCCTCCGTCGACGAACAAAGTAATCTCTAAAGGAATCAGGATGTTCGTGCTGCACGTGCATCCGGAGCTGGCTGAACCAACAACTGCACACAGGGCACTTGCTAGTCGCTTTCCCGTGCGCGGCAACATGATCGGCCAGCAATTCTACTTCTTCAAATTCTTCTTGACATTCGGGACAGGATTTGGTGTTTCTCAATTCCATATTGCTGCATCCGTCGTTGTCATGCCGCAACTTGTGCAGTTGACATAATACTTCACTTATAAATCGCAGTCCGCACTCGTTGCAAGTCACGGAACTGAACCGCGCTTCCTTTATCCGATGAGCCTGAAAGTTAATACCAAGAAAAGGGTAAAGGTAGAACCGCATTAACAGCACAAGAAAACAACACACCTTCAAATGCAAATCGTAGCTCCGACGCGAAGGAAGCATTTTTCCACATTTATAACACCGATACCCATCAGGTTCTTTCGTCCCCGGTGGGTCACTTCCTGGGTTTTCTTGAGCGGTAGATTCGGCGTAATTATCAGGATGATCCCGGCGAATGTGCTGCTTCACCGCAGCATACCAGCGACCGCACACCGGACACATATCCGTGCGTCTTCCGTGCGAATCCACATGCGCCATCAACGCGGCGAATTCTTGGAACGATTCACCGCACTGCGGGCACTCGTCCCCATCCACTCGATAATCGTTCATAGCGCCCTTATCCGCATGCTGCCTCCGATGCAGATCGCATACGGCTTCGCTGTCAAACCGCAGACCGCAATGATTGCAGGTCACATTCCTGTATTTCACTTCCTTCACCCGCTGATCACTGTCATTGTCAGGTTGCACTTCAGGACGTCCGATCAATTTATACTGGTAACCGGGATGATCATGCCGGATGTGGTTGTCCAGATAAGAAAAACGTCGCTTACAAACCGGGCATTCTTCCGTTTGTCTACCGTGAATTTTGACATGCTTCACCAGGGCGTCGAAGCTGTCAAATCCCTCTGCACATTCACAACATGCCGTTCTGCTTCGTAGATCGTCGGCTAATTCTTTGCCTCCATGTTCGCATTCGTGGATGCGGCGCAATAAGTCAGTGCTGAAACGCAAACCACACTGCAGACATGTGACTGTATGGTAGCGAAGCTGGTGTCCAAGAAGCGGTGTTCCAGGATGCTGTCGCTTCAGATGCATACGCAGGGAGCCCACCCAGTGGCCGCATTCGGGGCATTTCTTCGCGGCTACAGCATGCGTAATAATATGCTGAAACAACTCAGCCGTCTCCTCAAAAGTTTCATCGCATTCGGGACATTTTTGAGTGCCGAAAACAGCGTGATAGGATGTCGTACCATGGCTGGTCTTGTGTAAGACAAATAAACTGTCTTTTCCAAACTGCAGACCACAATCCTGACACGTCGAGCTATCCAGAGATGCCTTCTTCCGATGGGCCTACAACGATCATCATGTAAAACATTGATTGACTGTAAACGAAAGCTAATAACGAACCCGCATATGTTTAATTAAGGCAGCCGCCTTCCCAAATTCTTTCCCACATTCCGAACACCTTGTCCTGGCTAGATACTTCGGATGGCAACGTGCGATATGTTTCTTCAACCCTGGATAATAGCCGTTGCACACTGGGCACTTCTTCGTTAGCTTCCCGTGCGCATAAACGTGCTCCGTTAATTTTTCCAGGCTTTCGCACATCTCACCGCATTCGGGACATTTTCGTGTGATTTTTATACTGTCGATACACTCCCTGTCCTGATGGCCCAGCTGATGTATACGGTAGAGGAAGTTACTGGCAAATCGCAACCCGCACTTATCACAGTTCAAACGCTCCCAATACAGCTTTCTTCTTTCGATTCCGGGATGATATCGTTGTAGATGAAGCAGGACAACGCTCGAACTGCAGGTTTCATTGCAAACCGGGCACTGTACCAGCGGTGTTCCATGCTCGTCAACATGCTTCAATAAAGCAGGAAAGTCGCCAAAATGTTTCGAGCATTCAGGACACTCTCGTTCAGGCGGATCGTCGTAGCCTGTGTGGCCCAATTGGTGCAAACGTAGCATATCCTCCCTCCGAAATCTCACATTGCATTCCGAACAGATATTACTAGTGAAAAACTTCCGCTTTTTGTTGGTTCGCTTGCTTTTCGAGCGCACACGAGAGTTTTCGCCAGTCTGTCGGTAATCAGACTCTACTGTTACTGGCAACGATGACTCGCTTTCCATCGGCAAATGGGACACAGAAACGGTTCCCACTGTGGTACTTTCGATCAGATTCTTGTCCCTGGGGGTGGCTTCCGATGCTTGGCCATTATCATCATCCAATGGTACACAAGCTTCATCACCTGCTGAAAATTAGTTGCACCAAATTCCATGATACTCAGCTTCATTAAAACGTTTACTGGACTAAAAAATATCCACCTTCATCCTTTGTTTCCAGTTTTACATCTTCAACAGCACCGTGTCCCGGCGTTTCCAGCATTTCCAAATACTGCTTCGAGTACCAGACCTTTAGTTCTTCGTGCGGCGCGACAGTTTTGATGGTGACGAAGACCACCTGCGATGCGCGCGAGAACACCAGCAGATTGCTGTTTTGCAGGCTGTCCGCAAAACGGACATGCTTCATCCAGTTGCAGGCGTAATCCGACTCCAGTTCGTAATGTTTGCGGGGCTTGTCCGTAATGCAAAAATACAACGCCTTTTCACTATCTCCCATTGCCACTGGAGCAATTAATGGTCCGAACACCGTGTGACGGGCAATGACTTCCTTGGTGAACACAGCTTTCCCTAAAAAGAAAAAGTACATATGTAGGTGACGGCATAAATACAGAGTACAAATAAGCGCAAAAAGGTTGGCTATTTTACCGGTTAACGAATCGTCGCAGACATCCAAATAGAGCATCTTGGGCAAACTGCCGACGGCCAACGGAACAACTGGTTCATCGCAGACGCTGGCTGCATGCAGCCAACAAGGAGTAGGGAGGAATTTGTGGCAACAGTCACAGTCTGCAACCATTCGTTATATATTAGGACAACAAGAAAAAAATCAGCTAGTTATTCTCACATATTAAAGCGTCATCCAGGGCACATCGCGGAGACGAAAGAGGAGGCGCCTCCTTCACTGGCTCCTCCGCCGTAAAAGGCAGTGCCAAAGCCATATCCTGAACGCCAGCATCTGAAACTATAAAACCAAAGAGTACAAAGTGTCCATTTTTTTATACAACACAACACTATCGGAATAAAATACTATTAGCAAATAACGCATCCTACCGTTACTGAAATCCTCATCCTCCGGAAGACCATTTTCAACGGCTCTCGTTATTCTCAAGGGAGCACACAGCGGTTCTGTGATGTGTAGAACGGGTGCGTCCGGGTAGTCGACTTCCATGAGCGAATCATCATCATCCAAAGCATCGAAATCCCATGCACTCTCATCCGCCGGCATTATGTCCCTTTCTTCATAATCACCAGCGTCACTGTCGGCTCCACTTTCTCCGTCATCAACCGCCCGATCACACGAAGACAATTCGCCGAAACCATCAACCGGCACTCCTGTCATTCCATCCGTCACGTCATCTGACGAGTGCGGATCGCTCACAGCGCTCAGCAGACGAAGACATCTTTCCGACGGAATGGCGTCGTTTCTTAATTTCAGTTCCCTGTTAAACCTATTCACAGGCACCCACGTCAAATCGTCCAACTGAAAATGATTTTCGCACACCAGCAACCCCTCCGAGAAGACAAAATCGGGCTTCCATTCACGGCAAACATCAACCCACTTTGTGCGCTGCTCGTCATCCGCAGGGAACGGGAAAAACGTCAGCAGTTCCGATCGGACATACCTTTCACTAACTACACGCCACCAACCACACACACAACACATGCGAACTTCATTCAAATCAGCCGGTTCACTCAAATCCATCGGGCATCGAAACTTCTCGACGCACTGCAGCAGAGACGGCATCACATCTTTCTTCAACAGACTAGTGCGCGGTTGTCTGCCTTTCGCCGTTTCCTCCACAAAATCCTTAGGGCTAAAATGCTTACTACATACTCGATTGAGCGGGTGAGGTCTCCACGAAATCGAGCAACGAATCCGGTTCATCCATTCGCAGAAGCGGGATGAAGTGCCGAGGCGGGGAAAAACATGAAATGTTATCTTCTCCAGTCTGCCCTCAACATGCGCACGATTCCCACATCCCGGCACGCAGCATTTGTAACCGGGGGCGCGATCCGTAATCCTGCAGCTCCCAACCTCCACACTGATTTTCTTTAATCTAATAGGAGCAGGCAGCTTCGCGAAAGTCTTTTCCGTCGGAATCACATCGCTCTTTGACAGCAATCCGCCAGCCAACAGCCGTGCCAAATTATCCAATGAGAAATGATTTTCACACACAAGTGACTCTTTCGATACGGTCAAATGGGTATTCCATTGACGACAAGCGGTTAACCATGAATGGCGTAAGCGATCGTCATCCGGAAAGGGAAAGAAGTTCAGTCGCTCGGATGGAATAAGTTCCGTCTCGTCCAGTGGCCGCCAACATCCGCACACACAGCACGTCCGGACACCACTTCCCGCTGCTAAATGTGTATTCCTTGGAGAGCGGTACTCTTCTACACAATCCAACTGAGTCGGCACGACGTTCGCTCTTAAGCATCTGGCTTTCGCCGGCTGGTCGTGGGTTGTTCTGCGGAAATCTTCCGGAGAAAAATGTCGACTGCACACTACATCGCGTGCTTTAGGTGTCCATTAATGTGTTGCTACTCATGTATCTTTTACCATGGCGGGAGAGCGAAGTGGGCATGTGGAAGTTCTCGGCTGGGAATCGGTGAAGCTCCGGCTGCGCACCTGGTGTGTACGCGCTTGCGCACCTGGTATGTGCGCGCCTGCGCACCTGCCGGTGTGCGCGCTTGCCGGTTTCCTTTCCCTGCACCTCAAACCCCCTTTATTTGGCTTTAGACAAATAACAGAACACAAAACAAGTCGGGTGTGGCGGGTGGTAAAGAAAAGTTTGCAACTGCACGCTAGCTTGGCAAAACTGAAATGAGCTGCGGTGCAAGCAGCGATGAACTCTAACACCGATCGGTGCCATGCTGGCGCTGGGAAAACAGGATGTGGGCGTAAAATGAAAAAAAAAGAACAGACAGCACAACACTCGTACGCCACATTAATAACAATTAAAACATTTTTAATTGGACATAAAACGGAACAACGAATTCGATTGATCCATTCGCTCCGATTCACCTTTGCTATATAACCATTGTGGAAATGGTAAAAGCTTATCGGGGGCGATGGAATTTCGTTCCACGCATATTTCCGACATCCCGGCACGCAACAGACAGGCGCACACTTTTTTCTTTTTCTTTCATGCATTTTAGCTAATTCTCCTTGCGCGGTTGCAGCAGATTCCAAATCTCTCGGTTTAATGTATATGGAAAACGGAACGGAAGGAACTGCTTTCTGTGCTTCAAAATGATTCTCACAGAGAAACCACGGTGTTTTCTCCGAAATCGATGTCCAGTCAATATCGTTCCTCTGTGATTTGCAAAATTCAATCCATTTCTCCCTCATTTCGCCCGAAGGTGCTCGGTAGAACTCCAGCTTCTCCGAGGTTTTCAGCCGCCGGTGGGATGCAAACGGCCGCAGACCGCAAACAGCACAACCTTCTTTCCCCGCCATCAAGTCTGCCGGTGTGAACGAGCACAAAGATTCCATGCAAGAAAGCTGAGTGGGAAAAGCTGAATCCAGTAGGCACGCTGACTTTTGAGACCCTTTCTTACGACATTTCAGCTTAATTGCCGATGCAGGGAAGTGTTCCAGACAGATTCTGGCTCGTCGTTCTGGAACCCAAGAAACATTGTATCGCACCATGCGCAACCAGTCACAATACCGTTCATCAGTCGGTGGAATAAACTCAAAAAATTTTCCTGCGACCGAATCCTTTTTCTTCAAGATAGTTTCACATCCCGGAACGCAACAGAAAACTCCTTTCCGAAGCAGGAAATGGCCATACAAGTACGAGGTAGATGTCGCCAGTTTCGGGTCGGTGTAGTTAACGTCCAGCGAATAGGTCCATGACGGGACTGCCTCACTGTTGCTAACGATGGAGCCAAGTCCTTCCGCCGCTTCTATGTACTGTCCTTCGAAATGATTTTCGCAAAGGTACCACGGCGTATCCGCCCCGATTAATGTCCAGTCGATGTCATTCCGCCGTTGATTGCAAAAATCCACCCATTTTTTCCATAATGCATCCAACGCGGACGGAGGCGCGCGAAAAAACATCAGCTTTTCTGATGCTTTCGGCTGTCTGTCAACTGGTGGACGCAAGCCGCACGCAGCACAACCAATTGCTCCGGTAGCCATATCTGCTGCGGTAAACCCGCATAATGAAGCCATGCACGACAGCTGACTGGGCAGAGCTTTTCTCACGAGAGAAGCATCGCTCTTACTGGATTCGATCTCGGACTGGTTAAAGTGATCGCTGCAAATTCTCTCGCTAGAATCTGGAATCCAAGATGAGTTGTACCGCAATCGCTGTGTCCACGTTCTGTAACGCGGATCACCGACCCCAACGAACGGGAAAAATATCGGTTTCCCTGGTAAATATATATGCTGCCTTTTTGACTGGCACACATTCTGGCATCCCGGCACACAACACACTATATTCGCTTCTTCCACCGGATGCGGTGGCGGTTTAGCAGACGCAGCAGCATCTTCTAACTGAGCATTTCTGGAGGATCCAGGTTTTACTTGATCAGTCGGTGGAGGCACAATCGGAGAAGCAACAACCGGAAGTGCCGTCTGATTAGGACTCGGCATGAAGGTAGCACCGCCCACGCTGACAGAATTAGCTGCAGACCGTATCAGTACAGAGGACGGAGTCGCCGGAACGGTTCCGGAAGGTGGACTTTGTAGAACCGCCTCAATAAATACATTTGCCACTGACCTCACCTGGCTATTGTTGGTGGTATTCAGAGGGAAAAGCCGTGGACTAACGTTGATCTGTAAGTTAACCGGTGGCGGTCGAACTTGATTTTCCACAGGTAGCGAGCATAACAGCTGGCTGGGGCATGGCAGGATGTCATTCCGCCTCCGTAGCACGAACTTCATTTCTCCCAGTTGCTCAAACCGGGTCACGATGTCAGCCGGGACAAAGTGCCGTTCGCAGGCATACAGTGCATTCTCCCCCGGAGCTTCAGAGCAGGCAGCCAACCACTTCTGTCGCTGGTTCGGCTCTTGGGGAAACGGAATAAATGCCAATCGCGACGCAGATTTATAGTGATAGATTGTCTGCTTGATCGCTCGCCAGCATCCGCAGATGGCACACACCCTACTGAACGGACACGGTCCATTCAACTTCCGCATCAGTCCATTCCGGCATCCCGTATGCACGGGAATCGCTGTCGGTTTCAGACACAATACCGTGCCAATATAATCGTAGTCCGAGGGGAGAAAATGCAGACTGCACACGACAGAATACGGAGCCGGCTGCCAGAAGCCGGAAAACGCCACCCACTTGACCCATTCGGCCCGCAAGCGCAGATCCGTGGGAAACGCTTCAAAGCGAATTCTCCCCTGTAGATTATTATTGCGGTCAATACGACAACCGGGAACACAGCAGTTTCGCGCTTCGTCGGCGTTCGTGAAGGCAGGAAAATCCGGAGGAATGTGCTGTGCGCAGTGCTGCATAACCATGAGTCGTCCGTCGACAATCTTCTGAGCTAGCGCACAAACGGAAGGCATTGGGATGGGGTTTGAACTGCTAATAACCGGAGGAAAAAGTCCGGCTGTGCTTGGAATTGCGACTGGCGAACTAACAGAACCAGTAGCATTCGTATTTTGAGGGTTATTCAACAGTTCTTTCAGATTCGGATGCGAAAAATTTGGTAACACGTCTGTGACGACAGGAGAAGGATCCTGTCTAGCTATTTTAGCGCTTGGAATTGCGGCCGACAAACTGAGAGGCTCAGTCGCACGCGCACTTGTAGAGTCACTCAACAGTGCCTTCAGATTTTCATGCGAAAAATTCGATTTCACGTTCGTGGATATCTCGGCAACTGCATCCGAAGCAATGACAGAATCATCCGTTTCTCTCTTAACCTCATCAGACGTTACTTCGTGCATGACGTCCTTTTTAGGTTTTTTAGCGCTTGGAATCACGACCGACGAATTGACAGGCTCAGTCGGACGCGCACTTGTAGAGTCACTCCACAGTGCCTTAAGGTCTCCTTGCAAAAAATTCGATTTCACATCCGTAGATACCTCGGCAGCTGCATCTGAAGCACTGACAAAATCCTCCGTTTCTTTCTTAACCTCATCACACGTTATTTCGTGCAAGCTATCGGCAGAGCGCTTCTTCGAACCTGAAAGGACCAACAATATAATAAACAGCGTTCCTTAATTTCCACTGTCCACGATATAAGCACCAACTGTACAGTACTTCACCATATTTAAATGAATAATTTACGAGTAATGACGCTATTTGTAGAACGCTATGTCCACACCGAGTTCACAAGTAATTCACCCTAGCAGTCTAGCACAAGTATGAAATATATAATGAAGATTCAAGTTTCAACCCATACATCTACGTACTCGTACATCAGCAACTCAAATAAAATACCGTGACGATTCAAACAAAAACTTAAGAGAGCATCAACGAAAATTAGATCGTTTGTAAATCAATACCAGATTGCGTTGTTTTAATTTGTATATCCAAATTTGCTAATTATATTTTATTTCTCATTAATTGTAGCCCTTTGAAAGCTGAAATGCAATACAAACATACAGAACACAAATGTAAGTTCTACTTATCTTACAGCCAAAAATTGTATGAAAGCCAAAAATCGTACGGCTGAAAATTTTTTATAAATAAGCAAATGCTGACTCTTACTAAAAGAAATAATTTTTTAACATTATGAATGCGTCCTATGGTTGAAACACACAATAATGATTTTCCAAAACAAGTTATCATGTGCTTATCGCAAATAATTACAAGTGTAAGCACCTCGATTTCTGCGTTGTCTGATGCACAGTTTTCTTCCTTCTCAGTGAAATTTTGTTATCTTCTGACGAGCGTAGAACCATCAAAACAGGATTTGACTGCCATGTAATTCTGAGAGCTGGGATGATAGTATAAATAAAAACAATTTTGTATAAGCATTAAGCACTTACAGGTACTTACTGGTCGGAATATCTATAATTTCGGGGCTGTCTGCGCGTGGCACAACGTCAGTTTGAGGACGCATGGACTGAGGGAGGTCTTCGAAAACGCATGGCAACGCATCGTATTTCAATCGCTTCTCCGTTCGTCCAGACCCATCAGCGAGCGGCAACGCGAGGATATCTGAAGGGCGGAAGTGTCTGCTGCAGATCTTGCTGGTTGGAGAAGGAGTCCAGTCTTTGGCACGCAAAGAGCGCTCGATCCAGATCGGATAACGCGGATCGTTCGGATGCGGGAAATCGAAAAAGCACACGCTGCGCAAGGAACGCGACTGCTCCGAAGAAGGACACAACAACACGCAGCATGCTGCAGGATCGGACATCGCTCCGGTCCTAAAAATATGAAAATTAAAATCGACGAAAATTCAATCAGTTTATTAACATCAAATCAATTAAAACTATTAAAATCAATAATGGCAAGATAGGGACATCTCACTTGCAAGCATACATGAGAAGCATCTGAATTTTATCGACACACAGCATTTGCACCATGAGTTACAGTCTTATGCAGCCCCGACTTCTACCCTAGTACCTGACTATTGCGCAAGCCACAATTCTACAGAAATTCCACTTTTCTGAATTTGTACGCAGACACTTACTTGAACTAGTCGTGCTACGACATACCACAACCAAACAGATCACAGTATACGTATTAACTGGTTCTCTACACGACAAAACTGTCAAGGTGCAAAATTAATCCTTCAGCCAAAAACTGGAATTCGAACTCTGAGGATCCTGCTCAACCTGCGAAGGCTCCTCGCTTCTCAGCTCAACCGGAGCAGCAATCTCCACTCTGCGAGCAGTGCTGACAGCTTCCCAAAAAACACTGGAACCATCTGCACGGATAGAAAAACACGTTGCTCAGCTGTGATCGCTGGATAATAATCAGTAAAAATGAGGGAGATGAAGATACCATAAGCACCAGTCCAGCTCTCACATTGCTGGTAGCAGCGGTACTGGAGATAAAACTCGTAGTGAAATAAATGCAATTTTAAAAAATCATAACGATATCATAAAACGCTCGAATCTTTCAAAAATCTATACAGAAACAATCCGAACCAATAATAAGTGCAAAATTAGCAAAAATAATAAACCGAAAAATATTCAATGAAAGCAGAAATCAGCAGCTGCGTATGTATGTACACTCAGTACAGTACTTACTACTTAAGTAACTTAACCATTATAACACGCATCCGTGCAGCCAAAACTTTCGCTATGCAACTTCCTCCCCGGGGAGGGTGGCGTGGTTAACGTGGCGTGAAAATCAGCGGTAATACTTTGTTTTCTACGAAATACCTTTTGAATTTTTCTATCGAGGAATTCTTTACAAAATCGACAGCGTCTTTACATAAACACTGTCCCCTAGCATGTAGAAAACAAAGGCAACAACAGACTAAAAGAATCCCTGAAATGCGTACTCACACCGATACCACCAAATGGACCCGTTAATGATTGCACAAACTAAATCAGTCTAAATGAAACAGCCAGTTGACAACAGATTCCCATCAATAACCCACTAATATTTTGCTTGGAAAGTATTCACTTATATCCCCATGGTATCACAGAAGGTATTTAATACAAAAATATCAAAACACAAGCCGATACCGAAGTGTAATATCAGCGAACAGCTTTCAAACCACAGTCGTTAACATGCCGCTATTCCAGCAGATGCGGATCAGAAAGTCCTGCAACGATCAGTATTCGTTGCTGTCGTCGGTCAATCCCGCCATCAATTCCCGATAACATTCCCGGCCAACCTCCTCATCCATCTCCATTTCGAAATCATCCACATTTGCCATTGCGTGCGCGGCAGCAATGTGCACGTCGAGATCGCCGTTGCACGTGAAACGTTCCGCGCACAGATAACACTTGACCGTCAACTCCGCATCATGGTGCGTAAATAAATGCAACTGCAAGGCGTTTTCATCCGGCAACTCCTCGTCGCAGACGCTGCATGGAAAGCCGGTTTTCGGACGCCAATGCTGTTCCTCCATCACATGGCGCGATAATAAATGATAGAAGGGAAACGCTTCATTACACATCGCGCAGTCAAATCCACCGTTAACATTGTGCTTTTTCACGTGCTGATTCAGCTGAAGAAAATCCGCAAATGACTTCCGGCACACTACGCATTCATTAGGCACAAGCTCTTCTGCAACAGGTTCAGATAATTTCCCGTTTTCATGCTCTCTGACGTGCGCCGCAAAGATACGCGATGACTGGAACGTTTTCTTGCAGATTTCACATTTCAGCTGATTTTTGTTGCTGTGAGCGAGCATATGCTGCTGCAGATCATCATCACTCCCGAACACTTCGTCAGAAACCATACATTTCAGTGCCGGGTGATCAGTCTGCAAAGCAGCGAACAAATTATGGATAACTGAATCTATCCGATTATCCGAAAGAAAGTGGTCTGACAAGAACAAACCTTCATGTGCGCCTGCAAAAGGGCACGCGAACGAAACTCCTTCACGCATTCAACACACTGAAAGTGTTTCTTTGAAGATTCAACCTTCCCAGCTTTTCGAGACGTCAGCGCTTCTTCACTGGAATCATCAGAAGACTCGGAGCTGTCATGGTAATCGGCGTGGTTACCACATCGTGGAGTATGATGTCGCAGTGAAGCGAACCACTTGTTGCACATCGAACACTGCTCCGTCTGCAACCCGTGCGTGCTAACATGCTCTGCCAGCCAGCAAAATTCCTGGACAAGATTCAAACAATCCGTGTAGTTCCTTTCTGCGGACCGCCATGTCTTTCGGATGGATCGTTTCGATCTATCGGATACAACTTTAGCCGGGACATTCGCGCCAGGACGCTGCAGCTGGGCAACAAATTTCTTAAAAGACTCCGGGTGTTCGCGCCGCACGTGGTGTCGCAGATCACTGAGCCAACGACTGCACACCGGGCATTTGCTGGTCGCTTTGCCGTGTGCGGTAACGTGATCGACCAACAATCTAAATTCTTCGAATTCTTCCTCACATTCGGGACACGATTTGGTGTTGCTCAACTCCTCATCGCTGCATCCTTCGCTGCCATGCTGCAACTTGTGCAGCTGACACAGCAGCGCACGTCCAAATCGCAGTCCGCACTCGATGCATGTCACAGAGTCGTACATTAGTTCGTTTGAACGATGGGCCTGAAAAATCAAATTAATCTCCTGTAGCACAAAATAAACACCGCAAAAACAAAAACACCCACTCTTATGTGCAAATCGTAGCTGCTGCGCGTGAAAAGCTGTTTTCCACATTTCTCGCACGGATATCCACCCCGTTCCCTCGCCTTGGGCGTGTCGTTCGTTGATTTTTCTTGTGCGACAAAATCCGCGAAATGTTCGTTATGGTCACGGCGGATATGGTCCCTCAGCGCGGCATACCACTGACCGCACACCGGGCATTTATCCGTGCGTCTTCCGTGCACAGCCACATGTTCTACCAGTTGCGTCACGTCTTGGAAAGATTCCCCGCACTGCGGGCAGTCATCCACATCCACCACATGATCGCTCGAATCGTCCTTATCCGCATGCTGCATCCGATGCAGGTCGCATACAGCTTCGCTTCCAAACCGTAATCCGCAGTCGTTGCAAGTCAGATTCCCGTATTTCACTTCTTTCGCCCGATGACTCTACAAGTGCAACACTAATAACTATAAACTTCCAAGAAATCAGACTGAATAAACCAGAAATGGAAAGACAAACCGAAATGTGTGCAGATAAGCTGAAACGTGATGTGAATTCTTTGCTGCATTTCGGACATTTATGGAGATGCTCTGGGCTGCCTTCCTCACGCGATGAACCATTTTCTATCCCGGATGTCGGCCGTTCGAACAGTTTAAAGTGGTGATCCGGATGATCACGCCTGGTATGCTTTTTCAGCTGACTATACCATTCTCCGCATATCGGGCACTTTTCCGTTGGTCTCCCATGTTGGGCAACATGTTCCACCAGCTGACTCCATTCTGCGAAGATATCATCGCATTCCGGACATTCTCGGGTGTCACGAAGTGTTTGCAATGCTTCGGCATTTCCGTGCTGAATCTCGTGCAATCGGCACAGCATCTCACTGTTGAATCGTAGACCGCAATCGCTGCACGTCAAACTGCTATACATCTTGCTTGCCCGGTGAGACTGCAACATGAAACCAGCGAATTTTAAACTGTCTACAATTTCATGCCCCAGTACATACCACAACATGTCGGACAAAACTGATGCGCGAGTCAAACTGTTTGCCGCAATTTGAACACTTGTAGGAACTGTCCACGGCATCTCCGGCATCCAAGCCATCGCTTGTGGATTTTCGTGGCGTAAAAGGATTTTTATTGAGGTAATCCGGATGATCACGCCTGACGTGGACCGCCAAAGCCGAGTACCATTCGCCACACACTGGACACTTTTCCGTTGCTCTCCCGTGCTCGCTCACATGTTCAGCCAGTTCCTCTAGTCTTTCAAAGTTCTGATGACATTCGGGACATTCTGGTGTACCCTGAATGGTCTCCGCTGATTTTTCTTTTCCGTGATGTATCTCGTGCAATTGGCATACATCGTCGCTCTTAAATCGCAGACCACAATCGCTACACGTACGAGCAGCCAGTGCGGCGGAAGTGCGGTGACCCTAGAATGATAATAACCATTAATTCGGAAACTGCGAGCACCGTTTTTCGCCGATCTCTTACAAACAAACAAGCTGAAATAAAACGAACTGTTATACTATACTACTTATACAATTGATCAAATTTCAACGAAGCGTTGTGAAATACTAGCTGACATACATTGACATGTCGGGCAAAAACGGCAGCTGATGCGAATTCCTTCCCGCATTCTCTACACTGATGAGGACCGTCTCCACATTTCTCTTTTGACCGGTACGGGCAATCAGGATGTTCCCGTCGAATATGTCCGTTCAATCCATAAAACCGTCGCTTACAAACCGGACACTCCTCCGTTTCCCTGCCGTGAATTTTGACGTGCTTCACCAGTGCCTCAAAGTCTTCAAATTCTTCTGCACATTCAGCACAGGCGGTTCTGCTTCGCATGTCTTCAGCTAATTCTTTGCTCCCATGTTCATATTCGTGGATGCTGCGCAAGAAGCCGGTGCTGAATCGCAATCCACACTGAACACATGTGACTTTGCGGAAGCGAACCAGGTGTCCAAGACGCGGTGTTTCAGGATGTTGTCGCTTCAGATGCATACGCAGAGAGCCCACCCAAAGGCTGCATTCGGGGCACTTCTGCGCGGCTACAGCATGCGTAACAATATGCTGAAACAGCCCAGCCATATCATCAAAAGTTTCATCGCATTCGGGACATTTTTGCGTGCCGGAAATAGCGCGATAGGCTGTTGTATCATGGCTGGTCTTGTGCAAGACATACAAACTGTCTTTTGCAAACTGTAGCCCACATTGCTGACACGTTGACCTATTCAAAGCGGCTCTTTTCCCATGACACTAAAATAATCACCGCGTAAAGATCATACTGTTTACGAGTGGAAAAAAAGTCAGATAACTAACCCTCATATGCACTATTAAGGAAAACGGTTGCGCGAATTCTTTCCCACATTCCGGACAACTTGTCTCGGCTAAATACTCCGGATGATGGCGTTCGATATGTTTTTTCATGCCAGGGTAATAGCCCTTGCAGACTGGACATTTCTTTGTTAGCTTTCCGTGCACATCCACGTGTTCCGCCAGTTTATCAAGGCTGTCGAATATCTCGCCGCATTCTGGACATTTTCGCGTAATTTTTATGCTATCGACACACTCCTTGTCTTGATGACCCAACTGATGTAACCGATAGAGGAAACTGCTGGCAAATCGCAAACCGCATTTATCGCAGTTCAAACCCCTCTGCCACAACTTTCTTCTTTGATATCCGGGATGGTAGCGGTGGAGATGCACGAGGACAGCGCCCGAACTGCAGGTCTCATTGCAGACCGGGCACTGCACAAGCGGAGTTCCATGCTCGTCGACATGTTTTAACAGAGCAGGAAATTCGTCAAAGTGTTTCGCACACTCAGGGCAATCTCGTTCAGACCCATCATCGCAACCCGTGTGATTGAACTGGTGCAAACGCAGCATATCTTCCCTCCGAAATCTCACGTTGCATTCTGAGCAAATATTGCGGGTGAAAAAATTCCGCGTTTTGTTGGTTCGTTTTGTTTTTGAAAGTAACGGTTTCGAGCGTGTGCGAGATCGATCGTCCGTCTGCCGGTAATCACCATCTACTGTCACTGGCAACGACGACCCGTTTTCTATCGGCAAATGGGACACACAAACAGCTTCCACGGGGGAACTCCCGTTCGCTTCATCGTTCCAAGGTACGGCTTCTGCCATATCGACATCGACATGATCATCGCACGGTAAAAATGTCCCATCAACTGCAAAAGAAATACTGCTCAGCAAAATCCCACAATCCTTTTCTTAATTACAGCGTTTCCGGACTAAATTTGCACCTCCATCCTCCGGTTCCAGTTTTATATCCTCAACTTCAGTTTTTCCGGGCCTGTCCATCACTTCTAAGTATTGCTTAGAATACCAGACCTTCAGTTCTTCGTGCGGCGCCACGGTCTTGATGGTGACAAAGACCACTTGCGATCCGCGCGAGAACACCAGCAAATTGCTATTTTGCAGGCTGTCCGCAAAGCGGACATGCTTCATCCAATTACACGCGTAATCCGACTCCAGCTCGTAATACCTGCGCTGCTCTTCCGTAACAGAAAAGTATAACGCCTTCTCGCTGTGACCCGGAGCCAGCGGTGCAATTAACGGTCCAAACACCGTGTGACGCGCAATCACTTCCTTCGTGAAGACGGCTTTTCCTAAACGAGTTAATAATTACACAAGTGACGACAACTGAACTCGCGCGTGAAAGATGAGATAGTTTACCAGTTAGCGAATCGTCGCAAACATCCAAGTAAAGCATCTTGGGCAAGCTCCCGACGGACAACGGAACAACTGGTTCATCGCAGACACTGGCTGCATGCAGCCAACACGGAGTAGGCAGGAATTTATGACAGCAGTCACAGTCTGCAACCACGCGTTGTGTACTATTACGAGTATCATACCAGCAACAAAAGGGCCGGCTATTTGTTCTTACACATTAAAGCATCATCCGGGGCGCATCGCGGGGGCGAAGGAGGTTTCATCTCAACTGCCTCGTCTGTTGTAAACGGTATCACTGACGGCATGCCATGAACGGCGCCAACTGAAGCCATAAAACAGCATGTAACCTCCAATTATTTGCATTAGTTGTATATAAGTTCACATCACTGTATATTATTCATCGCAGGTACATTACACTACTAGTACTTTCGTTTGATTTTGTGAATAATACCTAAAATACCTGTAATGATTACAGGTACTGCAGGTATTATTCACAAAATCAAACGAAAGTGACTCGAAAAGATATTAAAAGTCGACCACAACTCATAAAATTATAAAACAATTTTTTGAAAACAGATCAATTAAATCTACTCTATAGCTTATCGTAGACTCATCAATAAATACATATTATCTCCAGCAATTTGGCAAAACAGAAGACCGCGCACCCCGCTTACCGCTCGTACAATGCTCATCTTCCGGAAGACCATTTTCGGCGATTCTCGACATTCTCAAGGGAACACAAACTGAATTTGTGACGTCTAGGAAAGCTGTGTCTGTGTCGTCAGCTTCCATGATCGAATCATCGTCTTCCGCTGCTTCGAATTCCCATGCGCTCTCACCGGCCGACATCGCACTTCTTTCTGCGTATACGCCATATTCGCTGCCAGTTTCGCTTTCATCGTCATCATCCGCTGTATCGACCTCCGGATCAAACGAAGAAAATTCGCCGGAACCATCAAATGATACTGGTGCCACCGCGTCAACAGAATCACCCTGCATGATCAGATCGTCCGCAACGCCCAGCAGACGAAGACATCTTTCCGACGGAACAGCATCGCTTCGCAACGTCAACTGCTGATTCCATTTACTCGCACGCACCAAAGTCAATTCACCCAACTGAAAATGATTTTCACACACCAATAACCCCGCCGAGAAGACGAAATCATGATTCCATTCGCGGCAAATCTCCACCCATTTCGTGCGCTGATCTTCATCCGAGGGGAACGAGAAAAATGTCAATATTTCCGATCGGACGCACTTCTCTTTGGCTGCACGCCACCAGCCACACACACAGCACCTGCGTACTGCACTAACCTCAACCGGTTCACTCAAATCCAGCGGGCTGCGAAACTTTTCAACACACTGCAAAATAGACGGCACCGCATCTCTCTTCAACCAATGAGTGCGCGGTTGTTTCCCTTTTGATGTCTCCTCCATAAAATCCTCAGGGCAAAAATGCTTACTACACACTCGACTGTGCGGATCAGGCTTCCAGGAAATCGCGCAGCGAATCCGGTTCATCCATTCACGGAAGCGGGACGAAATGCCCAGGCCGGGAAAAACATGAAAGGTTATTTTCTCTTTTTTGCCCTCAACTTTGGCACGATTCCCACATCCCGGTACGCAGCATTTGTAGCCGCTGCCGCCCTCAGTAATTGTGCTGCTACTGTTTCGCACAACAGTGTCAGGCTTATTTAACCTGACAGGCAGCTTTGCAAATGTTTTTTCCGTTGAAATCGCGTCGCTCTTCGGTACCAACTTGGTTTCTTTGCCGTCCTCTAACAGTCGTGTCAAATTATCCAACAAGAAATGGTTTTCACACACAAGTGACTCTTTCGATACGGTCAAATGGGGATTCCACTGACGACAAGCGGTTAACCATGAATGGCGCAAGCGATCGTCATCCGGAAAGGGAAAGAAGTTCAGTCGCTCGGATGGAATAAGGTCTGTCTCGTCCAATGGCCGCCAACATCCACACACGCAGCATGTCCGAACGTTGTCCCTTTCCACTAACGCATCTGTATTGACTGGAGTATGGTACTCTTCCAGACAATCCAGCACAGAGGGTGCGACGTTCAATCTCAACCTTCCAGCCTTCAGCGGTTCGTCCGGGGTTGTTTCGCAAAAATCTTCCGGGCGGAAATGTCTGCTGCATACGAAACTGTGCGTTATAGGTCTCCAAGAAAGGGAACACCGGATACGATTTGTCCATTCATTCCGATTCACCTTTGACCACTTAAAATATCTTAACCGTGCCGGAGGCGTTTTGTCCCATGTGAATTTCCGGCATCCTGGTACACAGCAAACAGGCTGACGTCGCATAATTTTGGTCTTCTTTTTTGGAGTTACAGTTGGTTCCAAATCTTTTGATTTGATGTATATGGAGAAGGAAAGGGAAGGAATTGCTGTCTGCGCCGCATATTCCGCTTTGTTCTGCGCGTCAAAATGATTTTCACAGAGAAACCACGGTGTTTCCTCCGCAATCGCCGACCAATCAACATCCGTTCTTTGTGATTTGCAGAATTCAATCCATTTCTCCCTAATTTCGCCCAACGGTGCCCGGTAGAACTCCAGCTTCTCCGAGGCTTTCAGTCTTCGCTTTGATGGGAACGGACGCAGACCACACACCGCACAGCCTACTTTTCCCGCAATCATGTCGGCTGGTGTAAAAGTGCACAAAGATTCCATGCAGGAAAGCTGCGTGGGGAAAGCAGATTGGCGTAGACGCACAGTTGGTTGCGAATACATCATGCGATGCTTGATTGCCGATGCAGGAAAGTGTTCCGGACAAATTCTGGCACGGCCCTCGGGAACCCAGGAAGCATTGTATCGCACCATCCGCAACCATTCCTCATACCGTGCATTTGCTGGAGTGAGAAAATCAAAAAATTTTCCTACCCTAGGATCCCCCTTTTTTAAAACAGTTTCACATCCCGGCACACAACAGAAAACGCCTTTGCGCAGCAGCGAATTTCCATAGTCCGTTTTAGACGTCATCAGTTTCTGATCGGTGTAGTTGACGTCCAGGGAAAAGGGCAAGGACGGGATTGCTTTACTTTCACTAACCACAGAGCCTAACTCTTCTTCCGCTTTTCTGTACTTTTCTTCGAAATGATTTTCACACACAAACCACGGCGTATCCGCCCCAATGGATGTCCAATCGATGTCATCTCGCTGCTGACTGCAAAAATCCACCCATTTATTCCTTAATCCATCCGCTGCGGCACCAGGCGCGCGAAAAAACTTCAGCTTTTCTGATGCTTTCGGTGATATATCACCTGGCGGACGCAAGCCGCACACAGCACAACCGATTGCTCCGGCAGCCATATCTGCTGCGGTAAAGCCGCACAATGAAGTCGTGCACGACAGCTGACTGGGCAGAGCTGTTCTCGCGAGACGAGAGCCGTTCTTGTGGGATTCGATCTCGGACTCGCGAAAATGATCACTGCAGATTCTCTCGCTGGAATCCGGAACCCACGACGAGTTGTAGCGCAATCGCCGTGTCCAAGTTTTATACCGCGGATCATTTGCTCCAACGAACTGGAAAAACAATACTTTTGCTGTTTTTGACGACTCCTGGCGGACATTCCGGCATCCCGGTACGCAACATGCTGCATTCACTGGCGACGGATGATCACGTCGCATATGAATGGACAAATAAATATACCAGTCTCCGCACACTGGACATTTTTCGGCTGCTTTCCCATGCTCACTCACATGTTCAACCAATTCCTCCAAAGCTGCGAAGCGTTGATGACACTCAGGACACTCTCGTGTGTCCCGAAAACGATTCATTAATTCTGCGTTCCCGTGATGAATTCTGTGCAGCCGGCAAACTGACTCAGAGTCAAACCGTAAATTGCAGTCGCTGCAGGTACGATTGGCCCAAAAGTTCTTAACTTTGTGGCTCTGGAACACAGCAACCGCGAACTGTTCAGATATTTGCTGAAGAATTTCACAAATAACTCACTTAAAATTCCGTTCCAAGGAAGTAAAAAAAAAATAAAAACAGATCGACTGCAGAAAAAATTAATTGAGTACCAACGAAGTAGTGCAAAGTAACTGACTTACCATCAAATGCGAGTGATAATGCGCCCGCGACTGGAATTCCTTCCCACATTGTGCACACCGATGAGGAGAGTGGCAATCCGGATGACAACGCCGAATGTGGTAGTTCAATGCGTGGAAACGTCGCTTACAAACAGGACACTCCTCCGTTGGTTTCCCGTGAATCTTCGTGTGTTTCACCAATGCGTCCAAGCTTTCAAATGGTTCTCCACACGCAGCACAAGCGGTTGTTCTTCGTAGATCTTCGGCAATTTCTTTGCCTCCATGTTCATATTCGTGGATGCGGCACAATACATCGGTGCTGAAACGCAAACCGCATTGACTGCATGTAGGCAGCTCGTTTTCCGGCATAGCAACTTTTGGTTGCGCTTTCCTTGAAGGACCACGTGTAAACCGGCCAGTCGGTGGAGTCGCAATCGGAGAAGGAACAACCGGAATTGCAGTCTGATTAGGCACCACCAAGAACGTAAAACCTCCCGGGCTGGCTGAAGGCGTTGCTGTTTGTATCAATAAAGCGGATGGAGTAGCTGTGATCGTTCGACTTTGTAGAACGACCTCATTCGAAGGACTCTGGCTGCTGTTGGAGCTATTCATAGGTAAAGAAAGTGGACCGATGACAGCCGGTGTGCTACCGGACATCGGCGGAGCTCGGTTTTCTAGAGGGAACGGAATAAAAACAGGGAAGCTGGGATGTGGGAGGATACCATCACGCCGCTGCAATTCTAATTTCATTTCTCTATCCTGCTCAAAGCGTGCCAGAATGTCAGCCAGAACAAAGTGCCGCTCGCAGGCATACAGTTCATTCCCACCCGAAACTTCAGGGCAGGCAGCCAACCATTTCTGTCGCTCGTGCGGTGCCTCAGGAAACGGGGTAAAGGCCAACCGGGACGCGGATTTATAAAAAGGGGTCTGCTTGATCACTCGCCAACACCCGCAGATGGCACACACCCGACTGAACAGACACGGTCCATTCAGCTTTCGCATTAATCCGTTCCGGCAACCCAACTGCGACGGGATCGCTGTCGGTTTCAGGCCCCAAATTTTGCCGTTATATCCGTAGTCCGAGCTCAGAAAATGGAAGCTACAAACGACGGAATATGGGGCCGGCTGCCAGAAACTGGAACACGCCACCCGCTTAATCCATTCGGTCTGAAACTGCTTGTCCGAGGGAAATGCGTGGAAAAGTATTCTCCCCCGCGGATTATTATCGCGCGCGTTAAAACATCCCGGGACACAGCACTTGCGAGCTTCGTCGGCGTCGGTGAGTGCAGGATAATCAACGGGAACGTGCCGGGCGCAGTGATCCAGCACTGTGAGTCGTCCATCGACAATCTTCTGAGCTAACGAACAATCTGGGCGACTTGGGATTGGTTTCGGTGCAATGACGACAGGAGGAGGAAGATTCCTGGCCCTTTTAGCAACTGGAATTGCGACTTTCGGAGTTGTACAGTTATTCAACAAGACTGTCAGATTTGCGTGCGGAAAGTTCGACGGCACATTCGCGGATGCCTGGGCAACTTCAGCTGAAGCACTGAGAGAGTCACTGGACTCTTTCTGGGTTTCGTCACTGTTGTTTTCGTCCAAGCAATCGATAGAGCGCTTCTTTGTACCTAAAACAAACGAAAACGTGTCTTGGCATACATAATCCTTTTACAACGCCAATGCAATATTTTACAGATCAACGTGTCAGTAATGTAAAAGAAAAGCCATGAAAAAGCCAAAACCCGCCAAACTTTCACAATGTTTACAGAACACGAAAATATATCGCTTGCAGTGAAGTGAATTTTCTCGCTGCTACGAATTTCGCATATTATTGTCATAATTTATAAACAATAACAGCGTGCAGTATCAAACTCTCACGATTTTGTCGTCCTAGTCATCATATTACTCCAATTCTTCTTAGCTTTGTAGATAATTTGTTTCCCTACTGATATTTTATTTTGAATTCTTTTTTTTCGGGAATCATCAGAATAGAATTTGGATATCCTGTCATTCTGTCAGATGGATTATGCCAACAAAAACGTTTGGGGATCGGCATTTACCCTGACTAGCCAGAATAATTTCGGGGCTGTCAGCGCGCGGCACCACATCGGCTGGCGGTCGCATGGAATCGGGAATGGCTTCGAAAACGCTCGGCAGCGCATCGTATTTCACCCTTTTCTCCGTTCGCCCGGAGCCATCTGCGTGGCGCAATGTGAGGATATCCTCTGGACGAAAGTGTCTGCTGCAAATCTTGCTGGTTGGAGAAGGAGTCCAGTCTTTGGCACGCAAAGAGCGCTCGATCCAGACGGGGTAGCGCGGATCGTTCGGATGCGGGAAATCGAAGAAACACACGCTGCGCAAGGAACGCGACTGCTCCGACGAAGGACACAACAACACGCAGCATGCTACAGGATCGGGCATCGCTCCAGAGTCCAGCCTAAAAAAATTAAAACTGACGAAATCAATCACATTGTCACACTAATTTGGTAGCAAACCGTAGCTTGTAAAGGCTAAAGCAGATGAAAAAAAAATAATTTTCAGTTGACAGACTGCAAATTTCTGCTTAGATTAAAAGTACTTTCTTATGAGTCTAGAGCCTGGCTGCTGTGCAAGACAGAATTTCTTCCAAAATTCCACAATTTTGTAAATTGGTGCGCAGAGCCTTACGGTAGTTTATCAAGCCCGTGTCCAGAAAGATCGAAATTATTGCGATGGCACTTTTTTTGTCACGCGGCAGAGCGGTAAAGGTGCAGATTCTTAATTACAAACACAGTGCTAAAATTTCTTAACCTGTGAGATTCCTGTTCAAATTGTGAAGGTTCCTCAGCTCAGTCGCATCAGAAATCTGCCCGCTGCGAGAAGCGAGGTTTGGTGAGTCGCTGATAGCTTCCGAAATAACCCTGCCACCATCTGCAGGAAAACATGCTGTTGACAGCTAAGATCACTGAATGATGTCTGAATCAAAGAAAATTTGGGAAGCGGAGATAACGAGCACTCGTCCAGCGGTAGCAACTGGAGATAAGCTGCCCGCCGTAAGATAACGCAAATAACTACAACTTAAGTAACAAGAAAAAATCGTCAAATGCGCGAGAAAGTCTATTTAAAAGTGTCCTCGCAAATAAAAAATCAAAAGTGGCTTTGAAAGTGGCATTTGCTCATGAGTATAATTTTTGCTGTGCAGCTTCCTCACCGGGGAGGTGGCACGGTGGACGTAGCGTGGTAATAAGCGGTATTAACCTTTGTTCTTTATGAGACCTTAACGCAATTTCTGATGAAAAATCCTCATAAATTTACAAATCTTTATTACAAAAACAAAAGAGGTCATACAGATAAAACAGTAACAACAGATTAAAAACAAGAATCCTTAATTCGCGCCCAAACCTATCCCAAACGAGCCGCTAACTGATTAAAAACACATGCAGCTCCAACTGGAGAAAGGTTCTCATCAATAACCCGTTTATGCAATCATGGCAATGGTCAATCATGTACCCGCCTCATAAAGAAAATAAACAACAATACCAAACCACAAGCCGATAACAATGAAATATCAATACTTATCAGATTTCAAACGAAAGCCGTTAACAGGTCCCAATCACCGTCCCATCAACAACAACTGAGGACGTGACAGTTCTGCTGCCTATTCAGTCAGCGCTGCCGTCTGTCAATTCTCCCATCATTTCCCGCCAACATTTCCGACCCATCTCCTCATCTACTTCCATCACGGAGCCCTCCACAACCGCTGAAGCATGCGTGGCTGCAATATGCACGTCGAGATCGTCGTTGCAAGGGAAACGTTCCGTGCACTGACCACACTTGACAACCAACTCTGCATCGCGATGAGTAATTAAATGCAGCTGTAAAGCGTTTTCGTCGGGGAGCTTTTCATGGCATACGCTGCAAGGGATGCCGGTTTTCGGACGCAAATGCTGCTCCTCCATCACATGACGGGATAATAAACGATAGAAGGGAAACTTCGCGTCACACATTGCGCATTCAAAGCCACCGTTAACGTTGTGCTTCTTCACGTGCTGATTCAGCTCCAGGGAATCTGCAAACGACTTCCAGCATAGCAAGCACTCATTAGGCGCGGGTTCTTCCGCAACGGACTGAGATAATTTTCCACTTTCATGCTCTCTGACATGCGAAGCAAAGATGCGCGGCGACTGGAATGTTTTCTGGCAGATTTCACATTTAAGTTCTTTTTTGGGGCTGTGATCGAGGAGATGCTGCAGCAGATCACCATCATTCCCAAACACTTCGTCACAAATCACGCATTTCAGTGCCGCGTGATCAGTCTGCAAAGTAACGCACAAACTATGGTTAACCGAGCGCTCAACCCGATGACCGAAAAAAAACCGACAAGAACGAACCTTCATGTGCGCCTGCAAACCGGCACGCGAACGAAAATCCTTCCCGCATTGCACACATACAGCGGTTTTCTTCTGAGATGCGGACGCATGATCAGAAGATTCGGGGCGGTCATTGTGATCGGCATGATGAAAACATTGTCGCGCATGACGACGCAGTGAAGCGAACCACTTGTTGCATATTGGACATTTCTCCGTCTGCACTCCGTGCGTGCCAACATGTTCCGCCAGCGCCTGCAGCTGCTGAAAAGTCTCACCACACTCCGGGCATTTTCCCGTGCTTTGCAGATTTTTGCTAAATAATCCGTGACTGATTTCATGCAGCTCACACAGCTGTTCATTCATAAACCGTAAACCGCACATGTCGCAAGTGGCACTGCCGGATGAGGCTTTCGTGCAATGAACCTGCAAACACCAATCAATTTTTAAAATCGTTAAAAAATCCTAAACAAAATTTGTTACACAAAAACGCTAACCTGCACATGCTGCTTGAAAGCACCGCATTTCTCAAAACCTCTCCCACATTTCGGACAACGGTAGCTCTTCTTCGAATGCTCTTTTCGATTGGATTCATCGGATACGACTTTTGTGCTGGAACAGTTTAATTGCGCCACATCTTTTTCCAGAAAATACTCCGGATGTTCGTGCGACATGTGTACTCGGAGACAACTGAACCATCGACTGCACACCGAGCATTTGCTGGTCGCTTTGCCATGCGCGCTAACGTGACTGACCAGCAGCTCTAATTCAGGGAATTCTTCTTCACATTCGGGACACGATTTGATGTTGTTCAACTCTCCATCGCTGTATCCATCGCTGCTGTGCTGCAGTGTATGCAGCCGACACAGCAACACATTTCCAAATCGCAGTCCGCACTCACTACATGTCACGGAGTTGTACAGATACAACGCGTCGCTATACCGTTGTGCCTAGAAAATAACAAGAATTAACAAGTAAACACTGCACCAGTAGAAAAAAACTTTCACATGCAAGCTGTGATGCATGGGAACTATTTTTTCACATTTCTGCTGCCATGCTGAGCGTGCCGCTCTTTACCTTTGTTTGGGCGACAAACTCCGCGAAACGCTCCTGATGATCACGGCGGATGTGATCCTTTAGCGCGGCATACCATCGGCCGCATACCGGGCACTTGTCCGTGCGTTTTCCATGCGACGCCACATGCTCCAACAATTTCGTGACTTGTTGGAAGGATTCACCGCAATGCGGACAGTCATTAACATCTATTCGATGATCGCTCAATTCTTCCGTATGCTGCATCCGATGTAGATTACACAGAGCTTCGCTGTCAAATCGCAGACCGCAATCGCTGCATGTCAGATTCTCGTATAGTCTTTCGCTAGCTCGATGCCTCTACAACAGCGAAACAATACAAATACCTGGCAAAGTGAATAAACTAGCGATCGGAAGTTCAGAACACATACCGCAATATGCATCATCGAATCACTTCGTGAGGTGAACTCTTTGCCGCATTTTGGACATTTATATGGTTCGTTCAAGACGTCTCCAGCATCCGGGCGATCATTTCCATTGTCAGCTTCCTCTTGGCCAAGCACTTTATAATAATAATCCGGATGAACCTGTCTAGTGTGATATTTCAACGCACCGAACCATCCTCCGCATACCGGACACTTTTCGGTCGGTTTACCATGTCCGGCAACATGTGCCACCAATTCATCCAGTTCTTCGAAAATTCCATCACCTTCCGGACATTCTCGGGTGTCACGAATGACCTCTGACACTTCGGCATTCCCGTGATGCCCTCATGCAGTCGGCATAGCAGCTCGCTGTTGAATCTCAGACCGCACTCGCTGCAAGTTAAACTGCTGTATCTCCCTTCGTGAGCTCGGTGATACTAAAAAACACCAACCCGTTGTTAATTTTAAACAACACGTGTTAGCCATCAAAACACAAACCGGAATATGCCCCGCCAAAGTACGCTTCGAAGGGAACACTTTGCTGCATTTGGGACATCTGTACGCCCCATTTACATAGTTTTCATCTGGGCCACCGTTATCGTTGTTATGTTCCGTTATTCCCAGCATCTGATGGCGATCATCCTGATGATCATGTCGGATGTGGGCAGCCAAAGCAGCATACCAGTCCCCGCACTTGGGGCATTTTTTCGTTGCTTTCCCGTGCTGGTTGATATGTGCAGTCCAATCCTCCACATTTTCCAGGTTCAGATGACATTCAGGACATTCTCGGGTGCCACCCATCGGCTCCGTTGATTCTGCATTTCCGTGCTGCAGCTTATGCAATCGGCACACGATATCGGTTTTGAATCGCAGACCGCACTCGTCACATGTACGAGCGATCAGTGCGGCTTTAAAGAGGTGACTCTGCATTGAAAAGGAAACAAACAACTATCAACTCAGAATCTCCGAGCACAAGTTTTGGTAAATTGTTTTCAAACAAATAAAGAGACAGAGAATAAATTATTACAGTAAAGCTTAATCGAATTTTAACGCAGCTTTGTGAAAAAGCTGACATACATTGACATGAGAAGCCAAAGAGGCAGCTGACGCGAATTCCTTCCCGCATTCTCCACACCGATACGGATTGTCCCCGCACTTCTTTCCCGGATCGACCCTTTGATGACGCCAAATATGGCCGATTAATCGATGATAACGTCGCTTACAAACCGGGCATTCCTCCGTCTGCCGGCCGTGAATCCTGACGTGCTTCACCAGTGCGTCGAAATCTTCAAATTCTTCCGCGCATTCAGCGCAAGCAGTTGTGCTTCGTAGGTCTTCCGCTAATTCTTTGCTTCCATGCTCATACTCGTGGATGCGGTACAAGAAATCAGTGCTGAAACGCAAACCACACTGAGCACATGTGGTGTTCCTGAAACGCACCCGGAATGCACCGTCAGCAACTGTGTCGTCATTCGACTCTTCCTCTTGCAGAACAGGATCAGGCGCTCGCGCAGAATGTTGACGCTTAATGTGGGTGCGCAAACGGTGACGGGGGAACCAGTGGATGCACTGGGGGCATTTCTCCGCTGCTACTGCATGCGTGACAATATGTTCATGCAATCTATCCATTCCGTCACACTCTTTATCGCATTCGGGACATCTTTGCGCGCCGGCGAGAGCGTGACACGATGCAGCCTCATGGCTGCTCTTGTGCAGGACATATAAACTATCTTTCGGAAATTGTAAACCGCACTCCTCACACGTCGAACTATCAGAGGATGCCATGGGCTGATGGCCCTAAACGATAACATACAGATGAAAGCGTATCTGAACGTGATACTACAGATGACCAATCTGTTCACAAACTGACAACGAAGTTAGGGCCTGTTAGGCACATACCCGCAGGTGAGATTTTTGCGAGGATTTCTTCCCACATTCCGGGTAACCCATTTCGCCCAAATACTGTGGATGATGGTGTGCGATATGTTCCTTCAACCACGAGTAACAACCGTTGCAGACCGGACACTTTTGCGTGCGTGATCCGTGCGTGCTCACATGCTCTGCTAATTTATCCAGGCTTTCGAACATCTCACCACATTCCGGACATCTTCGTGTGATAATTATGCTGTCGATACACTCCTGGTCCTGGTGACCCCGCTGGTGTAGACGACAGAGGAAATTATTGGTAAATCGCAAACCACACTTATCGCAATTCACAGGCCTCAGATCTATCTTTTTTATACTGACTCCGCGATGGTAGCGGTGGAGATGGTTAAGAACGGAGGTTAAACTGCAGGTCTCATTGCAGACCGGGCATTGCACCAGCGCTGTTCCGTGTTCGTCAACATGCTTCAGTAAAGCGGGAAAATCGTCAAAATGTTTCGAACATTCAGGACACTCTTGTTCAGACAGATCATCGTAGCCCGTGTGACTGAACTGGTGCAAACGCAACATATTCTCACTGCGAAACCTAACTTTGCACTCCGAGCAGATATGGCTCGTGGAAACGTTTCGCGTTTTCCTGGTGCGCGGTGTATTCGACCGACATTCGTCCGTCTGCCGATAATCACCATCTACAGATACAGCCGCTGGCGACAATGTTCCGCTTTCTATCGGCAAATGTGACATGCAAATAGCTTCAACTGATGAGCCACTCAGTGTCGCTTGTGCACTTCCTAGTGCGGGTTCCCTTTCGGTATAATCATCGCATGGCGAAGAGATTCCACCAACTACAAAGAAATATCCAGCTAAGCAAACCGCATAGGATTTTCCTCCATTTAAAAAGTTTTCCAGATGCTACGTAGCACGTACCTTCATCCATTTCCAGTTTTACATCTTCAACATCAGCTTTTCCATGCGGTTCTACCATTTCCAAGTACTGCTTGGAATACCACACCTTCAGTTCTTCGCGGGGAGCGACTGTTTTGATGGTGACGAAGACCACTTCCGATCCGCGCGAGAACACCAGCAAATTGCTGTTTTGCAGGCTGTCGGCAAACCGGACATGCTTCATCCAGTTGCACGCGTAATCCGACTCCATTTCGTAATATTTGCGGTGCTCGTCCGTCACGCAAAAATACCGCGCCTTCTCACTATCGCCCGGCGTAAGCGGTGCAATTAACGGTCCAAACAAGGTATTAGGGCCAATCACTTCCTTGGTGAACACAGCTTTTCCTAAACGCATTAAGTAGTTATGTATATATTTCTAGAACATGAGCGAAAATGAGGCATTATACCTGTTATCGAATCGTCGCAGACATCCAAGTAGAGCATTTTGGGCAAACTGCCGACGGAAAACGGAACAACTAGTTCATCGCAGACGCTGACTGCGTGAAGCCAGCACGGAGTGGGAAGAAGCTTGTGGCAGCAGTCACAGTCTGCAACCATTCGCTGTACATTATAAGACAAGGAAAGAACCAGCTATTTGCTCTTACAAATTAGAGCGTCATCCGGGCCACAACGCGGGGGCGTAAAAGTATCTTCCATTGGATCCTCTGTAGTAAACGGCAGTGCTGATGAAATGTCATGAACAGCGCCCACTGAAACCATCCAACCAAAGATTAAATGTGAAAGTTTACCGTACAATGTTCACAGAACGTTATTTATTTACTGTAACGTTATCCACAAAATTATACGAAAAAAACAGTAACTGGTAGTTCAAAACGGTATCAAACTGTACATATATCATCCATCACCGTTTTTAGATGTGTTGAGTACTTTATTCAGTATACAAAACATTGTGCTTTCACATCATTTAAATGGAAAATCCGTTCCAGTTAATACGAGACGGAATAGTTCCCAAAGCATTTGCAGCAATGATTCAGAAAAGTGTAATGACCTTTTGAAATACTATTGGGGAAATTAAATAGCACAACTGCACGTACCGTTAGGACGATCCTCATCCCCCGGAAGGCCGTTTTCGGCGACTCTCGGCATTCTCAAAGCAACATGTATTGAGTTTGTGACTTCCAGTACGGGTGCATCTGTTTTGTCAACTTCCATGCGCGAATCGTCGTCTTCCGTTGCATCGAAATCGCATGTACTATCATCCGGCGACACAACATCTCTTTCTTCATATATGCCAATGTCAACGCCAACTTCACTTTCATAATCATCCGCCGTATCAACAAACGGCTCAAATAACGAAAACCCACCAAAACCACCATCCGGTACTCCCGTCACATCAACAGCGCCATCTTGCGCGCCTGGAACGCCAACAGTGCTCTTAACGCCAGAGTCGGCTTTCTTTAACTTAACAGGTACAGGGAGCTCTGCGAATCTTGGGATAGCTCTCCTTTTCAGCACTACTCTGGATTCTTTACCGTCCTCTCGCAGAAATGTCAAATCCTCTCCCACGAAGTGATTTTCACAAATAACGGATTCACTCGACACGATCAAACTGGGATTCCACTGGCGGCAAGCGATCACCCATGAATCACGTAAAATATCGTCATCCGGAAAAGGAAAGAAGCTCAGTCGCTCAGATGGAATAAGGTCCGTCTCGTCCGATGGCCGCCAACACCCACATACACAGCACGTCTGAATACCATCCCTTTCCATCAGCGCATTTGTATTCCTTGGGGCGCGGTACTTCTCAACACAATCCAGCTGAGAGGGTATTACATTTGATCTCAACCTTTTGGATTTTTCCGGTTGGTCGGCAGTTATCTTCAGGAAATCATCCGGACAGAAATGTCGACTGCATACTGTATCGAGTGATTTAGGTTTCCATGAAATGGCACAACGGATATGATTTACCCATTCATTCCGTTTCATTCCATTGCCATAAAAACGATAATGCGCTACTTGCTCCGGTGGCGCTTCGTTCCATTCATAATCATGACATCCCGGTACACAGCAAACAAGCTGCTGAAGTGGAGCGGTTCTCGTCTTTTTATGGATTTGCTTTCCGGATTGCTCTCTTGTTGGAGCGGCAGTAGATTTAAAATATCTTGGACTGGCGTACATGAAAAACGGAAGGGAAGGAATCGCTGTCTGCGCCGCATATTCCGCTTTGTTCTGCGCATCAAAATGATTTTCACAGAGGAACCACGGTGTTTCCTCCGAGATGGACGTCCAGTCAATATCATTCCTTTGCGTTTTGCAGAAATCAATCCATTTCTCCCTAATTTCGCCCGAAGGGGCCCGGTAAAATTCCAGCTTCTCCGAGGCTTTCAGACTGCGGTTGGCAGCAAGGGGACGCAGACCACACACAGCACAGCCTTCTTTTCCCGCCATCATGTCGGCCGGTGTGAATGTGCACAAGGACTCCATGCAGGAAAGCTGCGTGGGGAAAGCTGTACTATGTAAACGCGACTTCGTAATGAAATGCTTGATTGCCGATGCAGGAAAGTGTTCGGTACAAATTCGGGTATGGTCCTCGGGAATCCAGGAAGCGTTGTACCTCACCATGCGCAACCATGCACCGTACCGTTTGTCTCCTGGCGAGAGAAACTCAAAAAATGTTCCGCCCACTGAATCCCCTTTTTTCGAGGTAGTTTCACATCCCGGGACACAGCAGAAATCTCCTTCGCGGAGTCGTCCGTCGACAATCTTCGGGGCTAACAAACAAGCGGGGCGAATTGCGATTGGTTTTGAAATGCTGATAACAGGAGGCGGAAGATGTCTGGCCTTTTTAGCACTCGGAATCGTGGATGACGAACTAACAGGGTCCGCGGCATTTGCAGTTTGAAAGTTATTCGGCAGCGTTTTTAGATTCGCATGAGAAACATTCGACTGTGCATCAGATGGTGCCTCGGCATCTTCAACCGAAGCATTCGCGTGTTCAGTTGGATCTTTCGGAGTATCACTACCGATTTCGTCCAAACTATCGACAGAACGCTTCTTGGAATCTGAAGCACAAAAATAACACACAATTCCATTATCCACATCCCATTCCAATATCGCAACATTACAACCAAATCCACAGGCACTTCTTCATTCATGCAACAAAAAAACTTTACATAAGCTGCACTAACACTGACTAGGCAGAATAATTTCGGGGCTGTCAGCGCGCGGCACAACAACTGTTCGTGGACGCATGGAATCGGGAATGCCTTCGAAAACACTCGGCAGCGCATCGTATTTCAGTCGCTTCTCCGTTCGTCCAGATCCATCAGCGAGCGGCAGTGTTAGGATATCTGCTGGGCGAAAGTGTCTGCTGCAGATCTTGCTGGATGGAGAAGGAGTCCAGTCTTTTGGACGGAGTGTGCGCTCAATCCAGACGGGGTAGCGCGGATCGTTCGGATGCGGGAAATCGAAGAAACACACGCTGCGCAAGGAACGTGACTGCTCCGACGAAGGACACAACAACACGCAGCATTCTACAGGATCGGACATCGCTCCAGCCTAAAACAATCAAATTATAATCAGGGAATGTACTGGTTTATTGGGCAAAGGCCATCAGTCACTCTAAATCATAGTAAATTAGGGAACGATACAACGAGCACTCGTCCAGCAGCAGATGCAGCAATACAGCAACCTGAACGCCAATCACGCTGGTAGTAACCGGAAATGAAACTATTCGTAAATTAGTGCAATCAGATAATTATGACTTTAAAAAATGAAAAAAAATCGTCGAATGCGCGAGAAAGTCTTTTTAAAACTGTATCCTCACAAATAATGTCCTTACAAACCAATATTATTGCAGTTTGTACCAAATCAAAACAGCTGCTGGCATTCACTCATAAGAGCTCGTATACTGTAATTTTCGCGACGCAACTTCCTCTCCGGGGAGGTTGCACGGCAGACGTAGCGTGGTAATGAGCGGTAATCCTTTTATCTTTATGAAATACGCATTTTCTCATGAAAATACGTCAATAGCGTGAGGTTAGCTATATTTTAGCGTCTTTATTTTGAAAACAAAAGGCTGTCATTAGTGTCATAGCAAAGAAATACGCACCAACAGACTAAACAACAACGCTGAAATCTGCGCCCAAATCTGCCCCAAATGAACCACTAAATTGCTTACAAACACATACAGCCCAAGCTGAAAACAGGTTCTCATCAATAACCCGCTTGGGCAATGGTCACTCACTGCACCCCCGTCTTCGTAGAAAAATGTCTAATACAAAAATATCAAATCACAAACCGAAAACAAAATGCGATATCACTACTTGTCAGATTTAAAACGAAAGTCGTTGACACAGCGCTATCACAACATTTGCGGATGCGACAGCCTTGCTGTCTATTCAGCACTTCCGTCTGTCAACCCTGCCATCGTTTCCCGCCAACATTCCCGACCCATCTCCTCTTCCATTTCCATTAGGGAGTCCTCCACAGGCGCTGAAGCATGCGCGATCAATTCCGCATCGTGGCGGGTAAACAAATGCAGCTGCAGTGTGTTTTCGTCGGGCAACTCTTCATCGCATTTGCTGCACGGAATGCCGGTTTTCGGACGCAAATGCTGTTCCTCTATCACATGACGGGACAATAAATGATAGAAAGAGAACGTCGCGTTACACATAGGGCATTCAAATCCACCGTTAATATTGTGCTTCTTCACGTGCTGATTCAGTTCGGGAAAATCCGCGAATGACTTCCGGCACAACACGCATTCATTAGGCTCCGGTTTTTCAACAACGTAGAATTCCCTGCTTTCGTGCTCTTTCACATGTGCTGAAAAGATACGCGATGACTGGAATATTTTCCGGCAGATTCCGCATTTCAGTTGGTTTTTGTTGGTGTGAGCGAGCACATGCAGCTGCAGATCAGCATCACTCCCGAACACTTCGTCACAAACCAAACATTTCAGTGCCTCGTGATATATCTGAGAAGCAGCGAAAATTCATGTTAACTCACTTAACTAAGTCCTCAATCTACCGAAAGACAAAGTCCGACAAGAACGAACCTTCATGTGTGCTTGCAAACCGGCACGATGAAATTCCTTCCGGGATTCCCGACATTCAAGATTTTTAGTCGAAGGTACATATTCTCCAGTTTTTCGAGATGTCGGCGTTTCTGTGCCGGCATCATCAGAAGATTCTAAGCGGTGATGGTGATCGGTGTGGTTTTGACATCGCGGAGTATGTTGATGCAGTGCACCGAACCACTTGCTGCACAGCGAGCACTTCTTCGTCTGCTCTCCGTGCGTACCAACATGTTCTGCCAACTCCTGCAGCTGCTGAAACATCCCTCCACACTCCGGACATTTTTCGGTGTTTTTCAAATTTTTACTATATAATCCATGGTTCACTTTGTGCAGTTCGGACAGTTCATCGTTCGTAAAGCGTAAACCGCACATGTCGCAAGTCACAATGTCGGACTGCACTTGCACGCCGTGACTCTACGAAAGAACATCATTAAAACTAATAAAACCCAACAAATTACACAATAACAAACACAGCCCTTTGGACATTTGTACGTCCGATTTACATTATCATCATATGGGCCATTGTTTTCCTTGTCAGGTTCCGCTATCCCATCAATCTGACAGCGATAATCCGGGTGATCATGATGGATGTGGCCAGATAAAGCAGCATACCGGTCTCCGCATACCGGGCATTTTTCCGTTGCTCTCACGTGCTCGCTAATGTGTGCAACCAACTGCTCCAAATTTTCCAACTTTTGATGGCATTCAGGACATTCGCGTGTATCACGAAGCAGATCCGTTGATTCTTCGTTTCCGTGCTGTATTCTGTGCAATCGACATACGATATCGGTCTTGAATCCCAGACCGCAGTCACTACACGTGCAAGCGACCAGTGCGGCTTTCGCGCGGTGAGCCTGGAAGGAAACAACTATCAACTCGAAATCTCCGGGAACCTTTTTGCGTAGATTCGTTTCGAGCAGTCAGCAAGATAAGTACAAAAGAAAGTCGGAAAAATGTTAGTGTGCACTTCGAGGCGTGAGACATCTTTGTGCTATTCAGGAAAACTGTTTTCTTTTGGTAACTTCCGGTTTTTGCTGCTTTTCGTGAGGTGAAGTAGGAAAAACTCATGCAGTGCATTCGCTGCACATCATCTCGCTGCACTCAATGCACAATTTTCTAATACAGTACAAAATTCAAACTTACCGAATTTCGTGGATGCGGTACGGTAAATAGGGTATGAGTTGAATCGCAAAGCACACTGACCCCAAGTGGTTTTCACACACACCGGGTGTCCGTGTCCTTGCAGTCACAATGCAACCATGCGAATGAGTACTCTACTATCCACATTGTGGATAATACAGTACTCACTCGCACGTTTCCGTCTGGTTAGTGTTATTTCTGTCCAAGCTCTGCAATAGTTTCTTAGATGCGACACGCGACTACTTTCAGTAAATAGTCGCGTATAAAATACCAGTCATGTTGCCTCTACAAAAATAATTTTTCAATAAATTTCTGGACGTAAAATTTTGAAATTTGACTTTCACCGCGATAATTTCAGAACATTTCATCATTTTTTCATGCTCGTAAATTTGGTACGAAAAACGCACTGCATAACTTTTTTCAACTTTACCTCATGGAAAAACGCGAAAAGCGGCTAAAAAGGGAAGTTACCAAACGAAAACAGTGCGCGCAAAAACTATCGCACCGAGTTTAAGGCAGCGCTGTGCCTGTGCGTAAGGCCTGTGCGAACCGAAAGAAAAAGTAGCCAAATGCTGTGAGTACTTACGCGCATTTATACATCACACTTTATGAACGAGCTGGACGCTAATCGGAAACACTACTTTGAGCGTCTAATGAAGCCAGGCACATACCCTCAGGTGGTATCGCACGGACGATACTTCTTTTCCACATTCAGGATGACTTGTCTCGCCTAGATTCTGCGGATGATTGCGTGCGAGATGTCTCTTCATGTCAGGGTGACAGCCGCTGTAGATCAGACATTTCTTCATATGCTTGCCGTGCACATCCACGTGCTCAGCTAGCTTTTCCGCGTTGTCAGATACCCCGCCGCTTTCCATACAAACAGCTGCCCCTGGTGACGGACTTCGTGTCGCACGTGCGCTTGCAGGTGCGAGTTCTTCCATTTCGGTATAATCATCGCATGGCAAAGAGGTTCCACCAACTGTAGACAACATCCAGCTAAGCAAAATCCCCATAACATTTTGCTTCGTTAAACGCTTTCTGGACTAAACATTTACCTTCCTCCCCAGCTTCCAGTTCTTTATCTTCAACAAGAGCGTTTCCGTGCGGTTCTACCATTTTCAGGTACTGCTTGGAATACCACACCTTCAGTTCTTCGCGGGGAGCGACTGTTTTGATGGTGACGAAGACCACTTCCGATCCGCGCGAGAACACCAGCAAATTGCTGTTTTGCAGGCTGTCGGCAAACCGGACATGCTTCATCCAGTTGCACGCGTAATCCGACTCCAGTTCGTAATATTTGCGGTGCTTGTCCGTCACGCAAAAATATCGCGCCTTCTCACTATCGCCCGGCGTAAGCGGTGCAATTAACGGTCCAAACAAAGTATTACGGGCAATCACTTCCTTGGTGAACACAGCTTTCCCTACAAACATTAATCGAATAATCTAGGTGACGGGGAATGGATTAGATTTCGGGATTGACATTTTTACCAGTCAGCGAATCGTCGCAAAGATCTAAGTAGAGCATCTTGGGCAAACTGCCGACGGACAACGGAACAACTGGCTCATCACAAATGCTGGCTGCGTGCAGCCAGCATGGAGTAGGGAGGAATTGGTGACAGCAGTCGCAATCTACAACCACCCGGTGTGTATTATGAGAACAAGAAAATCAGCTATTCGCACTTACACACGAAAGCACCATCCGGGGCACATCTCGGGGGCGAAAGAGGACGCGAAGTCTCAACCGGCTCTTCTGTAATGATCGGCAGTGCCAATGGCATTTCATGAACGACGCAGAATGAAATTCAAATAATTGCAAAATACAAAGTCATCCAACATCATACTTTATCATCTGGTGACATTGTTCATCAAGTAATAAGGCCGCTCAAAAGAGTTCAGGGAAAGATCGTTTAGAATACTATTACCACCACCAGATCGTATGAAGTTACATGTACCGTATTCACAAAAATGTATTTATGTCCGCAAAACCTATATATTGTATCACTAATAAAAAAATACCACACATGGACGTACCGTTAGCAGAATTCTCATCCTCCGGAAGACCATTTTCGGTGGTTCTCAACATTCTCAAGGGAGCACAAAGTGTTTTCGTGCTGCCCAGTTTGGACGCGTCTAAGTCGTCAACTTCCACGAGCGAATCATCGTCTCCGGTTGCATCGAAATCCCAGGCGTTATTCAATGCCGACCCAATAGTATCTATACACAAGCCAGTGAGACTGCCAGCTACACTTTGACTGTCATCTTCCGCTGTATCAACGCCCGTATCAAACGCAGAAAATTCACCGAAACCGTCAACTGGCAATCCAGGATTTAAATTAGATGTCGCCAGTTTAGGGTCAGTGTAGTTTATGTCCAGGAAATAGGGCAATGACGGAACTGCTTCGCTGTCACCAACAACAGAGCCAAGTCCTTCAACCGCATTTCTGTACCTCTCTAAGAAATGATTTTCACAAACAAACCACGGCATATCCGCCCCGATTAATGCCCAGTCAATGTCTTTCCGCTGTGCATTGCAAAAGTCCACCCATTTCCTTCGTATGGCATGCAACGCGGCAGTAGGCGCTCGAAAAAACGTCAGCTTTTCTGATGCTTTCGGTTGTCTGCCAGCTGGTGAGCGCAAGCCGCACACAGCGCAACCAATTACTCCGGACGCCATATCTGCTGTGTTAAACCCGCATAATGAAGCCATACAGGATAGCTGAATGGGCAGAGCTGTTCTCACAAGACAAGCCCTGCCAGGTTCGATCTCGGACTCGTGAAAATGATCACTGCAAATTCTCTCGCTGGGATCCGGAATCCAAGATGAGTTGTACCGTAATCGCTGCGTCCACGTTCTATAACGCGGATCATCAATCGCAACGAACCGGAAAAATTTCGGATTCCCTGGAAGGGCATGCTGCCTTTTCGACTGACACACATTCTGACATCCCGGCACACAACATACTGCTCTCGTTGCCTCACGATTTCTGGAGGATCCAGGTTGTATGTGGTCAGCCAGTGGAGGCGCAATCGGAGAAGCAGCAGCCGGAAGTGTAGTCGGATTAGGCATTACCAAGAACGTAACTCCCGGGCTGATTGAATTACCTGCTGTCCGTATCAAATAAGGTATAACGGTCCCGGCAGATGGGCTTTGCAGGACTGCCCCGTTAAATGCATTTGTTAAGGACACACTTTTCGTATTCCGATTCGGCGGACGAATTTGGATTGGTTTCGATGTGCTGAAAACAGGAGGAAGATGTCTGGCCCTTTTAGCAGCTGGAATAGTGCTTGGCGAGATGGCATTTGTATTTCGAGAGTTATTCAGCAGTATATTGAGATTCGCAGGCGGAGAATTCAACTGTGCATCTTGTCGAGATTTGGTATTTTCAACCGAAGCGTTCCCGCCTTCATTTGGATCTGTCGAAGTATCACTGCCGATAATTTCGTCTAAACTATCGGCAGAACGCTTCTTTGAACCTGAAAGACAAACATCACTACAATACAACATTCGATAACATGGAAAAGTACAGTTCCATAAAGATTCGCGTAAAACGCAAGAAATACCATTTAAATCGTCGAAAATCAATAACTACTGTTACTATTTAAAAGCAGTGTACGTTGATTTCAAAGTGATTTTATGCCAGTTTGCCTCTTCGAATTCAGCCACGTAATTTTAACCACTGCTACAATGTAGCAGTGGTTAAAATTACGCGGCTGATTTCGAAGAGGCAAATTTTAGCTTGCATCACTGAAGATGTAGCAGCTACATCTTCAGTGATGCAAGCTAAAATTTTACATAATCCACTACTCACACTGGCTGGGCAGAATAATTTCGGGGCTGTCGGCGCGCGGCACAGCATGTGTTGGTGGACGCATGGAATCGGGAACGCCTTCGAAAACGCACGGCAGAGCATCGTATTTCAATCGTTTCTCCGTTCGTTTGGAATTATCTGCTTGCGGCAACGCGAGGATATCGGTCGGACGAAAATGTTTGCTGCAGATCTTGCTGGATGGAGAAGGAGTCCAGTCTTTTGGACGGAGTGTCCGCTCAATCCAGACGGGATACCGCGGATCGTTCGGATGCGGGAAATCGAAGAAACACACGCTGCGCAAGGAACGCGACTGCTCCGACGAAGGACACAACAACACGCAGCACGCTGCAGGATCGGACATCGCTCACGTCGTAAAGCAATGCAAATTACAATCGACGAAATCTATCACAATGTGACCATGATAAAATTACCCGTACTCAAATGGGTGGCAGGCTGGCAGCCCTCAGATTCTTATTATACCACTTGAAAGAACACGAGAGATCGCTATTTGCCAGTAGGACAGACTGTAATTTCTGCATGAATTACACTCTCGTGACTCGGCTTCCAGGGCCTGACTTAGGCGGGCTACTCAGTAGTCAGTACTGTGCATAAATTGTAAAATTTCGGTAATTCGTCCACTAAGCCTTACTTGGATTAGCCGTGCGTGACCAGACGCCCAGAATCAACGAGATTGGAGTTCTTCACACGGCAAAAGCTCCAAGAAAGCAAATTCTTGAATCAATACTCCGAATTCGAAACATGGGATTCCTATTTAAACTGCCCACTGCGCGCAGTACTGACAGCTTCCCAAAAAACCAATGAACCGATTATAGAACACATGATGTTCACAGACTCACGACTGATACCAAAGAATGGCGGGAAACCAAGAAATAACGATAACGAGCAATGGTCGTGCAGCACTACTTCAGTCTAAATGGCGCTCCCCGGCTCACACTGGCAGCAACTGGAAACGAAGCTGCTAGTAGTAACTAGTGACTCATAACTGCAATAATATTATTAACAGCAACTTTAAGAAATAAAATGAAATCGTCAAGTGCTCGAGATCTTCAGAAACTCATAAGAACAGTCCGAACAAAGACAAAAATAAATGAGCAATGAAAACGCATATGCATACAGGAAGCAATATTTTTCGCAATGCAACTTCCTCACCGGGGAGGTGGCGCGGTTACCGTAGCGTGGAAATACGCGGTAATACTTTGTTTTCTCCTTGAAATCTGCATTTTCTAACGAGAAATTTTATGTAAAATCGACATTCGACAGCGTCTTAATTACAAAAACAATATGATAACCTAGTAAAGAAAAAATAGCAACAACAAAAGGATATAAACAGAATAATCCTTGAAATTCACATCCAAAACGATAATCCCATTATCCCAGCAGAGCCGTTCTACGTGATAACTCACACTTAGAAAAAACAGAAAACAGATTCCCATCAATTTAAACCCACTTGCTTCTCGCTTGGGCACCAGTCATGTAAGTGCTTACGTCATCACAGAAAAGTATTCAATATGTACAAAAATATCAAAGCACAAGCGGATATCAAAAGTGTAATACCAATTCTTGTCCGATTAGAACAAAAGTTGCCAAAACGTCGCCATTACAACTCTTGCGGCGAATCCAACTAGACTGTTTTGGATTTATAGTGTTTCCGCTTGATTAATTACTCTTGCTCAAAGCGTCCTTATCAGCATGCTGCATCCGCTGCAGGTCGCACAGGGCCTTACGTCAAACCGCAGATCGCAGTCGTGACATGTCAGGTTCCCGTATTTCATTTCGGCGACTCTGAAAAAAGCGAAATTAATAACTGCAAGCAGGATGAAGATAATGATGTAACAGCAAAAGAACTTCGAACCGAAAATATGCGAAGGCAAGCTAGTCTTCGAAGCGAATTCTTCGCTGCATCCTGGGCATTTGTATTTTTGGTTTCAAATCAACATCTTCATCTGAGCGATCATTTTCACTCCCGGATTTATTCAGCCCAAGTAGTTTACGGTGGTAATCCGGATGATCACGGCGGATGTGGGCTGTCACAACCGCATACCAGTCTCCACACTCTGGGCATTTTGTCGTAGCTCTCCCGTGCTCGCTCACATGCTCAACCAATTCATCCAGTCTGTCAAAGTTTTGCTGACATTCAGGACACTCTCGTGTGTCGCGAAGGAGCGCTGTTGGTTCACCGTTTCCGTGCTGCATTTTGTGCAACCGACATGCGATATCGGTCTTGAAGCGCAGACCGCAGTCGCTGCACGTGCGAGCGACCAGTGCAGATTTTGCGCGGTGAGCCTGCGAAGAGACAACCATCAACTCCGAATCTTCAAGTATAGTTTCGTTCAAATCGATACAAAAAAATAAAACAAAGGATGACAGCATAAATTAATCAAATTTTAACGAAGTATCACGAAACAGGTGACAATAACACACATACTTACAACGACATGTCCAGTAAAAGCGTCAAGTGCTTCGAATTCCTTTCCACATTCGCCACACCGATACGGAACGTGTCCACAGTCTTTTCCCGACCGATACTGACATTCGGGATGATGACGCTGAATGTGGCTGTTCAACGCATGAAAACGTCCCTTACAAACGGGACATTCCTCCGTTCGCCGACCGTGAACGCTGACGTGCTTGACCAGTGCGCCGAAGTCTTCAAATTCTTCGACACATTCTTCACACGTGGTCCTGTTGCGTATATCTTCGGCGATTTCTTTGCCACCATGCTCATATTTGTGGATGCGGCACAACAAGTGCGTGCGGAAATGCAAACCACACTGAACACATATGGTTTTCTGGAAAGGAACCCGGTGTCGATGACCCTGCAGTCAAAATGCAATCATGAGAACAAGAATGTGTGAAAACAAGTATGTACCCATAAAACCATTTCCGCCTGATCCCGGCCTCTACAAGATCGATAAACGGCACTATATTTTTGCATAACCACGTGTCTTCCAACAACTGTTGTGCCCTCTATAACATTTCATCGTTTGACTGTACCATGATCACTATCATCAGATGATAGTATATTTTGAGCGACTTATCGTGTTGTACGAACTGAATGAACACGCACCAGCATATGCTGTTCCAAGTGACGGCGTAACCGGAAACGTTGACCGCATTTTAGACACTTATAATTTTCCTTGTATCCGGGATGCGTTCGGTACCCTTTCTCTTGCAAAATAGACAGATGCGCTCGCGCAGGATGGTGCCACTTCATGTGTTTACGTAGACGATGACAGGGAAACCAGTGGCCGCATTCGGGACATTTCTGCGCGGCTACAGCATGCGTGAGAACATGCTGATGCAGTGGATCCATCGCGTCGAACTCTTCATCGCATTCGGGACATCTTTGCGCGCCAGAAATAGCGTTACAGGCTGCAGTGCTATGGCTGTTCTTGTGTAAGACAAATAAACTATCTTTCGGAAATTGTAGTCGACATTTGTGGCACGTCCAGCTGTCCAGAGATGCTCTGATCTGATGGCCCTAAAATTACAACCAAGTTAGGAGTATGTCTATGTGGCAATGTAGTAAACGACCATCAACGAATGCACACACTAACCCGCAGGTGGAGCCGTAAGGACGACTCATTCGTGTATTCCTTCCCACATTCCGAGCAACTTGTTTCGGCCAAATAGTGCGGATGATAACGTGCAATATGTTTTCTCATCCCAGGATAATAGCCGTTGCAAACCGGACATTTTTTCGTTGGCTTTCCGTGTACATCCACGTGCACGGCTAATTTCTCCAGGCTCTCGAACATCTCACCGCATTCGGGACATTTCCGTGTGATTTTTATATTGTCGACACACTCCTTGTCCTGATGACCCAGCTGATGTAAACGATAGAGAAAGTTACGGGCAAACCGCAAACCGCACGTATCACAGTTCAAACGCTTCTGGTGTAGTTTTCTTCTTTTGATTTCGAATCCGGGATGGTAACGGTGAAGATGAACGAGGATAACGCCCGAACTGCAGGTTTCATTGCAGACAGGGCACTGCACAAGCAGCGTTCCATGCTCGTCCACGTGTTTTAACAGAGCGGGAAAATCGTCGAAATGTTTCAAACATTCAGGGCACTTTCGTTCAGGCGGATCAGCGTACCCGGTGTGACCCAGAAGATGCAAACGCAACATACCTTCCTTCCGAAATCTCGTATTGCATTCTGAGCAGATGTTGCTGGTAAAAAAATTTCCCGTTTTGTTGGTTCGCTTCTTCTTCGAACGTACACGAGAGTTTTCGTCAGTCCGCCGGTAGCCATCAGCTGCAGTCGCTGGTAACGATGACCCACTTTCTCCCGGCAAACGGGACACACAAGCCGCTTCCGATGAGGAAGTTCCATTCTTACACATCAGAGCATCATCAGTGGAACATCGCGCGGGCGAGGCAAAACGTGCTGAAATCTCCATTGCATCTTTTGAGGCGAACGTCAGCGCTGAAGGCATGCCATGAATGGAGCCAACGGACACTGACACATAAAACCACACCAACCTCAATTTGTGCACCACTTGACGACTGTTATTGCATGCACTGCTTTTCACATCATTATACTATTCACAGAACAAAAAAGGCATACCTATAATCCTTTTGTAATTCGACAAAATAAAATGCCGCATAAACACTTACCGTTAGTACAATCTTCGTCGGCCGGAAGGCCATTTTCGACGTTTCTCCTCCGCTTCAAAGGAGGACAAATGGAATTTATGATGTCCGTTACGGGTAGGTCTGTGTTGTCGACCTCCATCAGTGAATTATCGTCGTCCGTCATATAGGTACCCCAGGCATTCTCATACGCCGACACATCACCCCTTCCTTCGCAGACGCCAGTATCACTGCCAGCTTCGCTTGCATCCTCCGCCGCCGTGTCAGCGTCCCGAATCAACGAAGACAATCCAAAAAGTCCATCAAACGACGCTCCTGCTTCCCCTTCAACAGCGTCATCTCGCGCGCTTGTATCGTCTGAAGGGGTCAGAAAACGCAGACATCTTTCCGAAGGAACTGCGTCGCTTCTTAATTTAAGCTGCTTGTTCACTTGATCCACACATATCCAGGTCAATTCGTCTAACTGAAAATGATTTTCACACACCAACAACTCCTCAGAGAAGACGAAATCTGGATTCCATTCCTGACAAATGTTCACCCACTGTTCGCGCTGATCATCATCGGAAGGAAATGGAAAAAATGTTAGCACTTCCGAACGGACATATTTTTCGCGGGTACTGCGCCACCAGCCACACACACAGCACCTGTGTACTGCACTGATCTCAACCGGTTCACTCAAATCCGCTGGGCTGCGAAACTTTTCAACGCACTGCAGTCTAGAAGGCACCACCAATTTTTTCAAATAATTAGTGCGCGGCTGTTTTCCTTTTGACGTTTCCTCCACAAAATCCTCCGGGCAAAAATGCTTACTACACACTCGAGAGTGCCGATCGGGTTTCCACGAAATCGCACAGCGAATTCGGTTCATCCACTCGCAGAAGCGGGACGACGTTCCGAGGCCGGGAATAATATGAAAGGTAATTTTCTCCAACTTGCCCTCAACTTGCGAACGATTCCCACATCCCGGCACGCAGCACTTGTAGCCGGTGCACCAACCACTAGTATTAGTGCTGCGGGTTCTAATTCCTCTGTTGTTTTTCTTTAACTTCACAGGCACAGGCAGCTCTGCAAACGTTGGAACCGCTTCGCTTTTAGGCACCCACCTGGCTTCTTTGTCGTCTTCCAGCAATTGCGTCAAATCATCCAACGAGAAATGATTTTCGCAAATAACGGATTCTTTCGAAACGGTCAAATTGGGATTCCATTGGCGGCAAGCAGTTAGCCATGAATCACGTAAGATATTGTCATCCGGAAAAGGAAAGAAGCTCAGTCTCTCGGATGGAATAAGGTCATTCTCGTCCAACGGCCGCCGGCATTCACACACACAGCATGTCTGGACAGCTTCCCTTCCCACTAATTCACCGGAATTCCTTAGAGCGCGGTATTCAGCAACGCAATCTATTTGAGAAGGCAGTGCGTTCCGTCTCATCCTTCTGGGTTTAACGGAAGTTGCTTCGAAGAAATTTTTCGGAGAGAAATGTCGACTGCATATTACGTCGCGTGCATTAGGTCTCCATGAAACGGCACATCGGATATGATTTACCCATTTATTCCTATATCTCCCCTTCGAATAAAAACGATAAAACTTTAGTGGTACCTGTGGCGTTTCATTCCAAGCAAATTTCCGACATCCCGGTACAGAGCAAACAGGCAGCTGACGTTTAGTTGTTTTCTTCTCTTCATTTTCCTTAGTCTGCTTGCCTGTTGGATCGGAAGTAGATCCAGAAAATCCTGAATATACGGAAAATGAAATGGAAGGAACCGCTTCTTCCTCCGCATATTTCGCTTTGTTGTGTGTGTCAAAGTGATTTTCACAAAGGTACCACGGTGTTTCTTCCGGAACTGAAGTCCAATCAATATCGCTTCTTTGTAATTTGCAAAAATCAATCCATTTCTCCCTAATTTTACCCGATGGTGCTCGGAAGAACTCCAGCTTCTCCGAGGCTTTCAGTCGGCGGTTCGGTGTGAATGGATGAAGACCGCAGACAGCACAGCCTTCCTTCCCCGCCATCATGTCTGCCGGTGTGAACGTGCACAAAGATTCCATGCATGACAGCTGAGTGGGAAAAGCTGAATTACGTAGACGCAGAGCGGGTTTAGAATACCTCGTGAGATGCCGGATTTCCGATGCAGGAAAATGTTCCGTACAAATTCGGGTACGGCCCTCGGGAACCCAGGAAGAATTGTACCGCACCATGCGCAACCATTCACCGTACCGTTTGCCTCCGGGCGGAAGAAAATCAAAAAATTTTTCTTTCCCCCAATCTCCCAAGTTCATGATAGTTCCACATCCCGGGACGCAACAGAAAACGCCTTTTGGCAACCGCGAATTTCCAGAGTGCGAGGTAGACGTCGTCAATTTCGGGTCGGTGTAGTTGACGTCCAGGGAATAGGGCAAGGAGGGGATTGCTTCACTTACACTAACAACAGAGCCTAACCCTTCCGCCGCTTTTCTGTAATTCTCTCCGAAGTGGTTTTCGCACACAAACCATGGCGTGTCCGCCCCGATGCAAGCCCAATCGATACCGAACCGCTGCTGGTTGCAGAAGTCCACCCATTTCCGTCTTAGCGCAGCAAAGGCGGGACTAGGCGCGCGAAAAAACATCAGCTTTTCTGATGCTTTCGGTTGTCTGCCAGCTGGCGGGCGTTGACCGCACACAGCACAACCAATCGCTCCGGAAGCCATATCTGCAGCGGTAAACCCGCATAATGAGGTCATGCAGGACAGTTGACTGGGCAGAGCTTTTCTCACGAGATACGCCTCGCCCTTCCTGAATTCGATCTCGGACTCGTCAAAATGATCACTGCAAATTCTATCGCTGGAATCCGGAATCCAAGATGGGCTGTACCGCAGCCGCTGCGTCCAAGTTCTATAACGCGGATCACCAAAGGCAACAAATCGGAAAAACATCGGTTTCTCTGTTAGTTCATTCTGCCCTTCTGACTGGCACACATTTTGGCATCCCGGTACACAACATGCTATATTCGTTGGTTTTATTGAATTAGCATCTGAATGAGCTGGCGGCGGTGTTTTCGCAGGAGCAGCAAGGACTTCACAGTGAGGATATACAGAATGGCCAAGTTGCATCTGTTTAGTCAGTGGAGGAACAATCGAAGGAAAAGTCGGATGTGCAGTCTGATTAGGAATCACCAGGAATGTAACACCACCAGGGCTGGTAGAGTTAGTTGCAGAACGTATTACGAAAGAGGAAGATGTCGCCATAGCGGTTCCCGCATCAGGGCTTTGTAGGGCTGCCGCACTGAAGACGTTTGAAATCGACGCATTTCTGGTATCGTTGACAGGGAAAGACAATGGACTAACGTCCATCTGTATGTTAACCGGTGTCGGTCGAGGTCGGTATTCCCTGGGTAACGGAGCGAATACCTTGCTGGGATGTGGCAGGATACCGTCACTCCGCTGCAATTCGAATTTAATTTCTCCATCCTGCTCAAACCGGGCCAGTATGTCAGCCAGAACAAAGTGCCGTTCACAGGAGTACAGTTCATCCTCGGACGAAACTCCAGTGCAGACATCCAACCACTGCTCTCGTTCGCTCGGGTTCTGAGGAAACGGAACAAATGCCAATCGTGCTGCGGACTTGTAGTAGGTGGTCTGCTTGATCGCTCTCCAACACCCGCAGATGGCACACACCCGACTGAACGGGCACGGTCCATTCAACTTCCGCATCAATTTATTTCGGCATCCCAACTGTGACGGAATCGCTATCGGTTTCAGGCTAGGAGTGGTTCCCATAAGGCCGTAGTCCGAGGAAAGAAAATGAAGACTGCACACAACTAATGCAAAGCTGGCTGCCAGAAGCGGGAACACGCCACCCGCTTGATCCATTCGGTTCGGAGGTGTTTGTCCATGGGGAAAGCGTGGAAATAAATTCTCCCCTGTAAATAATTATTATCGCGCCCGCTTGGACAGCCGGGAACACAGCACCTGCGGGCTTCGTCGGCATCCGTAGCAGCAGGGTAATTCACAGGAATGTGCTGGGCGCAGTGCTCCGCCACTATCAGTCGTCCATCGACAACCTTCTGTGCTAACGAACAAGCGGGGCGAATTCGGATCTGTTCTGAACTGTTGGCGTCAGGAGGAGGAACGTATCTGGCTTTTTTAGCGTTTGGAATCGCGGCTGACAAACTAAGAGGCTCAGTCGCATACGTATTTTGAGGGTTATTCAGATTCGCATGCTTAAAATTCGACAGTGCATCTGGTGGAACTTCGGCATCTACAGTCGAAGCTTGCACGTATTCATTTGAATCTTTCGAAGTATTGCTGCAGATAATTTCGTCCAAGCTATCAGCAGGACGCTTCGTTAAGCCTAGAACAAACAGCAGACACAGCTTTCGGTAACCCATAACACAATAACATCGCAGACAAATCTACCGTTTTATAATTTCATTGAACCATCATCAATTTTTACAAGTGATGAAGTAATACTTAAAAACTCTTTTTGTAATGTTCACTGGAAATAAATAAACAAAAAATAACAGCAATACAACTAAGAAAACATTTTCTCAAAAGATAGAAAAATAAAGGTGGCAGTACTGTAATGAAATTTTTATACAGAAAATCCCATTATGTAATGTGAAAAACCGATCACGCCGCGCGTGTTAAAAATTGATTTTTTTTTTCATATTTAATGCGCTCCAAATCAACCTGATCATGGTTTGATCGTCTAAATTTATTGTTATTTTTTTGCTAACATAAGACAGCAGAAGGTAACACAGCAGAAGAAACAGCAGCGGACATATTCTACGTAAATCCACTTATCGTTAATTCACATGTGAACTTTAAAAGCCTACTGCTTTCATTTCAAAATCATTTTCGTATTTGTCTTGCATATTTCTTATTCTCACTGATTGTTGCGCTTGGAAGTCTGCTTCATAATTTTAACATACTTCTACTATACCTGCATTCCGAAACACAATAATACAACAAAAAATTTTAAATAATCATGTACTCACATTGAGTGGGGGGATTAATTTCGGGGCTGTCTGCGCGCGGCACAATATCTGTTCGTGGACGCATGGAATCGGGAATGCCTTCGAAAACACTCGGCAGCGCATCGTATTTCAGTCGCTTCTCCGTTCGTCCGGATCCATCTGCGTGTCGCAAAGTAAGGATATCCGAAGGACGGAAGTGTCTGCTGCAAATCTTGCTGGTTGGAGAAGGAGTCCAGTCTTTTGGACGCAGCGTGCGCTCGGTCCAGATCGGATAGCGCGCATCATTCGGATGCGGGAAATCGAAGAAACACACGCTCCGCAGAGAACGCGAGTGTTCCGCTGATGGACAGCACAGAACTGAGCACGTACTGGCTTCCGACATCATGACATCGTGTGTAAAAATGCGAGAATCTACGATACAAAACCACTTGCTCAGATTTCTGATGAGCCCGTCCTTTCTGCAAATGATGTACCTAAATAGTAAATACGTACCTCCGTCATCAAACCATCAACAGGCCAATTAACGTTTTAATAAGTAAATAGAACGGGAATTCTGTCATACCTTACTTGTGAATTAAGTAGTAACTGTGGGAAGAAAAACCAACTGAATTAGCCATCGAAATTCGAAAACAAAGAAACTGTTTCAGTTTGCAGCTGTTTGTTGTAAAATGTTGTCTGCAAAGAGAAATAAACCTTTCCAGAAGTGGCCAGTGAATAATGATAAGTTGATAACACGTCGATTGAGACACCAGCGCACCATCCTGTAGAGTGCAGCTACGTGCAGTTAAAGTGCGATTACGTCACAGCGGACAGTGGAAGCGGTGAGGCGTAGGCGCCGTAGGCTTTAGGATAAAATTAATATCAATTCTGAAAACCAGTGAACGTTCACCTGTTTTCAAAATTAATTATTTTTCCTAAAATAATTATGTTGTGTTTATAATTTTTCGGCCTTCCGCAATGAATGAGCCGAAATTTCAATTGGAACAATATTATGAGCATTTCACTTCCGGATAATTACAGGATTTACCGTTAATGTGAACTTGAACTGTTTAATTTGGCCGGAAGTTTATGCCAAAATGTTTTTAAATGCGATGTTGAAATCCCCGCCTGATAACAAAAATCTAGTTGAATATAGTGCCTAAACTTTATAAAAATAAGAGGGTATGATACCGTGTCACCGACCTTAAATTAATGAGCTGATTGCAAATCATGATTTTTGGCAGGGCATTTTTATGTACTTAATACAAAGTCGTGCAAATTCGCAAATTAACATCCAAGTCTCTTACTTACGAATTTATAACTGAAAGGTCAGCAAAATAAAAAGATAGCAGTCTGGTTCCGAGAGATTGCAGATATTCGTTTGATTTTTTGATTTACGTAAATCAAAAACGCTTCACGTTTTGCTGCACCCCTGGAGTTGTACATCGGCCCGCTATGAGATCAACCATACGATTTGTTTACAGCTGCGCTTCTACTCCATTCCCCGTAATAGCTCTACGTGCAGACCCAAAGCAGTACTGAGCACTGAACGATGCGCCGCAAAGGTGTAAATGCTCGTTCATATTGCGGCCCATACGTGTGGGCTCATTTTGTCTGGTTTATCCTTCTGTGGCCCAGTCCACGGTGTGGTTAAGATGGTTGGCTGAAGAAGTGCGAAGATTTCTCGCGTTGGCTAAAAATGCATTTTGCAAATCCCCTGCAGGCTGATTTGGTGGGTTCCTTGACATGGAAAATGGAGTTGTAGAATTTTCTTGTCATCTTTTTTCCCCACATCTGCCACACATAATCGACTAGCCAAACATGCCAACGGTTATATGGCATTTTTCTTTTGCTGTTTTTAAAATGATACAGATATAAAATTTTATTGTTTATCGATTATGATGTGATTAATTTGGCCGTTTTACGTGTTGTGTAGAGGCCTGGGCATTGTTGGAAGAGCAGAGAGTTGTGGCTGGCTGCTGTCTGTCAGCAGCATTTATTCAGACTCTCTCCGCTGCGTTTGCCTTGTCTCTGCACTCTGTGTGTATGTGTATTTTGATCTTGACGCAAACAGGACAGAGTGCCGCTGTTTACTCAATGCCAGTAATCTGCACAGATACAGGTTTAAATTATCATTCAGCATAATATTTGCCCAATATATCACACGGACACTTTTCCATCGTTTATATTCTCCGTTTCCCCCATTTTGAATATCGTGATCAACCGTTTTCGTCACACGATAATACCACCCCTTCATTCTGCACCGTCGCGTGCATGTTTTTTCCTCCTTTGTCATCGTGACTGTGGGGTGTAATCGTTGGAGTGGATTTGAGAATTCTTCGGTTGTACAGTGCCATATCCCCGATATGTGACATACTTTTGGCTGGGTCTCGGTGAGTTTTCCCTGTGTGCAACGCTTTTGCATGGGAGATTACTGATTACACTGGCGATAAGGCCCGTCTGCAACGGACTGAATGGAACGTTTTCTGGCCAGATCGCACCAGTTCATTGACATTCCATTGTGAATGAATGAATGAATGGATGATCTTGTGGAATGAATGATCACAGTTTCCGATTCTTTTAGATCTGTCGCATTGCCGTTATCTGGGATTTGATCATGATAATATAGTTTTCCTTCTGGTAAGTTTGTGGGTGTTTGGTTTTCTGTAAAACTGACACATTTGATTGACAAGGAGCTTCTCTGCATTGAAGCCAATAACGATGATTTTGAAGATTTCGTTTGCTCTTTCTTGGCTTCTCGATTCCGCGCAGCTGTGGCTTTTTCTGTCTTCTTCAGTTTCATTGATCTACTCCAAGTTAATTTTCAGTAATTTTCTCTGAACAAATTCTTGTTTCAAATAAGATGTTGCAACATTCGACCATATTTTTTTGAAAAGTCTGGGGAAATTATGTTTCTGGACAGTATGCAGCTCGTATTAGACTTGTGAGCCATAAAACTGATTGAATAAAATAGTTTTCGCGCAGATACTTGCTTAATCTTCATAAGGTTTTAAGGTTTGTTATTTGTAGTAAATTCAGTTTATTAAGTGGAACCAAACGGCTTTACGTGCCGGAAATGATACAGTGAAATTACTTGGTGTTTTGTTTCCGGTCCTTTGTATTTCTTCCTAATTGATTGACTTTATTCATTTTAAATGGTAAATTCTTGGTAAATTAAAAAATGATTTTTAAAACAATAAATTTGAATTTTCAGACAGACAAAATTGTTGTTTTTTGCAGTCGATTTAAATATTTTATGCCATTCATAATTTCATATTATGATATTTAGGGAATCCAGTTACCTAAACGGTAGTTCTGAGCGTTTTCTCTTGTTTTAACCAGGTTTGATTGGAATTTACCGGAATCTCCTCTCGCCACGATGAATCCCAGCATGATGGACTACTACAGCCGCATGATGCAGCACGAGCACAACATGCGCAGCGGCCCCCCAGGGATGCACGGCGGCCCACCTGGCTCCAATCCCGAAGAGCGCGCCATGGCCGCGGCCGCCGCCGCCCAGATGGCGGCCGCCGGCGGTCCCAACGCCCCCAACAGCCAGGGAAGAGCGGGCCGCCATGGCGGCCATGTTCAATGCCAGCCGCCTGGGCCTGGGCGGGCCGCCGGGCGGAGGCCCCCCGCCCAACCTACCCACGCTACCGCCCGAGGGCCTGCGGACGCCGCAGTTGCTGGATGAAATCCGCAAGGAGGTGGCCCATCTGCAGGGGCTGTGTACGCGCTGGGAGCAGGAATACGCCCGGCTGAACGCCGAGAAGATGGAGTACCACCGCAGTCTCCTGCTGTACTATGAAGTGGTCAATGCCACGCAGATGGAGGCCGCCAAGAACAATGAGCAGGTCAAACGCCTGCACAATGCCATTATGATGGTTATGCAGTATCTGCCGCAGGATATGCAGATGAACCTGCGGGTCCATATGGAACGGGCCATGACGATTGGGCCGGGCGAGATTGCACAGGTAATGTATTCAAGGGAATTCGCATTTACGAAAGTGAGTCTGCGATTACGACATAAGTCTTCGTAACTGCCTGGAATAAAATCAGAGACGTTAGCGTGGTAATGCGGGTGTAGTATAAGTTGCTTTTGTTTTTAGTTGGCGGCTGGCGGTCCTCCTCAGGGTATGATCGGCCCCGGCGGCATTCCCATGGGCCCAGGCATGGGCGGGATGCCGCATCCAGGGATGCTCCCTCCGGGATTCCCCGGCATGGGACCCGGCGGGCCCAACAACCTTAGTCAGATGCTGGCTATAACCGGCAATCCGGGCCTGCATCCCTCAGTGTCCTCGGCGCCGCTGGCTCTCCTTCCCCCGCCTCCCAGCGAGCCGGGCCGGGCCAGCGAGCTGCAGAATCGCGCCTCCGCCATGTCGTCCAATCAGGGCTCCTCCTTATACATGGATCATGAGCGACGCAATTCCATATCGCCCAGCTCGCCACCGGAAAAGGACGCCAATGAGGGCGGACGCCCTGGAGCTGGCGGTGACAAAGGTGAATCGTTTGTTTAAATATTTGTTTTACTTTTAATTTACGTCCGACTTTGGGTTTGGTATACAAAGTAATAAGGCTTGGTATCAGTATTTTTTTTCTGCTGGCTATATACTGATTTTACGGCAATTCTTTGGGAGTTTTTCATACTTTTGAATGATAAATCAGACTTCGCAGTTTCTGGCTCTACCGTACTCCATTATTAGTTAATTCTGTGATGATTTTTGTAAATTAAGCTGCACAACTGTAATAAAACTTCAACGCCTATTTTGTTATTTAGGATCCGAACGACGCAATCGTTCTCCGGATGATTCGAGTGACGAGTCTAACCATGTCAATAATAACCGCTCCAATGACAACCATCGCAGCGGGAACAACAGTAAAAAGCAACGCGTGGGCGAGAAACTGCAGAATTCGCACGGCGACGATTCGGACAATGACAGTGACGGAGTGGACGGGGATTTGGTGGTGGATGTGTCCAACGATGAGGATTCCTGCTCACCCGCGCCCAGAGGAAATGCTGGCGCTGGTGGTGGGGGCCTGCAGCAGAACGGTGAGGTGGGCCACAAAGACGGTCCCGAACGAGAAACCGAGATGAATCATCACGCTAGCAAGAAAGCCCACGAACGCCCCCACAGTCCGCGCAGTGGACGCTCCTCGGCGTCCAGCTCGACCTCATCCAAGCGGGAAATCAATGGTGGGTGACTTTATGTTGTTTTCGAATAAATATTGGGTGTTTGCAGGTAAAATGTTGAATATTATTTATTATAAATGCTGTAAAATAAACAGTTACTAAAACATATCTGTAAACTGTTTTTAATAAATACCTAAGTAGAATTTAGTAATTGTAAAATAAGATATATCTGTTATAGAATATTATAATAAAATATTTATGTCTTATTGAATATTTATTATAAAATATTTATTTTACAATATAGAATATTGGAAAATGGATACTTAAATAATATATATCTGTAAAATAAATATGTATCTATAATTCTGTACATAAGTGGAATATTGTAAAAAAATCTTGGATTGCAGATAAATCAAACGCATTGCCTCTCCTGAAGACTTCCCCACCCAACGGTGGCCCGGCGGTACCTCTGAGCCATAAACCCAAACCGCTGCCGAACAATAACAGTATGGGCGGACCGCCGTTCCCCTTCGACGCGGTCCCGCCGGGACCCGGTCCGATGGGCATCTACCCGTCGTACGGACCGTCTCCCTTCGGACGTCACGGTCCTTCCATGGTGCCGACCATGCCCGGTGGACCGTTTGATCCTCATGCACACGCTCGCGGTCCCATGGGCATGAGTCCGATGGGAATGGGTGGGCCTCCCAGTCGCAACGATCGGGGCTTCTCGATGCACAGCATAGGTGGTAAGTGGATTAATTTTTCGTTAACTTCCCTTTCATGTATCGCAGAACGTATTGAAAGTTTAATACTAGAATACTAACTCACAATACTGTACATCACTTATGGAATTAAAAAATGTTCGTAGTGCAATGGCTGTATGCGCTAAACCTGGAATTTGAAATGTACTGTATTAGAAATTTCGATTCGCAGTTGTTATAAACTTGATAGTGAGTAATTTTGATATTTTTTTCGAATGCCAAAAGCACAGTATTGTGGCGGGAGTTTTCTCATGGTATATGCAGAGCCGCAGACCTGATCGTATTGTTTAACGGAATTAACAGAAAATTTGAATTTAAAAAATGCGATTTAGTAATGATAATTTGATAATGTAACTTAGAATCAGTCAAAACATATTCCGAAGTTTGTTCTCGGCAACCACAGAAATATGATCGGTTAAAGCATGACCGCTAAAACTATGGAGTAGTACCGTGTCTTTCCGTCGTTGAAAGGAGATTCCACAAAATTGTTGCCATTGCAGACGGCCAGTTCACACCCACCCAGTTTCCTCCTGACGTGGCGTCACGGCCCGGCATCCCGCGGGCACTGCACCGTGTCACCAGTCTCAGCCATGGCGAGGTGGTGTGCGCCGTGACCATCAGCCATCCGACCCGCTACGTGTTCACGGGCGGCAAGGGCTGTGTGAAGATGTGGGATGTGTTCCCCAACGGGAACACCAGCGCCCCGACTCCTCCTCTGAAACCGGCACACGAATTGGACTGTCTGGAGCGGTCCAATTATATCCGCTCCTGTAAATTGCTACCCGACGGCAAGACGCTGATTGTCGGTGGGGAAGCACAGACGCTGACCATCTGGGACCTCAACGGCAGCGGTACACCCAAGGTATGAAAATAAGGGGAGATGGCGATCGCGAGTGCGTGCTGGGTGTAAATGGGGGATGTTTCTTGTAGGTCAAAGGAAAACTGTCGAGCGATGCACCGGCCTGCTATGCGCTGGCCATCTCCAATGACTCCAAGTTGTGCTTTTCATGCTGCTCGAATGGGAATATCACCGTGTGGGATCTGCATAACCAGAAGGTCGTCTCGCAGTTCTGTGGACATTCCGATGGGGCCAGCTGCATTGATATTTCCAGGTACGGAGAAATATTTCTCATCGTGCAGTAATTGCACGATTTGTTACATATGAAGAATCTGAACCAAGGCTGAGCCAAATGTTTCCATAGTCCCTGCCGGTTTTTTAAGTTCTTTTTTATCTTACATCAGACTTTCTAACAGAATATATAAGCCCCAAGTCCAATTTACAACATATAAATTAATTTTGCGGTTATAGATGTTCATTCAAATTTAGTAACTGTTAATATTCTGTAATAAATTTCAGTACTTATTCATAAAAGCATTGAATACTGTTATACGTACTGCTGCGGCTATTAAATACAATTTGAAAATTACCTTAGGGGTTATATGTGTTCAATTTAAAATTTTGTAATTACCTATATAGAAAGAGACTTCGTGTCTGGCGTAAAGAGCAGGGTGTAAATAAATATGGTGGTGGTAAACAAATAAGTACAGTATTTGGTCTTGGGTTTATCGTTTTGTCTTCCGGCTGAGCGATGTACACCATAGTGAAAAAGCGAAAATCAAATCTTTATTCGGCTAGTTGGTCAGTTTTGCTGTTGTGATTAATATAGCGTGTTTCTTTCTTTATTACCATAAGTCCATAACTGCGATGATTATTAATAAAAGCGGACAAATCGTTGGCCAGTACACAATGACAATAAGCCTGCGCATATACACTAATGCACACTCAAATCAAAATTAAATTTGAAACTATATGAATGCGGTTGTTGCAGTGACGGGCAGCAACTGTGGACCGGCGGTCTGGACAACACCGTCCGCTCGTGGGACATCCGCAGCAACAAACAGGATGTGCAGATGGATTTCAATTCGCAAATCTTCAGTCTGGGCTGCTGCCCGACCGGCGAATGGGTGGCCGTCGGGATGGAGAACTCCACGGTGGAAGTGCTGAGCGTCAACGTGGCCAAACGCGACCGCTACAAACTGGAGCAGCACGAGTCCTGCGTGCTGTCGCTGAAGTATGCCCAGTCCGGCAAGTGGTTCGTCTCCACGGGGAAAGACAGTAAGCTGAACATCTGGACGAATCCGCACGGGTTGAACGCCGTGTCCGATAAGGAGCCGGCGTCGCTGCTGAGCTGCGATGTGGCCGCCGATGATCGGTTCATCGTCACCGGGGCGGGTGACCGGAAAGCCGTGTTGTACGAAGTCATATACTGATCTGCGACACATGAACGCGGAACGATGGAAACGGACTGATTATACAGTTTCTCATGCACCAAAGACAGTTTTCCCCGCATGGTTTCTCTCTTTCTCCATATTTTTGAATATTTTGAACATTATGCTGGCGGTTGTCGGCCTGTCGCTCGCTTTATCTCTTCGCTTTCTCTCGTGCACTGTAGATCTGCTGTAGAAGCTCGTTTATGCTGACCGCGTTTTTTGGGGCAGCTGCTTCCGTTTGTTGAATCGAGTTACAACCCGGAGTTCGCTTTTAGCTGTTTTTATCTTTTTAATTCAACGTTTGTTTTTCAGTTTTTCAGCATGGTATGTTTGGTGTATTGAATAGTCGTTCTCATCTGTTGGCCAGCGACTGTGTGCCGCACAGCTGTTTGTGGCTCGGCTGCGGTTGCTGGATTTTGTCGGTAGCTACTTTTGACTTTTCCCGTTACAGTTCCTGTTCTTAGCAATTTTTGTTTTTACACATTTTATCTGGTTTTAACGTTTACCGTTTTATCTCTTGTTCAGTTATTCAACTTATCATGGAAATAAAGAAATCTCTCTGATTCGCGGAATCTTATTCGCATACAAAATATTGGTTTGATGTACATGGGATACGATGAATCGATAAGATAGGTCACCGATAAAGTTTCCAGAACGGTGAAGAAAAATAAAACAAGGGTCAAAATATAGGAAGCTTTATGGCATATATAAACACGATTTCCGTCAGTTCCGTAGTATCCGGTCATTCCGGTGCATCCACTGCCGTATCGGCAGTATCACAAATGATAAATGTACTTGTCCAAATTCTGATAAACAGTGAAAAACGCAATCTTCGATTTTCGGCACTCTTCCGGCCTTCCAAGCGAAACAAAATTAGCAGAAACAAAAATGCTGACGCTTTCTCGCTTGATCTTAGCGCACGGAGTACACTTGATAAAACGTATGTACGGATTCTACTCCGTGGAACACAGAGATCAAAGCAAATGATCTGGTAGATCGGCACCAGATCCTTTGGTAGAGATATCGACAATTCAGACACCTTTATGGATACGCTCTGCGGTGAGATGTTTGGTTACCGACTGTTTTTTCCCATTAAGATTTGCTGAATTGAGACATTCGGTATCTTCCACGCCCATATAGAATTTTTGCGCATAATGTGCAGTACATGCATAAATAAAGCCTGATTGTTGTTGAACACAAACAATAAACTAAATGACCAACGAAGGAAGGAACAGATGATATGTCATCAGATAACTGAAAGCACGACAATGCTAATCACAACCGTAGCACGGAATACACCTATCACTCGGAGTCGGAGATGGCATTTTTATGCATATCCTGCACATGCCGCCTCAGCAATCCCATCTTGAGAAATCCCACCTGAAACTCATCTCAACGATGTGGGAAATCTTCCAGCGCCAATTCATTCTTAGCCAGCTTCTTAAGCGGTATTCCTTTCTCCTTTTTCTCCTGATTTTTCCGGTTGATTTTGGCCTTAAGTTTCTCCCCGTGGACATAGTGCCGGTGTTGCCGCAGACTGACCGCGGTGTTGTAGCGTTTACCGCACTGATCGCAAAGGAAGTCCATGCTCGGATCGTGGGTTTTCATGTGAATGGTGAGACGGTGCGACGATTTGACTACCAGTTGGCAGATCTCGCACACCCGCACTGCGCTACATTATGGCTCCGTTTTATATGCCGCGTAACATTTTCGTAGGCGACTGCCAGCAGATCACAACTCGGACAGGGATACTTTCCGTTAATTACATGAGATTCTATGTATTCCATCATTTCCGCTCGGGTCATGGATTGCTTCGCACACTTGTAGCACTGGTTGAGCTTTCTTTTCTGCAAAAAATAATATCCGTAAACCATCACAAACTACGTTGTAATTTTCAAGCAAAACTCCACCAACCAACATACGCAGAATTCCCGGTGTTTCTCCAGTGTGTAATGCGTCACGAACCGGCTACTGCATTGATCACAGCCGAGAGGAAAATCCCGCGACACCTTATGCACAAACTCAGGGTGTTTCCTCTGTACATGGTAAAATATGCAGTGAATTATGATTTATGAATTGTTTAGATAACAAGAATTCACATAAATCGTCCGAAAATTTTGGCCGCATTAGCGAGATTTTTTCGCACCTTTCGCGATCCGGGGCGGTTGGCCATACTGAAAAGGAATTGTGGAAAACCGGAAGTCATGTGTGGTGACGGAGAGACGAGTACGATAGGGATAATACCGTAATATCAATCCTACCGACCTGACTCAACGACAGAGAATGAGCTGATAATCTCAATGTGACATAACTAAATAATATGCATACGCTACGACCTACGCGAAGCGAGAATCTGACTGCATTCCGACGATAGATTTTAATAGAAAAACTCCGACACTGCCAAACTCCGAATGAGGACCAACTGATGCCAAAAGACTGCAACTCTCGGACTTATATAGGCGCGAAGCGCGTCCGTGTAGAAACAACCAAAAGTATATCCGAAGACAAAAGGAAAATGCTAGAAAGTACAAACATGTACGAGTACTGATGGAAAACGTACTGTACTTAGCCGCTACCGTACACCATATTCCGTCACCCCCGCAAACGGCTCTTGGGGAACCCAACACAAAAAAGAAACGAAAAGAACAGAAAAAACAGGAATAAAAACTAAATAAAAATGAGTTCTCACGCTCGACTGGGCAAGGCGGGCAAAATCCATCCTCCGTCCCAGAATGACATGATCCTCCTCCACTACTGACGAGGGGTGGAAGGTGAGAGTTGGCAGGAAAAAAGTGAGTTGGTAGGAAACACGGCAGTCGGAGAAAACACAAACAGGAAAATCGTCGGAAAATAAATCGGAATTTCAGTGGCAAAATCCAAATAAAATTAACGTAAAATCGCCGATGAAAATTTAGGCAAAAACATCCGCGATAAACACAAAAATAAAAATAAAACGCCACTTTCGCACTGAGGAATTCTGTCAGCAAGTTGTAGAAAAATCACAAGGGAGAAATGAGCAAAATCCCATAGCGGAGATCAACAGGGAATTAGTAATCAGATTCGCAATAAATCAGCAGGAATCATCAGCGCGATCAGAATGAGAAACGAGTCTGCTCAGTACCTGTTGACGGCGGAGCCTTCTTACTGGCATCCAAAGCCATCTGCTGACGAATCTGCTGTTGTCGCTCACGCTCCTTGTCCGCATCGCTCGTAACTGCTGAGCCACCTTGCTGGCCAGAGGGAATAGTAGACGAATTCTGTGCAGGTACTGAACCATTTCCTCCACCAGCAGTCATATCCACATCGCCATCACGCACAACATTACCAACACTACCACTCTGTCCATTCTGGGGATCTGCTGCAAGATCTCGCCCTGCTCGACGCCAGTTGTCCGTGGGAACAGAGGCATTACTTTCAGTGTTAGCGCCACCACGTCCTCGAGCTTCACCACCGCGGTTTCTACCACCAAATCGTCCACGACGACGGCCATATCTTCCTCGTTGCGTTTGAAAACCTGCAGCCATTAGCGTAGTGCTATAAAGGCCTTGTAGCAGCTGATTCCGATAGTGTTGATGGGCACGGCCGCCTCGTCCACGGTTAAAATACGGAGGCATTATAACGCAAAATTCAAACCTTACACAATGGTAAATAAGATTCACAAAGGAAAAGAGATCAATCCGCAAAGAGCAAACCGAAGAACCCAAAATAAATTCAAATGTGTACAGCTGCAAATTGTAATGCGCTGTTTTCAACCACAAGGCTGCAGCATACAGCATACAGATACTGCATCAACCTGCCGTCTCGCGGCGGTTGCGACAGTTCCCGGGGATTTCGGGGATTACTGTTTGTTAATCAGCCTGTCCGGCTGTTTCACATTTCTGCCATAACGAGTTCTAACTGGAACGGCGGGAACGTCTTGGACTTCCGGTTCAGGTAATTCTGGCCTGACGGGAAACTCCTCGATCTCGTCCTCGAAGGTCACGTTGCAGTTTACCACTGTTGACCATTGAATCATGGCACTGCTTTTCGAGATTTTTATTCGTGTTTCGTACACGGTCCACTTCATCTTTGTTTTTGTCATTATAAACGCGCAAATCGAAAATCTCAGTATTCAATTTTTTGACATTTTCTTTGCACTCTTCGTCGTGCTTCTTCATCTTTTCTTCCAAATCATTTATTTTTTCATCTCGTTTCTTCACATCTTCTTTCAAGGCGTCACATCACTTAGTGTATGACACCACGTGTTAGCCTTACAAACTTCATGTGCATTTCTTCCGTTGCATTTAAACCGGCTTTGGCCATTTCTTTCATTTCGCCGAAATCTTTTCATTTTCTATTCTGCTTTCCCATGCCTGAACAGTATTATCAAACTGTTCCTGATCTAAAGCAAATTGCCTCACTGCGGCATGTAACGGATGGATCACGTCCATCGTTTTATTCTGTTCGTCGCTCTGACCGGGAGCCACTGTACTACGCTGAAAGAACGGCTGTGCAGATAGTGGTTCAACCCCACCAGTTGGCACATCTTCATCAATGATACTCACATTCATATCTTTTTCGATATTGGTAGCAGCTGTGTTATCAACTTCCTGCTCCTTATTATGCCACCAAAAGCAAAGGGGAAACAACCTTTTCCACCGTTTCACCAGCATTTTCATACGCATCAGCAGCTGCTGTTTGAACAGCTTGCACTTGCGCATTAAACTTCTGCATAGCAGCTTTATAAGCTTCAACAGTAAACAGTTTCGTAATATTAGTCGGCAGCTCTCTGTGTTCTAACTACACACTCGCCAACCTGTCGGTGGCTTTCCCATTTTGGCTTCATCGTTATCATAGGTAACGAAATCTTTGCCACATATTCCTGATTTTGGAATTGCAACATTCAGTTCGTTAAGAATGCTTCGATTTTAACGCCAATCGGCACGATAAACTTATCCGGTATCAGCTCTGCTGCACCTTTACTGCTTGTCTTGTAAACTTCGGCTGCACTACAGGCTGTGACGCCGTGCTTTTCGAATTATCCATTCTTCAGCTTTTTCACTTTTCACTTCAGTTCTTTGTTCAGCGCTCGTTGCACTGACTTCTTTTGTTTGAACCCGAGAACCGTCTTTGTTTAACCCGGATACGTTAGCTACGCCTTTTGTTCTCCGTGTGTTCGCGTAACACTCACTTTTTACAGCTCAAGCACTGCTCTGGCTGTCCACGCTTTAGCTACGCTCAAGTCATCTACGAAGCGAAGAGACTTCGGATTATGCGAATTTTACTGTCACTCACAAGATGGATGAGCGTACCACGGTTGTGCGGGCGCAGGTTGGCTAGTGCAACGATCTCGTGTCCGTCGGCCACCGCGCACATCATGTTGAAACAGCTGTCCTTCCCGCCGCTGCAACGGTACGTCAGCAGTTAAAATACAGGATCAAAAGAAGAAGATTAAAGATGCGGTCGTGCAGTATCGATACCTGACTAACGCCACAACTCTCATTCTGCCCGGATTAACTGGAGACGGCTTAAGCGCGAGCGATATCTTGCGATCTGAGTATGGGACCGTGAAGTATGGGCTACATTAAAGTTCCGGTAGGCCGAAGATGAGTTTTTCTTTTTATTCGTCAAAAAACTAATAAAATCTCAACAAACTATTTCAAAATTCCGAAAATTTTGCCTGCTAAAACGGCTAAGGGCAACAGGCAAACTGCCACCGTAGGTGGTTGTACGGTAGTTGGATCTTCGTGGGTTATAATTCTTATTTTTAGATTGTTTTTCGAGGATTCTGGATTCAAGACTGTTCCTTGTTATTGAGTTTTTGGTTTTTGTAATTTCTTCAGTATTAAAAATTAGTGAAACGTGATGATGCTAATTATTGATTTATCATCCTCACCATTCCTTGTGCATTTTTGAGTTGTGATTGGATTTATCGTCATCCCGTTTATTTATGGTTGCCAATAACTCGGAGTGCTGGATGCACAGCCCGCACTTCGCAAAATGAATTCGTCAAAGAAACCCGTTTCCTCCATCCGTGCGATCAACGCAGATCCTGAAATACCAGCCGCTTTTCAGGAGAATACTGAGATCTGTAAGTGGGAAGCATTAACTACCTTATGCAATTTGTTTTGTGTGTATGAGTTTTCTCAGAGGAGCAGTTTGTTAGCGTAACCACTAACCAGGGATATGCGATTCTGCGTGAACATCAGCTTTCTAACCTTGTGACGAATCGAATCTGTTGACTGTTGCAGATTGTAAAATCTGCAAACGCCGCTTTACCGGAGAACCGTGCTGGATTCATGCGAAAACCGTCTCCGATCGCGTCGTCACACCGTTGGCCGTCGCCAGTCTGCCCGACGTGCTGTATTTTGAACCCACCGATAACTACCCTCACAGTAAGTTATTTTCTCCTACGTATTCGTAGAACTTATTCTCGCATGTGGTAGATTTACTCCCAGTTTACTAAAAGCTTTCACAGTTGGCAGCTTTTTATGAAAAATTTGATATGTATCATCTATAGCCTTTGTAGACAGGAAGCTTGTGTGAATGCAATAAGATAATTATCATGGAACAGTTTCCCGTCCGAACCTGTCTGTTATTTCTGTTCGTTAAATTTTTTATTTGCCTTTTTTTAAGATTTATTTTTAGTTCAGCTGAATATTTTCACAAGTGCGCTATTCATGTAATTTGGTAGAGCAAAGAAAGTCATTTTGTGACGAAAATTAAGGAAGAAACGCCTGAAAAGGATGGAAATTTTTTCAGAAAATTTGAACACAGTATAAAATTCGTATTACCACGCCGAGCGGTTGCATTTGCTTCAACTGACGGAAGTCCTTGAATTTTTTTCATTTGAGTAGTCGAATTATAGATTTTCTTGGAATATAAAATTAGTCGTATTAGGCTGGGAAGTGGTCCACAGAAATGCAGGTTACTGGGAAAAAAACCGCTGATGTGCATTAGGAGTTGTACGCCTTGAAGCGACCTTATGTGCAAAATAGTACCATTGCAGTGCGAATATTTGTTTTTTAGACAAAGCTGTGCATACGAGCAGATTCCTCCCGATATACACTGTTTTCGGCCCCCTCATCGCTCCCGTGTCTGCATTACCGGACACACACCTGCCCGGTGTGACACCGCTGGACAGCAGCCGCTTCGAGAACGATTACTTCTGCAACTGGATGAAGTATGTGCGCGTAGCCGACGATCCTCGTGACCACAACATCGCCGTCTGTTTCCGCGGAGATGATCTCATGTTTGTCACCACCCGCCCGGTACGCCCGCACGAAGAGCTGAAAATGGGTTATTCGCTGTATGTCAAAAAGACCGTCGATACTGCTCCCGTGGCGGGCATGGAAATCGATTTTGATGCGTTATGTGAGTCACCGGTTCACGAACCTGTTGATGATCAAATTCATTGCGCCGGTGTAGCCCTGGATGTCGGTGAAACTCATCCCGATAATATTCCTGAAATTCCGGAAGCGGATATTTTATCGATTGAGTCTGATGCAGACGTGTCTCATTCCATTCCTCAGGATATTCTGCCTTCTACAAGTAGTGGTGGACCATCTTTTGGACAATCTGCATATGGAGAAGGATCGTCTGAAATTTCTGTTGAAGTGCAGGAGCGCTCTGAATTGTTGAGAACTCCTTGCCCAGATTTGAAACGCGTGACTCAGTTGTCTGTGTCTGCCGAAGCCAATCCTTATCGGCGTCAGTATGTTACTCGAGGAAGACCTTCCAATTCGACGAAACGTGACACTGCCTTGACTGCATCTCGGACTTCTCCGCGTTTTACCAAGTTGCCTGGTGTCGTCAACACTGTTCCTGTAAATCCACAGGAACAAGGAAAAACTACTCTTCCGATTTCTCAAGCCATTAAGGTCATTTCCGTGGCAGCTGCTCCCAAGCCATCTGCGAAAAGGCCTGTAAAAGGTGACAAGCCGGCTGCTAAACGTGCACGAATTGCTACGCCAAAACCGTTGCCAGTAAAGAAAAATCGGATTGTCTTGAAAATTGTTCCGGCCGCAGCAAGCGAATCGGATGAAGAAGCGGTTTCGGAAGTGACCGGTCGTTTGTCGCCTTCCGGTGGTTCCCAGGACTCTACTCCATCGGATAAACCGCAAAAAAAGAAAAAATATGCTTGGCGTAAACCTGACGCAAGAGGCATAGAGCCAGTGGGTAGGAAGTCCCATCGGGTATTCCGGGAAGACTACTATGCGTTTCTTCACCGATACCCATGTCCACATTGCGCGCTCAAATTTTACAGTACCAAGCTTCTGGCCGTACACGAGCATCAGCACAAACCGGAATCAGAGCGCGCCGCTGATGATTTCAGTTTGAAATGTATCGACTGCGACCATGAAGCGGAAGATATGATGGGTTTATCCAAGCACATGGATACCCATGGCAAAGAAGTGGGCGAGATAAATGAAGACACCTTAAATGCGCTTTCCCCGGAACATCGAGCGCATCCGCATTGCTACCTGTATGCATGCGAGAACCAGGATTGTCATCGGTGGTTCTGCACGGAGACGCTGCTGAAGCTGCACCGTCGGGAGCATTATCCGGCGTTGCCGGTGCCGTGCGACTCGCTGCAGTGTTCGTCGTGCGAGTATCTGGCGAAGGATGTGGATGATCTGGCGCGGCATACCACGTCGCATGGAGAGCGCATTACCACGCGGTTGCAGTGTCCGGTCTGCCTGCACGTCGTGGAACGACTGTCCAAGCATGTGCAGAGGAAACACCCCGAGTTTATCCATAAGGTGTCGCGGGATTTTCCTCTCGGCTGTGATCGATGCAATAGCCGGTTCGTGACGCATTACACGCTGGAGAAACACCGGGAATTCTGTGTAAGTTGAGAACTGATTCACTGTTGATGCTTCCAGTTTTTAAAGTTGCCGGTTTTTGTGCATCTGTTTGAGTGGGTAAGAAAAACCCTGTGATATTAATACTTGATTTTGGTTTTATTTTAATCTTTAAGTTTTGACTTTGACATACCCCGGCGCTGGCACGCTTTGTTATTGTTTTATTAAAGGAAATAATTGTTTAACTGAAAAACTGCTGCTGATCCCATTCGTTAATAAAAAACAGCATGTTTTTATTTTTTCAATGTTGATTGTGCCGTTTGTATATGCATTACGAATGTGTATCTCATTTTTGTAATAATACGTACATTTTTGTAATAATATTGTGAGAGATTATTTATGGGTAATAATTTGTTTGCAGAAAAGAAAACTCAACCAGTGCTACATGTGTTCCAAGCAATGCACGTCGCGAGCGGAAGTGATGGAACACATAGAATCTCATGTAATTAACGGAAAGTATCCCTGTCCGAGTTGTGATCTGCTGGCAGTCGCCTACGAAAATGTTACGCGGCATATAAAACGGAGCCATAATGCAGCCGGAGTGCGGGTGTGCGAGATCTGCCAGCTGGTGGTCAAATCGTCGCGCCGGCTGACCGTTCACATGAAAACCCACGATCCGAGCATGGACTTCCTTTGCGATCAGTGCGGTAAACGCTACAACACCGCGGTCAGTCTGCGGCAACACCGGCACTATGTACACGGGGAGAAACTGAAGGCCAAAATCAACCGGAAAAATCAGGAGAAAAAAGAGATGGGAATACCGCTTAAGAAGCTGGCTAAGAATGAATTGGCCTTGGAAGAATACCCGTACCGCTGCGATAAGTGTCAGGTGGGATTGCTCAAGCGGGGATTGCTGAGGCGGCATGTTCAGGATAAGCATAAAGACGCAGTCTCCGACTCCGAGTGATAGGTTTCATTCGTGCTACGGTTGTACTGAAATTTGTTCTGCTTCAGTCATCTGAGGACGATCATATGTTCCTTCATTCGTTGGTCTTGTTTTTATACTCAGCTTATTGTTTGGGTTGAACAATAATTAGGTTTTATTTTGCTTGGTGTTTACTTTAAACGCAGTGTAACCAACTGAAAAAAAACATTACGCTACTTAAGCACGTATAGATATTCCATTTTAATTGCCGTCTCCTTATTTAATGACTTAATTCATCGTTTGTTTTATGTTGATATTTCCATCGTACTTGCGACTAAGTACTTATTAAAACCACGGCAGTTTTGTAAGTATTATTATGCCAAACGGAGATCAGCTTGATTGCTGAACTGGAAAACTTTAAAGTGAGCAACAACTCGTTATTGTGTAAATTTTGCAGTAAGGATAAAGAAATCATAACATACAGGGCATACCCGTCTGCGGTGACGTAGTACGGTAATAGCCAGCATTTTTCGCAGACAACAGTACCCTGGGCGGCTAGCCAGAAGGTTTGCACTATGCAGTGCAGTGTGCGAAATTTTCTCGTGCTCACAATCGTTTTCTCTCGGTTTGCTGATTTTCAGCGAATTCTTCTGCATAAATAGTTTTGTTTTGGTCTGTACTCTCTATTTTTTTCTGTATTGAGGTATGACTATTGAAATGAAATATTTCCAGAGTCATTGTAAGTAGCACGCAGACTGATGTGGTGCTCGTCATGTCTTCATTTTTCCTCTTCAGCGATTTAGACTCACTCACTGTAATCTGGGAGCACTGAGCAGCGTGTTTGTGTACAGATGGTTCGAAGTCCAGGATATTGTGGGATGCTTTACAGCACTTCTCGCACTGCAGTAGATTGCTGGCGTGGTTGAGCTGAGGAGCCTTCATAATTTCATAATCTGAACAGGAATCTCCCAGTTTCGGAGGTATTCACGCTCCTACAAGGATTTTTTTTATGCGCGGCTTTGCCTTTGTGACAAAGGCTTTGTGGCGTGAATAACGTCGATCTCGTTAGTTTTGATCTTGGTCACGACTAGCTCAAGTAAGTGTGCGTAACAAATTAACGAAAATGTGGAGTTTTTGGAGAATTCTGACTTGCGCAGTAGTTGAGCCATAGAAAAGTGTAATTTCATAATTTAAGAGTGTGATTTTAATTTACCTCTCCACCTGCAAAATATATTGTTTAGCTGGTACTGGCAAGAAGAATTTGCTGTCATATCACATCTTGATTTCGTCGACTGTAATTTGGACTGAATTAGGACTGGAGCGATGTCCGATCCCGCAGCTTGTTCCGTGTTGTTGTGTCCTTCTTCGGAGCAGTCGCGTTCCTTGCGCAGCGTGTGTTTCTTCGATTTCCCGCATCCGAACGATCCGCGCTATCCCGTTTGGATTGAACGCACTCTGCGGCCAAAAGAGTGGACTCCGTCTCCGTCCAGCAAAATCTGCAGCAGACACTTTCGTCCATCAGATATCCTTGCATTGCCCCTCGCTGACGGCTCCGGACGAACGGAGAAAAGATTGAAATACGATGCGCTGCCGTGTGTTTTCGAAGGCATTCCCGATTCAATGCGTCCGCAAACACATGTTGTGCCGCGCGCAGACAGCCCCGAAATAGTTCCTTCCACTAACTGTACGTGCGTTTTTTAAAAACTTTATTGTACTCGTTTAAATGTTCCTTTCGTCAAAATGTTCCTTTTGACAATCGAACCTTTTGCTGCTGCATAGCAGCTACCATACAAATTGATAAAAATAATGATCAATATTTATAGCATGTGATAATAGCCCATAGCACTGCTATGCAAAGACATTTTACGTTGTTTTGTTACAGGTTCAAAAAAGCGCTCTGCCGATTGCTTGGACGAAAGCATCTCTGACGAAGCCGAGAAAGAATTTAGCGACTCCCTGAATGCTTCAACCGAAGTCCCCGACGCATCTAAAAATGCACAGTCGAATGTTTCGCTCACAATTCTAACGATCCAATCGAATAACTCTACAAGCGCGAATGTGGCTGGACCTGTTATTTCTGCAGCCACAGTTTCAGGTGCGAAAAAGGCCAAGCTTGTTGTTTCTCCTGCCGTCAGCGCGCCGATACCTATCCCCATTCGCCCCGCTTGTTCGCTGGATACGAAGATTATCGACGGACGACTCACGGTGTTGGAACACTGTGCTAAGCACATTCCCGTGGATTATCCTGCTCGAACGGACGCCGGCGAGGCCCGCAAGTGCTGCGTTCCCGGATGTTCTTTCGGGCGCGATGATAATCCACAGAGAAGAGTTCAATTCCACGCATTTCCCACGGACGAACGCTTCCGAACTGAATGGATCAAGCGGGTGGCGTGTTCCAGTTTCTGGCAGCCCGCCCCGTATTCCGTCGTGTGCAGCGTTCATTTTCTCGAAACGGATTACGGTTTTATTGGTAACCTTTTGTGTCTGAAGCCGACAGCGATCCCGTCGCAACTGGGATGCCGGAACGGATTGATGCGGAAGTTGAATGGACCGTGCCCGTTCAGTCGGGTGTGTGCAATCTGCGGATGCTGGAGAGCGATCAAGCAGACTACCTACTATAAGTCCGCGTCCCAGTTGGCCTTTGTTCCGTTTCCAGAACAAGCGAATGAGCGACTGAAGTGGTTGGCTTTCTGCCGTGAGGTTCCGTGTGCGGGTGAATTCTACGCCTGTGAGCGGCACTTTGCCCTGGCTGACATTCTGGCACGGTTTGAGCAGGATAAAGAAATGAAATTCGAGCTGCAGCGACGTGATGGTATCCTGCCACATCCCAGCCAACTGCTCGTACCGATTCCTCTGCAGAGTCGAGCTCCGTCGCTCATTGCTCCACGACCTTCTCCTTTGAGAGCTCCGTCGCTGATTGCTCCACGACCTTCTCCTTTGACAGCTCCGTCGCTCATTGCTCCACAACCTTCTCCTTCGAATAACACAAACAACAGCCAGAATAAGTCTTTCGCAAATTTTTTGAACGGGGCAGTTCTACAAAGCCGAACGGTTACCGCTACTCCGTCCGCTTTATTGATACATTCAGCTGCATCTTCGGCCAGCCCGGGCGGTTTTTCGTTCTTGGTGGTGCCTAATCAGACCGCAGCTCCGGCTGTTACTGCTCCTCTTGCGCCTCCAGTGACTAAACGGCTGACACTAGACCCTTCAAGAAATGTGCAACCTCAAGTTGCTGTTGCTGCCCAGTCGCATCCGCATCCAGTTCGATTCGAGAAAACCACATGCGGTCAGTGTGGTTTGCGATTCAACACATATTTATCGTACAGTATCCACGAATATGAACATGGAGGCAGAGAATTAGCCGAATATATTAGAAGCAGAACCGCGTGTTCCGATTGTGCAGAAAAATTTGATAGCTTCGACGCTTTGGTGGAGCACGTTAAGATTCACGGAAGACAAACGGAAGAGTGTCCCGTTTGTAAGGGACGTTTTCGCGCGCTGAACGACCATATTCGACGTGATCATCCTGATTGCCAGTACCGATCGAGGAAGAGTCCGGACCGCGTTCGGAAAGATAATCTTCACCGGTGTGGAGAGTGTGGGAAGGTATTCAAAACAGCTTATGCTTTTGACATTCATGCCAAGGTATGTCAGCGAAGTGAAAGCGCATCGTTGGAATTTGATTAACCTGTTCTGTAATCGTTTGTTGCGTTCCATTTGTTTATACAGAAAGATTCTAAAGAGAAATACAGAAATGTTCTAAAGAATTTCTGGTTGTTTCATTGCAGGCTCACCGCGCTAGAGCCTTGTGGGCCACTCTGACGTGTAGCGACTGCGGTCTGCGCTTTAAGACGGATGTCTTATGCCGGTTGCATAAAATCCACCACGGAAATGAAGAATCGACGGAGCTTATTCGTGACACACGAGAATGTCCTGACTGTCATCAAATCTTTGAGAGCCAGGAGGGACTAGTTGAACATGTTAGGGAGCACGGGAAAGCAACCGAAAAATGCGCACTGTCCGAAGAACGGTATATCTCTTTGGCGAACCTTATAATACGTGATCACCAAGCCCAAAATCCACTGAAAGCAGCGGTTTTGGCATGCTGCGTACCGGGATGCCAGAATGTGTGGGAGCCAGAGACACAGATTACACGCGCATCAAAAGTGTTGTTCTTTCGATTCATTGGAGCCGCTCATCCGCGTTTTGAAACTTGGATGCGGCGACTGCGGTACAACTCATCCTGGGTTCCGCATTTTCACGAGAGGGTTTGCAGTGATCATTTTTACGAGTCCGACATCAGATTCAAGAATGGCAAAGCTTCTCTCCTGCTAACAGCGGTACCGAGTCAGTTGTCCTGTATGAGCGCATTATGCGGGTTTACCGCAGCAGATATGGCTACCGGAGCAGTTGGTTGCGCTGTGTGTGGCCTGCGTCCGCCAGCTGACAGACAACCGAAAGCATCAGAGAAGCTGACGTTTTTTCGCGCACCTCCGTCCGCGTTGGATGCATTGCGAAAGAAATGGATAGACTTCTGTAATCAGCAGCGGAACGACATCGACTGGGCATCCATTGGGGCGGATACGCCGTGGTATCTGTGTGAAAACCATTTCGAAATGAGGGACAGAAAAGCGACAGAAAACATTGGCTCCCTCGCTAGTGATACGGAAGCAGTTCCGTCATTATCTTATTTTTTGGACTTGAATTACGCTGACTCAACGCCGACGACATCTGATGGTGATTTGTATGGAAATTCCCTGATGCGCATTGGCACTTTCTGTTGCGTGCCGGGATGTGAAACTATGTTAGAAAAAGGTGTCACCTGGTCAAAAACATTTGTTATGTTTCTTCCACCAGATGATGAACGGTATAATGAATGGCTCCGGATGGTGCGATACAATGCTTCCTGGATTCCCGGGAGTCGTGCGAAAATTTGTCGGCAACACTTCCCTGCATCGGCATTCGAGCTGCGATATCGCAAGAAAGGGTCTCCAAAGTCTGCCTGCCTACTTAATACAGCTTTCCCCACTCAGCTTTCTTGCATGGAATCTTTGTGCACGTTCACACCGGCCGACATGATTGCGGGGAAACAAGGCTGTGCTGTGTGCGGTCTTCGTCCGTTCACGCCCAACCGCCGACTGAAACTCTCGGAGAAGCTGGAGTTCTTCCGGGCACCCTCGGGCGAAATCAGAGAGAAATGGGTTGAATTCTGCACATCACAAAGAATGGATATTGACTGGTCGTTGATTCCGGAGGAAACACCGTGGTATCTATGCGAAAACCATTTCGATGCGCAGAACAAGGCGAAATGTGCTGAACAGACAGCAATCCCTTCCCTTTCGTTTTCCATGTACGTTAATTCCGGAGCTTTAGAAGCTTTTGCTGGTCCAGACGATGAAGGAATCAAAAGTGCAAAGAAAAAAAGAAGGAAGCGTCTTCGTCCGCCTGCTTGCTGTGTGCCGGGATGTCGGATGTTCGCATGGAACGAGCCCCTATCGGCGCCGGTATCCTTTCATTATGTCGGTCAAGGGATCGGGTCTCGGGATGATTGGGCAGATCATATCCGATGTGCCGTTTCATGGAGACCTAAGTCACGCGATACAGTGTGCAGTCGCCATTTCTGCCTTGGAGACTTCCGCGAAACAAGCTCCGACCAACCGCTACAATTCCGAAAATTGAGAGCGAACGTAGTGCCGTCTAAGCTGGATTGTACTGCAGCGTACCGCGCTCCAAAGGATACAGATGCGTTATTAGGAAGGGAAGGTGTCCAGACGTGTTGTGTGTGCGGATGCTGGCGGCCACTGGACAAGACTGACCTAATTCTATCTGAGAGACTGAGCTTCTTTCCCTTTCCGGATGACGAAATCCTACGTGATTCATGGGTGACCTCTTGTCGTCAATGGAATCCCAATTTGACCGTGTCGAAAGAATCGGTTATTTGTGAGAATCATTTCTCGTTGGATGATTTGACATGGCTGCTGGAAGATGGCAAAGAAGCCAGACTGGTGCCGAAGAACAGTGCTATGCCGACATGTGAGAGACTGCCTGTGCCTGTCAGATTAAATACTAACGGTGCTTTTGCAAGCAAGAAAAGTACATCAACTAGCAGCAGGAAGAGTACATCAGCGGCGGCAAATGCTGATCGCATCACCGGCTACAAATGCTGCGTGCCGGGATGTGGGAATCGTGCGCAAGTGGAAGGCAAGTTGGAGAAGATAACCTTTCATGTTTTTCCTGGTCTCTGCGCTTCATCTCGCTTCTGCGAATGGATGAACCGGATTCGTTGCTCGATTTCGTGGACGCCTCACCCGCTCAATCGAGTGTGTAGTAAGCATTTTAGTCCTAAGGATTTTATGGAAGAAACGGCGAAAGGCAGGCAGCCTCGCACTAATCTGTTGAAGAAAGATGTGGTGCCGTCTATATTGCAGTGTGCTGAAAAGTTTCGAAGCCCGATGAATTCGGGTGAATCGGCTGAATTGAATGAAGTACGCACGTGCTGTGTATGTGGATGGTGGCGTGCAGCCGGAGAGAAGAGTATCCAGTCTGAAATTCTGACATTTTTCTCGTTTCCTGCGGAAGATGGTCACCGCGAACAGTGGGTGAACATTTGCCGCGAATGGAATCCCGATTTCGTCTTCTCGGAAGGGTTGTTGGTGTGTGAAAATCATTTTCAGTTGGACGAACTGACGTGGGCGCATGTGAGTAAGGTGAACGGGGAACTGAAACTACGAAGCGGTGCAGTTCCGTCGGAAAGATACCTGCGTCCGCTCAGTTTTGCGGACGATACAAGAGCTCGAGATGACACTGCTGAAATGGTGGCAGGAGTGCCATTCGATGATCTTACTGGGTTGTCTTCGCTTAATCCGGACGCTGATTCGGTGGATGGGGATGATAGCGAAGCTGGCAACGACACCTGCGTATACGAAGAAAGAGACTGCATGTCGGTGGATGAGAATGCATGGAATTACGATGCAACGGCGGATGAAGAGTCGCTCATGGAAACTGACGACCCGAACGTACCCTTAATGGACATCACGATTTCTAAATGTGCTCCTCTGAGGACGACGAGAGTCGCCGAAAATGGTCTTCCGGAAGATGAGAGCTATACTAACGGTAAGGGGGCATTTTGTCGAAGTGCACAAGGATGACGAAGTTTAACGATCTGGTTGGGGAAATGTGAGCATTATTTGGATCTTCTTTCGTTCCAATTTTTAAAAAATTGAGCGATTATAGGCACTTTGTAAATCTCCGCATACATAGTGCGTAATTTTAAGTGGTATGTTGTATTGTTGACGTTTTATGGTTTCAGTCGGCACCTTATTTGACATGCCCTCAGCGCTCCCGTTTAGCACCGACGCGCAAATTGGGATTACTCCCCCTCCTTCGCCCCCGCGATGTGCCCCGGATGATGCTTTAGTGTGTAAGAGCGTACATAGATCCATTTTTTCAGTTGATCCGCTAAATGTCACGGATGTTACGATACTAACGAGTGTCTACACCCATGCTTATAGATTGCGACTGTTGTCACAAATTTCTTCCCACTCCATGTTGGCTACACGCAGCCAGCATTTGTGATGAGCCAGTTGTTCCGTTGGCCGTCGGAAGTTTGCCGAAGATGCTTTACTTGGATGTCTGCGATGATTCGCAAACTGGTAGAAAAATTTTGTCTGCTACTGCCCATCCAGTCCGGTGCCTATAAAGTCATTGAAATGTTTAGGGAAAACAGTATTCACGAAGGAGGTGATTGCCCGGCACACCGTGTTTGGACCGTTAATCGCACCACTGACGCCGGGTAACAGCGAAAAGGCGCTATACTTTTCTGTTACGGAAGAGCAGCGCAGGTATTACGAACTGGAATCTGAATACGCATGCAACTGGATGAAGCATGTCCGGTTCGCGGACAGCCTGCAAAACAGCAACTTGCTGGTGTTCTCGCGCGGATCGGAAGTGGTTTTTGTCACCATCAAGACAATCGCTCCGCACGAAGAACTCAAGGTCTGGTATTCCAAGCAGTACCTGGATATGGTGGAAACGCACGGAAACGCTGCTGCTGAAGATGTTAAACTGGAAATAGACGATGAAGGTAAATATTGTGTCAAGGTAACACTTTAATGGAGAATGCTGTAGAATTTTACGTAACTTGATGTTTTGATGACCTACAGTTGAGGGGACGTCTTTGCCATTCGATGATTATGGCGAATTAGCAGAAACCGCACCTGGAGACCATGAAGTGACTGGAAGTTGTCCATTTGAAGCAGTTTGTGTGGCCCATTTACCAATGGAAAGAGTTTCATCGTTGCCAATGGAAAGCGTGTCATCGTTGCCATTGACAGTAGATGATGATTATCTGCAGAGTGACCAAAGATCTTGTGTACGCTCAAAAACAAATCGAACCAACAAATCGCGAGGTTTTTTCACCAGCAATATTTGTTTGGAATGCAACGTAAGGTTTCGGAGAGAGGATATGCTGCGTTTGCATCAGTTCAGCCACACGGGCTACGATGGGCAGCCTGAACGAGAGTGTCCGGAGTGTTCGAAACATTACGATGATTTTCCTGCTTTACTGAAGCATGTTGACGAGCATGGAACGCCGCTTGTGCAGTGCCCGGTCTGCAGCGAAACGTGCAGTTTAAGCGCGATTTTCATGCATCTACACCGTTATCATCCCGGAATTGAACGGAGAAAGTTGTATTTGAGGAGTTCGATCTGCAATAAGTGCGGCATGCGATTTGGCAGTAATTTTCTTTGTCGGTTACATCAGTTGGGTCATCAGGACCAGGAGTGTATCAACAGCATAAAAATTACGCGAAAATGCCCGGAATGCGGTGAGATGTTCGAGAACCTCGATAAACTGGCGGCGCATGTGGATGTGCACGGAAAGCTAACGAAGAAGTGTCCAGTTTGCAACGGTTATTACCCTGGAATGAAGAGACATATTGCACGCAGCCATCCGCAGTTTTCAGCCGAGAGAACTTGCCCGGAATGTGGGAAACAATTCGCGCACGAATCCTCCTTTGTGCCCCACATGCGGGTTAGTGTTTACCTTCGTTGATGGTCGTTTAGGTGCTTGAGTCAGCTTGACTACATGAAAATACTCTTGTTGTGGTTATAATTTTAGGGCCATCGGATCAGAGCATCTCTGGACAGTTGGACGTGCCGGGAATGTCGACTGCAGTTTCCGAAAGACAGTTTATTTGTCTTGCATAAGAGCAGCCATGATACTGCAGCCTATAACGCAACTGCCGGCGCGCAGAGATGTTCCGAATGCGCGGAAGAGTTTGACGGGATGGATGCACTGCTTGAGCATGTTCTGACGCATGCTGTACCCGCGGAGAACTGTCCCGAATGCGGCCACTGGATCGGCCGCAACCGTTTGCGTAAGCACATGAAGAACCAGCATCCTGCGCGAGCGCTGCCTACCCATATGAAGCGTCACCACTCGGCGCGTGCGCACCGATCTGTTTTACAACAGGACGAGTCGAACGATAGTGCATTCGTTGACAAAGCGCACGATGAGGTACAAAGTAATACTAAAAGGAACCCTATTTCGAAAACTTGTTTTTTTACAGTTTTGATGGTTTTACAGCTTCATAAGAGAACGCCAGTTGAAGCGTTAGCTTGTACTGATTGTGGGTTGCGGTTTCTGACCGAGGATCTCCTCCACATTCACGAATTTAAACACACGAAAATGAAACTTCCATTGGCACTGGACAGTGTCCGGAGTGCAAGAAATCCTTCGCCGTGGCGGATGATCTTGTGGAGCACGTACAAGCACATGCATCAAACACGAGGAAATGTCCATTGTGTGGTCGGTGGCGTGTAAATATGTCTCAGCACCTCAAGCAAAAGCATCCTGAGAATAAGAACGAAACATACCAGTGTCCACAGTGTAGTGAACGCTTTCGGTTACGCCGCCGCTTGGAGCAGCACATGCTGGTGAGTGGTAATGAATACGCATAGTATGAACGTGCCGCTTCTGCTGGTTTGAAATTCTCGGAATAATGCTGTGCATAGTCGTCACTTTGCATTTGACTTTCAAACATAAATTTGCCAATTATTAGTATTAGTTTCACACAGATACTGGATGTATCTGTCTGCTAAAAGCTCTGAGCGAGTTGCAGAAAATCGCCCGTTATTGGAAATGTGTTCAACCGTTGATCTTGTAACCGAGTGCGCGATCAACGATTACATATTTTGCACACTAATATACATAAACTAAATAAAAAATGAGGACTATACTAAAAAATTATTTTATTAAAAAAATTAAAATTATGGCATCTTCGGGAGATTGGAATCTGTATGTAATCAGTTGTGCCGAATATGTAGCGAAAGTTATTGGTTACTGAGAGAAGGGGAAGTAGTCATCTCATAATTGCATTTTAACAGCAGAGACACGGGCAGCAGGTGCGCTTTAGGAAAACCACATGTGCTCAGTGTGGTCTCCGATTCAGCACGGACTTATTATGTCGCATCCATGAATATGGACACGGCGGCAAAGAATTAGCAGACGATCTACGAAACCAAACTACATGCGTTGAATGTGTGGAAGCATTTGACAGCTTCGACGCACTGGTGAAGCACGCCGAGATCCACGGCAGACAAACGGAGGAGTGTCCCGTTTGTAAGGAACGTTTTCAAGCATTGAAGGAGCATATTCGGCGTGATCATCCCGGTTGCCAATACCGTTCCAAGAAGACGTGTGGAGACGGTCCGTATCGGTGTGAAGAATGCGGGAAGGAATTCCAGTCATATATTGCGTTTACCCGTCACGCCAATGTAAGTCAGCTGTCTCGCCAGGTGTTGTTGAAATTCAAATAATATGTTCACTACTGGAATAGTTCGTGTTATTCCTGTTTTTTTGTTTGATCCGGAATTTCCTGTGCTCGATGATTCGGTGTTGATGGTTGCCTTTCTTCTTGCAGGGCCACCGTGCTAAAGCCACACGGGTCGCTCGTACGTGTAGCGAGTGCGGTCTGCGCTTCAAGACCGATATCGAGTGCCGATTGCACAGGATACATCACGGAATCAACGAAGAATCAACGAAGCCGATAAGTGACACACGAGAATGTCCTGAATGCCATCAAAACTATGAAAATCTGGACGAATTAGTTGCACATCTTAGCGAGCACGGGAGAGCGACGGAGAAGTGCCCGGTATGCGGAGAATGGTATGCTGCTTTGACTGTCCATCTCCGAAGGGATCATCCGGATTACCGTCGTAAATATCTTCGGCTTTCGGAACTTGACGATGGAAATGATCACCCGGACGAAGGTTATTCGCACCAGACGTTCACATGCCCGAAATGCAGCATAGAATTCACTTCGAAGAGCGGCTTGACGGCGCATATTTCGGTTTGTGGCTCGGTTGCTCTGGTTTTGCAACATAAAGATTCGGAGGAAACGCCCAAGAAGGTACAACAACAGAAAAATCCAATTCCAGGAAAGTATAATTTACAATTGTTTATTGCATAGTTTCATCCGAGAACGACACCTGAAGCATTGGTGTGTACTAATTGTGGGCTGCGGTTCCTAACCGAGGAGCTTCTCCATCTGCACAAGCATATACATACGAAGGACGAAATTTCATTCAGTACAAGGGAATGTCCTGAGTGCCGGAAATTGTTTGCCGTGGCGGATGAACTTGTGGAGCACGTCGCAGAACATGCGACAGTTGCAAGGAAGTGTCTGGTTTGTGGCCAGTGGCGAGTGAATATGAGTCAACATTTCAGAAGTCAGCATCCCGGATACGAGAAGGAACGCATGCTGGTACGTGGTCATGAATCCTTCTTACACGATCATACGGAGTATCGGCTGTCCAGTATTTTTTTTTCAGAAATTATATCTTACATCGTCCTCCCTTTCTGTCTAACTTTAACGAAGAAATGTGACAGTTACAATCATTTACAAATGTCTTCTACGAGTATCGTAGTCTTCTGATGGTTGAGAAAAGTCAGAGTAATGATGTGTTGTCATGATAGTGATGTGTTATCATGAGTTATCTTGACTGCAGCCGCAGGCACACGGACGCCAGCTGCGTTTCAAGAAAACCACGTGTGTTCAGTGTGGCTTGCGATTCAGCACGGACTTATTGTGCCTCATCCACGAGTACGAACACGGCCGCAAAAATTTAGCCGAAGATATACGACGCACAACCACATGTGATGAATGTGCAGAGGAATTTGAGGACTTCGACAAACTGGTGAAGCACGTCAAATTACACGGCCGGCAGACGAAGGAGTGTCCCGTTTGTAAGGGACGCTTTCATGCATTGAACTACCATATTCGGGCTTTTCATCCCGATTGCCAGTACCGGTGGAAGAATACTCGTAGAGACGGTCTGTATCGGTGTGAAGAATGCGGGAAGGAGTTCGAGTCATTTACCGTTTATGCGCCTCATGTCACTGTATGTCAGCTATCTCACAAAGCTTCATTGCAATTGAATATTATGTGTATGTGATATTCGGACAAAAAAAAACCAGGAACGATAAAAACTACTACTGTGCCAGTTTGTTTTATTCATGTTTTTCTTTTTTTGTGCTTGGAGATTCGGAGTTGATGGTTGTGTTTGTTTTTGCAGAGCCACCGCGCTAAAGCCGCACTGGTCGCTCGTACGTGTAGCGAGTGCGGTCTGCGCTTCAAGACCGATATCCTGTCTCGCTTGCACAGAATGCAGCACGGAAACGAGGAATCAGCGGAGCTGATCTGTGACACACGAGAATGTCCTGAATGTCACCAAAAGTTTGAACATCTGGAGGAACTGGTTGCACACATTAGTGAGCATGGAAGAGCGACGCAACAATGTCCAGTGTGCGGAGACTGGTACGCTTCGTTGGCTGAACACATCCAACGTTATCATCCGGATTACCACCGTAGACGTCTTAACCTGACGTGCAGCGAGTGCGGACTGCGATTTACAAACGATTTGTTGTGCCGGTTGCATGAAGTATCCCACGGGAAATTGGAAATAGCGGAGGATATCCGTAACACTCGAGAATGCCCGCAAGGCGACGGAATTTTCCAAGAGCTTGATCAATTGGTGGAACATGTTGCCGGACATGGAAAGCCAACCGAAAAATGCCCGGTTTGCGGTCAGTCGTATGCCTGGTTGAAGGAGCACATCCGCCGTGATCATAAAGAACATTACGCGGAATTTGTCGCACAAGGAAAATTAAATTGTGACACGCCCAAGACGAAAGAATGTACCGGGTATCGATGCGAGAAATGTGGAAAGCAGCTTCCCACGCATACCAACTTGGATTCGCACATGGGGGTGCGTGTTTTTAATAAGGCGCTGTTTATTTTAAGCTACAGGATATTAAATTCTCATTTTTCAGAGACATCGTGCCAACGAACTCATGTACGACTCTGTGACTTGCAACGAATGCGGACTGCGATTTGGAAGTGCGCTGCTGTGTCAGCTTCACAAGTTGCAGCATGACAGCGACGGATGCAGCGATGAGGAGTTGAAGAACACCAAATCGTGTCCCGAATGTGAAGAAGAATTCCAAGAAGTAGGATTGTTGGGTGCTCACGTTGCTGTACATGGCAAAGCGACCAGGAAATGTCCGGACTGCAGTCGTTGGTTCAGTGATCTCCGACACCACATGCGGCGCGAACACCCGGAGTCTTTTAAGGAATTTGTTGCCCAGCTGCAGCGTACTGGCGCAAAAGTTCCGGCTAAAGCCGTATCCGATGTATCGAAACGAAAAGAAACTCCACAGAAAGGCTACTGTTGTACAGAATGTTCGAGACGTTTTGAAAATTTCGGTAGTTTTAAGCGACATATGCAGGTAAGAGTTTTCGGGTGGTTGTGGGGAATTTGTGTAAGGTTTTTGTGAGAATTCTATTTATGTTTTATTATAGAGTCATGGCGAGGAAGACCCGTCCGATATTGTGACTTGCGACATGTGCGGTTTGCGCTTTATGAACGAACACATGTGTGAGCTGCATAAAGTGAGCCACGGATTATTTAGCAAAAACCTGCAAAACACGGAAAAATGTCCAGAATGTGGTGGGAATTTTGAACACCTGCAGGCGATGGCAGAGCATGTTGGCACCCACGGAGTGCAGGCGGAGCAGTGTTCGGTGTGCAATAAGTGGTTCGCTTCACTGCGACATCATGCGCGACAGTGTCGTAATCACGACGATCACCGTGACCGCTTCGAATCGTCAGATGATGCCGCAACGAACACGTCGGCATCTCCCAAAACTGGAGACTGGAAGAAAAGCTTTGAATGTCAGGAATGCGGGAAAGAATTTCGTTTGCGTGCCGGTTTGCAGTCTCACATGAAGGTTGGTTCTTGTCGGACTTCTTCTTCTGGATAAACGGATTGATTCAGTTATCCATAATTTGTTCGCTGCTTTGCAGACTGATCACGCGGCACTGAAATGTGTGGTTTGTGACAAAGTGTTCGGGAGCGATACTGATCTGCAGCAGCATATGCTCTCTCACAGCAACAAAAATCAACTGAAATGCGGAATCTGCAAGAAAACATTCCAGTCATCGCGTATCTTTGCGGCGCATGTCAGAGAGCATGAAAATGGGAAATTACCTGAACCCGTTGTAGAAGAAGCTGTGCCTAAGGAATGCGTAGTATGCCGGAAGCAGTTTGCGGATTTCCTTTTGCTGAATCAGCACGTGAAGAAGCACAATGTTAACGGTGGATTTGAGTGCGCGATGTGTAATGAAACGTTTCCCTTCTATCATTTATTGTCTCGCCATGTGATGGAGAAACAGCATTTTCGTCCCAAAATCGGCATCCCGTGCAGCGTGTGCGATGAAGAGTTGCCCGACGAAAACGCGTTACAGCTGCATTTATTTACCCATCACGATGCCGAGTTGACAGTCAAGTGTTATCTGTGCGCGGAACGATTCACGTGCAACGACGATCTCGACGTGCACACTGCTGCCGCGCATACAACGCTGGATGGGGATGATTCCGAAATGGAGATGGATGAGGAGGTTGGCCGGGAATGTTATCAGGAACTGATGGCAGGATTGAGCGACGACAGCAACGAATAGTCAGCAGGACTTACTGATCCGGAATTGTAATGGCGTCAGTTTAGTGGCTTTTGTTTGAAATCCGTAAGCATCGATATTGACGTCGGCTGTATTTTGATATTTTTGTAATAAATACTATTTTGTGATATCATGAGTGTGCATTAGCGATAACTGTTGTCTGTTTAAGGCGCAATTCAAGTATTGCGTAACGGAAATTTTCAACTTTTTTGACCACCCCCCCACCCTTTTGTGACCTTTATCCATGTATTACTTATGGGCGGGTAACGCCCCCACCCCCTGAGCCGTTACGTAATACTTGAATCGCGCCTTATTGATGGTTTATTGATACTTGTATTGATGTATGTGCAATTTCGAGTTTTTGGTTTGAGTTCGCGCTTCAGGGATTCTGTTAATCAATCGTTGCTTTTGTTTTTGCTAGGCTAAGGCAGCTTTTTTTTGTAATAAAGTCGGATTGTTAAATCTCACTTGAAGAAATGTAGTTTAATGTACAACATATTTCACAGAACAAACAGCATTACCGCTTATTTCTGGGCTATATCATAATCGTACCTTCTCCCTGGTGAGGCAGCTGCCTAGCAAAAGCTAATAAACAGCTGCACTTATTGCAGTAGCCAGTAAGTTTTAACGCATTTTTTTAGCACTGTATCTGTGCTAAGTGTGCTTCTATGATCTATCATTCTGATTCAAGTTTGTTCGAAAAAAAGATCTCGCGCAACTGAGTTTTTGAAAGATCTCGCGCATTTGGAGGATGTCAGTATTTCTTATGTTGCAGTTATTGCAGTTTATTACGAGCACAAATATGAGTTTCGTTTTTAGCCTACTAGTTTGAGTGTCACGTAGATTGTGATGTGGTGCTGCAGCTGCTGGTGGACTAGTGCTCGTTAGTTTCCCTCAGTGATCTCAGCTGTGAGAAACATGTTTCCTCAAATGATTCCAGGATATTTTGGGACGCTGTCAGCGCTGCTCGTAGCGGACAGATTGCTCCATAGCTGAGTAGCCGTGGAACAGAAATCTGCCAGTTTCGAAATATTGGCTCCATTGTCGCTTTGCTACGTGCTTCGCTTACTGTCATCTCCAGGTTGGTGTTGGTCTTTCTGGTCTCGGCTAGTTTAAGTGGGGCTCTCCGTACGAATTAACGAAATTGTGGAATTTTGGCACAATTTGGCCTAGGCAGCAGTCAGTCAGCCTAGCTCGGCTAGGCTGCCCAGGCAATACTCAGCAAAAGTGTAATTTATGCAGAAAAACTGCCCACCTGATAAAATTTGTGAGGTTGTCCAATCGCTCGTGTGCTTACGACTTTCAATAAAGTTTGATGATATCGTTGTCACATTGTGATTGATTTTAATTCTTTTAGTTGATTTGAAATTAATTTTGATTGATTGATTTTTCATTAATTTTTAAATAATTTTTAATTCTGATTTTGTAGGCTAGAGCGATGTCCGATCCTGCAGCGTGCTGCGTGTTGTTGTGTCCTTCGTCGGAGCAGTCGCGTTCCTTGCGCAGCGTGTGCTTCTTCGATTTCCCGCATCCCACTGATCCGCGCTATCCCCTTTGGATTGAGCGCACTCTGCGTCCGAAAGACTGGACTCCGTCTCCGACCAGCAAGATCTGCAGCAAACACTTTCGTTCAACGGATATCCTCACATTGCGCCACGCGGATGGCTCCGGACGAGCGGAGAAGCGATTGAAATACGATGCGCTGCCGAGTGTTTTCGAAGGCATTCCGGATTCCATGCGTCCGCAGACACATGTTGTGCCGCGCGCAGACAGCCCGGAGATTGTTCCGACCACTAACTGTAAGTGCTTATTCCAAGAACTGTATTGTACTCGTGTAAATGTTCCTTCCGTTAAAATGACTTGACTGTCGAACGTTATGCTGCTGCACAGTAGCTAGCAAAAAGTTGATGAAGTAATGATCAATATTTAGAGGAAGAAAATTTCATATTTTAATGTAAAATTCAATGTTCAAGCGGATTTCAGTGTTGAAGCAAATTAATATTTCTCTAATTAGAACGTTGAAGTCATGACAGCTTGATTTTGAACGTGGTTAGACAAAAATATCGTGTATTCCTAACAGTGATGATTTAGTTTACGCCAAGAAAAATATTTTATCTTGTCTTGAAAATGGTATTATAGCTTGGCAGGTGAAAAAAATAGATCTTTTCATTACATTACGCCTTATTCACTAAATTGTTGTAACACCATTAGGCGTTACTTACAAATAGTTCGGTAAAGCAACCGATTCGTTGACGATGTTTTCATCATCGGAATATTGAAGGATATTTTTTTGTTTCAGGTTCGAAGAAGCGTTCTGCCGATTGTTTGGACGAAAACTTGTGTAACGAAGCCCAGAAAGAATCTAGTGACTCCCTCAATGCTTCTATCGAAGAGGCGGAGGTATCCACAAAGGCGCAGTCGAATTTTTCCCACCCAAACGATGACCCTTCAAGCGTGAGTGCGACCGGACCGCTTTGTCCGTCAGCCTCGATTCCACGTGCAAAAAAAGCCAGACATGATTTTTCACCTGTCGTCTTCCAGTCAAACCCAACCCAGCTGCGATCCACGTGTTCGTTAGCGTATAAAATCGCCGGCGGACAACTTACCGTGTTGGAGAACTGCGCTCAACACGTTTCTGTGGATTATCCTGCTGCCACGGACGCCGACGAGGCCCGCAAGTGCTGCGTTCCAGGATGTTCTAACGGGCGGGATGATAATCTGCAAGGGAGAATTCATTTTCACGCATTTCCCACAGATAAGCGCTTCCAGACCGAATGGATCAAGCGGGTGGCGTTTTCCAGTTTCTGGCAGCCGGCTCCGTATTCCGTCGTTTGCAGCGTCCATTTTCTCAACACGGATTACGGTTTTATTGGCAGGATTTTGTGCCTGAAACCGACAGCGATCCCGTCGCAATTGGGTTGCCGGAACGGACTGATGCGAAAGCTGAATGGACCGTGTCCGTTCAGTCGGATGTGCGCCATTTGCGGGTGCTGGAGAGGATCAAGCAGACCACCTACTACAAGTCCGCGTCCCGGTTGGCCTTTGTTCCGTTTCCAGAAGAAGGGAATGAACGACTGAAATGGCTGGCTTTGTGCCGTAACGTTTCTTGTGCGGGTGAACTATACGCCTGTGAACGACACTTTGCCCTGGCTGACATTCTGGCACGGTTTGAGCAGGATAGGGAAATGAAATTCGAGCTGCAGCGACGTGATGGTATTCTGCCGCATCCCCACCAGCTACTCGTACCGTTGCCTTTGCAAAATCGAGCTCCGTCGCTCATTGCTCCACGACCTTCCCTTTCGAATGACACCAGCAACAGCCAGAATAAGCCAGGTTCTTTGAATGGAGCAATTGTACAAGGTCGAACGGTTACCGCTACTCCGTCAGCTTTATTGATACATACAGTAGCGTCTTCGGCGACCCCGGGCGGTTTTTCGTTCTTGGTAATGCCTAATCAGAATGCGCTTCCGGTTGTTGCTTCTCCAATAGCGGCTGAACCGGACTGGCCGGGTAACCGTTGGTCCTTTAAGGAATGGACCACCTCCAGCTGCTACTGCTGACAAGTCACTCTTACCAGCGCATGCACACCAGGTGCGTTTCGAGAAAACCACATGTGGTCAGTGTGGTTTGCGATTCAACACATATTTATTGTACCGCATTCATGGATACGAACACGGAGGCAAAGAATTAGCCGACGATATTAGAAGTAGAACCGCGTGTTCTGAATGTGCAGAAAATTTTGATAGCTTCGACGCACTGGTGGAGCACGTTAAGATTCATGGAAGACAGACGGAGGAGTGTCCAGTTTGTAAGGGACGTTTTCGTGCACTGAACGACCATATTCGACGTGATCATCCTGATTGCCAGTACCGATCGAGGAAGAGTCCGGACCGCGTTCGGAAAGATAATCTTCACCGGTGTGGAGAGTGTGGGAAGGTATTCAAAACAGCTGATGCTTTTGTCGTTCATGCCAAGGTATGTCAGCAAAGTGGAAGCGCATCGTTGGAATTTTGATTAACTTGTTTTATAATCGTTTACTGCATTCCATTTGTTTATACAGAAATATTCTAGAGAGAAATACAGAAATGTTCCAAAGAATTTTTGGTTGTTTCGTTTCAGGCGCACCGCGCTAAAGCCTTGTGGGCCACTCTGACGTGTAGCGACTGCGGTCTGCGCTTTAAAACGGATGTCTTATGCCGGCTGCACAAAATCCACCACGGAAATGAAGAATCAACGGAGCTTACTCGTGACGCTCGAGAATGTCCTGAATGTCATCAAATCTTTGAGAGCCGGGAGGGACTAGTTGAACATGTTAGCGAGCATGGGAAAGCAACCGAAAAATGCGCACTGTGCGAAGAACGGTATATCTCTTTGGTGAACCACATAAGACGTGATCACCAAGCCCAAAATCCACTGAAAGCGGCGGTTTTGGCATGCTGCGTACCCGGATGTCAGAATGTGTGCGAGTCGGATACGCCGAATGCAAGTACAGCGAAAGTGCCGTTCTTCCGGTTCGTTGGATCAGCTGATCCGCGGTATGAAACTTGGATGCGGCGACTGCGGTACAATTCATCGTGGGTGCCGCATTTTAACGAAAGGATTTGCAGTGATCATTTTCTCGAGTCCGAGATCAAATTTAGGAAGGACAGTGCTTGGCTCGTAAGGACAGCCGTACCCAGTCAGCTGTCGTGCATGAGCGCATTATGTGGACTAACTGCAGCAGAAATGGCTTCCGGAGCGATCGGTTGTGCTGTGTGTGGCTTGCGTCCGTCATCTGACCCACAACCGAAACCCTCCGACAAGCTGACGTTTTTTCGCGCGCCTTCTACTGCGTCTGGTGAATTAAGAAAGAAATGGGTGGATTACTGCAATCAGCAGCGCACGGACATCGATTGGGCATCCATCGGGGCGGATACACCGTGGTATGTCTGCGAAAACCATTTCGAGTGGAAGTACAGAAAAGCGGCGCAAGACGTTGGCTCTGTCGCCAGTGATAGTGAAGCAGTTCCGTCATTGTCCTTTTCCCTGGACATCAACTATGTTGGCTCAAATCTGACGAGTCCTAGTTCGCATGTGCGCGCAAATCTTGTGATGCGTAAAGGCAATTTCTGTTGCGTGCCGGGATGTGAAACTATTTTAAAAAAGGGGGATTCCGTGGTAGGAAAATTTTTCGATTTTCTTCCACCAGCAGATGAACGGTATGAGGAATGGCTGCGGATGGTGCGATACAATTCTTCCTGGATTCCAAAGGGCCGTGCCAGAATTTGTTGGGATCACTTTCCCGCATCGGAAATTAGGCGCGGGACTGCGGGGTCTAATCCACAGACCCGCTTACGCGTTACAGCTTTTCCCACTCAACTGTCCTGCATGGAATCGTTATGCACATTCTCTCCGGCAGAGATGATGGCAGGAAAGGAAGGTTGTGCTGTATGTGGTCTGCGCCCGTTTGTACCAAATCGACGACCGAAAGTCTCGGAGAAGCTGGAATTCTTCCGGGCACCGTCTGGCGAAATTAGAGAGAAATGGATTAATTTTTGCAAATCGCAGAGGACGGATATTGAATGGAGTTCGATTTCGGAGAAAACACCGTGGTTCCTCTGCGAGAATCATTTTGATGCGCAGAACAAAGCGGAATATGCGGCGCAGACAGCGACTCCTTCCCTTCCGTTTTCCATGTACGTCAATTCTAGAGATTCAGAATCTACCGCAACTGCACGGCGCGAGCGAGCTGAAATGCAAGAAAGAAAAATGAAGAGAAAATTCCAGCCGCTTGGGTGTTGTGTACCGGGCTGTCGGAAATTCGCATGGAACGACACACCATCGGCACCGGTATCCCTTCATTGTATCCGGCAAGGGATGGTGGGTCGAGAAGATTGGGTAAATCATATCCGTTGTTCTGTGTCATGGAGTCCTAAACCACGCGATGCAATATGCAGTCGACATTTCTGCCCGGAAGATTTCGTCGAACTATCTGCCGACCAACCGGCCAAAGCCAGAAGGTTGAGAGCAAACGTTGTGCCGTCTCGGCTGGAGTGTGCTGAAGAGTACCGCGCTCCAATTAATAGTCATCCGTTAGTGGGACATGATAATGTTCAGACGTGCTGTGTATGTGGATGCTGGCGGCCAGTGGACGAGGCGGGTCTTATTCCGTCTGAGAGACTGAGCTTCTTTCCCTTTCCGGATGACGAAATCCTACGTGATTCGTGGGTAACTGCGTGTCGCCAGTGGAATCCCAGTTTGACTATGTCGAAAGAATCTGTTATTTGTGAAAATCATTTCTCGTTGGAGGATTTAACAAGCCTGCTGGAAGACGGCAAAGAAGCTAGACTGATGCCGAAGAGCGGTGCCATTCCAACATGTGAGAGGCTGTCTGTGTCTGTTAGAGTAAATACCAACGCACCAGTTAGAACGAGCAGCAACAGTGCTGGTCTTGGTTACTCTGGGTATAAATGCTGCGTGCCGGGATGTGGGATTCGTGCGCAAGTTGAAGGCAAATCGGAGAAGATAACCTTTCATGTTTTTCCTGGTCTCGGCACTTCATCCCGCTTTTGCGAGTGGATGAACCGGATTCGCTGTGCAATTTCTTGGAAACCTGATCGGCACTCCCGAGTGTGTAGTAAGCATTTTCGTCCAGAAGATTTTGTGCAGGAAACGGCGAGAGGAAAACAGCCGCGCACTAATCTGTTAAAGAAAGATGTCGTGCCGTCAGTATTGCAGTGTGTCGAAAAGTTCCGAAGCCCGATCGGTTTAAGTACATCGGCTGAGACGCAGGAAGTGCGCGTGTGCTGTGTGTGTGGTTGGTGGCGCAGTACCCACGAAAGATTTGTCCGAGCAGAAGTACTGACGTTTTTCTCGTTTCCTTCGGATGATGATGTGCGCGTGAAGTGGATAAATGTTTGCCGCGAATGGAATCCCGAATTCGTATTTTCGGAAGGGTTGCTGGTGTGTGAAAATCATTTTCATTTGGACGAATTAACGTGGGTGAATGTGAACCAGCTGAACAAGGAGGTAAAATTGCGAAGCGATGCAGTTCCGTCGACGAGATGTTTGCGTCCGCTAAGCGCTGTAGACGATACAAATGCGCGAGATGATGCTGCTCAAATGGCAGCAGGAGTGCCGTTTGATGATCTTGCTGGACTGTCTCCTTTTGATCTGCATCCGGACGCTGATACGGCGGATGAGGATGAAAGCGAAGCTGGCAGTGATTTTTACGCCGAAAGAAACGCTATGTCGGCAGATGAGAGCGCATGGGATTATGATGCAGCGGAAGACGATGATTCGCTCATGAAAGATGATAATACCGACGTATCCGTAACCGACATTGCAAATTCCATTTGCGCTCCTTTGAGAACGCCAATGGCTGCCGAAAATGGTCTTCCGGAGGACGAGGATTTTACTCGTGGTATGTGGATATGTGATACATATTGCGTTTTATTAATATCTTTTTGTCTACATTTGTGTGTATTCTTGGGTTATATGATTTCAGTTGGCGCCGTTCATGATATGCCATCGGCACTGCCGTTCACCATAGAAGAGGCAATGGAGATTACACCTCCTTCTTCGCCCCCACGATATGCCCTGGATGATGCTTTGATGTGTAAGGATGATTGACTGAACAGCGTTTGTTCTCTTAATAGTCAACGGGTCATTGCAGACTGTGACTGCTGTCACAAATTCCTTTCCACTCCGTGTTGGCTGCATGCAGCCAGCGTCTGCGATGAACCAGTTGTTCCGTTGTCCGTCGGAAGCTTGCCCAAGATGCTCTACCTGGATGTTTGCGACGATTCGCTGACTGGTAAACTATCTCATCTTTCCCGTATGAATTCATGCCGCCACCTGGGTAATCATTAATTCGTTTAGGAAAAGCTGTCTTCACGAAGGAAGTGATTGCCCGCCACACGGTGTTTGGACCGTTAATTGCTCCTGTGACGCCGGGCGATAGTGAGAAAGCGCTGTATTTTAGTATTACGGAAGAGCTACGTAGATATTACGAACTGGAGTCGGATTACGCCTGCAACTGGATGAAGCATGTCCGCTTTGCGGACAGCCTGCAAAGCAGCAATTTGCTGGTGTTTTCGCGCGGATCGCAAGTGGTCTTTGTCACCATCAAAACCGTCGCTCCTCACGAAGAACTAAAAGTCTGGTATTCCAGGCAGTACTTGGAAATGGTGGAAGCGCTTAAAAGCACTGCTGTGGAAGCCACCATACTGAAAACGGAGGATGACGGTACAAATTTAGCCTGGAAATGCTTTAGTTAAGAGAAGTATTTTGGGATTTTGCTGAGCAGTATTTTTTTGCAGTTGATGGGACTTGTTGCGATGATTATGACGAAATGGCAGATGCCGTACCTGGGAGCGAGGAAGTGCCAGGAAATTCCTCAGTGGGAGCTGTTTGTATGTCGCGTTTGCCGATGGAAAGCGAGTCATCGCTGCCAGTGACTGTAGATGATGATTACCGGCAGACTGACGGAAGATCTGGTGGACGGCCAAAGACATTGCGTTCGAAACCGAAACGAATGAGCAAAGCGCGGACATTTTTCACCAGCAATATTTGTTTGGAATGCAACGTAAGGTTTCGGAGAGAGGATATGCTGCGTTTGCACCAATTGGGTCACACGGGTTACGATGACCAGCCAGAACGAGAGTGTCCTGAATGCTCGAAGCACTTCGACGAATTTTCCGCTCTACTGAAACATGTAGACGAGCATGGAACGCCGCTCGTGGAGTGCCCGGTCTGCAGTGAGACCTGCAGTTTGAGCGCTATACTCGTGCATCTACACCGCTACCATCCCGGATTTGAAAGAAGAGGATTGTATCTGAGACGTTTGAACTGCGATAAGTGCGGCATGCGATTTGCCAATAATTTCCTCTATCGGTTACATCAGCTAGGTCATCAGGACCAAGAGTGTGTCGACAGTATAAAAATCACGCGAAAATGTCCCGAATGCGATGAAATGTTCGAAAGACTGGAAAAGTTAGCGGAGCACGTGAATGTGCACGGAAAACACACAAAGAAATGCCCAGTATGCAACGGCTATTACGCTGGAATGAAGAAACATATTGCACGTAATCATCCGCAGTACTTGCCCGAAACATGTTGCCCGAAATGTAGGAAAGAATGCACGAATGAATCCTCCTTACTGCGCCACCTGCGGGTTCGTTTGTACATTCAGTAATGGAAGTTAAATACATGACTACGTTCCCGTATTTCCAACGTGGTTTTACTTTTAGAGCCATCGGGTAAGAGCATCTATGGATAACTTGACGTGTCAGGAATGTCGACTGCAGTTTCCGAAAGACAGTTTATATGTCATTCACAAGACCAGCCATGACTCTGCAGCCTATCACGTTATTTCGGGCGCGGAAAAGTGCCCTGAATGTGACAAAGAGTTCGACGGGATGGTTGCACTGTTGGAGCACGTTGTTAGTCATGCTGTAGCAGCGGAGAAATGCCCAGAATGCAACCATTGGTTCGGCCGCCACCGTTTGCGTAAGCACATGAAGAACCATCATCCTGCGCGAGCGCATAAGGCTGTTTTGCAACAGAAAGATTCGGAGGAAACGCCCAAGAAGGTACTACAACAGAGAAACCAAATTCCAAAAAATATAATTTGCAATTGTTTATTGTATAGATTCATCCGAAAACGACACCTGAAGCATTAGTGTGTACTGATTGTGGGCTGCGGTTCCTTACCGAAGATCTCCTCCATCTTCACAAGCATATACATACAAAGGATGAAATTTCAGTCAGCACAAGAGAATGTCCCGAGTGCCGGAAATTGTTTGCCACGGCGGATGAACTTGTGGAGCACGTCGCAGAACATGCATCAGTTGCAAGGAAGTGTCCGGTTTGTGGTCGGTGGCGAACGAATATGAGTCAACACCTCAAAAATCAGCATCCCGGATACAAGAAGGAGCACAAACACGTGCCGGTACGTGGCCGTGAATCCTTCTAACACGATCATACGTCATATCTGCTGTCCATAATTTTGAGAAATAATTATCGTACATCGTCCTCACTTTTACGAAGGAATGTTATTATTATTATTACGGCACAAGAGCAGACAACCCAAACGAGACTTCAAGGCTAGTCGAACAAAAACGTTTTTAAATGCAATGTAAAGAATTAAGAGAGATCCACAGACTTGAGTACGAACTTAAAGGCAGGTACAGAACTGGCATCAAGAATTTTAGGGTTAACAGCAATAATTTTATCAAGCAGACGCTTTAAACGCATTTCCATCGATTACTTTCATGGCCCGGGCAACTTCGATCCGTGCCGGCTTCCGTAAATTATAGCGCATGGTGTTATCTTTTACTTTAACCATATCCAGGAGGTAGGCAGGAAGCGGTAAAGAATATCCGACCGATGGCGTCAGAGCGATGCGGTGTGGCTGTTCAAGATCTGGAACAAAAATCAATTCCCGCTTCCGGCCTGCCTCCTGGATATCCAGTTAGGCCAGTTAGTTAGATATCCAGTTAGCATCCACGAGTATGAACACGGGGGCAAAAAATTAGACGAAGATATACGACGCACAACTACGTGTGCTGAATGTGCAGAGGAATTTGAGGTCTTTGACGCACTGGTGAAACACGTCCGAATTCACTGCTGGCAGACGGAGGAGTGCCTGGTTTGTAAGGGACGTTTTCATGCATTGAACGAACATATTCGACTTTATCATCCCGATTGCCAGTACCGGTTGAAGAAAACTCGTAGAGACGGTCCGTATTGTGAAGAATGCGAGAAGGAGTTCGAATCACTTACCGTTTTTACGCGTCATGTCACTGTATGTCAGCTAGCTCACAAAGCTTCATTGATATGGAACATTATGTGTGCGTAATATTCGCACAAAAAAATAGGAATAATAAAAATTGCTACTGTGTTAGACTGCTTTATTCCTGTTTTTTTGTTTGACCCGGAATTTCTTGTACTCGAAGATTCGGAGTTGACGGTTGTGTTTCTCCTTGCAGAGTCACCGCGCTAAAGCCGCACTGGTCGCTCGTACGTGTAGCGAGTGCGGTCTGCGCTTCAAGACCGATATCCTGTCTCGATTGCACAGAATGCTACACGGAAACGAAGAATCAACGGAGCTGATTCGTGACACACGAGAATGTCCTGAATGCCACCAAAACTTCGAACATCTGGAGGAATTGGTTGCACACATTAGTGAGCACGGAAGAGCGACGCAACAATGTCCAGTGTGCGGAGACTGGTTTGCTGCGTTGGCTGAACACATCCGACATTATCATCCGGATTACCGCCGTCTTAGGCCAGTGAAATACGGGAATCTGACGTGCAGCGAATGCGGCCTGCGATTCACAAGCGATTTGTCATGCCGGTTGCATGCAACATCCCACGGGAAAGCGGACGTAGCGGAGGATATTCGTGAAATCCGAGAATGTCCACAATGCGATGAAGGTTTTAAAGAACTGAATGAATTGGTTGAACACGTTATCGGGCACGGGAAACCAACCGAGAAATGTCCAGTCTGCGGAGAGTGGTACGCGGCATTGCAGAACCATACCCGACGCGATCATCCGGATTACCACTATCAAGTGGAACCTGACAATGAGAATGATCGCTCAGATGAAGATAACGCAAATCAAACGTACAGATGTCCAAAATGCAGCAGAAATTTAAGTTCAAAGATTAGCTTGGCGACGCATATTTCGGTTCGTTTCGAATTACTAGTTTGCCGACTCTTGCAGACAGGTATTATCTACCGGTAGTTTCGCTGTTTTTTAGAAGCATCGAGTGTACGAAGCGAAGTACGGAAACTTGACCTGCAGCGAGTGCGGACTGCGATTTACAAACGATTTGTTGTGCCGGTTGCATGAAGTATCCCACGGGAAATTGGAAATAGCGGAGGATATCCGTAACACTCGAGAATGCCCGCAAGGCGATGGAATATTCCAAGAACTGGATCAGTTGGTGGAACATGTTGCCGGACATGGAAAGCCAACGGAAAAATGCCCGGTTTGCGGAGAGTGGTACGGCGCGCTGAAAAGTCACAGCAGACGTGAACATCCGGATTACCACTATCAGCTGTTAAAAGATGACAATGAAAACGACCGCTTGGATGCCGGGCTGGTCGACTCGTATAAGTGCCCGAAATGCAGCAAAGAATTCACTTCACACATCAGCTTGAAGGCGCATATTTCGGTTGGTTTTTCTATTGCTCTTATTCACATTCAGCATTCTTGCAGTTGTTGATCTGGCTGTTTCAGAATCATCGGGTGAACGAAGTGAAATACTGGAATCTGACGTGCAGCGAGTGTGGTTTGCGTTTCGGGAGTGAAGCCCTGTGCGATTTGCATCGTCTGCAGCATAAAGAGAAGGACGACTCGAGTAGTCTTGAGGAGGATGTGGATGGTTGTCCGCAGTGCGGTGAATCCTTCCAACAAGTCGTCGAACTGGTGGAGCATGTGGCTTCGCACGGAAGACGCACGGACAAATGCCCGGTGTGCGGTCAGTGGTATGCCGCCCTGAAGGAGCACATCCGCCGTGATCATAAAGAACATTACGCGGAATTTGTCGCACAAGAAAAATTAAATTGTGACACACCCAAGACGAAAGAAGGTAGCGGGTATCGATGCGAGAAATGTGGGAAACTGCTTCCCACGCGTACCAGCTTCGATTCGCACATGAGGGTGGGTGTTTTTAATAAGGCGCTGTTTATTTAAAGCTGCAGGATATTAAATTCTTATTTTTCAGGGACATCGTGCGAACGAACTCATGTACGACTCTGTGACTTGCATCGAGTGCGGACTGCGATTTGGAAGTGCGCTGCTGTGTCAGCTGCACAGGTTGCAGCATGGCAGCGAAGGATGCAGCGATGAGGAGTTGAGCAACACCAAATCCTGTCCCGAATGTGAGGAAGAATTCGAAGAATTAGAACTGTTGGTCGATCACGTTACCGCACATAGCAAAGCGACCAGCAAATGTGCCGTCTGCAGTCGTTGGTTCAGTGATCTCCGACACCACGTGCGGCGCGAACACCCGGAGTCTTTTGAGGATTTTGTTACTCAGTTGCAGCGTTCTGGAGCAAAAGTCCCGGCTAAAGCCGTATCTGATGGATCGGAGCGAAAAGAGACTCCACAGAAAGGCTACTGTTGTCCAGAATGCTCCAGAAGTTTTGAGAATTTCGGTAGTTTTAAGCGACATTTGCAGGTAAGAGTTTTCGGGTGGTTGTAGGGAATGTGTGTAAGGTTTTTGAAAAAATTCTAATTTTGTGTTATTGTAGAGTCACGGCGTGGAAAATCCGTCCGATATTGTGACTTGCGACATGTGCGGTTTACGCTTTACTAACGAACACCTGTGTGAGCTACATAAAGTGAGCCACGGATTATTCAGCAAAAACCTGGAAAACACGGGAAAATGTCCAGAGTGTGGAGGGAATTTTCAGCAGCTGCAGGCGCTGGCACAGCATCTTGGCACCCACGGAGTGCAGACGGAGCAGTGTTCGGTGTGCAACAAGTGGTTCGCTTCACTGCGACATCATGCGCCACAGTGTCGTAGTCACGCCGATCGCCATGACCGCTCCGAATCGTCAGATGATGCCGGAACGAACACGTCGGCATCTACCAAAACTGGAGACTGGAAGAAAAGCTTTGAATGTCAGGAATGCGGGAAAGAATTTCGTTTGCGTGCTGGTTTGCAGGCGCACATGAAGGTTGGTTCTTGTCGGAGTTTTTCTTTCGGATAATCGGATTGATTCAGTTATCCATAATTTGTTCGCTGCTTTTTCAGACTGATCACGCGGCACTGAAATGTGTGGTTTGTGACAAAGTGTTCGGGAGCCATACTGATCTGCAGCAGCATATGCTCGCTCACAGCAACAGAAATCAACTGAAATGCGGAATCTGCAAGAAAACATTCCAGTCGTCGCGTATCTTTGCGGCGCATGTCAAAGAGCATGAAAATGGGAAATTATCGGAACCTGTTGCAGAAGAACCTGTGCCTAATGAATGCGTAGTGTGCCGGAAGTCATTTGCGGATTTTCTTGAGCTGAATCAGCATGTGAAGAAGCACAATGTTAACGGTGGATTTGATTGCGCGATGTGTAATGAAACATTTCCCTTCTATCATTTATTGTCTTGCCATGTGATGGAGAAACAGCATTTTCGTCCCAATATCGGCATCCGGTGCAGCGTGTGCGATGAAGAGTTGCCCGACGAAAGCGCGTTACAGCTGCATTTATTTACGCACCACGATGCGGAGTTGACAGTCAAGTGTTACCTGTGCGCGGAACGTTTCACTTGTAACGATGATCTCGACGTGCACATTGCTGCAGCGCACGCAACGGCGAATGGGGATGATTCCGAAATGGAGATGGATGAGGATGAGGAAGTGGGTCGGGAATGTTATCAGGAACTGATGGCAGGGTTAAGCGACGACAGCAACGAATAATCAGCAGGACTTACTGATCCGAAATTGTAATGGCGACAATTTAGTGACTTTGGTTTGGAATCCGTAAGCATGGATATTGACGTCGGCTTGTGTTTTGTTATTTTTGTATTAAATACTATTTTGTGATAGCATGAATGTAAGTAAATTAGTGATTACTGTCATTGCTGGTTTCTTTTATATATGATAATTGCTTCGTTGGAGTTATCGGTTTCAGTTCGCATTTCAGGGATTCTTTTAATCAGTCGTTGCTATTGTTTTTTATATGCTAAGGCATCGTATTGTTTTGTTTAATAAAGAAGACGCTGTTGGTTTGTCACTAAGAAATGCAAAGGAATTTCACAAGGAAAAAACAAAGTACTACCGCTTATTTCTACACTACGTTAACCACGCCACCCGCCCGGTGAGGCAGGCTGCACAGTGTAAGCTAAAAACAGCTGTAGCAACAACTGCATTCCTTCCATTTATTTTGCACTGCACTTCTATTTTTTGTTCGGACTGTTCGATGAGTTTTTGAAAGTTCTCGCGCATTTTCACGATTTCACTATTTCTCATGTTGCAGTTATTGCATTTATACTACGAGTATGAATTTCAGTTTTAGCCTACCAGTGTGAGTGTTACGTAGATTTTGATGGAGTGCTGCAGCTGCTGCTGGACGAATACTCGTTTCATCTCCGTTTCCCCTCTGCTGTGAGGAGCATGTTTTCCTCAAATGATTCCACGGTATTTTGGGACGCTGTCACCACTACTCGTAGTGGACAGATTGCTCCCTAGTTGATTAGCTGTTGGGCAGGAATCTCCCAGTTTCGAAATATTGACTCGAGGATTGGCTCCACTGCAGATTTGCTGCGTGAAGAACTCTCGTCTCTAAGGTTGGTATTGGATTTTCTGGTCACGGCTAGCATAAGCAGGAGCTGCAGGACTCCGTATAAATTTAAAAAAATTGCGGAATTTTTATACAATTTGAGTTTGGCAGCCGCTGTAGTCAAGGCCTTTAAGAGTGTCACTTGTCACTTTGTGCAGTAAATGCGGTCTGCCCACCAAACGAAAAATACAGTATACTTGGGCCCTTGGCCTATCGTTCGTCTGCTTTAAAACTGGCAACGAGAATATGCTATCATTGTCACGTTGTGATTGACTTTAATTTCCTTGATTGATTTGATGTTAATTTTAATTCATTGGTTTTTCGTCGATTGTAATTTGTACTGTTTTAGGCAGGAGCGATGTCCGATCCGGTAACATGCGCCGTGCTGTTATGTCCTTCGGCGGAGCAGTCGCGTTCTTTACGGAGTGTGTGTTTCTTCGATTTCCCGCATCCGAACGATCCGCGCTATCCCGTCTGGATTGAGCGCACTCTGCGATCAGAAGACTGGACTCCGTCTTCATCCAGCAAGATCTGCAGCAAACACTTTCGTTCGACCGATATCATCGCGTTGCCGCACGCAGATGATTCCAAACGAACGGAGAAGCGGCTGAAATACGATGCGCTGCCGTGTGTTTTCGAAGGCATCCCCGATTCCATGCGTCCACCAGCCGATGTGGTGCCGCGCGCTGACAGCCCCGAAATTATTCTGGCTGGTCAGAGTAAGTGCGGATTCCAGCAGTTTTTTTTGTTGACATGATCCATAATCAAATGATAGACGAATTCTGTTTTGAATAATCCGGAAATAAAAATTATTTGAAAATTGAAAATAAAATTTCAGTAGGGAAGCAATTTGTCAACCAAGGCATTTCCGATTCTATGCGACCGCCAACCGATGTGGTGCCGCGCCCCGACAGCCCCGAAATCGTTCCGACCACTAACTGTAAGTGTCACTGTGTTAGTGCTTCTCAAAAATTTTAATTGTTGGTTAATCCCGTCTGCTAAAATTACATGAGCTAGCCAGATTCTGTTTTAATGATTCTGGGTTTTCCAATAAAATAAAAGATTAGTACTGAAGTAGGGACGAAAACTATCTAAAATGGCTTTTAGCTTGTACAAGTTGTCAATAAAGCAGCATCTACCAGGTGAGCGAAGTGACGACCACGTAGTACGATGTTGTTTGTGAATGTTAAATTAGGACGATGAAAGCTTGGCAGTTTGATTTTGCATTTTGTTATTTGTTTTCTGACAACATTCTGCTGCATCCTTAACAGTGGAAATATTGACTTCACTGATGGTGAGCGGTATATTTTCGTGCTCTGTAAATTGGTATGATACCGTAGTTAGAGCGGTTCCTAACCTTTTCATAAACATTTTAACACATACATTGAGATTTTTTCAGTTGCAGATTGATTTGCAAAATATGTCATGCGATAGCTCATAACACTGCTTTGCAAAGACGTTTTACGTTGTTTTGTTTCAGGTTCAAAGAAGCGGTCTGCCGATTGCATGGACGACAACATCTGTGATGAAACTCAGAAAGAATCCAGTGACCTCCTGAATGCCTCAACCGAAGTCGCCGAGGCACCCACAAATGCGCATTTGAATGTTTCACTCACAGATCCAGCAATCCTATCGAATAACTCTACAGGTGCGAATGCCCCCGGACCTGTTTTTTCGGCAGCCGCAGTTTCAGGCGCGAAAAGGACCAGACTTCTTCCTCCTCCTGTCGTCTGCGCGCCGAAAACAATCCCCATTCGACCCCCGTGTTCGTTAGCCCGGAAGTTCGTCGACGGACGACTAACAGGGGTGCAGCACTGCTCGCAGCACATACCCGTGGATTATCCTGCTCCCACGGGCGCCGACGAGGCCCTCAGGTGCTGTGTTCCTGGATGTCTTAACCGGCGCGATAATAATCCGCAAGGGAGAATCTATTTTCACGCGTTTCCCACGGACAAGCGCTTCCAGACCGAATGGATCAAGCGGGTTGCGTTTTCTAGCTTTTGGCAGCCGGCTGCGCATTCCGTTGTGTGCAGCGTCCATTTTCTCAGCTCGGATTACGGTTTTATTGGTAGCATTTTGTGTCTGAAACCGACAGCGATTCCGTCACGGTTGGGATGCCGGAACGGACTGATGCGGAAGTTGAATGGACCGTGCCCGTTCAGTCGGGTGTGTGCCATCTGCGGGTGTTGGAGAGCCATCAAGCAGGACTCCTACTACAAATCCGCGTCGCGAATGGCGTTTATTCCGTTTCCTGAAGAACCGAGCGAGCGACAGAAATGGTTGACGGCCTGTAATGGAGTTTCGTGTGAGGGTCAATTATATGCCTGCGAGCGGCACTTTGTCCTGGCTGACATTCTGGCACGCTTTGAGCAGGACAGAGAAATGAAATTCGAACTGCAACGACGTGACGATATCCTGCCACATCCCAGCTTCCCTGTTTTTATTCCGTTCCCTCTGGAAAAGCGAGCGCCGACAATGTCCGGTAGCACACAGGTTGCCATTGGTCCACTTTCTTCACCTACGAATAGCTCCAACAGCAGCAAAAATCCCTTGAATGGGGCCGTTCTACAGAACCCGACGGTTGCAAATACTCCATTTTCTTTAGTGATACGGTCAGCAAAGCATTCTACCAGTCCGGAAGGTTACAGAATCTTACTGATGCCTAAGCAGATTGCACTTCCGGCTGTTGCTTCTCCGACTGCGCTTCCTCCGGTTGGTCCTTCGAGGGAAGCTTTTGTTCGAACCAATCCATCAATACCAATGAAGCCATCCCAGCTGCCGACATGCAGTGAATGTGGTATGCGCTTCGGCGCAGACATACAGTATTGTGCCGTATCCACGAGTATGAGCACGGAAACATGGCAGTATCTGACGATCTGATAAGCACAACCGCGTGCGCTGCATGTGCAGCAAAATTTGACAGCTTCGCCGCGTTGGTACAGCATGTGAAGATTCACGGTAGACAAACGGAGGAATGTCCCGTTTGTCAGCGACGTTTCTATGCATTGAAGGACCATATCCGTCGTCATCATCCGTCGCAAGTGAATGCAGCATGTTGTGTACCGGGATGCCGGATCGTCCGCCAAGAGTCGTCACAAACAGCCAAAGTGTTGTTCTTTCCGTTCGTTGGGGCAACTGATCCGCGGTATAAAACGTGGACACAGCGATTGCGCTACAACTCATCCTGGGCTCCCGATTTTGACGAGAGAATCTGCAGTGATCACTTTCACCAGTCCGAAATCGAATCCGACAAGAACGGCTCTCGTCTCACAAGAACAGCTCTGCCCAGTCAGCTGTCGTGCGTGACTTCATTAAGCGGGTTTACCGCAGCAGATATGGCTTCCGGAGCAGTTGGGTGTGCCGTGTGTGGCTTGCGTCCGCCAGGTGATAGACTACCGAAAGCATCAGAAAAGCTGCAGTTTTTTCGCGCGCCTCGTGCCGAGTCGGAAACCTTAAGGCAGAAATGGGTGGAGTTCTGCAGTCAGCAGCGCAGTGATATCGACTGGACATCCATCGGGGCAGATATGCCGTGGTACCTGTGTGAAAACCATTTTGAGGAGAAATACAAAAACGATGTGGAAGGGCTGGGCTCCGTTGGTGAAGCAGTTCCGTCCTTGACTTATTCCTTGGACGTTAACTACACCGACCCGAAGCTGACGGCATCTCACTCACTGATGCGTGAAGGCATTTTCTGCTGCGTGCCGGGATGTGAAGCTGCTTTAGAAAAGGGGTATTCGGTGGTAGGAAAGTTTTTCTGTTTCCTTCCACCAGCAGATGAGCGGTATGATGAGTGGTTGCGGATGGTGAGGTATAATTCTTCCTGGAATCCCGAGGGTCGTACCAGAATTTGTCGGGAACACTTTCCTGCATCGGTAATCAAGCACCGCATGAGGGATTCCAAACCAGCTGTGCGTCTACTTAGATCTGCTTTCCCCACGCAGCTTTCCTGCATGGAATCTTTGTGCACATTCACACCGGCCGACATGATTGCGGGAAAACAAGGTTGTGCTGTGTGCGGTCTGCGCCCGTTTGAACCAAATCGAAGACTGAAAGCCTCGGAGAAACTGGAGTTCTTTCGGGCACCATCGGGTGAAATCAAAGAGAAATGGATTGATTTTTGCAAGTCGCAAAGGAATGATATTGACTGGATTTCGATCCCGGAAGAAACACCGTGGTTCCTCTGTGAAAATCATTTTGATGCGCAGAACAAGGCGAAATATGCTGCGCAGAAAGCGATTCCTTCCCTTCCGTTTTTCAAGTATGCCAGTGCGAGAGATTTGGAATCTAATCCAGGTAAGAAGGAAGAAATTAAGCGACGTCAATCTGTTTGCTGTGTGCCGGGATGTCGGAAATTCCCATGGGACGAAACGCCTCCGGCTGTGTTTGGATACTTCAAGTGGTCAAAGGTGAATCGGAATGAATGGACGAATCGTATCCGGTGTTCCCTTTCATGGAGTCCTAAGAAAAGCGATCATGTGTGTAGTCGCCATTTCTGTCCGGAAGATCTTTGCAGCACAACTTCCGATCAATCGGTAAAAGCCCCGAGGTTGAGAGTGAACGCAATGCCGTCTCAGCTGGATTGCACTGAACAGTACCGCGCTCCAAAAAATGCAGATACGCTAGTGGGAAGGGAAGCTGTACAGACGTGCTGTGTGTGTGGATGTTGGCGGCCACTGGACGAGACTTGTCTTATTCCTTCCGAGAGGCTGAGCTTCTTTCCTTTTCCGGATGACGATATCCTACGTAATTCATGGATAACTGCTTGTCGCCAGTGGAATCCCAGTTTGACGGTGTCGAATGAATGTGTTATTTGTGAAAATCATTTCATGATGGATAATTTGACGCGGCTGTTGGAGGATGACAGTGAAACCGGGTTGGTACCGAAGAGCGACGCGATTCCAACGGAAAGGACATTTGCTGAGCTGCCTGTCAGGTTAAATAAACGCGGCACAGCTGTGCGAAGCAATAACAGCAAGCCAAGGGAACGCTACAGCGCCAACAAGTGCTGCGTACCGGGATGTGGGAATCGTGCGCAGTTTGAGGGCAAAAAGGAGAAGATAACTTTTCATATGTTCCCGAGCCTTGGCACATCGCCCCGCTTTTGTGAATGGTTGAACCGGATTCGCTGTGCGATTTCCTGGAAACCTGATCGACATAGTCGAGTGTGTAGTAAGCATTTCTGTTCACAGGATTTTATGGAGGAGACATTAAAAGGAAAACAACCGCGCACTAATCTGCTGAAGAGAGATGCGGTGCCGTCTCTGCTACAGTGCGTTGAAAAGTTTCGCAGCCCGATGGATTTGAGTGAACCGGTTGAGGTCAGTGCAGTACGCAGTTGCTGTGTGTGTGGCTGGTGGCGCAGTGCTCACAAGAAACTTGTCCGATCGGAAGTACTGACGTTGTTCCCTTTTCCTTCGGATGGTGAGCAGCGCGAACGCTGGGTGAATATGTGCCGCGAATGGAATCCCGATTTCGAACTCTCAGATGGATCATTGGTGTGTGAAAATCATTTTCAGTTAGACGAATTGTCTTGGGTAGTGGAAAATAAGTCGAACATGGAGCTCAAATTGCGAAGCGATGCAGTTCCGTCGGAGAGATGTCTTCGTACGATGAACGCTGCAGACAATCCGAGCACGCGCGGCCACACTGCTGATGTATTGGCAGGATTACCGGTTGATGATCTCTCTGGACTTCCTTCGTTTGATCCCGACGCAGATACGGTGCGGGAGGATGAAAGTGAAGTTGGCAGTGGCGCTGGGGTCTGTGAAGAAAGAGATGTTGTGTTGGTGGAGGAGAGCGCTTGGGATTTCGATGCCAGGGAGGGTGAGGGTTCGCTCATGGAAGTTGAGGATGCTGACGCACCTTTAATGGACATCACAAACTCCGTATGGACATCACCAACACCTTTGAGAACGTGATACGTGTGATACGTGTAGAATTTCCAATACGTGTGATACGTGTAGAATTTTGCCGTTTGTGATACGTGTAGAATTTCCAAAATATAACAGACTCACAACTGACAACAACGCATAACATGTTTAGTTATGAATGACACTGGTTAAAAAAGACAAAAACATAAAATTAAATCAACATGAAAATTAGTTACTAATTCTGAGACTACTCGAATTAATTTTGTAAATGTTATTTTCTGATGAATGATGTAGCACGAGACTTATATTGCAGGATTGAGTTATGTTACCTTGTGGACGTTTTATGGTTTCAGTTGGCACCCTGTATGACATGTCATTAGCGCTGTCGGTTACGACAGAAGATTCAGTGGAGATTGCTCCTCCGTCGCCCCAGCGATGTGCTCCGGATGACGTGTTAATGTGTAAAACGAACTGCTGATCCCTTTCTTGTTATAAATGAATAATAATAGGCACCTGGTCATTTTAGACTGTGACTGCTGTCATAAATTCCTCCCTACTCCGTGTTGGCTGCACGCTGCCAGTGTCTGTGATGAGCCAGTTATTCCGTTGTCCGTCGGCAGTTTGCCCAAGATGCTCTACTTGGATGTTTGCGACGATTCGTTAACAGGTAAATTGGCTGACTTTCGCTCGCGTTTTCAAGCACATACATAACTGATTAATTCGTTTAGGGAAAGCTGTGTTTGCCAAGGAAGTCATTGTCCGTCACACGGTGTTTGGGCCGTTAATTGCGCCGTTAATGCCGGGTAACAGCGAGAAGGCGTTGTATATTTGTATTACGGAGGAGCACCGTAAATATTACGAACTTGAGTCGGATTACGCGTGTAACTGGATGAAGCATGTCCGCTTTGCGGACAACCTGCAAAACAGCAATTTGCTGGTGTTCTCGCGCGGATCGCAAGTGGTCTTTGTCACCATTAAGACAGTGTCGCCGCACGAAGAACTGAAGGTCTGGTATTCCAAACAGTACCTGGATATGGTGGACACGCCGGTAAACGCTGCTGTTGTGGACTTTCAACTGAAAATGGAGGATGAAGGTGAATATTTTGTCAAGCGAACGGTATTCGATTTGGCTTAGATAACGTGTTTCTGCAGTAAAGGGAACTTTTTTACCATCTGATGATTACGCCGAAGTGGCAGACGCAGTACCGAGGAACAGTAAAGTGACCGGAAGTTCCCCAGTGGAAGCTGTTTGTGTTTCTCATTTGCCGATGGAAAGCGGGTCATCGTTGCCAGTGACTGTGGACGCTGATTACCGACAGACTGACGAAGGCTTTCGTGTACGCTCGAAACCCAGGCGAACAAGAAAAACGGAAAATTTTTATACCAGCAATATATGCTCGGAGTGCAATATGAGATTTCGGAAGGAAGATATGCTGCGTTTGCATCAGTTCAGTCACACGGGCTACGATGAACAGCCTGAACGAGAGTGTCCTGAATGCTCGAAACATTTCGACGGTTTTCCCGCTTTACTAAAGCATGTCGACGAGCATGGTACACCGCTTGTGCAGTGCCCGGTCTGCAATGACACGTGCAGTTTGGGCGTTATCCTCGTGCATCTTCGCCGCTACCATCCCGGAGTCGAAAGAGGAAAGCTATATGAGAAGCGTTTGAATTGTGATAAATGCGGTATGCGATTTTCCTATAACTTCCTCTACCGTTTACACCAGCTGGGTCATCAGGACAAGGAGTGTGTCGACAGCATAAAAATTTCGCGAAAATGTCCGGAATGCGGTGACATGTTCGAAAACTTGGAAGAATTGGCGGAGCACGTGGATGTGCACGGAAAGCTAATGAAGAAATGTCCAGTGTGCAACGGCTATTACCCTGGCATGGAGAAACATATTGCACGTGATCATCCGCAGTATTTGGCCGAAACACGTTGCCCGGAATGTGGGAAAGAATGCGCGAATGAATCGTCCTTACTGCACCACCTGCAGGTTCGTTTGTACATTCATCGAGGGTCGTTAAATACTTGACTACGTTTACATATTCCTAACGTGGTTATACTTTTAGGGTCATCAGATGAGAGCATCTTTAGATAGCTTGACATGTGACGAATGCAGACTGCAATTTGCGAAAGACAGTTTATACGTCCTGCACAAGAGCAGTCATGAAACTCCAGCCTGTCACGCTATTTCCGGCGCGCAAAAGTGCCCTGAATGCGACGAAGAGTGTGACGGCATGGGTGCACTGCTGGAGCATGTTGTCAAGCATGCTGTCGCCGCGCAGAAATGCCCCGAATGCTACCATTGGTTCCCCCGCCACCGTCTGCGTTTTCACATAAAGCGTCACAAATCGGCGCATCATTCTGTGTTACAAGAGAAAGAGTCAGTGAAAAGACCAAATTTGGCTGCGTTGACTTGTGCTGATTGTGGACTGCGGTTTTCTACCGTCGAGCTTGTCCATTTGCACAAGAATAAGCATTTGGAAGATAAGATTTCCGTCAGCACCAGACAATGTCCTGAATGTAGTAGATCGTTTGCCGTCGCGGACGACCTTGTGAAGCACGTTGAAGAACACGCGACTATTACGAGGAAATGTCCAGTGTGTGGTGTGTGGCGTGCACAAATGAGTCAGCACCTCGCTCAAAAGCATCCTGGGTACAAGGACGAAACACAGTACAAATGTCCACAGTGCAATCAACGCTTCCGGTTACGCCGCCGCTTGGAAGAACATATGCTGGTGCGTGATGATGAATTCATACGAGATTTGCCACTTCTGATGATATACTAATTTTAAAGTTATTGCTTCAAAGTCCTCACTTGGGGTTCAACTTGCAAACACAAAAAGCTTTATTCTCACAAAGTCTATCCAGTACAAGTTATGGGCCGGTTAAACGCACGCTGTTGCAATTGTGATCATTTGTTCAACTTGTAACGGCGTGTGCGATCGGTGTGTATTATCTGCGCATTAAAATGTGAAACTAAAAAGCAAAATGAGTTTTTATTTTTGTAATTTTTCCACACCTAATAGGAAATTGGAACATGCGTTCTGTTTTTTTTTTCAAAACATATAGCGAAAGTGATAGGTTGTTGAGAAATGTCGAAGCGGGGATACTTGTTCTAATGATCGCATTTTAATTTCAGAGGCACGGACAGCAGGGCCGTTTCCGGAAAACCACATGTACTCAGTGTGGTTTGCGTTTCAGCACCAAATTATTGTGTCGCATCCATGAATACGAGCACGGAGACAAAGAATTATCAGACGATCTGCCAAACCAAACTACATGTGCTGAATGTGCGGAAGAATTGGAAGGTTTCGATGCATTGGTGAAGCACGTCAGAATACACGGCCGGCAGACGGAGGAATGCCCGGTTTGTATGGGACGTTTTCATGCGCTGAACGAACATATTCGGTATCATCATCCCGGCTGCCAGTACCGGGTGAGGAAGAACTATACATTTTCTACGGAAGACAATTCTTACCGGTGTGGAGAATGCGGGAAGGAATTCAAGTCCGGTGTCGGTCTAACCGCGCATGTCAATGTATGTCAACTGGTTTCGAAGGGTTTTTCGTTTCGATTAATTTGTTCGTTTATTTTGTTCGATCGCATGAATACTGTTCGAACGAATAGTATTTACGAATCAGTGTTTTCGGGCATTCTGCAGTTAAGTTGATGGGTGCTTCGTTGCAGAGCCACGTCACGAAAGCTTTACTGACCGCTCGAACGTGTAGCGATTGCGGTCTGCGATTCAAGACAGATATCGGATGCCGACTGCACACAGTGCGTCATGGAAATGTAGAATTAACGGAGACCATGCGTGACACACGACGGTGTCCTGAATGCCGTCGGAACTTTGAAAGACTGGAGGAATTGCTGGACCACATTAGCAATCACGGGAGATCAACGGAAAAATGCCCGGTGTGCGGAGACTGGTATGCTGCTTTGACTGTTCACATCCGGCGTGACCATCCAGATTTCCTCCCCAAAAATGCTATTACACCACGAAAATCTACGAGCGACGGCTTGAATGCTGATGATGCCATCGACGATGTCTGCAAATGTCCAGATTGCGGCAAAGAGTTTAATTCACGCACCAGTTTTAACAAGCATGTTGTGGTATGTGCAGTGGCTACTGGTAGTTATTCGCGTATGAAAAATAAAGTATGAACTTGTAGGCAGTTAAAAATTTACGTGGTTCACATTTTTAGAATCACCGGACAACCGACAAGCTCAAAACTCTGACGTGCAGCGAGTGCGGTCTGCGATTTACAAGCGATGTGTTGTGCCGGTTGCATGAGGTCTGCCATGGCAAAGTAGAGGTGTCGGAGGCTGCTCGTGCCACTCGAGATTGCCCGGAATGCGATAAAGTCTTTGCAGAACTTAATGAATTGGTGGAACATGTGGCACTGCATGGAAGACACACGGATAAATGTCCGGTGTGCGGACAATGGTATGCCTCGCTGAAAGAACACATTCGCCGTGACCATAATGAACATTTCGCGGAATTCGTCGCTCAAGAGAAACTAAACTGCGCCACGTCCAAGTCGAAGGAACGTGGTGGATATCGGTGCGGGAAATGTGGAAAAGAACTTCCCACGCGTAACAGCTACGATTTACATATGAAGGCGGGTGTTTTTTATATTACTAAACTGTTCGTTTTCAGCCACATGAAACTAATTTTCAGGCTCATCGTTTCAACGAAGTTACTACTGTTGCATTTGTAGAGTCATCGGTTGAAAGAAATGAAATACGGGCATCTGACGTGTAGCGACTGCGGACTGCGGTTTGGAAGTGAATCCTTATGCAATTTGCATCGGATGCAGCATGCTGATAAGGACAATTTGACCGATCGTCAGGTGGATGTGGATGATTGTCCGCAGTGCGGTGAATCCTTCCAAGAAGTTAAAGAACTGGTGGAACATGTGGCATTACATGGAAGACGCACGGATAAATGCCCGGTGTGCGGTCAGTGGTACGCCGCGTTGAAGGAGCACATCCGTCGTGATCATAATGAACATTACACGGAATTCGTCGCTCAAGAAAAATCAACTAGCGACACGCCCAAGACGAAGAAACACGGTGAATATCGTTGCGAGAAATGTGGAAAGCTGCTTCCCACGCGTACCAGCTACGATTTTCATACGAAGGTGGGTGTTTTTTTCAGTGCGGTGTTGATTTTGAGCTGCAGGAGGATATCCATTTCAGGCTCATCGTTCCAACGAAGTGACGTACAATTCTGTGACTTGCAACGATTGCGGATTGCGATTTAGAAGCGGGTTGCTGTGTCAGCTGCACAAATTGCAGCATGCCAGCGACGGATGCAGCAACGAGGAATTAAAAAACACAAAATCCTGCCCCGAATGTGAAGAAGAATTCCAAGGAGTCGCATTGTTGGGTGCTCACGTTGCTGTACATGGCAAAGCGACCAGCAAATGCCCGGTGTGCAGTCGTTGGTACGGTGCTCTCCGATTCCACGTGCGGCGCGAACATCCAGAACATTTTTTGAAATATACCGCACAGTTAAATGCCAATCGCGTACAAGTCCCGGCTAAAGCCGTATCTGATGAATCGAAGCGAAAAGAGACTCCACGGAAAGGCTATCGTTGTCCGAAATGTTCCAAGAGTATTGAGAATTTCAGTGCTTTCACGTGCCACATGCAGCAGGTTAGTGTATTTATGTGAGAAAATTTGTTTGGCATTGTTTAATGAATTTAATAATGCTTGCTTTTAGAGTCATGGCGTGGAAGAGCCAGCCGGCATTGGGACGTGCGACATGTGCGGTTTGCGGTTTCTGAGCGAACAGCTTTGTGAACTGCATAAAGTACAGCACGGATTATTTAGCAAAAATCTACAGTGCACAGGAAAATGTCCCGAGTGTGGAGGGAAATTTCAGCAGTTGCAAGCGTTGGCAGAGCATGTTGCCACGCACGGAGTGCAGACGGAGAAATGTTATGTATGCAACAAGTGGTTCGCTTCACTGCGTCAACATGCTCCACGATGTTTTAACCGCGCCGTTGTCCATGACCGTTCCGAATTTTCACCGTTGGTTGATTCCCTTGCGAAAGCGTCGTCACCTCGAAAAACTGGACACAGAAAGAGATACTTTAAATGTCAAGAATGCATTAAGGAATTTCGTTCGCGGGATTTTTTGCAAGCGCACATGAAGGTTGGTTTTGTTTTTCCTTTCAGTGGATTGAGGGCTTCGGTAATCATAATTTGTTTGTTGTTTTTCAGGCTGATCACGCGGCACCGAAATGCGTGGTTTGCGACGAAGTTTTGGGTAGCGTTGATGATCGGCACCAACATATGCTCACTCACAGCACAACAAACGATCTGAAATGTGGCATCTGCAAGAAAACATTCCAGTCATCGCGTAGTTTTGCGGCGCATGTGAAAAAGCATGCAAATGGGAAATTATGTGAACCCATTGCAGAAGAATTTGCGCCTGATGAATGTGTGGTGTGCCGGAAGTCATTTGCGGATTTTCTTCAGCTGAATCAGCACGTGAAAAAGCATAACCTTCATGGTGGATTTGAATGCGCGATGTGTGCTGAAAGGTTTCCTTTCTATTATTTATTGTCCCGCCATGTGATGGAGAAACAGCATTGGCGTCCGAAAATCGGCATCCCTTGCAGTGTCTGCCATGAAGAGTTGCCCAACGAAAACGCCTTGCAGTTGCATTTATTTACGCACCACGATGCGGAGTTGACAGTCAAATGTTGTTGGTGCGCGGAACGGTTCACGTGCAACGATGATCTCGACGTGCACATTGCTGCGGTGCATGCACCGGCAGATGGGGAGGATTATGGAATGGAGGAAGTCGCTGTGGATGACGAGTTGTTCGGGAATGTTGGCGGGAACTGATGGCACGATTGACCGACGACGAAAACGAATAGCTGGATTCATCCGCAAATGATGTGATACCGACTTTCTTTTCAGTTCTAATAAGCACTGGGGGGTACTATTGCTTTTGATATGGGCTTTGTGCTTTGATTATTTTTGTATTCCGTGATTTTTCTGTGATGGTATAACTACATGAGCGGCCCAGGCGAGCAGCTAGATTGATGGAAATATGTTTTTGTTTGGACTGTACGGGTATTGTGTAATCAGTGTCATCCGTGTTTAAATGGTTATGTTAGTGGGGGAATGGGTATGTACTTTGAATTTCAGGGATTTTTGTTTTAGTCTGTTGTTGCTTTTGTATTTCTTTGCTAGGGCACCATATTGTTTTGGTAATGAAGACGCTGTTAATTTGAACAGTTTCTCATTAAAAATCATTAAGTTTCTCATTAAGTTATTTCATGGAGAACAAAGTAGTATCGCTAATTTCTACGTTACGTTATCCGCGCCACCTCCCCGGTAAGGCAGCTGCATAGCGGAAATTATGAGTGCATCCATTTCGTTTTTATTTCTTGCCATTTTCTATGATGATTTTAATTTTACAAATTGTTTGATGTTTGCCACTTACGGGTCCATTTACTGATTCACTATTTAGCATCCCGCTGAATCTCGAAGTATTCATGCTTTATGGCAGTCAGGGCATTGCCGTTCTTGCCCGACGGGGAGAGTTTTCACGACAGCCTTTGTGAGTTTCTCCATCGTCGGTTCTAGAAATGATTTCTGATTATTGTTGTCAGTTGTCGATAAATTAAGTACTGTAGGTACTGTAACACTGCGAGTCTGCGGGCAGTAGTGACTGAAGCTTGATGCCGTGACGATGTGGCTTTCGCATTGCAGACGTGTTTGAAAGTTGAATTTGATTGATTTCCCTTGCGTTTGTCACTTCGTAGATTTCACACTCGTTGCATGCTGTGATAGTTACGCTATGATTAATCTGCAGATTGCGAGAAGTGTCAGTGTTTTCTGCGGGAGCCCTGTTGGCAGCATGCAGTGTTCGTTCAGGATGGAGACAGTATTCCGCTGGCTATCGCCAGCCTGCCAGATGTCTTGGCTTTCCATAACGACGGCCCGCAGCAAAATGTCTGTCAGTCTTCGGAGAAAACCAGTGAGTGTTTGATCCAGGTCTGGCGAACTGGGCACCCCCTGAGCGTTCACGAAAGACCTTTTTCTCCGTTCCTGCTATGGCTAAAATAATGCATAAAATTTTATTAGGGAAAATAGAAAGTTTGCAGAGAAACGAGATAAGGCTAAGAGCAGAAACGTATAAGTTTCCGTTTTTTTGCGTTTAACATACTGCTGCTCAGTTTGCTGTATGACTTGTATCTGAATTGTCGAATGCGCTTCTGCTTTTAATACTTTTATTTGCTAACTTTCAGTTAGTATTTTTCATAAGAAATTTTTTTTTTCTGCATTTTTCATCATTTTTCATTAGCACGAACTGATTGAATGAAAGGGAAGGCTCTCATGACATACGGTCACATACCGAACCTGCAGGGGGTGCCCTGTTCGCAAGACATGGTGCTGGTTCATAGTACAGAGTCTGTACTGAGAACCAGCACAAAAAATGAGTATTACAGTTAATTATTAATACTCATTTTTTGAGACAAAAAACTGTCCTGGCGTATTTGAAGGGCGTATTTGGTAATTTTACTATTCGTTGCAGTCCGATCGGTCGTGGCGAGAACAATCATCCTCCCGCAGACAGTCTTCGGGCCGTTCATCGCCCCGCTGTGCAGTCTGGGCGAAGCGCACTCGCGGACATATTCATCAGTGGACGGGCAGTGTGTGACGTTCACTGTGGAGAACGATCGTTGGTGCAACTGGATGAAGTTGGTCAGGACGGCTGACCACGGCCAACACAACCTCCGCGCCTTCATCCACGAACAGAAGGTCCTTTTCGTCGCCGTTAAGGTCATCCTTCCGGGAGAAAAACTCACGCTGGCGCTGCCCCAAATTGACCGGAAGGACATCCACAGCAGTAACGATGTGAATTACGTTGACGTCTCTGTGGGTGAGCAGTGCCGTTGGTAGCGGTTGCGTGTTTGGTTCAACTTAAAATCTTAATTTGCACTAATTAAAATTTTAATCATTTTAATTAGTTTATATCTGCGGAAGCTTACCGATATGTGCACTGGCTGTTGCCGAATGAAAACATAGACTTTCAAGTAATTTTCCTTTCTCATTCAATTGGTTCGTACGTCTTCGGATTAGATTTCTTCGCCTTTGCGTGATGCTTGAGGGACATTAGTGTTATTTCGTTCTACCTACACAGATTGTGCTGTTTTATGTATTCAGAGTGTGTGAGCAGTGCTACGGATGTGAACGAAGATCCCGACATGGTTAAGTGCGAGGAGAATAGCGACGCAGATGAGAGCGTGGATGCCATGTCGATCTCAGCTGCTCTGGACGTTCCTGCTGTTTGTTTCTCAGTGGATGCGCAGCGCTTGGCAGAGCATGGGGATCCGGCAGATCTGTTGCCACAGTCCCAATACTTGCCAGCTCCAGAACAGCTGCTAACTGGAATCTCCGGACTCTTAGTCCAACTGCCTGAAGATTCCATGGTTAAGTGCGAGGATCATGATGACGAACTCGACCATGTGGAGACGATTGCTGCTGGTCACTCACTGGATGCACGGGCGTTGGTGCCGGATGATGAGGCAGATCCCTTGCCACCGTCCCAACCATTGGTGCCAGCGCAGTCACAGAAGCAACAACCGGCATCACTGCCTGCACTGCGCAATGGTCAACGCGAAGACTCACCGGAATATCCATTGCCCTCCAACTTGTTTTCACCTGATTCGTTACTGAACAGGAATCCGGGAAAACGGAAGAGCGATGAGACGGAAGCAGCAACTGTTGCGTCGAAATTCTCGCGGGTTTACTCCCTTCGTATGCGGAGTACTGTACGCGCCGGTGCAGCCTACGGTGACGAGAATTTATCCGACGACAACGATAAAGATTTCTGCTTGTCGGAAAACAGCGGTATGGTCACATTTAGTCAATGCGGGATATTACCCCAATGGGATTTTTGAAAAATTTAATCTGAGTGTGGGATAGAAGACGTAATTTCTTATGCTGCTTGCAGATCCATCTTCTATCGATTCCGAATGCTGCAGCGAAAATGACTTGAATCTGGAAAATACCGCGACAAAAAGTGTGAATAGTTTGAAAACTCACAGGATAAAAGAGTGATTATTTCGCGCATGCGGCTATTTTCGTTACCCTTGTTTCAATAGGGCAAGACAGAAAGCGTGGCACGAAAGAAAAACAAACCCCATCTTCACGCGGTTGCCGGAAGAAAACCGAAAATGTGATCCTTCAAAGCACTGCGGAGGTGGTGTTGCCAACGAATGGTCAGTAAATTTTCTGATAAAGCGTAAGCGTTAAACTGATGTCAAACGGGGAGTATATTATGACTATCGAGCGTGAAGTGCGGTCATTGTTTGCAGATTCATCGGCAAGAAAAGAGCCATGCCGTCTCCCGGATCCTGCTTTCCTTGAGGCACGGAACAGTCAGATCAAAGCCGTGGTCGCAGCTAATCCGTTCCAGTATCCGGCTGGAGAGCAGCGGTTGCTCGCGTTTTCGAGTGCTGCCGACATGCTGTCGCTTGACCAAGCGTCTCCAGGGATGCAGTCGCTAGATGGACCCATCCTCCAGCGCTGCACCGAGGGTCGTCTGCGTGACTTCAAAAGTCCACAACGCAGTAATCGGTTTGAGTCAACGTGCAGGCCGGAGTACGTCTCCCCGATGAACCAGTTGGATGCGTTAAAAGGCAACCAACGCTTGGATACAAAGGCGGAGAGAATGCGGCGATTGAATGCGGTAGCCACGATTAATCCTTTTCAGTTTTCCTCGCGAATTGAACGCCGCGCCGCGTGGCAGGCATGCCTGGCTGATGACGGTCGAGTGAAGAATGTCAGGCTTGCTTGCAAAAATCTGCAGAGTTATATCCAAACTCATTTGGACAAATTCCCCAGCGTGCTCGATAGCTACAAGGAGGATACCGCCGATAATTACGAGCGAGAGTATATCGAAGTGATGCGAGTGATAGCGCAACAGGCGGGGAAGGATTACGCCGATGACGCGCATCCCTTGGCCATTGATAAGGATGCCGACGCAGTTGGACCGGATCAGGTGAATGTCGCAGCTGACACTCCGAAAGCACATCGCAAACGGCGCCATAAAAAAAATTTGCAGCACGATAGGCGCTTCTTCAGTTACGTTTATCGGTTCGTGTGTTTCGAGTGTTCGTTGCATTTCAAGAACGAAAATCTGTTGAAATTGCATAAGGTGCAGCATAGTGATTCACCCAGCGAAGGTGCTAATTCTCGCAGTTGTCCAGTTTGCAGGCGCTCATTTAGCAAGCTATCCAGTTTATTGCGACATATTTTGGATCACGGCGTGAAAGCGTCACAGATTGTCCATTTTATCCCAACTGCTGATCCCAGTATCATGAGCGTCGCTTCCACTACGGCGGCTCCGATGGATGTGCTGGCGCAGAGTCATGACGCCCATGAGACGTGCTTTATGTACAGTTGCGGACAGAAGTCATGCGGACTGCGATTTTGCACGGAATCCATGGCTGATCTCCATCAACTCAGCCACAAAGTGCCGGATAGTTATCAGGGCGATGTTGTTTGTGCGGGATGCAGCTACGTAGCTGCAAATGCGGAGGACTTGCTGAAACACGTCGGTCGGCATGGAGCGAAGACAGGCGATCATAAAATGTGTCGTTTATGTGGGAAATTTGTGCAGGATATGATCGAGCATGTTCAACTGGTGCATAAGGAAGCATATGTGAAGTACGAAGCTCGTTTAAATCTTTCTTGCGACCAGTGCGAAAAGCGATTTCGGACGTCTGTCCATCTTACTACCCACAAAACTGTAAGTTGTGTAATCGATTTGCTAAATATTCATGCATCTTCGGAGCAATAAAAAATTCTGAAACACACACATTATGTGTTTTCAGCGCGCGATTCGTACAAAGTTTGTTTTTACTTTTTAGTTTGCACACACAAAGTTGCCAACACTGGAGTGTCTAATTTGTGCTAAACACTTCCCGTCGCCTCTTCAGCTGCATGCGCATGTAACTCAGGAGCACGGAACCGGTTTGATCTGTATGGTGTGCCGGAAAAGCTACACAAAGTACAGCAGCTTATCAAAGCACGCGAGAATGCATAAGCAGATCCACATTTGCGAAACCTGTGGATCAGTATTCCGCTCCAGGCGTAACTTAGATACCCATCGATACAGTCACCGGTCTGACTATTCCTTCAAATGTGATCAGTGCGGAAAGACCTTCAAGAGACCGTCAAATCTGGCACAGCATAAAGTAGTCGTGCACACGGACAAAGTGCGGAAGAAGCGCAAAGCCAAACGGGAAGAAATGCGTCGGAAGGGCGTGGTCAGCGAGTACAAGTGTCCCCGGCAGAGGATGCTGTACGAGGAATTCCCGTTCAAATGCGTGGAATGCCGGCTCGGCTGGATGCTGCTGGGTAATCTACAGCAGCATCAACGGAAGAAGCATCCACAGAGTAACGATACTATGCTCAGCGCTGCCGCTTCTTCCAGCCTTTGAGACACTTGGATAAATTGTTCTGTTTGACTTGTAAGAGTGATCGGATCCGCAAAGAGGCTTATTGTTACTACGTTTACTTTGGTCAAGGGAGGAAGTTCCCTTCTGCAAAGGATACGAAGAGTGTAAAACGTATACTGTGACTGCCAGTATCAGCGCTCATGTTCTGAATATTTTTTAGTATCTATTTGGGAGTGCACTTTTTGAGCTTGTTATTGAACATATTGCTGCGTGCTTTTGTGTCAAAAAATTTTATTAAACAATCTGGAATATATCATATGATGATATAGTGCAAGCATCTCAGCGTATTTCACAGTATCTTCCGTATGTGCACTATTGTGCAGCGTCTGCCAAACATTTTCGGACCACTAAGCAGTTGCTGCGTGCATGAAGAGTTTTTCGATGTAAACGCGTTGCAGCTGCATTTGTGATTACGCGCCACGATGCGGACTTGGTCGTGAAGTGTTAGGCTAGTGCGGAACGGTTTATGTACCTGCAACCATGACACGTGTATGCTGTAGCCGTTCATGCAGCATCCGATGTGGAGATTTCCGGTATGGAGGAAACAATTGTGGATGACGAGATGGATCGGGAATGGTGTTGGGGGCTGGTAACATTTTTGGCAGAAGGGAGTATTCAGTCAGTAGCCAGACAGACTTTCTTATCTGAGAGTGCCGCATTAATTGCCGACTGTCTGGCAGAAAGCTTTTAATTCCTTTGAAATCTTATGAGAACTTCCACGGCGCCCGTCATTTTTGCTATATAGTTTGAATGCTTCCATGCCGGCGCCGGTCACTTTTAAGCTGTACATTTTCAACAATCGGGTAATATTTTTGTCCTGTTCTCCAGTCTTTTCTGTCGTTCAGTTATGGTACCGATTGCCGAATATAGACGCAATAAAGGATATTACAAAATCAAAGTTTACTGCTATTGGATACGCTGTTGGAACTGCGATTAGAAAGATGTCACATGCCACAATGGGCCTGTTGGGAGGTTGTTCAAAAATCAAAGGCACAGCTAAAGTGACCGGTTGTGGAGAAATGCCGAAGCACTTTTCATGCGAAATTTAGTTAAATTATTTATGAGAATCTAACTTTCAGTTTAAATCAGAGTATTATCAGACAGCAATTAGAGTGCAAATGAAATCAATACGTATAGGAGTAGCGAATCTTTAGTTATCGTCTTATGTAGTTCAAGTTTTAGGGATAAGTCTTTCTGTCCGTTATTGCTTTGTTTTTCCTTGCAAGGAGCAAATGCATATTATTCTTGAAATAGAGACTATGAATTTGCTAAGAATTGCTCATTAATAAACGCAACAGATAGTAATTTTTTTGAAAAGAACAAAGTACAGCCGCTTATTTCCGCGCTACCTCCCAGTGAGGGAGTTGCATAGCGAAAATGATGGCTGCAGTTATGTTCTTTCTCCTTTGCGTATGAACTATGAAGCATGAACGATTGTCGATCTGGTTAATTTTTTCACAAGTTGAATTTCACGTTACAGTGTTATTACTGCGAACAGTTTCCTACCCTTATACAGTATACTGCATATATTTGGTATTTATTCCCTGGAATCTTTAAGTATGCTTTATGGCAGTCAGTTTGGACGCAGTGCCGTTCTTGCCCGACGGGGAGAGTTTTCACGACAGCCTTTGTGAGTTTCTTCATCTCTCTGCGAGATTTCTGATTGTCATTTCAACTTATTTGCTAGCTGCTTGAAGACATATTGCCGTACTCAGTACTGGTTAGTATGATGCATTGCAGACCAGTAGTTAGAATTTTTGTTTCGTGACGATGTGGTACTTCACTTAATCATAATGCATGCGTCTGTCGATTTCAAATGCGCTGCATGCTTTGATATCAGCGCTTTGATTAACCTGTAGATTGCGAGAAATGTCAGTGTTTTCTGTGGGAGCCCTGTTGGCAGCATGCAGTGTTCGTTCAGGACGGATACAGTCTTCCACTGGCCTTCGCTAGTTTGCCCGATGGCTTGGCCTTCGATTACGGCCTCCCACAGCAAAATGTCGGGCCGTCCCCGGAGAAAGGCACGGGTAAGTAATTCAACGAGAACTCCGGGTGCGCTGTGCCTGCGTGTTTGTATTCACTGTACTGTCTCTGCAGAGCTGTTGGTTTGGGTAGCGTGTTTAGTGTTATGTTTACTTCACATTTGTCGTCAACATTAACGTAAAGTCTAGGCGTGGTGATGTATTTGGTATTTTTACTGTATGCCATTAAGCTATAGATAGTAATAATAATTAGACATAATTAATAATAATTATTAAGCATTATTCGTAAAAGTAGCTGCAGTGTTACTGTTGAATCAACAGTAAGAGTACAAGATAACGATCAACACTGTTGATCGTTGACGTTATCTTGTACTCTGGCTGTACGGGGCAGATACGATCATACGAAGTGTTATGAATAAGGTGCGTGATCTGAGCTGTGCCGCTGTGGAGCGTTATCTGTATTGTACAGAGTACTGATATGAATTTTGAACTGTACCACGTATTTTCTCACTGTCACCCTTCATTATTCAATAATCAGTAGCTTTCGAATTAACAAAAGGTGCAAGGGCACTCTGTTTTGCAGTCAAAATTTTCTTAAGTACTTGAATTGCTTGTCTCATAGTCCCGACAGTCGTGGGGCGATCGGCCATCCGTCCGCAAACCGTATTCGGGCCGTTTATAGCGCCCGTATGTGATGCCGGCGCAGAACACTCGCGGACATTCTCGTCGACCGACGGGCAGTCGGTGACGTTCGATGTGGTTAACGATCGTTGGTGCAACTGGATGAAGTTGGTCAGGACGGCTGACCACGGCCAGCACAACCTCCGCGTCTTCATCCGGGAACACAAAGTCCTCTTCGTCGCCGTCAAGGTCATCCTTCCGGGAGAAGAACTCACACTAGCACTGCCAAAGCATAACCGGAAGGAAATGCACCTCAGCCATGTGGATTACGTTGCAGTGCCTATGGGTAAGTCGCGTCTGCAGCCGTAGCGGTTGGTAGTTTTTGTGTTGTTTCAGGTAATTCTCGTTTCGTATTGGACTTGTTCTAACGCCTGTGCAACGCGTAGTGGGCTGAGGGACTTAAATATCATTTCATTTTTCTTCCATCATGTTTCATGTGAAGTTTTATGTGTTCAGACTGTGCGAGTAGCGGGATTGATGTGGATGAAGATTCCATGGTTAAGTGCGAGGATCATGACGACGCCCTTGCTAATGTGGAAACGATTCCAGTGTCAATTCCAGTGGACTTTCCTGCTGCTTGTTTCTCGACGGATACACGGGCTTTGGTGCCGGATGATCAGGCAGAGCTGCTACTACCACAGTCCCAACCACTGGTGTCAGCGCAGTCACCGGAGCATTTACCAAATGACTCAAGATTCGTAGCATCCCTGCCTGTACTGCGCAGCTGTCAACGCGAAGACTCACCGGAATATCCATTTCCCTCCAATTTTTGCTCACCTACAACTGATTCGTTAACGAAAAACAGAATCGATCCGGGGAAAGAAAAGAGGGATGAAAAAGAACCAGCCGCTGCTGCGTCGAAAGAGACACCGTTCTCGCGTGTTTACTCCCTTCGTACGCGAAATGCCGTACGCGCCGGTGCAGCCTACAGTGATGAGAATTTATCCGACGACAACGATGAAGATTTCTTTTTATCTGAGGATAGCGGTACGGTTTTATGGGTTACTGTCCATAATGATTTCGGATGGAATTAACCTGAATGTGGGATAAGAAATCGTAACCTCTTATGGTGCTTTCAGGTTCATCTTCTATCGATTCCGAATCCGAATACTACAGCGAAGTAGAAGTTAATGTGGAAAATGCCACAACCAAAAGTGTGAACAGTTTGATAAAATGCAGGCAGTTTGTTTTAGCGAATGGTCGTCTTTACTGTAGTTGTTTGTAGAACAAGACAGAATGCGTGGTACAACTGACGCGAAAGAAAAAGAAACCCCGTCTTCAGGCCGTTGTCGGAATAACACTGGGAGTGTAGGAACAAAAAAGAGTAAGTACATTTTCTGTTGAAGTGCCGGTTGCTGTGCTGATATCACAGGAATAGACTTAGGGATCAGAATTAGTATGTGTCAAGCATGATTTGTATTTGCTGCGTGCAGATTTATCGGCAAGAAAGAGACACGCCCGGAGGGATGCTTTTTTGGAGACACGGAACAGACAGATTAGAACCGTGATTGCCGTTAATCCATTTCAGTATCCGGCTGGACGGCAGCGGTTGCAGGCGTATTGCACTGCCGCGAACATGCTCGCGCTCGACAAAGTCTCGCCAGGGAAACAAACGCTAGATGGGTCCGTGCTGCAGAGTATCGTAGAGAGCCGTTTAAGTACGTTCCAACTGGCAAAACGCCGTAACCGAATCGATGCCATTTCGATGCCGAAAGAGTACGTTGGCCTGATGAATCAACTCGCTTCACTGAAGAGCCACGAACGCATCGACACCAGGTCCGAGAGGATGCGCCGATTGAACGCGGTTGCCAAGATTAACCCCTTCCAGTTCTCCTCGCGAAGTGAACGCAGCGCCGCGTGGACAGCAGTGGGGCAGGCGTACGTGGCTGATGACGATGGAGCAAAGAAGGTTAAGTTTTCATGCATTGGACTGCAGAGGTTTGTCCAGACTCATTTGGACGATTTTCCCAACGTGCTCGATCGTTTTAACGAGGTTACCGCGGATGAATACGAGCGAGAGTATATCGAAGTCATGCGAGTGATAGCGCAACAGGCGGGGAAGGATTACGCCAATGGCGCGCATCCCTTGACCATTCACACGAATGTCAACGCAGTTGGATCGGATCAGTTGAATGTCGCAGCTGATCCTCCGAAAGCGCATCCCAAACCGCGTTTTCTTGAAAATTACGAACCCGATAGACGCAGAAGCTACTTCAGCTACGTTTACCGTTTCGTGTGTTTTGAGTGTTCTTTGCATTTCAAGGACGAAAAGTTGTTGAATCTGCATACCTTGCAGCATAGTGATTCGCCCGAGGAAGCTGCCGACGCGCGGGATTGCCCATCCTGTGAGCGATCATTCAACCAGCTGTCCAGTTTACTGCGGCATGTGCTCGATCACGGGGTGAAAGCCTCGCAGATCATCCACTTTATCCCGACTGCTGACCCCAGCATCATGAGTTTCGCCTGTCCAACGGCTGCTCCGATGGATGTGCTGGCGCAGAGCCATGACGCGCATGACACGTGCTTCATGTACAGTTGCGGATTAAAACAATGCGGACTGCGATTCTGCACGGAGGCGATGGCGGATCTGCACCAATTCAGTCACAACGTCCCGGACGATTATCAAGGCGACGTTGTCTGTGCGGGATGTCACTACGTAGCCGCAGATGCGCGCGATTTACTGAAACACATCAGTCGCCATGGAGCGAAAACGAACGATCGCAAACTATGTCGTTTGTGCAGAGAGTTTGTTAACGATATGAGCCGACATGTCCAGAATGCGCACAAGGAGCAGTATCTGAAGTACGAAGCATGCCTGACGCTCCCGTGCGACCAGTGCGAGAAACGATTTCGGACGCCTGCCCATTTTACCACCCACAAGGCTGTAAGTTTATGTTTGCAATCGTTTTACTGAATTTTGCGGAATATTTATGTTTCTTTAGAGCACAAACTGCTGACTACCTGACACTATGTTTTGTGCACACGATATACATAAGCCTTTTTTTATTTTTTTAGATTGTGCATAGCAGAAGTTTACCAACACTGGGTTGTCTAGTTTGTGCTGAACCGTTCCCATCATACACTCTGCTGCATGCACATATAAGAAAGGAGCATGGAACGCATTTGACATGTGTGGTGTGCCAGAAAGCCTACTCCAGATATGACCTTTTATATGATCACTCAAGGACGCACAAGGAAATACATATCTGCGACACCTGCGGTTCGGTGTTCCGCTCTAAGTTTGGCCTGGATCAGCATCAGTACACTCACCGGTCTGACTATTCCTTCAAGTGTGATTTGTGTGGAAAGACGTTTAAGCGACCGAGTAATCTGGCACAGCATAAGATGGTCGTCCACACGGATAAAGTGCGGAAGAAGCGCAAAGCCAAGCGAGAGGAAATGCGGCGGAAAGGAGTGGTCAGTGACTACAAGTGTCCACGACGGAGGATGCTCTACGACGAGTTTCCCTATAAATGCGAGGAATGCCGGCTCGGTTGGCTGCAGCTGGGCAATCTGCAGCAGCATCAACGGAAGAAACATTCCCAAAGTGATGATACTGTGGAATGCGGCACTAGTCATCCGGTATCCGCTTCCAGCGTTTAGCTAAAGTGTTGTTTGTCGGTGGACGATAATCGGATGTTTCATACCGCTTCTTGCACAAATATGCACACATACTAAGAATTTTTATATAGTGCACATATGGACGCGGCACACAAAACTTTCCATCGACTTTTCAGCTGCCTTCGCACGTTCTAATGAAGCACAAACTGTTTTGTGCTGATGTGTGTAATCTGTCAGAAAAGCTAATCAAGATGGATTGGATTCAGAGGGACGCAGGAATCCGGGTATTGCGACACACGACACGCCCCCTTTCTAGTGGTCTCTCTGTTACAGTTATGTGTGTGTGTGAATTGGTATAAATTGGGAAATGCTAAGCGCTAACATGTGTCACTTGCTTCGTAAAATTTTTTTACCGGTATTTTGTATACCGAATGCATACCGGTATTTTTTGTGTAGTTCTGTCGTGACCTTTCGCATTTACGCGCCATCATGATTCTAGCGTCTTTTTGCTATCAGCTTGCAGTTGTTTTGAGGTATAACTATAATAATTCATCATGTCTGCATCGGTTTATGCAAGTGTCGGGTATGTATCTGGTGATTTTGTTGGACCAGCTAGTAAGAAGAAGTTGGATCGCATCAATCGGCAACACGTCAAATGCACCATTTATTATATGGAAAGAACAACTGCCTGTAACACGAAGATGAATGCGGACTTCCTTTTGGATCCAGCCACCGTAGTTATTGCCAGTATTCTACCTGTTTTGCATCACTCGCTCAGCCTTGTGGACGCGGTTTTATGGCTTATGCCCACTTGGCGGAATCCCGTCAAACCTTCAAACACCCACAACGTATTTTTCAAAGTCGTCCAGGAGGTTTCGCCCGCTGCCCCCGCATTTTACCGCACACACTTGTGCGCAAACCTTGCCGGAGACATCGCCGCGAGACCTGTTTCACCGAAAAGCCGGTAAGCCAGTACCACCTCCAAACATGACCTGCATTATGTTCCTGGAGAGTTACTCCTGTCTGGTTCCTACCTAAAGTTTTTCCTGACCCGGATTCATCGTCTTCGCTTACGTGTCCTGTTATCATTAAATTGTTACCGCTATTGCTGCATGACCTCCCTGCCTTTCACATTCCGGATCTTCGACCTATCGTCGTATTGTGCAACCTTCAGTTGGCCTTTAACCATTGTTTACTTGCGGATTCGTCCTTATTGCATTTGATCTGTGGAATTCCCAGATCTCCTGGAGACTAGTTTATCGTTTTGCCTTTAATTCGTAGGAGCAATAGGAATTCCATTGCGCCCTGCTTTATGTACAAATTCCAGTTGTGTACGTTCCTATGTGCAGTACTGCATGATGTAAGTTCGCAAAAGCAGCACCTTACCTTCGAGTTTTGCGCCGTTACCTTATGTTCACCTTCTATAGAACCGTTTTCGTGGTTGCCATAATTCGTCTTATTGTCATTGCCGCAGGATGCGACAGGAATTCCGTCGCTACCTGCTTTGTGTACGCAATTCTTTGATTTGCGGACATTAATTTTGTGAGCTGTGCTGTGCTTGGCGTGATTTCCGCCGGAACAGCACTTTAAATTATTAGCGTTCAGTCCAAATTCAGTCGTGGATTTAGGCCAGTCTGTGGAATTCCCAGACCAACTAAAATCGTTCGTCTGCCTTGCCTTATTGCCGTCGGATGTGCAGGACTTCCTTGCAACCGGCTTTATTACATCTTTCGTGCAAACTCGTGTACTTCGCTCGGTGGAATACCGCCCTAAGCCGTACTGATTTGCTATTTCTGTGGATCACTTAATTTGCCAATTATTTCGTGAATGCGCAGGGATGTGCGGAATCCCGCACCTCACTAGCCGCGCTCATGTAAGTGTTTCCCTTGAATCAATGGAATCAGTCTTCATAATCGTCGCAACCGATCCTAGGAACTATCGTCATCATCACGCCGCATTGGATCTTCTTTTGTGTCCTTTTCGTGTTTTCGTTTTGGGTTTTTGGGCTTGGGGCCGGTTCCGGCCATGTTCGGCATAACTGCCCAAAGGAAGTAAATTCCGAGCCCACCTTCGGTGTTCTCGCGTGGCGTGTAGGAGCAATGGATTGGATTCAGAGGGACGCAGGAATCCGGGTATTGCGACACACGACACGCCCCCTTTCTAGTGGTCTCTCTGTTACAGTTATGTGTGTGTGTGAATTGGTATAAATTGGGAAATGCTAAGCGCTAACATGTGTCACTTGCTTCGTAAAATTTTTTTTTTTGTTTTTGTTGTCTTTGTGATGGCTTGGGGCCGGTTCCGGCCATGTTCGGCATAACTGCCCAAAGGAAGTAAATTCCGAGCCCACCTTCGGTGTTCTCGCGTGGCGTGTAGGAGCAATATGGATGCTTATAAACGCACGCGAAAATGCATAAGGAGGACCATATCTGCGATACCTCTGGTCCGGTGTTCCGCTCTAAGAGAGCCTAAACAGCATTAATACGGTCATCGGTGTGACCGTTCCTTCATTTGCGAATTGTGCGGAATAATCTTTAAGATACTAAGCAATGCAGCATAAAATGCTGATTCACACGGGAAAAGTACGGAAGAAAGGCCTAACTAAACGGGAGGAAATGCGCCGGAAGGGCGTGCTCAGCGACTGCAGTGTCCGGGACAGAGGATGCGCTACGAAGAGTGCCCGTATAAATGCGAGGAATTTCGACTCGCCCGCTTGCTCTGGGCAGTCTGCAGCAGCATCAACGGAAGAAGCATTCCAAGAGTGACCTTACCGTGCAAAGCGGCACTGTGCATCCGGTATGGTCTTCCATGCGACGTTAAAAATATCCTTAATAATTGGTTTTATTTGAATTTTGAAAGTAATCGGATTTGCAACGATTTTCTGCCTGGTACTCATACTGTTACTTAGGGTAGTACATACGCTACATGTTACTGGCCAGGAGAGGAAATTCTCTTGTCCAAAGGATATTAATGATATAGAAGGAATTCTGTGATTTTTCTGTACTTGCGCTCATGTTGTGAATATATTTTTGTTCCTTTTGTGAGTGTAGTTTTCAAGTTTGTTATTGATTGAACATAGTGTTGTCTCGTTCCATAAGAAAGTACATCCCGATCGCGCGAGAAAGTGCCTTGAACACTGCCTTCCGGTTTCTTCTACATATATATCCGCATCGCGCAACCGTAGCGTATTACAAAACGTACTCTCACTTTTGTAGTATAAGAAAATTCTGTTAAGTATAAGAAAAAACTGCAACCAGATATATCTACCCAGTAGAGAGTAAAAACAGCATCGTAAAACTCATGCCCACCTCCGCGGAATCAACGTCTTTTGCGCGCAGACAGAGTCTGTGAGGCAGGTCTTCCTCTTTTCCGAGTAGAGCTCGCTGGTTGTGCCGCTTCCGGACGGATCATCTTGTACTGGCTGGTGCTCGGCGGAAGAGTGTCGTCCAGCTTCGGCTCAGCCCCTGATTCGTCTTCGTCCGGCCCGGGGAATTTGACTGGTTTGACCAGATTGGCCAGATTACGCTCCTTCGTTCTCTCCCTGAGCCGCCGGCTGACCCCGTCGTGGCAATGGCGCAGCTTTTCGCGATGACTGTTCAGCTGGGCTACCCTCGTCGCGTTCAAACGCTCCACAGCAGCTCTTTCGAATTCCGATCCTGTCCACACAGATTATCAGTCAGGGACCGTTGAAACATCACTTGTAAATTTTTCACTCACAGTATACTTCATAATAATTCATATATATAAAGCCATTGCAAGTACGCAACTACGAGCATACGATATTATATAAGTGGCCACATGTAACAGATTGAAAAAGTGTGTATCGTTCAATGGATAACAGTATGCTCACCTTTTCCTATTAAGGCAATGCAAACTTCCGTTTTGTACAGCAGCACTCGCTGTTTAATTTTGGCGGGCAACTGCAGTGCTCGGGGCACTGTGACCGACTGGAAGTGGTACTGCGTCCACCAATCCTCGGCGTCCATCATGGCGTCGCACAAAGCATCCTTCAACTCTTCGTTCCTGTCCGTCAAAAAAAATTGCTCAAGACCGAACTTAGCAGCCGGATATACACAGAGACTGAATGAGCTCTGCAGCCGCCAGGCGCTCCAGTAATGACTAGCTGCCACTTACGACAAATCAGCGCGGCGCAGAATCCTTGCCAAGACTTTCCAGCACCGGTGGGAAAAGCGGTAATGCTCCTGACACAGGGCATTGCACAGGATTTCCAAGGCCTCCGTGTCGTAGCCGGTGTCTGAAATTAAACGTTTACGTTCAGCATTTTAGCCGTACCGATCTGCGTGCATTCATTCTGCATGTTCCAGATGAATTAATTTTTATCTCGCATTATATGTACTACTCGGGTAGTAGTACTGGTACAAAGGTCATTCCGCACGCTATATTTTCTCCGTCAGAGACGCATGATTAAATACTCCAATTATGTCAAAGAGTAGCGCTTGTTGGCTTTAAGATATTATAACCGACTATGAGACTCCATATATACTCTGTAGGTAAGAGAAAATATTTCGCTATAGCGCGAGAAAATTATCTGCTAACTATTGGCCGCAACTTCCGATCCGGGAAATTAGCCACGGAAATTTAATTCAGAAGACAAAAATCAGTGCAAAAATCAGTGCAAAAAATTACTCAAAATGATTTTGAATAACACTAACGATTTTTTTGGATGGTTTTCTGTACCGTAGTGACTACTAGTAACTACCGGCACGAGCTACTTTCGTCAAAAGTAATTACAGTAGCTACATGTGAGTTACTCAAATACGGAATACTTACCATATTTACCCATGTAGTGAAAATCCCAGCAGTACAGGTTGACGCTGCGACCGAAAGGATCGAGCTGTGCCAGGCGCTGCAAGATCACCACGAGCACATATTACGCGCAATGATTTTCTCATTTTCCTGCACTTACGGTCACGTGCGGCCATCTTCGCTGGACGTCCCGGGGGAAATAGTGCACATACACCTCCACCAAGTGGGCTGCCGCCCATGGCAGGTCGGGATGTCGCTCGGCATACCTCGACAGAACAGTCAGCAGCGTCTCAATTTTGTCGGCCATTTGCAGAATCTGGGACAAGAACACGACAAATTGGTCGTCCACATCGGTGGCCTGGATGAAGCAGGCGAACATCTCCGTCATGGCGGACATATCCAGCTCCCGTAAGCGGCTGGCGGACATGTTCAAGAAGTCCGACAGACCCGGCACGGTGCCGTCGGTGGCCAGTGCCGGCAGGTGGATGTCCTCGGGACTGTCCGCCCCGGGTGGCAGGTACAACTCCAAACCGGCATCCGCATCCGGCTCCTCCGGCGCCCTCCAACAGTTGGACATGACGCGCAGCATCTGCAGGCGGGCACGCCATTCAACGCTGAGGCGCGTGCATATATCGGGTGCCTCGCTGGGAAGGACGCTGGGCACAGCGATCGCTGCCTGGCGCTCCTGTGCACAAGTTTGCATTCATGAATTATGTTAACAAAAGTTTTGCTGAATCGATTGCTGCTGTAGGGTCTTATGACACCGAAGCGCCGCAAAATAATTTCAATTTTCTGTGTATTCCAGCCGAGCCTGTACCCTGTACATACGTCAACTGACAAACAGTTATTTATTGCCAGTTTTGTTAACCAGTGCTCGTTGAACTGCTTGTGCAAATACCTAATATTTATAGTCTCAATCATCTAATACTGTTTAAATCTGACTAACTCTTAAGTCACGCAATCAACTAGGTAACTCACAAGGTCAGCAACTGTCATAATCGGTAACCACACGTTACTACAGTCTACAGATAGTGCAAGGCGGTACAGCAGTGAGTACAGCCGCCGGTACTGTAAGAGTGCCGTAGAATAAACCGTTACAGCCTTTCATGTATAAGTTTAACACTGTTGAAGTTTTTTATCTAATACTCGATAGATACTGTAACTAACTGACAAATTAAATTGACAATTTTGCTAGCCACTATTTGCTTACGTTTAACAATTTCAACGCAACTTTTTCCCGCCCGAAATTCCTTAAAACAAAGTAGCAGGCGATTAGCTGCTCCTCGCGCCCGTGTTCTCTCGCTTTCCCAGCATCTACGACGGATCTGAAAAAAGGTCAAGCATTATTGAAGGCTGCACAGATTTCCGATCAACACAACTTGCAAATACTGTACACAGCCAAGCGCAACGACTAATAACGCGCGTATAGTGCTAGTGGTCAGTTCTTATAGCTGTTATACGATTTCTTACCGCAAGATACGGTAGCAGCGGTCGGTGTCCTTCTCCTTAACATTTACCAGCACGATCAGTAGCATCTACAAGCAGACTTTGACAGGACAGAATTATGTACACAGTACAAGCAGGAAAGATAATTATCGTTAGACGGTATTTATTGCGCATGCAATCAAGCTGCGAGATTCTGATTATATTGCGGACACCGCGACTTCGATGACGACGCGCTGCCGAAAGCGACGTTAACGAGCTAGAAAAGGGAAAGACAGTCTGCTACTTCTTGCTAGTGACTAGTGAGTCAGCGCGGACAGATCTATGCCAGGTAATGATGTCGATGGACACCAGCCGGGGACAGTGGCACGTCCGACTGACCATGAAGCTGTAGCGGCCGGAAATCAAGAAATGGAGCGGTGTGGCTAAATTAAGGACTAAGATGTTTGTGACAGCAATCTTAACAGTGCAAGATATATTAAAAAGGGGGTCTTCAGGTTAAAGGAGAGTAACAAACATTTCAAAACAAAAGATATTTCACTATATACTGTTACGAAAACGAAAGAATTGTGCAAATACAGTACGTAACTGTTCGACTGCAATAAAACCGCTTCTCCTAAGAGTTGAATTTGTTTTGGCCACACCCACTGCACCATAGCCGATGAAAATACTTTTTAAGTATTTCCAGTGCATTCTCTGTCTTCAAACAAAACCCCAAAATTTTTTTGGGGGCCCTGGTAAATACGAATGAATATGAATGACACATTTCGGCAGCAGAATTGTGGAGGTCACCACGCGCTGTTCTGTACGGTAGTGTACACTGTACAGTAATGGATACGTACCCGCCATAGCCAGTTATCTTGAGTTAGATCTGGGTCCATTTGATAACTGTCCAGCAGAGCTTCGACCATCGTCATGGCGAGATAGTAGCGACCTTTGTAGATGCACTCGTGTATCAGCGGCCGACAATCCCGTACATCCACCAGCAGCTTCTCGGCTGACTGACAGCCTGACACACCGCTCTCCATATCCAACAACCAGAAAAAAACTGTTTGCCAAAAAAATACACTCCACACTCTGCCGGATTGTTGGATGTTATAAAGAAATTTGTCGTAATTCCCAATAGAGAGATTTTTTAGTGAACTGTTCCAACTTGACCGCGGCCGAACTGTGTGCAGATTGCTTCGACGTACAGCATCGTTTCGTGGGCGACCTGTAGATGAGATGAAAAAATTAATAATTGCTGTAGTTCGGTACTACGAGCCCACTGTACTCGTATCATACAGGTACTATTGCAAACAAAGATTGCAAAACAAAAGATCGCAATTTGCACCTTCTAGATTGCACCGTATTCACTGTTCACATACTGACATACATAAATATAACATAATGAATTTCAGATATTCGGTACTGTACTTTCTAACAGCTGCAGATTCTTTAACCGAACTGTTGTTATTAACTTATTATGGAGCGGATGCGAAATTATTATACACAGCAAAAACGTATACTCAAAAATCTGCGGCCTGCAGAAAGACCTGCAGCACAATTGCTAAGCTTCGCAGTGGCGCAGCAGTACTGGCAGTGGCAGTGCGAACATGTGGCGGCTCGTTGGATGTCCCATGTCACCACTCCGTCTACTGCGCTGCAGCCGCCACTAATTTAATTATCGTGAATGAAAGACACGGTGCCGCTACCAGTGTGTGGTCGACAGAGCGGCTGCTTTTTATTTGCTTGCTCAGTTACTTGCTTCCATAATAAGTATACTTTGAGCCGCACCGGCTTTACTTTAAGATTAATTTCAGGGTTTCTTGTTGAAGTCTGTGTTAATTTTTCCTTCCTTGTCAAGAACAGCTGCATGTTGTTCTCCTAAGAAAGACAATAGTATCGATTTATTAAATGACTTCCCATTAAAAAATGCGGATATTGATTGCATGGAGAACAAAGTACTTGCTGTGATATACCGCTCATTTCCACGCTACGTTACCCGCGCCATCTCCCCGGAGAGGTGGTTAGTACTACTAAACAGCGAAAATCATAACTGCGATTTATCATTTTTATTTACTTACTTTATTTCTTTTGGATTTCATTTTGGATCTTTAATGATGCGATTTTGATAGATTCACGCATTTGACGATTTGGAAAATTCTTCACAAGTTGCAGTTACCAAAAGTCATCGTTTAGCATTCCCTTGGGTTTTTAATTATGCTTTATGGCAGTCAGTTCGAGCGCAGTCGCAGTCTGCCATTCTTGCCTGACGGGGAGAGTTTTCACGACAGTCTGTGCAAGTTTCTTGAACTTTCTTCATTTGTGTTACTTAAGAGTTAAGAGTTAAGTCTCCTGATAAGTGTTAGCTCAGTTAGCTGCACTGCATACTTCGTGCGGCAAGAATCTTGCCTCTCTACAGAGGGGCATTTCTTGAAGATTCGTTGCAATTTGTCAAGGATGATTCAGAGTAGCAGTAGTAGCAGAATCAAACTTTGTATTGCAAAGATTAGGTCTAACACATGTTGCCACATTGCAGGCGCCTGTAAAATGTGTCTTTTAGACAGTTCGTGCAGGCATTTGTTGATCTCGCACTCGTTGCACTTTTGATATTTACCTTTAATGCATCTGCAGATTGCGAGAAATGTCAGTGCTTCCTGAGGGAGCCGTGTTGGCAGCATGCAGTGTTCGTTCAGGACGGATACAGTCTTCCGCTGGCATTTGCTAGTTTGCCAGATAACTTGGGCTTCCATCATGACAACTCACTGCAAAATGTGGAACAATCTTCAGAGAACAGCGCAAGTATGTAATTCAGCGGAAATACGTATGTGCTGTACCAGTGTATTTTTTTGCGGTGCATTTGCAAGAACGCTGCCTAATTTGCGTTGGACAATTTTGGTACATGTGCTACATGTCGTCAACGTTTGACGTCCAGTCGCAGATTATTAATTTAATAGTTTTTCTTTGGTATGGGTGTTTGTACCTTAACACAAGTGCGCTGTATCGTAGTCCCGTCGGTCGTGGCGCGAACGGCTATCCGTCCGCAAACAGTGTTCGGACCGTTTATAGCGCCGCTGTGCGATGTCGGCGCAGCTCATTCGCGGACATATTCGTCGGCCGACGGACAGCATGTGACGTGCAGTCCAGGGAATGATCATTGGTGCAACTGGATGAAGTTGGTCAGGACGGTTGACCACGGCCAACACAACCTCCGCGTCTTCATCCGAGAACACAAAGTCCTCTTCGTCGCCGTCAAGGTCATCCTTCCCGGCGAAGAACTCACACTGGCGTTGCCTCAAATTGACCGGAAGGAAATCATCGACAGCCATGTGAATTACGTAGCTGTATCTATGGGTGAGTCCTACCTTCTGCGTTGGCAAACTGGTTGCCTGTACTATCTGTACGTGGAAAATTTCGATCGTGCGGATTTTTTCATTTGAAAAATGTACATTTACATTTTTACATTTTAGAAATTCTTTTACATTTGCGTTGCGTCGCGTCCCGACTCGCGGGCTGAACCTAGATATTTGTTATAAACTCTTATTCAGGGTTCTATTTGTGCAGATGTGAGTAGCGGTACTTATGGTGACGAAATTTCCTGCTTGGTTAAGAGCGAGGATGATGGCGGCCAAGATAGCAATATGAAAGCGATACCCGTGGCAGTTGCACTCGACGTTCCTGCTGCTTGTTTTTCCGTGGATGCACGGCCTGCGGCACAGCATGCTGACCAGATAGATCTCTTGGCATGTTCCCAGCCACTGCCAGCGCCGTCGGAAGGGCACACGCCGGCACCACTGCCTTTAACGCGCAGTATGCAACGCGAAAATTCTCCGGAGTATCCATTTCCTTCTAGCTTCCGTCCGATTGCACCTGATGCATCACTAAAAGCGGCGTCCCATCCGGAGAAACGTCAGAGTGATGAGAAAGAATCCACCGGTGTTGCGTCAAAGCAAACACCCTTCTCGCGTGTTTATTCCCTTCGTGGACGAAACGTCGCAAGCGCCAGTTTAGCCTGTAGCGATGACGATTTCTCGGATGACCGCAACGAAGATTTCTGGTCAGCTGCGGACAACGGTACGTTGATATCGATTACTATCGGACATTGCCGCATTTCAGGATAAAATAAATCAAAGATCAGTTAAATTTCTTTTGTGTTTTTAGTTTCTTCCTCTACCGAATCTGATTACTGTAGCGAAGTAGAGGTGAACTTAGACAATGCAACGCCAAAAAGTGGGGACAGTTTGACATTCTGCACTAGACGAATCATCATTCTGAGTGTTTGTTGTTTGTATTATGCATGTTTATAGGGCGAGGTAGGAAACGTCGCACAGTCAACGCGAGAGCCAAGTTGCCTCCGAAGAAAATCGGAACAGTGGGGGCAGTGTTACCAAGTAATGGTACAAATTCAGTAAATGTATACGTTGAATTGACTAAGCACACCGCCATAATCGGATTAATTCAGTTTGCAGGTCCGGAATGCCGAATGAACTAGCTGCAGGGTGCTCGCGTGTGGAGAGAATGCGACGATTGAATGCGGTTGCTAAGATTAATCCCTTACAGTTCTCCTCCCGCAGCGAACGTAGTGCTGCGTGGAAAGCAGTGTGGCAGGCGTACACGACGGATGATGTGGCATCGAAGAATTCCAAGTTTTCATGCAGAAAGCTGCAGATCTATGTCCAGTATCAGTTGGACAATTTTTCCATCTTGCTCGATCGCTACAACGAGAATGGCGACGTAGTTGGGTTGGATCAGTTGGACCTTGCAGCTGACACTGGGAAAGCGCCTCCGAAACCCCTTCTCCTTGAAAATTATGAGCACGATAGATGCAGACGCTACTTCAGTTACGTTTACAGATTTGTGTGTTGGGAGTGCTCTTTGCATTTCATGGACGAAACACTATTGAACTTGCACAAGTTGCAGCATACTGATTCACCCGGCGAAGCTGCTGATCCGCGGGATTGTCCAGTATGCAGGCGATCTTTCAGCAAACTGTCCAATTTATTGCGACATGTCATCGACCATGGCGCGAAAGCTTCGCAGATCGTACATTTTATCCCGACTGCTGATCCCAGCATTATGTGCTTTGCTTGCAAAACGGCCGCTCCGATGGATGTGTTAGCGCAGAGCCATGACGCTCACGAGACGTGCTTCTTGTACAGTTGCGGATTAAATCATTGCGGACTGCGATTTTGCACGGAGTCGATGGCTGATCTGCATCAACTCAGTCACAAAGTGCCGGATAACTATCAGGGCGATGTTGTTTGTGCGGGATGCAACCACGTAGCTGCCAATGCGGAGGATTTGCTGAAACACGTCGGTCGGCATGGAGCGAAACTGAATGATCACAAAATGTGTCGTTTATGTGGAAAGTTTGTGCCGCATATGGTCGAACATGTCCAGACTAATCACAAGGAAGGATATCTCAACTACGAAGCATGTCTGACTCTGCCCTGCGACCAGTGCGAGAAACGGTTTCGGACACCTATCCATCTTGCCACCCATAAAGCTGTAAGTGTTCCAGATGCTATGGGAATGTTTTATTCACTCCTGCGGAATAATTATGTCGCTACCTTCAGACTGAAAATTGCTGAGGATGTGTTTTTTTGAGCGCGTGATTTTTGCCTACTTTTTTGTCTTGTTTTTAGTGTGCACCGGAACACCGCAGTAGAGGTTCACAAGTGTTAGGATGTCAGGTTTGTGCTAAACAGTTCCCTTCGTCCCTTCTGCTGCATGCGCATGTGAAAAAGGATCACGCAACGGGCTTGAAATGTATGGTGTGCCAAAAAAGCTACTCGAAGTATCTACGCTTACAACGACACTCACTAACGCACCAGGAGATCCATGTTTGCAACACCTGTGGGTCGGTATTCCGTTCCAAGCAATGTCTAGTTCAGCATGAGTTCATTCATCGCTCGGATTATTCCTTCAAATGTGATTTGTGTGGAAAGACTTTCAAAAGATCATGCAACCTGTGGCAGCATAGAATGATCGTTCACACGGACAAAATGCGCAAGAAGCGCCAAGCGAAACGGGAGGAAATGCGGCGGAAGGGAGTAGTCAGCGAGTACAAGTGTCCGCGACGGAGAATGCTCTATGAAGAGTTCCCGTTCAAATGCGAGGAATGCCGGCTCGGCTGGATGCTGCTGGGCAATCTGCAGCAGCACCAACGGAAGAAGCATTCCCAGAATGTCGCAACTGTGTAACACGGCACGCAGATATTTTACATGAATTAAAATTTGTACATTCATGTATACATGATGCGCGTATCGGCGAAAGCGTAAATTGCTTTCATTGAGTTCTTGGACGAAAAATTCGTAATGTGAATCATTATGTGATTACCATTTTACTGTACTTAGTACTTACACAAGTTGGAGAGGGACACGCTCCCGTACATACATAGCAATTAGCACAAGTGATACAATTGCAGTTATACAACTGCAATTTACTCTGTGAATCGGATGTAAACAGTTTACACCAATAAAAATGAACAGATTTTCAAAAATTAATTCTGTAAAAACTTGTGTTCTTGCAACCTGTCCGAAGCTCGCCATCCGAAGCGTGCATTGTGATAGGCAACACAAAAATACTTCCGCACAACCACAGGATCCCAGCCTGGCATTTCTAGGGGCAGGCGCCAGGTGGGTGACGAATGACGATGTGACAGCCTACGATTAATCGCACGTCATAAGCGGTGCAAAGAGATGACCATCATAACGTGCGACCATTAGTGGGATTATTGCTGTGATACCGGTACCAGTGCTCTTTAACAAAACCCCTTATTTACTGGAAATTTATTTCGATAAACTAACTGTTTAGTATGTTGCATATCAATTACCTTTCAAGTTTGCTTATGGTTAGACAGCAAAGGGAATCCGCAACGATTGCGTGCAAGCCGTGCATCAATGCAAGCAGCTACGAGAAGAGTGGTAATAATGCAGTGCAGTGGCACTCAATTATGACGAGCTGTTAATGATGATAAATAAGCGCCTGATTAGTTGACCGTCTGTTGACGCATGAACGGATTGCGTTGCCATTTGAAACAGCTAAATTACAACCTTTTTTAGCTTTCTATTACGATTTAACAGCACAATTTTAAGAAGGCGTATAAACACCGGTGAACTGTAATGTAAACGTCAAACGTTACCATAAGTTTATCTACAGTAGATTTCACAGGCGGATTAATTGTATAAGTAGTTCGTACGATCGACCGTACGCATTCTCGTGTCGATAAATCAAGTAAAGAGAGTGCACACTATGTTACTAATAACATAGTGTGCACTCGTAAAGAACGCTTTTTAATGTTACATACACTATTTTCGTGGCGTCGCGTCGGTGACCGGCATTTTACAAAGCAAAATCTTAAATAAAAAATGGACCTATCCAGATTTTTTTGTATCATAACTATCAGTAAACCGGAGTATTATGTCAATAGCTACTTACTGCCCGTAAGACCGTAACTACGAGTATTTCAGTAGAAATTTTGTAGGAAGTGGGATATATTCTGCATGCTTTCACAGGGCGCCTTTTTTTGCGACCCGAAAGAACACAAGGCACACTAGCCTGACAGATCGTGAATTTCTGCTTGGCCAAGCAGCAAACCAGGATCTGTCAGACTGATAATCCCACTTCAGTGTCTTCGTGAAATTAAACTGCAAACCGGCATACTGCGCCGTTGTGGGAAATATATTTTAATTATTTTTTATACGGACGTTTCTAACATTTTCATGCGCAGACTCGCACTTAATATTTAGCGCAACGAGGTCATTCTGGCGATGACCGTGAACAGATAGGTACTTTCACTCGGCCAGCCAGGGAAACGCCTGCAAACTGCCGGGCATCCGATCCCCATAGTCAAACCGCAGCTCCTCGCCCACATCAATGTCCCTTTTAGCGTAGAACACTACATGAACCGGCTGCTCGGAATCAGGCACCACGACCGACTGCGGCTGCAGATTGGCCGCCCGCCGCGAATGGTTAAGTAAGCGCCCCAACCGGCCGCTCTCTTCGGTGCCGTCCAGGCACCAGCCGGTACCTCTGTGCCGGAAGTAGTACAGGTAACAGCCGCCGCACTCCCCGGATCTCTCCATGTACAACTGCTCCAGTTTCTCCCCCATCTCCGCCGACATTAATTCACCGGCGTATTCCAGCACAAAATCACCCTTGAGGAATTTCCGTTGTGTAACGACACCACGGCCGCGACCGGGGAATTCCCGGATGACCAGCTGGGGATCGTCCCGCCCCTCGAGGAGCATCTGCTGCATGCGGGCCTTTTCGCTACGCATCCGCTGCTGCGGTGTCTCCACGGTGCGGCGTTTCACCGGCGGCTTGGTTGGTGCGGGGGGCGCAGTGGGCGTGGCTGACGCGGGGACCGGAGTGGGTGTGGCTGGCTTGCGCGGTGACCGGACAGCGGGTTTTTTTGCCGTCGCGGTCAGTTTCGGCGGTAATTCGGGGACTTCCGGTGGAGGGCAAGGTAGAGTTGTACGCATGCGGATGGGGATGTTCAGATACAAACCCCGGGCCAGTTTACGACATTCCCATCTGTAAACCTTTGACGTTGTTTCGGCCGCATCGACATTGCTAAGGCTGCTGGACTGTTCAAGCGAATCAACAGATGTGCTTGCGACGCGACGGCATGGGATGTTGAGATACAATCCGGATGCAAGTTTGCGGCATTCCCAGATAACTGGTTCCCTTTCCGGACTGCTGGCAAAGGATGTCCATGCTGATGAAGATGTTGTGTTGAACGTACTGCCGAACGTTGTGTTGAACGTTCGAGATGCATCTGTTCCGCGCGAATACATTAAGGTTGAGATAATACTGTACGTATTTATTCAATACTTTATTAGGGTGCTTTTCAGCAATAATAATTGCCGAACAGAACTGTAGAATAACTGCTATAATAAAAACTAGAGCACATCTGCGGAAATAGCAACCAGATCACAACTAACGATTGCAGCGGGCACCGGTAAGAATAATTTTAACACGTTCTATCTCAAAGTGGCAATGGAAATAATTAAAATAGTGGTGGCGCACGTATGGCGGCCTCTTAGATGTTAAAACTCCACCTCCCGTTGTGGCTTTTGCGGCTAGCAGAGTGGCCTTTCTATGCTGACAATGACTCTGCTCACTCTATTCCGTGGCGCTGTTTTCACTTTTTTGCTGTTGAGAATTCTTGCGTATCTGGTGATTTGAATCATTTGATTGTTTTTTCGTAAGTTGTAGTTATTGCAGTATTACTGATTACCGGTTTCACATTTGTTAACCATTCCGCTGAAACTCCACGTCCGCTTTATGGCAGTCAATTCGAAGGCAGTGCCATGCTTGCCCTATGGGGAGAGCTCATGTGACAGTCTTTGTGAGTTGCCTCGTTTTTGGTTTTCTGATCTGGTTTCAGCTTGTTATCCGATAGAAAATGCTTCAGGATCGCTGGCCGCTGGTTTAGGCTACTATATAAGTATTAGTCGAGCGGGTGACGGTTTTACTGTCTCGTTGCATATCTGCGCTTTGCTCATCTTGCAGATTGCGAGAAGTGTCAGTGTTTCCTGCCAGAGCCCTGTTGGCAGCATGCAGTGTTCGTCCAGGACGGATACAGTCTTCCGCTGGCCTTTGCCAGCTTGCCGGATATCTTGGCGTTTCGTGACGACAGTCCACTGCAAAATGTCGGCCAGTCTCCTGAGAACAGCGCAAGTATGTAATTCAATCGGGAATGCTTTTGTAAGTCTATGTTCCGTCGTCACTCCTTGTGCATTTAGTGGAACAGCTGCGTTGCATTTCTTGATACTTGTGACCTTGTCACAAGGCGCTTGTGAATTTGTTCTCGTGTGTGAGTTTTCGTCGTCCATCTAAATGTCCAGTTGGGATAATGCTCACCATTTTTATTAGATGTGTCAACATTAAATATTAAATAACACCGGGTGCCTGTTAATGTTTCCGTATGCGCTTTTGCTGAAATAATCCTTGTGGTGAATCTGCTTTCTCGCAGTTTTATTCCTGCTTGTCATTTGCAGTCCCGTTGGTCATTGCCCGTACGACCATCCTTGCGCAGACGGTGTTCGGGCCATTTATAGCCCCTGTGTGCGATGCCGGTGCAGCGCATTCGCGGACATTTGCATCGGCCGACGGGCAGTGTGTGACGTTCGATGTGGGTAATGATCGTTGGTGCAACTGGATGAAGTTGGTCAGGACGGCTGACCACGGCCAACACAACCTCCGCGTCTTCATCCGGGAACAGAAAATCCTTTTCGTCGCCGTCAAGGTCATCCTGCCCGGCGAAGAACTCACACTAGCGCTATCCAAGCGTGACCGGAAAGAGATCATCGACAATCATGTGAATTATGTAGCAGTTTCTGTGGGTAAGTAGGTTTTATTCAGACAACGGCCAATAGTTTACATAACAAAACTACCTGAGTTAATTAATAAATCAACAAAAATCTCTACTGTCATCGCCAACTTTCGATTGCGTAGTAAATTCGCAAGGCGGTTGTCAGCCTGTCAGGGCATGCCGTTAAGTCTTAATTCTTAATTCGTGATCAATTTGCTTGATTGGATTTCAGCCTCCTTTCGGTTTCTAAGAGAAACTAAATATGATTTAAAATCAGATTTATCCGCATGGGATATTTGTTTAGATTGTGCGATGAGCGGTGCTGCGGTAAACCAAGATACTTCCATGGTGAAGTGCGAGTGTGAAGATGGCCGCGTGGAAGACGTGGCACAGCAAATGGCGGAAGCTGCACTGATCCTTACTACTTGTCGTTTCTCATTTGACGGTGATAAGCTGACTTTGGCACATGATCAGACAGATGTCTTACCTCCCCATACCCTACCACTGCCAGCGCGATGGGAAGAACAATCGCATGCATCGCTTATTGTTCAGCGCAAAGGCTCACCCGAGTTTCCGTTTCCCTCCAACTTCTCCTCAGCTGCACTGGATACTTTGCCGGAGAAAGCTGCGGATGCGAGGAAACTGAAGATCGAAGAGAAAGAGGCGGCGTCGGAGCAGTTCTATGTCTCGACGCGTGTGCATTCCCTTCGTAGGCGAAATGTCGTACGTGCCGGTATTACCCGTTATGATGATGACTTTTCGGATGATAACGATGACGATTTCAGCTTATCCGGGGTCAGCGGTACGGTGATATCGGTGTTACTGGATCCAGGATTCACTTTAGCTTGAGGTTCTTGTGCTGCTTGTAGATTCATCAACGACTGATTCCGAATGCTCCAGCGAAGCTGAAGGGGATTTGCAAGGTGGCACGAAAAAAAGTAGGAGCAGTTTGAGAACTTGCAGAAGTTACTGTATGTTGCGTGTCTGTTACTTAAATTGCGAGTGTTTGATGTTTATAGAGCGAGGCAGAAAAGCTCGCGTGGTAGGCACGAGAGTCAAGATACTTCCGAAGAAAACTGAAACTGTGATGCGAAAAGATACTGCGGAAAGCGTATTAGCAGCTAAAGGTAGAGTACATGTCACGCACAAACTGGCACAGTGACATAATCGTATCGTTTCAGGTTGCAATTCTGAAGAGCCGAATGAACCATCTCTAGTAAGGACAAAGGAGGGCACGAAATACCATTCGGAGAAAATGCGGCGATTAAATCTGGTTGCCAAGATTAATCCCTTCCAGTTTTCCTCGCGAAAGGAACGTCGCGCTGCATGGACAGCAGCGTGGCAGGCATACCAGGATGATGCGGAAGTTGGTCATCGGCCGCGGAAATCGCAGAAACCCACGTTCTCTTGGAAATATTTCCGGCAATTTGTCAAAATGCAGTTGGACAATTTTCCTCAAGCGCTCGATCGCTACAACGAAGATACCGCCAGTGAAAGCAGACGACAGTATATCCAAGTTATGCGAGTAATAGCGCAGCAGGCGGGGAAGGATTATGCCGATGGCGCGAATGGATTAAACGTTGCTGTTAACTCGCATTTCAAGTCACGTACACTTGAGAATTATCGACCTAATAAATGGTTTCCAAGTTTCGTTTACCGATTCGTGTGTCGGGAGTGCTTGTTGCATTTCAAGGACGAAAACGTGCTGAAACTCCATAGTATACAGCACAGTGGTACACCGAGCGAAACCACCGACTTATTGGATTGTCCAGCGTGTCAGAAATCGTTCAAGAAGTTGCCCAGTTTGCTGTGCCATATCATCCAGCACGGTGAAAGCAGCACAGATCATCCATTTTATCCCGACTGCTGATCCGAGCATCATGAGGTTCGCATCCAAAACGGCCGCTCCGATGGAGGTGCTAACGCAGAGTCATGACGCGCATGAGACGTGTTTCATGTACAGTTGCGGCATGGTTGTGTGGGCTGCGATTTTGCACGGAGACAATGTGCGATTTGCACCAACTCAATCACAACGTGCCGGAAAACTACCAGGGCGATGTTGTCTGTGCGGGATGCAACTTCCAAGCTGCAGATGCCGGCGATTTGCTGCGGCACGTCGGTCGACATGCAGCCAAGAAATATGATCGGAAACTGTGTCGGTTATGTGGAGATTTTGTGGAGAATATGGTTAGTCATGTCCAGAGCATGCACAAGGAAGAGTATCTTAAGTACGAAAGCTGTTTAAACCTGTCCTGTGACCAGTGTGAACAAGGATTTCGGACGCCTATCCATCTCGCCACGCACAAACTGGTAAGTGTTCCCTGGGTTTTTTTGCAATTCGGTTGCTAATTCTAGCAGAGTAAACGAATTTGCAGAGTGGAAATTCAATGACAGCATCTCATTGGTTCTGCCGTTTTAGTGGGTGCACAATGGTAAACAAGGTCAACTGCGATGCCTCGTTTGTGCGAAGCCGTTCTCGACGACCCATCAGCTGCATGCGCATATAGAAACGGAGCATACAACGGGTTTGACGTGCGTGGTGTGCCAGAAACGTTGCTCAACTTATATCGGCTTGCATAAGCACGCGAAACGACACAGGGAGATCCATGCTTGTCGCACTTGTGGCTCGGTGTTCCCTTCTGTGACCGCCCTAAATCAACATCAGCGCGTTCACCGGTCTGTCGCTTCCTTCAAATGTGATTTGTGCGGAAAGACCTTTCAGAAATCGCTCAATCTGGCGAAGCATAAAATGATCGTTCACACGGATGAAATGCGGAAACCGCGCAAAGGCAAACTGGAGGAACTGTGTCGGGAGGGAGTGGTGAGGGAGGAGAGTGATAACGAAAATGAAGTTCCACTGACCGCTTCGTTTAAAGATGTTCAGCTGGCGCGCCATAATCAGAGTGGTGTCATACCTCAATTCCTGCCATTGCTAGCCCAATGGGAAGAACAACCGTCTGCATCGCGCGTTGTTCAACGCGAAGGCTCACCCGAGTATCCGTTTCCCTCTGATATTCGTCTAGTTGCGCCTGATGCGTTATCTGAAAATTCTGTCAGTCCAGGGACGCGGCACATTAGAGAGAAAGAACTAGCCGATGGTGCTTCGGAGCAGATATCCTACAAGCGTTTCCAATCCCTTCGCAAACGAAGTGGCGCAGGCGCCGGTGCAGCCTGTAATGATGTGGATTTCTCTGATGACAACGATGAATATTTCTCTTTTACTGGGAACTATGGTACGATGATATCGGTCATTAATCGGACGTTGATGGGTGTAAGATTACCTGATTTTATTCTTTTATTGCTTGAAGATTCGTCGGTAGCCACTCAAGTTGAATATTGCCATGAAGTGGCAGCGGATTTGGAAGGTACCAACACAAAAAGTGAGAAAATTTTGACAATCTAACCTGGGAATAAGTAGCGTGATGTCATTTAATGGTAAGTTATGATTTATCCTCGTATGTATTTTATAGATCGAGGCAGAAAACGTCGCATGGTCGATGCGAAAACCAGGATGTCACCATCGTCGAGCCGTTGCCCGAAGAGAACCGGAACGATACAGAAACAGATACACACAGATACTGCGGATACGGTGCCAACAGTTGATGGTAGATTTTGTCTGTTTGGTGTATTTATGTGCATGAATTAATTTGTCGGTTTGTCGCAGATTTGTCGGCAAATGTAGCACCGTGGGGGCTCCCGCCTGCTGCGTTTCTTCAACTTTCTTGAGGCGCGGAACCGACTGATCAGGGCCGTGATTGCCGTTAACCCATTCCAGTATCCGGCTGGAGAGCAGCGGTTGCTGGCGTTTTCCACCGCTGCGACCCTGCTGCTGCCTGACCAGGCTTTGCTAGGGATGAAAAAGCTCGATGGACCAGCGCTAGAGCGGTCCATAGAGAACCGTCTACATAACTTCAAAAGATTACAGCGCAGTAATCAACTCCCCTCGTTGTGGAGACCTGCCGAGTTCGTTTCACTGATGGATGAGCTGACTGCATTAAAAGACAGTAAACGCTCGGACAGCATGTCCGAGAAAATACGGCGAGTAAAAGCGGTTGCCAAGATCAATCCCTTTCAGTTCTCCTCGCGAAGTGAACGCAGCGCCGCGTGGACAGCAGCATGGCGCGCATACTTGGATGATGCGGAGGACGATGATTCTCCGGAAGAACTGACGAAACGAGTCACGTTTACATGCAAAGACCTTCAGAGGTGTGTTCTGAATTATTTGAAGACTTTTCCCCAAGCGCTGCAACGTTATGACGAAAGTACCGGCGATCTATCCGAACGGAAGTACGTCGAGGTAATGCGAGCGCTAGCACAGCAGGTGGGAATTATTTATGCCGATGACACGCATCCCATGGCCATTCACAGCAGTGTCGACGCTATTGGGGCGGATCAGTTGAACGTTGCAGCTGACACATGTTCATCAAAGGAACTCAAACGGCGTCAGCTTTGGAATTGTCGATTCTTAAGTTACGTTTACCGATTCGTTTGTTGGGAGTGCTCGTTGCATTTTAAGGATGAAAACTTACTGAAACTCCATAACATGCAACACCGTGATAAATCCAGCGAAATCAGTGTCTCACTAAATTGCCCATCCTGTCAGCGATCGTTCAAACAGCTGGCAAACTTGCTCCGGCATGTCAAGGACCACGGTGTGAAAGCCGCGAAGATCATCCATTATATCCCGACTGCTGATCCCAGCATCCTGTGCTTCGCGTCCAAAACGGCCGCTCCGATGGATATACTAGGGCAGAACCATGAAGCACATGAGACTTGCTTCATGTATCGCTGCGGAATGGGTGGTTGCGGACTGCGATTCTGCACTGAGACATTATGCGACCTGCATCAACTCAGCCACGACGTGCCGGATGATTATCAGGGCGAGGTGGTTTGCGTTGCATGCAACTTTCAAGGGAAGGATGCGAGGGATTTGCTGAAACATGTCGGCCGGCATGCAGCGAAGGCCAGCGATCACAAGTTATGTCGTTTGTGTGGAAAATTTGTCGAGGATATGATCGGGCACGTCCAGACTAATCACAAGGAAGAATATCTCAAGTACGAAGCGCGTCTTACTCTGCCCTGTGATCAGTGCGAGAAGCGGTTTTGGAACCCTGCTCATCTCGCCACCCATAAAACTGTAAGTGTTCCGCGGTCTTGTCTTTATTTCTCCCCGATTCTTATAAAATTGCTGGCTTACAATGGCAGATACTAATTCCCAGCTTGCAGTTATTCAATATTCGTTTTTGACCTTTCAGTGTGCACACGAAAGTGTAAGTTGTCTGGTTTGTGCCAAACCGTTTACATCGAGCTTTCAGCTGCATGCCCATGTAGAAAAAGAGCACACATCGGGTTTGATATGTGTGGTGTGCCAGAAAAGCTATCCAACATATGCCGGCTTGTATAAGCATGCAAGAAAGCACAAGGAGGTCCATATTTGTCGCACTTGTGGCGCGGTGTTCCGTTCTAAGGACAACCTAGTGCAGCATGAGCCCATTCACCACTCGGACTATTCTTTCAAATGTCATTTGTGCGACAAGACCTTCAAGAGATCCTGCAACCTGTCGCAGCATAAAATGATCGTCCACACGGATAAAATGCGCAAGAAGCGTCAAGCGAAACGGGAGGAAATGCGCCGGAAGGGAGTGGTCAGCGATTACAAGTGTCCCCGACGGAGGATGCGCTACGAAGAGTTCCCGTATAAGTGCGAAGAATGCCGGCTTGGCTGGATGCTGCTGGGGAATTTGCAGCAGCATCAACGGGAGAAGCACTCCACCAATGACGCAACCGAGAAAACTGGCAAAAACCATCCGGTATCTGTTTCCAGTGGAAATGCTTAATTAATCACAGTCTGATCGATTGTTTGATTTCCAAATCTGATCGAATTTGTAGAGATCCCTAAATAATTTTTACGTTTTATTTGCTGATGAAGTAAAATTTTCTTCCGAATTGGTGGTGGTAAATTGGTGGTGTGATTATCAGCTTTGCATTCGTTATCTGAACGGATTTTTGGTATCATGTTTGAGCTTGCTATTTTATTTTGTTTGTATCACTGTTTCGCTGTCTCATGCAGTTTAAGATGGGGACACCGGATAGCGTCTGCAGAATTTCTTGTGCAAGCTACAACAAAATTGTACAGCAGTATAAAAAACAATAAAAAACCCATGAAGTTTGTTTGTTTGTATGGAAAATTCTGCTATTTACCAAGCAGTAATAGTTAACTTTCAAATTAATCCACGGTACGAGTCCTCATACACAATCACAGTAATACACTACAAAGTACAAATTACAGAGTACAATACTTTTCACGATATGTGTTTTCCACGGATTTCGTATCAGTCTTTTGCCGCTTCTGTTTTTTCCCTGCTTAATACGGTAATCGTAATTTTGTTACAGACACTTTCGGTTTGTTTTAGGAATTCTTCAGAAAAGAATAGAAGATAGTATGCACTATATGCAACAGGTTTTTGACAAAGCATTACCGCTTATTTTCACGATCAGTATCAAAGGCGTAAACCGCGCGCGCGCCACCTCTCTGGGGGGGCTGCACTATATAGCCCGCATAGTGCCTGGCTGCAACTTGCCTACTTCGTAAGGTCGAGCCAACTATTCGTATTCTTTCTTACTTTACGCTGTTTTAGTTTTCACTTGGGTTGTTGCTGTCACAGTTGTTTTGTCGCGATTGTGTGATACTATTGTTTTTTCTTAATGTTCAGTTATTACGGTATTACTGCTACCAGTTTAGCATATCCATTGAACATTCTGCTGGATCCCTGAAAACGCTTTATGGAAGTCAGTTCGAAAGCTTTGCCACTGCCGTTCTTACCCGACGGGGAGAGTTGTCACGACAGTCTTTGTGAGTTTCCTCATCAACAGTTTCTGACATGAATTCCGATTATCGTTAGATATAGGATACTCTTACTCAAGGAGCGCTAACCAGTACTTAAATATTGGTTTATATTAGCATTAAACTGTCACGTAATAATGCTTCGACATTGGTATCTCCGTTCTGTATGCATCTGTAGACTGTATTCTGGTGAGACTGTTGGCGATTGCATCAGCTCGTTTGACAGTGCCGATTCGATTTCAATATTTTCACCTGCAGATTGCGAGAAGTGTCAGTGTTTCCTGTGGGAGCCGTGCTGGCAGCATGCCGTTGTAGTTCAGGACGGATACAGTCTTCCGCTGGCCTTTGCAAGTTTGCCAGATGTATTGGCTTTCCATCATGTCAACCCACTGCAAAATGTCAAGCAGTGTGCAGAGGACAGCGCAGGTATGTACAGTAAGTAATTCAGTCGGAAATTTATGTTGGAAGTATGTGCCGTGTCGTAATTCACTGGGCATCTGTGTTCGCGTCTGTTACGGTTTGTCGATACCCGTGAAATCCAGTCGTCGTTGTTGTTGTATGGCGCACGAGTTTCTTAGCAGTGCGCTGCCGTTTGAAGCACTTTATTCTCGCTTGATTTTGCCACTGTTTGCTGCGTGCCACCAGCGTCAAATGCTAATAACATCTACTTTCTCGCAATATAGCGAGTTGTCTTGTCACATATGTTCTTTTACAGTTCCGACGGTCGTGGCTCGAGCGACCATCCGTCCGCAGACAGTGTTCGGGCCGTTTATAGCCCCTGTGTGCGATGCCGGTGCAGCGCATTCGCAGACATATTCATCGGCCGACGGGCAGTGTGTGACGTTCAATCTAGAGAACGATCGTTGGTGCAACTGGATGAAGTTGGTCAGGACGGCTGACCACGGCCAGTACAACCTCCGCGTCTTCGTCCGGGAACAGAATGTCCTCTTCGTCGCCGTCAAGGTCATCCTGCCCGGCGAAGAACTCACGCTGTCGCTGTGTAAGCATGATATCGACCGGAAGAAAATTCACCACGACAATTTGGGTTATGCAGCAGCGCGTGTGGGTATGCCCGTTGTAGGTAACACGCTGTAGGCTCCTAGATGATTTTACTCGTGTTGATTTTCGCCGGTGAAAAGTGTAGCTACCGCTGGTTCAATTTCTGTTTCCAGCTGATGACATTTCTCTGTTTTCGCTGATTACTTGTGATTTTATACTTCGTAGTGGATGAAATCATTGAAATGAGCGAATTTTATTTGATTCTGTGTTCAGCATTTCAGCTGATGTTTTCTTCGTGTAGATTGCACAAGCGGCAGCATTTTTTTGGCTGAAGATTCTTGCATGACTGGGAAAGGAGATGATCGTAGTGAAGATGCTGATGTGGAAGCAATGTCGGTGGACATCCCGCAAAACGCTTTTACTGCTGGTTTCTCAGTGGATGATAGTCATCTGCCGTTGGCGCCTGATGAGCAGACAGACGTTTTACCCCAGTCTCAACCACTGCCAGCGCAATTAGACGAACAACTTCCTGCATTGAGCACTGTTAAATGCGAACAGTTGCCCGCATTGCCATTTTCTTCAAACTTCTGTTCCGCTGCACTTGATCCAGTATCGAGGAAGGCGACTGATTCGGTAAAACGGAACCACGAAGACAAAAAGCCGGCACCGCTGCTTGTGATGCACAGTTTTAAACGCGAAGATTCTCCTGAATATCCATTTCCTTTCAACTTCTCATCAGCGACAACTGCAGCCGTGATTCCGAAAGCAGTCGATACGGGAAAATGCAAAAGCGAAATGAAAGAATCGACTGGTGTTAAATCGAGGCAGACAGCCTTCGCGCGTGTTTATTCCCTTCGTGGAAGCAATGTCGTACGCGCCAGTGCGGCCTGTAGTGATCAGGAATTCACAGACGACAATGATGAGGACTTCCGCCTATCTGGGGACGACGGTACGATGATTAGCGAATATTGCTGGGTCTGAGATGCCATTTGACTTGCGCCTGTTGCTTCGTTTTAGATTCGCCATCTACTGATTCCGAGTACTGCAGCGAAGTGGAAGTGGATTTGGACGAATGTGTTATCAGGACAAAAAGTGTGTGTTATCAGGACAAGCTTGCCAAACTACGGAATTTACTGGGGTTCAGTCATATCAATTTTTATTTATCCTTTTTTCAGAACGAGGCAGAAAACGTCGCACGGTTAACGCGCGAAGCAAGGTGCCCTTGAAGAAAATTGGAAGTGTGGTTTGTAAGGACACTCCGCATACGGTATCAGCAATTCCCGGTAAAGTTTTCTCCTAAATTCTAAGCGCTAGCAGACACTGTATCAACCGACGACATATATCTGTGGAAATATTATCAGTGACATATGGACATAACTGATATTTACTCATTTTATTGCTTGCAGATTCGTCGGCAAGTGGAGCACAGTTTGGTCTCCCAAATGCTGCGTTTCTCGAGGCACGGAACAGACAGATCAGAGCCGTGATTGCCGTTAATCCGTTCCAGTATCCGGCTGGAGAGCAGCGGTTGCTGGCGTTTTCCACCGCTGCGACCCTGCTGCTGCCTGACCAGGCTTTGCTAGGGATGAAAAAGCTCGATGGACCAGCGCTAGAGCGGTCCATAGAGCAACGTCTATATACCTTCAAAAGATTGCAACGCACTAATCGCATGGAGTCTGTCTGGAGGCCGGAAGAGTACGTTTCGCTGATGAATCAGCTGACTGCTTTAAGCAACAACAGCAGTGAGTGCTCGATCACTCAATCGGAAAGAATACGACGATTGAAAGTGGTGGCCAAGATTAACCCCTTCCAGTATTCCTCGAAAAAGGAACGTAGTGCCGCATGGACAGCAGCGTGGCAGGCATACCGGAATGAAGTGGAGAACGGTGGTCCTCAAGAGCGGAAATCAAAGCAGGCCATGCTTCCTCGCGAGAAGCTACCGCGATTTGTCAAGATGCATTTGGATAATTTCCCGCAAACGCTCGACGGCTACAACGAGGATACCGCCAGTCAGTTCCAGCGGGAGTATATCCAAGTGATGCAGGTGATAGCGCAGCAGGCTGGCAGAGGTTATGCCGACGCAGTTGTGGTGCACCAGTTAAACGCCGCAGTTGACACCCAGAATGCGCATTCCAAACGGCGGCCTCCTCAAAGTTATCCAACCAGTAGCCGCTTCTATAGCTACGTTTACCGCTTCGTCTGCGGGGAGTGCTCTTTTCATTTTAAAGATGAAACCGTACTGAAACTCCACAAGATGCAACATAACGATGCACCCAACGATACCACCGTCTCCCTGGAATGCCCCGCTTGTCAACGGTCGTTCCAGAAACTGCCGAACTTGTTCCGGCATGTCATGGATCACGGTGTGAAAGCCTCGCAGATCGTTAATTTTATCCCGACTGCTGACCCGAGCATCATGAGCTGCCCGGCCAGTACGGCTGTTCCGATGGATGTGCTGGCGCAAAGTCATGACGCGCATGAGACCTGCTTCATGTACAGCTGCGGAATGGTGAATTGCGGGCTGCGATTTTGCACGGAGGCAATGTGCGATTTGCACCAACTGAGTCACAACGTGCCGGATGATTACCAAGGCGATGTTGTCTGTGCGGGATGCAACTATGTGGCTGCAAATGCGGAGGACTTGCTGAAACACGTCGGTCGCCATGCAGCGAAGAAGAACGATCGGAAACTGTGTCGCCTGTGTGGAGAATTCGTACAGAATATGGTCGTACATGTCCGGGATAAGCACAAAGAAGAATATTTAAAGTACGAAGCGCGTTTAACTCTTCCTTGCGACCAGTGCGAGAAACGATTTCGGACGCCTGTCCAACTCGCCGCGCACAATATGGTAAGAGTTTTTACAATCATGGTGCGAAATGCGAATTCTAGCGGAAGAAAATTCTTATGACGCGCTGCTTATCTCGTTCTTTTTGCCTTTTTAGTGGGCACACAAAGATGAGCATGGGCGACTAAGATGTCTCGTTTGCACAGAACCGTTCCCCTCGGCCCGTCTGCTGTATGCGCATACAAAAAAGGAGCACACAACGGGTTTGACATGTGCGGTATGCCAGAAGAGCTGGCCAACTTACGCTCGCTTGTATGCCCACGCGAAAACTCACAAGGAGATCCATACTTGTCGCACCTGTGGCTCTGCATTCCGCTCTATTAGCAAGTTATTTCGGCATCAACGAACTCACCGGTCTGTCCATTCCTCTAAATGTGATGTGTGCGGAAAGACCTTTAAGGTACCGAGCAACCTCGCACGGCATAAAACGACCGCTCACACGGGTAAAATGCGGAAGAAGCGCAAGGCCAAACGAGAGGATATGCGCCGGAAGAGAGTGGTCCGCGAGTTCAAGACTTCGCGGCAGAGGAGCGATGGCGATGATGCCGGAAACGATACTGTGGCAGCTATGTCGGCAGACGTTGCTGGTTGGTTTTCATTTGATGATCTTTTACCGCGGTCCGAACCACCGCCCGCTCCATCTGAAGAACCTTTTACCCGTGTTTATCCCCTTCGTGGTCGGAATGGCGTAAGCACAGCTGTAGCCTGCAGTGATCAGGATTTCTCCGATGACAGCGATCGAGATTTCTGTTTATCTGGCAATGACGGTACGCCGGTATCGGTTACTAATCCGATCCAGGACGCAGGTTAACCTGATTGTATTTTTCTGCCGTTAGAAGCGTCATCTACCGATTCCGAAGGTTGCAGCGAAGTGGAAGAGGATTTGGATGATACCATGACAAAACGTGCGAACAGTTTTACATAAAATAAGGAAATGATTGTGAATTTGATGTAGCGGCTGATTAAGATTTATGCGCGTTTATAGAGCGAGGCACGGTTAACGCTAAAGCCAAGAGGTCCAAATCGTTACGCCGTTGTGCGGAGGATACCGGAACTCTGATGTGTACGGACACTGCCAATACGGTGTCACCGGTTTATGGTAAACTTTTCTCCAAAGTTTAAGCGTAAATACAAGTGTAAAAATATCATCAATAAAATGTGAACGTCAAGTATTTTTTGCAGATTCGTTGGCATGGCGAGGCCCGGACGGTGGCCCGAATGCTGCGTTTCTTGAGGCGCGGAACCGACTGATCAGGGCCGTGATTGCCGTTAATCCGTTCCAGTATCCGGAAGGAGAGCAGCGGTTGCAGGCGTTTTTCACGGCTGCCAGCATGCTGCCGGCTGACCAACTGTTGCCAGGGATGAAAAAGCTAGATGGGTCGGTGCTACAGCGCACTATAGAGATGCGTCTGGTTAAGTTCAAAAACTATCAGCGTAATAACCGGGTTGACTCGGTGTGGAGGCCTGCCGAGTACGTGTCGCTGATGAAGGCGCTAGCTGCACTGCAAGCCAACCAACGTACGGCCACCAAATCTGAGAAGATGCGCCGACTGAATGCGGTGGCCAAGATTAATCCCTTCCAGTATTCTTCGCCTGGTCAGCGCAGCGCCGCCTGGATAGCCGCGTGGCAGGCGTACCTGGCTGATTGCGCTGATGCTCCGGAGCGGAAGTCGAAGAAAACGCTGACCTGCGCGCAACTACAGCACGAGGTCCAAATGCATTTGGAGAAATTGCCACGGGCGCTCGACGGCTACAACGAGGACACCGCTGATATGAACAAGCGAGAATATATCGAGGTTATGCGGGTGATAGCGCAGCAGGTGGGAAAGGATTTATACGCCGATGGTCCGCATGTCGTGACTTCCACCGTGAATGGTGACGGCGTTGATCAGTGGAACGCTGCAACGAACACTGCGCTGGCGCCGTCAAAACCGCGTCGTTACAAGAAAAGCGAGCGTGACAGGCGGTTTTTCAGTTACGTTTACAGATTCGTGTGCTGGGAGTGCTCGCTGCATTTTAAGGATGAAAACGTGTTGAAACTCCATAATATGCAACACCGCGATATACCCAGCGAAACCACCGTCTCACTGGATTGTCCAGCTTGTCAGCGATCGTTTCGGCAACTGTCAAACTTGCTGCGGCATGTCGTGCACCACGGTGTGAACGCCCGGCATGTTATACATTTTATCCCGACCGATGATCCCAGCATCATGAGCTTCGCGTCCAAAACGGCCGCTCCGATGGATGTGGTGGCGCAGAGCCATGACGCGCATGAGACGTGCTTCATGTACAGCTGCGGAATGCAGAAATGCGGGCTGCGATTCTGCACGGAGACGATGTGCGATCTGCACCAGGTCAGCCACAACGTGCCGGATGATTATCAGGGCGATGTTGTCTGCGCGGGATGCGATTTCGTGGCTGCAGATGCCGTCGATTTGCTGAAACACGTCGGTCGGCATGGAGCGAAACTGTACGATCACAAACTGTGTCGACTGTGTGGAGAGTTTGTGCAGGATATGGTCGAGCACGTCCAGACAAAGCACAAAAAAGAATACGTAAAGTACGAAACGCGTCTTACGCTCCCCTGCGATCAGTGCGAGAAGCGATTTCGGACACGAATGCACGTCGTTACCCACAAAAATGTATGGTTTTTTCAGGTGTTTCGCATTCTCATTGATGAATGTTTTTTGCGGAGTGTTTATTTATGATAAGCGACAATGACCGGAATCGTGGTTGTATAACTTTTGTTTTGTCTTCTTATAGATCGTACATACAAGTTTGCAAGCGTTAGGATGTCTGGTTTGCGCTAAACAGTTCAGCTCGTCCAGTCTACTGCATGGGCATATAAAAAAAGAGCATGGGAAGGTGTTGACGTGCTTGGTGTGCCAGAAAAGATACTCGAAATATTGCCGCCTATATACGCACGCGAAAACCCATAAGGAAGTCCATGTTTGTAAAACCTGTGGCTCGGTGTTCCGCTGCAAGAAGAGCCTGGAGCAGCATGAGTACGGTCATCGGTCTGATTATTCCTTTAAATGCACTCTGTGCGGAAAGACCTTCAAGAGACCGACCAACCTGATGCAACATAAAATGGTCGTTCACACGGATAAAGTTCGGAAGAAACGCAAAGCTCAACGGGAGGAAATGCGCAAGAAAGGAGTGGTCAGCGAGTACAAGTGTCCGCGGCAGAGGATGCGCTACGAAGAATTCCCGTATAAATGCGAGGAATGCCGGCTTGGCTGGATGCTGCTGGGCAATCTGCAGCAACACCAACGGAAGAAACATCCCGATGCCCCTGCAACTGTTCAAAGTGGCAAGAAATAGTCTTTCGGCGTTTTTTTCCACAGGATCGGTTAGCTGGCGGCTGATCGATCTGTTTGATTTTTCATAATAATTTGCAATCAGAAATCGCAGTTGTGGACGCTGCAGAAGGACTTGTGGACACTTTTACATTGTTGGTCGCATCGCTGTATGTACGAGTATTCAGAATTAATAAAACAATTCGTGTACACAAAAATGACATTTTATTCAGTGTACATTTTATTATGCGTTTAGAATATGTGAATGAACAATCCATTTCAGTTAAAAATCCAATTCCGTATTTATAATGGGTTCCAAAAATAATTTAACAAATCCGTCTGATAATATTATTTCATTATTCACCGTAAAGTAACAACAAAGCATCCAAGCTGTCATTAACACAACACTAGCTGAACTCTTTTACCGGATTTAGCGCTAACCAAACAATTCCGCAGTCTTGACTATCCACACTGCCTTATTAGCGCGCACCAATTACTTTTTCCTCCGTTCAAAGCCGCAGCAGTCAGTTCGATCAACTTCCTGGCAATCAGTATGGAACTGTAGTCATCGTCCATTCGACCATTCCCGATGGCGATAGCGTGCGAACGAGCGCCCATCCACGCTCTGATAGCGGTTAACAATCTGTACAAGCATGATAATATTAAGTACACCCGTCAGGACTCGCTTCTCCTGAATGGTATGATGGACTTGAACACTCAAGAGCTAAAATGCAATGACATACTTTCTCAACGTCCTACTCAATTACCACCATCCGCTGAGTCATCCCTATCCCCGGGCGACGCAACGGCGTTTTGGCATTCGAACAGCTCCCACAATTCCCGCTTCACCGCGTCTAACGAGCAGGGGACGCCGAAGGAATGCTGTGCTACAAGAGCCGTCAGGTTGCGATCGACGATGCGGCACTGCTTCCACAGGATTCGGTCGCAGCACGGCAACCACTCCAACATCATCTCCGCTACGTCCTCCAGTATGCGGTCGATACCTGCACCGTATCCAGTGCCGAAAATGCACTCATAGAACACCAGCGTCGGCAGCCGGCTGATGTCAGCGGTGTGGACGAGGTGCTGGAAGAGATCGAACAAATCCCGGCATTCCAACATGTCCAAACCCATGATAACCGCCATCTGGGTGCGGCTGCTCAAGCACTTCAGCAGACCCGCAGCTACCCAGAATTCTTCTTCTTTGCGGAAATTCAGCTTACTGTAAGCGCCGACTTTACCGGACACACTCACAAAAGGAAAGTTAGCGTCGGTGGTTAGAATGCTATTCCACAGAGGATTGACGCGTCGGCAGCGGAAGCGCTCGATGGAGTCCAACGACTGGAAGACCTCGACCAACAGCTCCACTGGAAGCGGCATGGCACAGTGTTCACCGTCTTGTTGCTGTCCAGTTCCACTGTCTGGGCTACTCGCCATGTGGCGCAGCACCCAGCGCGATTCAGCGGAGGTGAAACCACCCTGCTCCTCTTTCTTCGCCCAGCGGTATACGCCCATCTGCAAAAACCAACGTTTGCAATTCTTTTCGTTGCCTTTGGAGGACTTTTTTACGTTTTCTAATTCCAAGATTTCACGATCGTATATATTAATACGATATACACACTATTAGTAGTGTGTACATCGATTCCGCCCGTAAATTGCTTAAGCTCACTGTACAGGTCAGCTGGTTGCTCACTCGCGTAAAATGGACATCAGCACATGGCTAAAGCCGCAAAACCGGTTTTGCGGCTTTAGCCATGCGCACCTGATCGAGTGAGCGGAGACACAGAACAGAGAGAGCGGCTGTTGCTGGTGAGCAATGTGCTGGCCCGTAAAGCGAGCTTGAGCAATTTACGGGCGAAATCGATGTATATGTAGTTATTCCTTTGCAGAACTCGAAAGACTTTGACCTCGACCTATTTGCTAATATTAGCATCTTCACACGTTTTCTTAGCTTACATCGACAAATCAGCATGCGAGAAAGTTTATTAACAGCCGAAAAACAAAATGAAAATTACACGACGATCACCATTAGGGTTAGACTGGCCATATATATATCTAGAGACGTTCAGGAATCAACTCAAATCTCAACTAACAATGGACTAGGTGAAGGAACGTACCACTTTTTTAGGTTTCAATAGCTTCTTCAACGTCCATCCCTCGTCCTGCAGGTATCGCACCGTTGAGCCGAGCAGAGACATGCACAACACCCCAAACCGTCCGTTCAGTTCGCGCTTGAAGACCTCTTGGAGCCAGTAAGATTCATCTTCCCAGCTGACCCAGGGCAACGTACAGGAACCGATAACAAACTGATCCTCGTACACCCGCACGTAATCCATATCCGCCAGCGGTAGGCGTACCTGTAGTTGTGAAATTTAAACAGCTATGGGCCATTTTTTAAGAGTCCGAAATGAAACTGATTTGAAATAAAATTTAAAATTCGTATTGCGAAATTTATTTTTTAAATATAATTTTACTGGTATTTCGCTTAATTTATAGCAGTTACTAATATGTGGGTATTTTTAACGGTTACAGAATTTCATCGCATTCTACTTTATCAAATCGGCATTCAACCTGAAATTGACAATCCCTCAATCTAAAAATAATTTTTTAAATAATAATCTACGGTAGTAACAATCTTTAAATAATAATTATTTAAAAATTGTTTTAAAAAATTCATGTTTGTTTCGAATGCTCGAAGCTCAGGTTTGATTTTTAAAAGGTTCCTTTCGAAGCTTTAACTGTCAAGCCGTCGAAACGGTGACTGAAACCCTACGCACCTGATCAATGGGCATGAGCTCGCGGATGGTGCGCCCGTCCGGCATCTGCACTTCCACGAAATCCGCGAACTCCGAGCGGTATCCACCCAAGGCGACCACCTTGCCCGGATACCAGATCCAGGCTCCCGTGGCCGGCGAGCGCAGCAGGACTTGCGCGTCGTCTTTCGGTCTCCTGAAGTACGGGAAGAAGCTGTCAAAAATGTAATTTTCCACAGAGTCCTCAGGCTGTTTCGAAATACGCCTGAACTGAATAAATTTGGCGCGCTGGTCGTCGCAGCCAAAATCAACGATTAGGCCGCCCTCCGCCACGTCGATGACATGGCCGTGTTTCAGTTTTCCCTTGATGCGGACGTCCACGGCGTTCCACGCCAGTAACGGGCGTTCTTCGTCGTTGTAGACCAGCATCGCGCAGTTCGTGGTTCGAGGCCTGTTCAGAGCAGAAACAGAGTCGATAGCGCAACAGGCCACTACCGTCACTTATAAAAATTTGATCTTCACATCTGTGTATTAATCTGCGGCAGAATTGTTGACGGCTAAATGACGAGGTACCGCAATAAAAAAAACTAGGAGAGAAGATTCAGAACTATGTCACGAATTTCACACAACTGACAGCAACTGAGCAACGCACAACAAATCGGATTTCTTACTGCCGCTTTATGCGGACTTTTATTAATGCAGTCGTCAGCCTGGGCGGCAGACTATTACGCACTCAGTATCTCAGCTGCCTAACTCCTGCGCGGAGGCTGTATTTACGTTTTTTACAGGTTTCTCCGTTTCTGTTTGTGGTTACCTTTCTTTTGCATCGGAACTAATGAGATTATCAGTCTCTGTTTTTTCCTTCGTTGGATTCTCTCAAGTGTCTGTTGATCTTTTTTTCGCAAGTTTGAGTTGCTACAGTATTACTGGTCAGTCGTTCTATCTGCTGAATCGCGACAGTATGGAAGCCAGTCCGGATGCGCTGCCGTTCTTGCCCGACGGAGAAAGTTTTCACGACAGTCTTTGTGAGTTGTCTCATCGTCCGTTGCTCGGTTTTTTAGGGATAAGTTATAACTTTAAGTAGCGTAATCGAAGAGAGGTTGCCGGACAGTGACACCGGTATTAAACTAAATCCTCGTACTGTTGTGATCTCGCAGCAACATTGCAGAGATGTGCCGATTCTGCCGCTGCATAGTTTTTGTGTCGAAGTCACTAACGTTGTGATTCGATTTGGCCTGCAGATTGTGAGAAATGTCAGTGTTTCCTGCGGGAGCCCTGTTGGCAGCATGCAGTGTTCGTCCAGGACGGATACAGTCTTCCGCTGGCATTTGCTAGCTTACCGGATGTCTTGGCTTTCCATCATGACAACCCACTGCAAAATTTCGGCCAGTCTGCGGAGAACAGTACAAGTATGCAAAGTTCGGTCGGGAATTTGTTTGTGAGCTCATCTTCCGTCCACATTCCCTGTCCATTTGCAGAGCTATTGCCTTGCAAATCTGGATATTTTTGCTTGCTTTAAATTTTTCGTCATCAACGTCAAGATGCAGTCGGAATTATTCGCTGTCTTTAGTCATTAGTTAAATAAGCATTGATTATAACGCCGTTTATGCAGTTAAATATCGTTTTATTACGTTAATCATTAACGTAATAAATACCGACCACATTAACGGTTAATGTGGTCGGTATTTGCTATGCACCGCCAGTTGTAAAACCTGTCGGTGGAAAGCTCTGCAGCATCTACTATCTCGCTGCTGGTTATCTTTTGCAGTTCCGTCGGTCGTGGCGCGAACGGCCATCCTTGCGCAGACAGTGTTCGGGCCGTTTATCGCGCCTGTATGCGATGCCGGTGCAGCGCATTCGCGGACCTTCTCATCTTCGGACGGACAGCGTGTGACATTTGATGTAGAGAACGATCGTTGGTGCAACTGGATGAAGTTGGTCAGGACGGTTGACCACGGCCAGCACAACCTCCGCGTCTTCATCCGGGAACAGAAAGTCCTCTTCGTCGCCGTCAAGGTCATCCTGCCCGGCGAAGAACTCACACTGGCGCTGCGTCAACGCGACCGCAAGGAAATCCACCAAAACAACGTGGATTATGCGGGTAAGTCCAGCAAAGTAACACACTGGGCTATTAGACAATCCGTGCTGATTTTCGCCGGTAAAAGTTGGCCTTTGCTCAGCAAATAAGATACATATTTTCGGTAAAGTGCAGCTTTCGCTGGCAGTACCTTTCCTTTGTATTTCGTGCTGTTGGCGTGGTTTTGTTTTAGTTGATTGTTTGTGACTGTATGTTTCTTAGTAGGTGAAATGAGCGGAACTTATTCGATTTTATATTCAGCTGATGTTTTTTTTCGTTCAGATTGCAAAAGCGGCAGCAGTGTTGTGGCCGAAGATCCTTGCATGGATCAGGAAGAGGATGATGGGAGTGACGATGCTGATGTGGAAGCAATGTCGGTGGACATCCCGCAGAACTCTTTTGCTGCTGGTCTCTCAGGGGAGGATAGTCATCTACCGTTGGCGCTTGATGAGCAGACAGATCTCTTACCACAGTCTCAACCACTGCCAGCGCAATTGGAAGAACAGCTACCTGCATCGAACGCTGTTAAATGCGAACAGTTACCCGCATTACCATTTTCTTCAGAATTCTGTTCAGCTGCACCTGATGCAGTATCGACGAAGGCGACCGATTCGTTAAAAAAACAGAACAGCGAAGACAAAAAGCCGGCACCGCTGCTTGTAATGCGCAGTTTTCAACGTGAAGACTCACCTGAATATCCATTTCCTTCCAACTTCTCATCAGCGGCAACTGCACCCGTGACACCGAAAGCAGTCGATCCGGGAAAATGCGAAAACGAAAAGAAAGATTCAGTCGGTATTGCATCGAGGCAGACAGCCTTCGCGCGTGTTTATTCCCTTCGTGGACGCAATGTCGTACGCGTCAGTGCAGCCTGTAGTGATGAGGAAAGAGACGACAACGACGAGGACTTCCGCCTGAATGCGGACGACGGTACGATGATTAGTGAATATTGGTGGGTCTAAGATGCAACTCGACCTGCGCTTATCCTTATGCTGCGCTTAGAGTCGCCATCTGCTGGTTCCGAGTTTTCCAGCGAAGTGGAAGTGGATTTTGACGGCAGTGATAACAGGACAAAAAGTATGACAAACTTGACAAACTACAGAAAATGCGGCTTTGGGATTTTGTCACGATAATTTTACTTATGCGTGTTACAGATCGAGGCCGAAAACGTCGTACGGTGGAGGCTAGAGCCAAAATGCCCGCGAAGAAAACGAAAAGCGCGATGCGAAAGGATCCTGCGGACGCGATATTAGCTACTAAAAGTACGAGTACAGTAAATGTCCGCGCACAAACGAGCACAGCGCTTTTATCGAACCACTTCACTGCGGTTTTGTAGAGCCGAATGAACTAGCGTCAGTTCCCGTAAAAAGCAGTGATCGCTCGAAGGGGCATGCGGAGAAGATGCGGCGATTAAATGTGGTTGCCAGGATTAATCCCTTCCAGTTCTCCTCGCGAAAGGAACGTCGCGCCGCTTGGACCACAGCGTGGCAGGCGTACCAGGACGCGCACTTTGGTCATCGGCAGCGGAAATCGCAGAAAGCCTCGTTTACATGGAAATATTTACGGAGATATGTGAAAATGCATTTGGATGATTTTCCCCAGGCGCTGGATCGCTACAGCGAGGATACCGCCAGTCGGAGCAGGCGACAGTATATTGACACAATGCGAGTGATTGCGGAGCAGGCTGGAAAGGATTATGCCGGTGTCGCACATCTGGAAAGTGTCGAGCCGGTTCGGAAGGGGCAGTTAGACGTTGCCAACGATGCTCTAAATTCGCATTCCAAACAGCAAGCAGCAGCAGAGAAATGTAAACCGGATAGGAGTTTCTGAGTTTCGTTTACCGATTCGTGTGCCAGGAGTGTTCGTTGCATTTCAAGGAAGAAAACTTGCTGAAACTCCATAATTTGCAACACGCGGATGCACCCGTCGAAGCCACGCTTTCACTGGACTGTCCAGCCTGTCAGCGATCATTTCAGAGACTGTCCAGTTTGCTCTTACATATCACGCACCACGGTGTCAGCGCCACGAAAATAACCCATTTTATCGCGACGGCTGACCCGAGCATCATGTGCTTCGCTTCCAAAACGGCCGTTCCGATGGAGGTGCTGGCGCAGGACCACGACGCGCATGAGACGTGCTTCATGTACAGCTGCGGAATGGTGAACTGCGGGCTGCGATTTTGCACAGAGGCAATGAGTGATTTACACCAACTCAGTCACAACTTGCCGGATAATTACCAAGGGAGTGTTGTGTGTGCGGGATGCAACTACGTCGCCGCAAATACGGAGGACTTGCTGAAACACGTCGCTCGGCATGCTGCGAATACGAACGATCGGAAACTGTGTCGACTGTGTGGAGAATTCGTACAGAATATGGTCGTACATGTGCGGGATAAGCACAAAGAAGAATATCTAAAGTACGAAGCGCGTTTAACTCTTTCTTGCGACCAGTGCGAGAAACGATTCCGGACGTCTATCCATCTCGCCCAGCACAAACTGGTAAGTGCTCCCAGATTTTTCTGCAGTCGTCTTGCTACTTCTGGCGGAATAAATGCAATTTTAATGACCGAGCTTCCTCTCATCTCATTGGTTTTGCCTGTTTAGGGGTGCACAAAGGTGAACGAGGGCGAATAAAGTGTCTGGTTTGTGCACAACCGTTCCCATCGGCCCGAATTCTGCATGTGCATATAAAAAAGGAGCACACAACTGGTTTCCCATGTGCTGTTTGCCAGAAAAGCTGGTCAACGTACACCGGCTTATATGATCACGCGAAAATGCACTCGGAAATCCACACTTGTCGCACCTGTGGCTCAGTGTTCCGCTCTAATCACCAGTTAATTCAGCATCGACGCATTCACCGATCTGTCCATGCCTCCAAATGTGATGTGTGCGGAAAGACCTTTAAGCTACCGAGCCATCTGTCACGACATAAAACGTTCGTTCACACGGATGAAACGCGGAAGAAGCACACATCTGAACGGGAAGAAATGGAGAACCTGTCTGCTAGTTGTTTCTCCTTTGATGATCTATTGCCTCGGTCCCAGTCTGAAGAACAAGCACCCGCACCGCTGCCTGCATCGCGCATTTGTCAGCGGGGAAACTCACCAGAGTGTGCATTGCCTTCTAATATCGGTTTAGCTGCATCTGTTGGGCTATCGGAGGAAACTGTCGATGCGGGGAAACGGCACAGTGGAGAGAAAGAATCAGCCGGTGCGGCTTGGGAGCAGATGTCATTGGCGCGTCGCCATTCCCTTCGAAGTCGGAATGGCGTAAGCGCCGTTGCAGCCTGGAATGACGAGGATGTCTCTGCTGACAAACATCAAGATTTCTGTATGGCGGGGAACACCGGTACTGGTTTTTGACCGGTCGGTCCGGGGTTCAGTTTGTCCTGATTTTCTTTGTCTGCTGCTTTAGATCCGGCATCTACCGAGTACTGCAGCGAAGTAGAGGATCTGGAAGATGACGCGAGACAAAGTGAGAAAAGGCGCATGGAATATGTCATTTTTCTGATTTTCCGTCATTTTACTTTTGGCGTGTTTATAGAACGAGGCAGAAAACGTCGCATGGTTGACGCGAGAGCCAAGATGCCCCTAAAGAAAACTGGAAGGGTGATACGAAAAGACCTTGCGGAAACGACGTTCGCAACTGACGGTAAATTAATGCTTTTCCTTAGATTAACAGTTAGCATAAAAGCCGTAAGTATACTCGACGACTTGCACTATTAATGGTGTATAAACATAAATTATATCGTAATGACGCATTTACATTACGGTTTGCAGATTCGCCGAAAAGGAAAAAGCTTCCTCCAACTGCTGCGTTCCTTGAGGCGCGGAACAAGATGATAAGAGCCCTAATTGCCGTTAATCCCTTCCAGTATCCGGCTGGAGAGCAGCGGTTGCAGGCGTTTTCCACTGTTGCAACCCTGCTGGCGTCTGACCAGGCTGTTCTAGGGATGCGACAGCTGGATGGATCCGTGTTGCAGCGCAGTACAACGATGCGTGTGGATAAGTTCAAAAGAAAGCGGGGTAATAATCGGAGCAACGCAGCCTGGTGGCCGGAGGAGTACGTCTCCCTGATGAAGGAACTGACTGCGTTAAGCAGCGATCGCTGCAAGGACGCTGGAGCAGAGGAAATACGCCGCCTGAAGGCGGTGGCCAAGATTAATCCCTTCCAGTATTCTTCGCGAAGTGAACGCAGCGCCGCATGGACAGCAGCGTGGCAGGCGTACCGGGACGATGCGGAGAACGATGGTTCCCAGGAGCGGAAAGCAAGGAAGGTCGCAATTTCATGCCGAAAACTACCGCGATTCGTCCAGATGCATTTGGATAACTTTCCACAAGAACTCGATCGCTACAACGAGCAAACCGCTAGTCAGTTTCAGCGAGAGTATATCCACGTGATGCGGGTGGTAGCACAGCAGGCGGGGAAGGATTACGCGGATATCGCGCCTCCTTTGACTGTTCACAAGGATATCGATGCAGTTGGAGTAGATACGTTAAATGTCGCCGTGGAAATCCAGAGTACACAATCCACTCGACGGTCAGTTAACCATCAGTCCAACTACCGTTTCGTCAGCTGTGTATACCGCTTCGTATGCTGGGAGTGCTCGTTGCATTTCAAGGATGAAAACCTACTTAAACTCCATAAAATGCAGCATAGCGATGCCCTGCCTGTCCCACTGGATTGTCCAGTTTGTCAGCGATCGTTTACGAAAGTGGCGAATCTATTCCGGCATGTCATGGATCACGGTGTGAAAGCGTCGCAGATTGTGCATTTTATCCCGACGGCTGATCCCAGCATCATGAGCTTCGCTTCTCCAACGGCCGCTCCCATGGATGTGCTGGCGCAAAACCGACGCCCATGAGACGTGCTTCATGTACAGTTGCGGAATAAAAAATTGCGGACTGCGATTTTGCACGGAGGCGATGGCGAATGTGCACCTACTCAGTCACAACGTGTCGGATGACTATCAGGGCGATGTTGTTTGTGCGGGATGCAACTACGTGGCTGCAGATGCCGGCGATTTGATTCAGCACGTAGGACGGCATGGAGCGAAACTGCGCGATCGGAAATTGTGTCGTTTGTGTACGACATTTGTGGTGAATATGGAGCAGCACGTCCAGATGAAACACAAGGAACAGTATCGTAGATACGAAGCGGGTCTGACGGTTTCCTGCGATCAATGTGAGAAACGATTTCGGACGCGTGCACATGCCGTGAACCACAAACATGTTAGTAATTGTTTCATATGTTTCGCATTCTTTCTGCTATTGATACGGAATGTGTATGATTGCGAAAATTACCGACTTCCTAGTTTTTAAATTGTTTTTTGTTTCATTGTAGATTGCACACACAAGTTTACAAGCGTTGAGTTGTCTGATTTGCGCCAAACAGTTTGCCTCGTCCAGTCTGCTGCAGTTGCATATAAAAAAGGAACATGGAAAGGTGTTAACTTGTGTGGTGTGCCAGAAAACATACTCAAAATATTGCCTCCTATATACGCACGCAAAAACCCATAAGGAGGTCCATATCTGTAAAACCTGTGGCTCGGTGTTCCGCTGCAAACAGAGTCTGGACCAGCATGAGTACGGTCACCGGGCTGACTATTCCTTCAAATGTGATTTGTGCGGAAAAACATTCAAGAGACCGACCAACTTGATGCAACACAAAATGGTCGTTCATACGGATAAAGTGCGGAAGAAGCGCAAAGCCCACGCGAGGAAATGCGCCGAAAGGGAGTGGTCAGCGAGTACAAATGTCCGCGACAAAGGATGCGATACGAAGAGTTCCCGTTCAAATGCGAGGAATGCCGGCTCGGCTGGATGCTGCTGGGCAATCTGCAGCAGCATCAGCGGAAGAAACATCCCGATGCCCCTGCAACTGTTCAAAGTGGCAAGAAATAGTCTTTCGGCGTTTTTTTCCACAGGATCGGTTAGCTGGCGGCTGATCGATCTGTTTGATTTTTCATAATAATTTGCAATCAGAAATCGCAGTTGTGGACGCTGCAGAAGGACGTGTACCCACTTTTACATTGTTGGTCGCATCGCTGTATGTACGAGTATTCAAAATTAATAAAACAATTCGTGTACACAAAAATGACATTTTATTCAGTGTACATTTTATTATGCGTTTAGAATATGTGAATGAACAATCCATTTCAGTTAAAAATCCAATTCCGTATTTATAATGGGTTCAAAAAATATTTTAACAAATCCGTCTAATAATATTATTTCATTATACACCGTAAAGTAACAAAGCACCCAAGCTGTCATTAACACAACACTGGTTGAATTTTTTTACCGGATCTAGCGCTCTACAAACAATTCCGCAGTTTGACTCTCCTCAACTGCCTTATTAGCGCGCACCAATCGCTTTTTCCTCCGTTCAAAGCCGCAGCAGTCAGTTTGATCAACTTCCTGGCAATCAGTATGAAACTGAAGTCATTGTCCATTCCCGATGACGGAAGCGTGCGAACGAGCGCCCATCCACGCTCCGGTAGTGGGTAACAATCTGTACAAGCATAATCATATTAAGTACAGATACATCCCGCTTCTCCTGAATGATATGATAGACTTTCAACACTCAAGCGCAGAAACGCAATGACGTACTTTCACAACGTCCTTCTCCATTACCACCATCCGCTGAGCCATCCCTCTCCCCGGGCGACGCAGCGGGTTTTTTGGTACTCGACCAGCTCCCACAGTTGCCGCTTCAACGGTGTAAAGGAAGAAGGGACGCCGATGGACAGCTGCGCTACCGGCGCCGTCAAGCTGCGATCGACGATGCGGCACTGCTTCCACAGGATGCGGTCGCAGCATGCCAAACACTCCAACATCAGCTTAACGGTCTCGTCCAGTATGTCGTCGATAATGTCGTGGTCATTTCCGAAACAGCACTCACGGAACTCCAGCATCGGCAGCCGTTTCTCGTTGCGGTTATGTTTGACGATCTTGACCAAATCCGTGCTTTCATGAATGTTCAGGCCCGTGATAACCACCACCCGGGTGCGGCTGCTGAGGCACTTCAGCAGACCAGCCGACACCCAGTATGCTCCTTCATTACGGAAATGCCGATTGCTGTAGGCGCCGTCTTTACCGGACACGCGCACAACCGGAAAGTTGGCTTCGATGGTGAGGACGGCGTTCCACAGGGGACAGACACGCCGGCAGCGGAAGCGCTCGATGGAGTCCAGCGACTGGATGACCTCCGCCAGCAGTTCAACCGGCAACGGCATTGCACGGCGTTTACCGCTTTTTTGCTGTCCACTGTCTAGGCTGCTCGCCATGTCACGCAGCACCCAGCGCGACGAGGCGGAGGAAAAACCACCCTTCTCCTCGTTCTTCGCCCAGCGGTATAAGTTGATCTGCAAAAACCAACGTTTTCAAATTTTTTCGTTCCGTTTTGAGGACTTTTGTACCTGGGACTTGGGAATTAAACTTCAAAATTTGACAAATTCAATTTAAAACCAAACGAGTTCTCAGATGTCTGAAACGATGTGAAATGGAAACAATTAATTCTTCATATAAAAATAAAAAATCACGGAAACAAATGAAGGCGTGGCAAATGCCAAATGGCAAGTTGGCAATTATAAAACTGCTAAAATATCAAAAAATGAACGCGTTAGTTCAATGATTTATTCTGAACATAAAATGTCATTTTAACCATTTTAACGCTTGAAACAAAAAACACCTTTTCGAAAAAAATAGTTCGTTAAGTTTCAACTTTAATTTCAACTCGAGTTTGACAAAATCTGGTCAGTGGCCAGCCAGGATCAAGACAAGAGGAACGTACCATGTCCAGAGTGTTCACTGGCCGCAAATATTTATCGTGCTCCATGTAATACACCTTCGTGCCGTCCTGCAGGTAATGCACCTTCGAGCCGCGCAGCGCCGTGCACACCACAGGAAAGCGTCGGGCCATTTCGCGCTGGAAGACCTCGCGCAGCCAATGCGATTCGTCATCCCAGCTGACATCCGGCAGCGTACAGGAACGGATCATAAAATGCTCCTTCCTCACCGCATTGTCGCTCCGCAAGTAGTCACGCGGGGGCGGTCGCCGTACTTGGTCCATCGGCAGCAGCTCGCGGATGGTGCGCCCTTTCGGCAGCTGCACTTCCACGACCTCTGCTTTCTCCAAACGGTACGCGCCCAGGCCGACCACCTGGCCCGGGTACCAGACCCAGGCGCCCGTGGTGGGCGAGCGCAGGAGGACCTGCGCCTCGTCCGTCGGCCGCATGAAGTCATGGTAGATGCAGTGAGCGAGGCGACCGTATTCGATGAACCGGGCGCGCTGTCGCTCGCAGCCAAAGTCAATGATCAGGCCGCCCTCTGCCTTGTTGATGACATGGCCGTGCTTCAGTTTGTTTCCCTTCATGAGGACGACCACGGCGTTCCACGCGTACACCCGGTGGTCTTCGTCCCCGTACACGAGCATCGTGCAGTTCGTGGGTTCTCGCCCTTGACTGCCAGAAGACAGAAACTAAAATGATTACGCAACAAGCAGCTACCGTCGCTTATCAAAATAAGATGTTCACATCTAAGTAATATGCGGTGCAGAAATTGCGGGAATGGTTAACAGTTGACGAGGTAGAAAGAGATCACTAATCACTAGCGGAAAATCGCTAATCACTTGGCAAATCACAGATGACTGAGCTGAGTTAACGGACAAGAAACAGCGCGCCGCATCATTGGAATGCTGTTAACGTACACGTCAGTTTGGGCGGCAGACAACTACGCACACAAAAACACAGTTGCCTGCCTCTTGTGCAAGCTGTTTACATTCGTACTCCAAAAAAAATCTTGACTCCTTGTGATTCTTTAATTATTGGGCTTCTGCAGATTTCGGAGTCGCTTTTTTATCTCCTTTGAATCTTCTAGCGTGTATGATTTTTTCGCAAGTTTCTGTTGTTCAGTGTTACTGATTAATCATTCATGTCCATCATCATTCTGCAGAATCGCGAAGTATGGAAGTCAGTTCAAACGAACTGCCATTCTTGCCCGACGAGGAAGGTTTTCACGACACTCTTTGTGAGTTTTTTTCATCGTCCGTTCGTTAGATTGCAGCACAATCAAAGATTGATTGCTAGAAAGAGACCCGTATTAAACTGGAAACTGGTATCACTGAAATATTGCAGCGGTGTCACGGTGTGTGAATTCTGCGTACTCTGTAGTGCGTGCAAGTTTGTGTCGATTTCACTGACGTCGCGATTTGGTTAATTTGCAGACTGCGAGAAATGTCAGGCTTTCCTGCAGGAGCCGTGTTGGCAGCATGCAGTCGTCGTCCAGGACGGATATAGTCTTCCGCTGGCCTTTGCCAGTTTGCCAGATGTCTTGACTTTCCATTATAACGATCAACACCAGAATGTGTTGCAGCCTCCAGAGAACTGCAATCGTGAGTGCACAGTAGCAATGTAGCAGAGAGAAAGATCATTCTCTCTGATTGTAGTTTTTCCTGTAACAATCTGCTCGTGTCATCATAAAAATTTAGATTTTGATTTTTATATACAGTACTAGTAAAATTTTTTTGCTTCAAACGTTTGCAGTTGTCCATTTTATTTCGTGTTTGCCCAGTAGTTGCAGTTTTTCATTGATTACGCTTTATCGTAGTTGGTTTATTCATATAAAGTCTTTTCAACTACTTCTTTCGCTTAGTGCATTGGCATTTTTGACAGCATTACAAGTAGATAAAAATTATTTATTGGATGAACTGTTGATGTGAAAAATTACTCTGTTTTGTACCGTTTAGATTTCCCTCCCGATGTTTGCAGTTTTAGCGCTTTGACGTGAATTCTTGTAGTTCCGTCGGTCGTGGCTCAAACGACCATCCGCCCGCAAACTGTCTTCGGGCCATTTATCGCCCCACTGGGCATTCCGGGTGAGGCGCATTCGCGGACATTTTCATCGGCCGACGGGCAGTGTGTGACGTTCAATCTAGAGAACGATCGTTGGTGCAACTGGATGAAGTTGGTCAGGACGGTTGACCACGGCCAGCACAACCTCCGCGTCTTCATCCGGGAACACAAAGTCCTCTTCGCCGCCGTCAAGGTCATTCTTCCCGGCGAAAAACTCACGCTGGCGCTGTATAAGGACGATGTCGATCGGAAGGAATTTCCCAACGACAATGTGGACTACGTAGCCGTGTGCGTGGGTAAGCCGCAAGGCTTGATGAAGTACAGTACATACGCTGGTCTCTGCTTGGTTTTCTTATCGATTCCGAGATTCTGCCTCCTTTCTGTGGTGGAAGTAAAGTACTGCTCAGTTGTATCTTCATGTAATGTTCATGCTTAGATTGTGCGATTAGCGGTACTGAAGTAACCGAAGATGCCTCGTCGATCAAGTGCGAGGATGATGAGTGCGGAGATGCTCGTGTGGCATCAAAGTCGGCGGACTTTCCGCTCAACCTCATTGCTGGTTGTTTCTCATTTGACGGCGATCAGCTGGCTTTGGCACTTGATCAGAGAGATGGAGTGTCTTAGGCCAAACCACTGCCAGCGCAATCGGCAGAACAGCCTCCATCGCGCACTGTTCAACGCGACGGCTCACCCGAGTATCCGTTTCCTTCCAGTTTCGGCTCTGCTGCATCTGATGCGTTATCGGAGGAAGCTCCGGGGAAAAGGCTCAAACGGAGCAGTGCAGAGAAAGAGTCAGCCGGTTTTGCGTCGGGGCAGATGCCCTTCTCGCGTGTGTATTCCCTTCGTGGACGAAATGTTGTACGCGCCGGTGCAGCCTGCAGCGATGGGGATTTCTCTGAAGACAACGATGAAAATTTTTCTTTAGCTGGGAAAAGTGGTAAGTGCGAAGTGCAGTTCTATTAAGCCGGTTTTTGATCTGTTACTGCTTGTAGATTCGTCAACTACTGATTCTGAATACTGCACCGAAGTGGAAGATGTTCTGGAAGATTCGACGACAAAAAGTGGGAATATTCGAATACTCTGCACGAAACGAATAATTCGTCTGCGTGTCTGTCGTTAAATTATGTGTCTTTGTAGAACGAGGCAGAAAACGTCGCATGGTTGACGCGAGAGACACGGTGCGCCCGCACAAAATTGTTGCTGTGAATCCTGTAATAGGAAAAGACTCAGTGATGCCAGATGGTACAGTATCTGTAATATTTGCGTTCGTACTTACGGGCACAGTGCCATAACCGCATCACTTCAGTCTGCAGTCCTAAAGTACGGAGCTATGCTCGCACGAAGCTACGTGCGGAGGATATGCGACGATTGAATGCGGTAGTCAAGATTAATCCCTTCCAGTTCTCTGGTTCAAGGGAACGTCGCGCCGCGTGGACAGCAGTATGGGAGGCGTACCGGGCTGACTACGATACCTCGGACAAGCGCAAAGCACAGAAAGTCTTGTTATCGTGCAGATCTCTACAGAAATATGTCCGGTGTCAGTTGCGCAACTTTCCCAACATGCTCGATCGCTACAACGAGAATAACGCCAATCAAGCCGAGCGAGAGTTTATTGCAGTTATGCGAGTGATGGCGCAGCGGGCGGGAAAGGACTATGCCGATGACGCGCATCCCTTGGCCATGCACAAGAATGCAGTTGGAGTGGCCACACTAAGTGCCGCAGTTGACACTCAAAATGCTCATTCCACACTGCGGTCCAATAGGAAACGACCCAACAGCCGCTACGTAAGCTACGTTTACCGCTTCGTGTGCTGGGAGTGTTCGATGCACTTCAAGGATGAAAGCCTGCTGAATCTCCACAAGATGCAACATAGCGGCGCCACCCCTGTCTCACTGGATTGTCCAGCTTGTCAGCGAACGTTCACGAAAGTGTCGAATTTATTCCGGCATGTCATGGATCACGGTGTGAAAGCCTCGCAGATTGTGCATTTTATCCCGACGGCCGATCCCAGCATCTTGAGCTTCGCTTCCAGTACCGCTGCTCCGATGGATGTGCTTCCGCAGAGTCATGGCGCGCATGAGACATGCTTCATGTACACTTGCGGATTGGCTCAGTGCGGACTGCGATTTTGCACGGAGACGATGGCGGATTTGCACCAACTCAGTCACAATGTGCCAGACGATTATCAAGGCGATGTTGTCTGTTCGGGCTGCAACTATGTGGCTGCCAATGCGGAAGATTTGCTGAAGCACGTCGGTCGCCATGCTGCACAGGCGACCGATCGAAAACTCTGTCGTTTGTGTGGAGAGTTTGTGGAGAATATGGTGGTACATGTCCGGACTAATCACAAGGAAGAATATTTCAAGTACGAAGCGGGTTTAGCCCTTTCCTGTGACCAGTGCGAAACACGATTGCGGACATCAGACCATCTCGCCACGCACAAACTTGTAAGTGTTCTGGGTTCCACAATCATTTTGAGGATTGTTGAGGAATAGTTTAGAATTTGCAGAGCGAAAATGACAGGCACTGTTTTTCAGCTGGTCACTTTGATCTCTTTTTAGTGGGCGCACAAGGGTGAACAAGGTCGTCTAGGATGCCTCGTTTGTGCAAAACCGTTCCCATCGACCCGTCAGCTGCATGCACATGTACAAAAGGAGCACACAACGGGTTTGACGTGTGTGGTGTGCCAGAAACGCTATTCAAGATATGACCGCTTGCATCAGCACGCGAAAACGCACAAGGAGATCTATATCTGTCCCACTTGTGGCTCGGTGTTCCGCTCTAAAAGGAGCTTAGTGCAGCATCAGCCCGTTCATCAGTCTGACTATTCCTTCAGATGTGATTTGTGCGGAAAGTCCTTCAAGAGATCAACCAACCTTTCGCAGCATAAGATAGTCGTTCACACGGATCAAGTGCGGAAGAAGCGCAAAGCCCAACGCGAGGAAATGCGCCGAAAGGGAGTGGTCAGCGAGTACAAATGTCCGCGACAAAGGATGCGATACGAAGAGTTCCCGTATAAATGCGAGGAATGCCGGCTCGGCTGGATGCTGCTGGGCAATCTGCAGCAACATCAACGGAAGAAACATTCCCAGGGTGACGCGACTGTGAAAAATGGCACTAGTCATTCGGTGTCCTCTTCCGACGGGAACACTTGAACGACGTCTGGTCGATCGAACTGTTAATTTTTTTATGATCATTCGCAATTGGAAATTTGTAGATGTACAGAAGGGTTTGTACAAACTTTTGCAGTACGTTGTTCACTGTTTCTCACCAATATTCTGACTGTACCAGTCTGAATAAAGCTGATTTTATTTAGTACTCGTACAAATGGCTGCGATTGCATACACTGATAGACATGATCTAAAAAGAATGACAAGCCCATTCTAACGGCATTTCAAAAATCCATACGCTCACTGTACTTATTGTGTTAATCATTATTTAGTGACAAAAAGCTAAAAACCGACCAAAATCAGAGGTTAAAACTTCAAAGTTTCTTCTACCGGCTCAAACGACGCACTGAACAATAATAATTTCCGCAGTCTTCACCTCCACCACTGCCTGAAAAGCGCCTGTCAACTACTGATCTATTCCTCTTTTCAAAGCCTGGGCGGTTCGTTTCCTGGGGGGCATCTGGGGCGGTTCGTTTCCTGGTATCCAATATGTAACTGAAGTCACCATCCATTCCCAATGGCGATGCGGGATCACGCTCTCGTAAGCCTTTACAATCAGCACTACTCTGTACTCGTTTCTCCTGGGAATGATACGGCCGGCAAAAAAGACCAGGAACGCAAGGACGCATTCTCTTCAATATCCTGTTCAATCACTGTCATCCAATGAGCCATCTCTTCCGCCGGGCGACGCAGCGGCGGCAGCTTCGACAAATTCCCACAATTGCCGCTTCAACGGCATCAGCGAAGAAAATGCGTCGACGGAGAGCTGCGCTACCGGTACCGTCAGGTTAAAATAGACGATGTTACATTGCTTCCACAGGATTCGGTCACAGCATGACAGCATCAACAACATCAGCTCAGCCACCTCCTCCACTACCACCTTCCGCTGAGCTACTTCGTCCAGTTTGTAGTCGAAAAAACCATCCTCCGCCCTCCTGAAAATGCACCCGTAGAACACCAGCGCCGGCAGCCGGCTGACGCTGCAGATGTGCTGGATAAGCTTGGCTAAATCCATGCATCGACTCATGTTCAGACCCATGATAATCGCCATCCTGCTGCGGCTGTGCAGACACTTCAGCAGTCCAGCCGCCACCCAGAATGCTCCTTCTTCCTCCAGGGAAAGTATTGCACCGTAAGCGCCGTCTCTGCCGGACATGCGCACATCCGGGAAACTGGCTTCCTGAGTGAGAATGCTGTTCCACAAGGAGCAGATCCGCCGACAGCGGAAGCGCTCGATGGAGTCCAGCGACTGGAAGATCTCCACCATCAACTCAACCGGCAACCACCAACGACGTTTAACGCTTTTTCGCTGCTCACTACCTGGGCTGTTCGCCCTGTGACCCGTCACCCAGCGCGATTCACCGGAGGTGAAACCACCCTTCTGCTCATTCTTCGCCCAGCAGTACGTCTTTCTGTAAAAAAACTCACGTTTACAAATTATTTTTCACATTTTCAAATTATTTTTCGTTGTCTAAGAGCGTTTACCAATCTTTACTCATTTGATCTCCACTTATACGTAATTCTTGCTTTTGATATTTTCTTAGTTATTCCGTGTTTATTTATTACTGTATTATCTCCACAGTAGCAGAACAGTAGCCATCTCCGTTCAGTGGCGACTGGCGATATTACATCTCAAAATTCAGAAGCCTCTAGATGGGAAACTTGTTTGGCTATTTTTTAAAATTTTTTACTTGTTCGGCTTAATTTAACGATATAAAAACATCCAAATTTTTTTCCGGGCTTATTTTTCAAAACCCACAATAATTACAAGCTAGCATTAATTAAAAACTTACCATTTTCATCATTTTCACTGGTTTAAAGTACCAACCGTCGGCGTGCAGGTACTGCACCGTTGAGCCGAGCAGCGACGTGCACAACACACCAAGCCGTTCTCTCAGTTCGCGCTTGAAGACCTCTTTGAGCCAGTGCGATTCCCACGCCCAGCCGACGCCGGGCAGCTTACGGGAATGGATAATAAAATGGCCCTCCCACACCTTGAGCTCCCCCCGTAGATACCGGACCGTGGGCGGTTGGCGTACCTGCTCCATGGGGAAGAGCTCGCGGACAGTGCGGTCCGGCAGCTGCACTTCCACCAACTGCGCATAGCCCGGGCGGTACTCGCCCAGATCGATCACCTGGCCTGGGTACCAGATCCAGGCGCCCGTGGTCGGAGAGCGCAACAGGACTTGCGCGTCACGTGTGGCTCGAGAAAAGTGGTTGTAGAAGCAATGGAAAATGCGCCCGAATTTAATGAACTTGGCACGCTGGTTCTCGCATCCAAAATCAATGATCAGGCCGCCTTCCGCCACGTTGATTACATGGCCGTGCTTGAGTTTTTTCGACTTCATGCGGACGTCCACGGCGTTCCATGCGCTCACACTGTGTTTACGGCCGCAGAACAGCATCGCGGACTCCGTGGTTCGTGTCTTCGTGCCTGTGCAGATTAAGCCAGAAACTGAATTGATCACGCAGCAAGCAACTACCGTCAGTGGTCAAAACCGGATCTTGATATCTGCTTATAATCTGCGGCATATAAGCTGCAGGAATAGCGAATTGCTGACGAGGTAGCACAATAAAAAAATACTAATGAAGATTCCCAAATCTACGACAGATCACAACTTCAGCGCAAAATATTTTCAACACTTTGGGTTTTTATTGGCTCGTTATTTGGGCCATTTGTTAACGTACTTTTCATTATGGGCGGCAGACTGGTACGCACCAATTTACACGGTACACACAACTTGCTACAATGGGTACTTCTTCTTATTTTACACTTTTTTTGCAGTGGAATTTCAGAATCGCTAGTAGTTTTTATCTCCTTCTTCGGATCTTCTTGCGTATTGTTTTATATCTTTTTCGCAAAGTTCAGTTGTTACAGTATTTCGGATCAACCGTTCAGCTGCACTAGCATTCTGCTGAATCCCAAAGTATGCAAGGCAGTTCGAACGCGCTGCCATTACTGCCTGATGGGCAGAGTTTTCACGACAGCCTCTGTGAGTTTGCTGCATGACCCGTCTGTTAGAAATGGTCTACCTGAAAATAGGTGCTTGTTGCTGGAAAATGGCCAGTGTTATGCTAAAGCTAAAGCTCTTTAGTTGTTGCGATGACTCGCTGCCCTTGCCATGATTGCAGACTGGTGTGATTTCTGCGTGAAGCATGCCTGCATGAGCGTGTGTGTCGAATGTCGATTTCACTAACGCTGCGCTTTGATTAACCTGCAGATTGCGAGAAGTGCCAGTGTTTCCTGCGAGAGCCCTGTTGGCAGCATGCAGTGCTCGTGCAGGATGAATACAGTCTCCCGCTGGCCTTTGCTAGTTTGCCCGATATTTTGGCTTTCCATCATGACGGTCGACAGACTCAACACCAGAATGTGTTGCAGCCTCCAGAGAACAGCAACAGTGAGTGCAGGCAGCATTGCAGTCTTTGCTGTGACATTCTACTCGTATCATAATAAAAATAAAGATTTTTGTTTTTTTATACTAGCAAAATTTTTTCGTTTGAAGTGTTTGCAATTTGTGCATTTTATTTCGATTTGCCCCGTTAGTCGCGGTTATTCTTTAACGTTGTATCGTAGTACTAGTTGGCAATTCATATGCAGTAACTACGGTAGTAACTACTGTATATACAGTACTATTAGTACTTAAATTATTAAATTAATAGGAATTATTAATATGGATGAACCGTTGGTGTGATATCGCTCTGTTTTGTGCCGTTTAGATTTGCCTACCAACGTTTGCTCTGTTTAAGAGCTTTGACCTAAATTCTTATTTAATGACCATCGGTTCCATCGCTTTGATCTAAAATTTTAGTTCCATCGGTTGTGGCACGAACGGCCATCCGTCCACAGACGATGTTCGGACCCTTTATAGCGCCTGTATGCGATGCCGGTGCAGCGCATTCGCAGCATTCGCAGACATATTCATCGGCCGACGGGCAGTGTGTGACGTTCAATCTAGAGAACGATCGTTGGTGCAACTGGATGAAGTTGGTCAGGACGGCTGACCACGGCCAACACAACCTCCGTGTCTTCATCCGGGAACGGAAAGTCCGCTTCGCGGCCGTCAAGGTCATTCTTCCCGGTGAAGAACTCACACTGGCGCTGTGTAAGCAGGATATCGATCGGAAGGAAATCATCACGACCATGTGAACTATGTCGCAGTGTCTGTGGGTAAGACGCAAGTCGCAAGGCACTGATGAAGTATTGCTCATACGCTTGTCTCTATTACTAGTGGGTTTTGTGATCGGTTCTTAGATTCCGTGGAAGTAAAGCACTGCTCAGGTGTATCTTCACGTAATATTCATGCTTAGATTGCGCGATTAGCGGTACTGGGATAGCCGAAGATGCTTCAGCAATCAAGTGCGAGGATGATGAATATGGAGATGATAATACGCCAGCAATGTCGGCGGACGTTCCACTCAACCTCGTTGCTGGTTGTTTCCCATTTGACGGCTATCAGCTGACTTTGGCACAAGATGAGGCAGGTGTGCTACCTCAGTCCCCAGCACTGCCAGCGCATTCAGATGCACAACCGCCTGCGTTACGCATTGTTCAGCGCGAAGGCTCTCCCGAGTATCCGTTTCTTTCCGGCTTCGGCTCAACTGCATCTGATGCGTTGTCGGAGGAAGCTCTCTGTCCGGGGAAACGGTTCAAACGGAGCAGTGCAGAGAAAGAATCAGTCTTTTTTATGTCGGAGGAGAGGCCCTTCGCGCATGTTTATTCCCTTCGTGGGCGAAATGTAGTACGCACTGGTTTATCCTGTAATGATGCGGATTTGTCCGACAGCAGCGATGAAAATTTCTGTTTATCGGGGAACAGCGGTACGGTGATATCGATCATTGTTCTGATCCAGGATTCAGGTTGGCCTTATTTTTTTCTTCTGCTTGTAGATTCTTCAACTACCGATGCCGAATCTTGTAGCGAAATGGAAGAGGATCTGGAATATTCAACAACAAAAAGTGAGCGCGGTCGAACAATCTGCACGAAATGAGTAATTCTTCTGAGTATCAGTCATTGAGTTATGCGTGTTTGCAGAACGAGGCAGAAAACGTCGCGCGATTGATGCGAGAGGTACGAGATCTCCACCCAAAATTGGAGCTATGATTCGAGAAGACGCCGCTGATACAGGGTTACTGACTAATGGTACAGTAACTATCTGCGTTCGTACTAAAGACCACAGCGCCATAATCGTATCAGTTCAGTTTACAGGGCGAAAGAGCCGAATGAACTACCTCCAGCCAGGAGCAACAAACGCGGGCAAAGGCATGAAGAACAAATGCGACGATTGAATGCGGTTGCCAAGGTTAATCCCTTCCAGTTTTCCTCGCGAAAGGAACGTCGCGCTGCATGGACAGCAGCGTGGCAGGCGTACCAGGATGATGCGGAAGTTGACCATCGGCAGCGGAAATCGCAGAAAGTCACGTTCACATGGAAATATTTACGGAGATATATCAAAATGCATTTGGATGATTTTCCCCAAACGCTGGATCGCTACAACGAAGATACCGCCAGGGAAAGCAGACGACAGTATATCCAAGTTATGCGAGTGATAGCAGAGCAGGCTGGAAAGGATTATGCCAATAATGCGCATCCCTTGACCATTGACAAGAATGTCGACGCAGTTGGGGTGGATATGTTCAGTGTCGTAGTTGACACTCAGAATACACCATCCACACGGCGGTCTGTTAAAAATCACTCCAACAGCCGCTACGTAAGCTATGTATACCGTTTCGTATGCTGGGAGTGCTCGTTGCATTTCAAGGATGAAAACCTGCTGAATCTCCATAATTTGCAACACAGCGGTGCGCCCAACGAAAGCACGATCTCACTGGATTGTCCCGCTTGTCGACGATCGTTCCAGAAGCTGCCGAATTTATTGCATCATGTCATGGATCACGGCGTGAAAGCCTCGCAGATTGTCCATTTTATCCCGACAGCTGACCCCACCATCATGAGCTTTGCTTCCGGTACGGCGGCTCCCATGGATGTGCTGGCGCAGAGTCATGACGCGCATGAGACGTGCTTCATGTACACTTGCGGATTGGCTCAGTGCGGACTTCGATTTTGCACGGAGACGATGGCGGATTTGCACCAACTTAGTCACCGCGTGCCGGATAATTACCAAGGCGAAGATGTTTGTGCGGGATGCAACTATGTGGCTGCCCATGCGGAGGATTTGCTGAAGCACGTCGCTCGGCATGGAGCGAAAGCCAGCGATCGAAAACTGTGTCGTTTGTGTGGAGAGTTTGTGGAGAATATGGTGGTGCATGTCCAGACTAATCACAAGGAAGAATATCTCAAGTACGAAGCGGGTTTAACTCTCCCCTGCGACCATTGCGACAAACTATTTCGAACATCTATCCATCTCGCCACGCATAAAGTGGTAGATATTTTGCAATACTTCAGCTAAGCCTAGCGGAATACTTATGAATTTGCTTTTTACTCGTTGTTTTTGTCCTTCTTAGTGGGCACACAAAGGTGAACAAGGGCGACTAAGATGTCTGGTTTGTGCAAAACCGTTCCCGACGAACCATCAGCTGCATGCACATGTAGAAAAGGAGCACACAACGGGTTTAACGTGTGTGGTGTGCCAAAAAAGCTATTCAAGATACGACCGCTTATATGAGCACGCGAAAACGCACAAGGAGGTCCATATTTGTCCCACTTGTGGCTCGGTGTTCCGCTCTAAAAGGAGCTTAGTGCAGCATGAGCCCATTCACCGCTCGGACTATTCAAATGCCATTTGTGTGACAAGGCCTTCAAGAGATCCTGCAACTTGTCGCAGCATAAAATGATCGTGCACACGGATAAAATGCGCAAGAAGCGTCAAGCAAAACGGGAGGAAATGCGGCGGAAGGGAGTGGTCAGCGAGTACAAGTGTCCACGACGGAGGATGCGCTACGACGAGTTTCCGTATAAATGCGAAGAATGCCGGCTCGGCTGGATGCTGCTGGGTAATTTGCAGCAACATCAACGGAAGAAGCATTCCGATCCTACCGAAAATGTTCAAACTGGCCCTAGTCATTCGGTGTCTGCTCCCAACGGAAACGCTTAAACGAAGTCTGATCGATCTGTTTAATTTTTTACGATAATTCGCAATAAGAAATTTGTAGAAACTGCAGGACTTGTGCAAATTTTTACGTTGTTGAGAATATTCTATAATTATACAAGCCTGTTATACAGACTGCTTTATTATAAAACTCGTACGAATGGCTGCTTACAGAGACTGATAGACATGATCAAATCCATTCCGAGTCCATTTCAAAAATCCGTACCGTACGTATTGTATTAAATGATTATTATAAATTGACACTGTAAAGTAACATCAAAAGCACAAAAACTGACAGAAACAGTGGTTTTAAGTTTTTTCTACCGGCTCAAAACGAAGCGCTAAACAATAATTCCCGCAGTCGTCACCATCGCACTATGAGCGTGGACCTGATGAAGGTTCACGCGTAGGAACAGAATTGACGGAATTCTGCCTACCAAAAAGCCTGGCAGTGCTATAAAAGCGCCTACGCTACAGAAAGCGAGAAATGGCGTGACTGCTAGGAATTTATAACAAGACTAAATTCGATAGAATTTCCTCGTGGGCAACTCCGCATTGCTGACTGCAGCAAGCGTGGAAAAATGCGCACGTAGCCGCCACACAGTGCGGGTGCGCGCAGAACACCATGCTTTCGCCACGCGTAAGGCGGGCGCGCAATGAACACACAACAGACTGCCAAAGCGAGGGTGTACGCATGTACGCCTGCGCTCACATGCCTCTGGGAGGGAGGCTGAGCTCCGTCGAAGCAAATCCACGTCCAATTCCTTGGGATCCTTGACGGCTCGTCTGTGTGTTTAATAAAACATCGAGATTTAATCTCCCTTTAACATCACAAATTCCAATTACATGTGTGAATAAAGAGATCTCGAAACAAAAGAAAAAACAGTAAAAAAATATCAACAGAATTCTTTATCAAAACGACTAGGATCCTCCGACTCCTAAAGGTCACTGGGTCCTGTCAACCGTAATCCGCTTTGGTCCATTCCGCTCTTTTGAGCAATCTTTACCATCACAAATGAGATCCGCTTTAGGAATAGGTGCGTATCAAGTACGACTTCCGAATACTGCTGCTTCATCTTTGGATAATTCGCGTATCAAGTACGACTTCTGCAAAATGAGATTCTTCCTCTTGGACATGGAGGGACGTCTTGAAAGACAAGCATAATGCTTCCTCCCTGGTAAGGTCATTCTCTTTTTCTTGATGACTCTCTTGAGCCGTGAAGTTCTCAAGGGTCATCCTTTCTCTTCTGATGTGCGACTCAATTGGGCCTTGACGATCCCAAAAGGTCATCCATTTTCCATCATAAGTTCCATATTAAAGGTCATGGAGGGACTTAGCCGATTTTTGGCTTTCAAGCAATTCTGCTTGCCTCCCTGATAAAGGTCATCCATCTTTTCAACCGTTTTCTTCTGTCGCACATCCTTTCCTTTCTTTTAGTGCTAATTGACGCGCACTTTTCTTCTTTTCCTTACCAGGTTCGAGGGCCGGTTAACGCCGTAACTCCTCTTCTTCTGAGGCCGGTTATCGCCGTAACCTCAACTTCTAAAAGTTTTTACTCCTATTTTCTTGAACTCTTTCTCTTTTTCACCCTTGTGGCTTCTGACATTCCTTAAGAGTGTGCCGACTAAGTAGGCCGCAACTACACTCTAGAAGTGACGTTTAAATGTAATGAGGAAGGCCGGTTAACGCCGTTACTCTTCCTGCTTCGAGGGCCGGATGACCTCCGTAACTCCCCATACTGCAGATCGCCTTGATCCCCTGCAACAAAATTCTGAAAACCACAAAACACGAACGGTATGACAGTTCAAAAAGTTACGTCTCCTTCGCCCTAATACTGTACCTTCAATACCATTCTCGTGCTGCCGACTGATGGCCGTAACTAGCACATCAGCGATGCCCTAAAGGTCATCACTGATCATTTGAACCATTGTCGCGGTTCCGATCGAAACGTCTTTGTTTTTCATTCTGATCAGACGTTCGATCTCGAGGTTCCCTTTCCCTCTCTTGCAGCTCGTCTCCTTCGCTCCGGCTGCTAGTAGCACTGTGACGATTTCGGTCACGTCTGCGATGAATACGGATCAAATGCTTTTCATGCATCAACCGTCCATACTTTTTAAGTCCCGTGACCTTTCTCGAGGATGATGGGATGACCTTTCGCAGACGCGTGACCTTTCCAATTCTCGTGACCTTTTCGAGAATGATCGGATGACCTTTCATAAACGCATGACCTTTCATGTTTCCATAACCTTTGTCGAGGATGATCGGATGACCTTTCGTACACATGTGACCTTTCATTCCTGTCGGCTGACCTTGCCAAGCCCGACTGATACGTTTCTCTCGGCGGTGATTTCGGTCGTTTGAACTCGCCTCTCTTGAAATTTCTTTCGGTCTCCGTCATTTCGTTTTGCTGCATGAGGAATTTGCGCATGTTCTCAATTTTGTCCTCGATCAAAATTTTGATGACTTGCGACCATCGGCCTTTTCCGTCAGGTTGACCTTTTCTTGCAGGAATATTGTATGTTCCTCTTTGTTAGTGAGAGTGGGTCCTTAAGGATGATGTCCAATTGCTGGATGAGTGATTCGCGTATAATCGCCTCCTGTACGTCTTGTTTCTTAAATATCGCGTCCGAAACGGGTGCTGCAAGTCCCGCATGACCTTTATCTGCATTGGCTAAACCCTTCTCTGCCGCAGCTTTCTTTCTTTCTTTCAAACGCTTTCTTTCTGCTTCACGCTTTTCTTGCATTATTTGCTTTCTAAACGCATTCGCTTCCGCAGTTTTAGGAGGTTCAAGGGTGACGTCCCATCCAGGTCTGCGTCCTACCCACATTCGGTATTTATCCTCCAAAATCACTCTATCTTCGGGCGATAGTTTCAGCCACGTTTTCTTCTGACCAGGTGTCGAAATACATCTAGGTTGCCTCTTTTGCTTCCTGCGGAATTACCAGGAGTTGATTTGGCATCGGCACGGCGACCACGCATTCCCAACAAGGGAATCGTTCACCTGAAAGAATGTTGTTGCGCTTGCAATCCGGGCAATCCTTGTTGTAATTTGTCAACGGGTCGCCGGTGACCTTTACGATCGACGGTCTCCGTCCCTTCTCTGTCTTCTGATCAGTTTGGCTCCGTTCAGCCATTTTTCTCAGTTTTCACCTACAATCTCAAAATTTGTAAGTCCCGTGACCTTTCATTGTTTTCATTTTCCAACGTCTATCTTTAAGCCTATGATAAAAAGGCTATTCAGTGCTGAGCTGAAACTTTTCGCTGCTCTTTGATGATGACCTTTGTCATCCTTCTTTAGCTGAACCATTCTCAACTGTATGTGGATGACCTTTTCCCATCTTAGCTCATTCGCTACTCTTCTTGTAGAGTGTGGTTCGAAAATAATTTGAGAACTACGGTCTGCTCATCTCCTTCTCGTTTCTGGTTCTGATTCTTCATTTTGTGTGGTAGACCTTCCTCCCACACTTTGCTTCTTGCTAATGTACGGTGACCTTTCTCTGCTTCATCAGCGCCATGACCTTTCAGTCCTTCCTTCGATGTGTGTGCTAAGTTCTCCGCTGAGTTCTTTAACTGGGCGCTTCTTCTCCTTCTCATCGCTTGAGCTCGGGTGACCTTCCCCCCCGGCTGCAATTTCTGCTGCCCTTTAGATCCCAGCTTGCCGGATAAAGTCTGATGACCTTTATCTTCCAACGTTTCAGCTTAAGTCTGGTGACCTTTAGCTGCAAACTTTTTGGATGAAGTCTGATGACCTTTTTCTTCCAACATTTTCGGCTAAAGTCTGGTGACCTTTTAGCCTCAATCGCTTCTTGAACCTTCTCTCCTTGACTGCTCAGTACCGTTCTCTCATGAGCAACTGTAAACGAAGTCAATTTCATTCTTCTTCTCTTTCATTGTTCTCGAGCTCGGGTGACCTTCCGCCCCGGCAAAACTTCCCGCTAATGTCTGATGACCTTTAGGTGTTTCACTCGCTCTTTGATCCGTCCGTTCTTTTTTTTTTTGTTTTGCGCCAATCGTTCATGAGCGATTTTCATTCAACGGCGTGATCGGAAATGTCTTCGATTAGCGGGTTTATTTCTGATGACCTTTATGCCGTCCCATGTTCCGGTCATAATATCATAAACTCCTATAAGCCTGACTTTCGGGTTTATTTGTTTTCGTCCTTTAGTTATCCGATCAAGTAATGCTTTGTCGGCTTCGTCTTCATCTTGAACTTCCCCTCTCAGAATCTGTTCTGGAGTTGGCTTCGGAGTTTTCTTCGTTTTCTTGACCTTTCGCTTCTCAATTTCGTTCGCGATCCGTTGGCCAAGTTGGTCGGCTTTTTCTTTGACGGCTTTTATTTGTTCCGCTCTTGAGAGGTCATCTGTGGCGCTGGTAGCAGAATATGGTTCGAAAGTGTCTTGAGGTTTACGCTCTGCTACTCTGCGAGCAGGCCCAACCATTTTCGCTCTTGAAAGGTCGTCTCTAATGTTAGTAGCGGAGCGTGGTTCGAAAGTAGGCGCCACTTGAGATCCATGCTCTGTGCTTTCTTATCCTCATTTCGGTGTGACCTTTCATTTTGCTCAATCGTGGTCAAGTTCCCCGCTTCTTGATTAAGCTTCATCGTGACTGGCGTCTCAAAGTCTTTAATCTCTTTCTTCTGTCGTCCTCTTTTTTCTTAACTGGCTCTTCCGCCTCTTTGGCTCTTCTGCCTCTTTTGGCTCTTCTGCCTCTTCTGGCTCTTCTGCCAAATCAGGTACAGAGCGTGGTTCGGAAGTATGCTGACGACTACGCTCTGCTTCATCTTGACCTTTCTCAATTATCTCCGAAGCTGCCCTTTCAGCTTGACCTTTCTGGACCGGTAACGGTGGATGCCACGGTTTCAGACGATCCACCGAAACGACTCGTAGGTCCGGTTCCTTCACCGCATCTTGCTCGATGACCTCGACTTCGTTCGGTCTCGGAAAACTGAGAATCTTCCACACTTTGTCATATTTATTCTTGAAGTCGGATTGGTTTTCCTTCTTTCCTTGCTTTGTATCTTTCGGGAGTCTAATTAAGACTCGATCTCCGACTTTGAATTGCGGCTCTGACTTCTTCTTGTTGTAGATTTCCGCGTGCTTTTCGTAAGCATCTTTGATGTTGCACTTCGCCACTTCTTCTGAAAAGG